TTTACCTGGTTTCCCATCATTGTATGCCTCTGCTGGTTAGTGAAAAGAGGAGATAGCTTGAATTAGCAGGAGTAGCAGATTTGCTGCAGCTGCACAGTGCCAAGCTATATTATTTGCTACTCACCCAGAGCACAGCAGAGGAGGATGGAGAGGCCAAGAAACAGAATCTTATGCATGGTTTCTTTTCTCCTGGTGAGTGACAATTCAATAGAGGATCAAGGTCTTGTCAGCAGAACTCAATCCACAGGAGAGCACAGGAGTGACAGCTGGACTCTATGCTGCAATTATTATACAGTTGTGAGTTCAGCCAATCAGAGATGGATTTCACCACCATGTAAGTTGGTAGATCTTGTTGGAGATCTATATTGCTGAAGTACATATGCTAAATCCGATTGTATCAGGAATTAACAACCAAGGAGCAGGTTGTGCTATGCCCATTTGGAGGCTTCAGATGAATGCTTGATGGTCAGATTAATGGACCTTCACATGACTGACTCAGTGAAAACACATAGACATGACTGAGCTTCAGTGGAAGAATGGCAAACAACACAAAAAACCAGGATTCTGAGGGGATTTACAAGGTGACCATCAGTTCATGTCAACTGGCATGCAAGAATGGAGATAACTATACAAAATGAGAAGTTCCTTATTCGTGTTGGAGAGTGTGCAATAGTGTGTGCTGATCTGGACTTCTTACATGGTTTATCAAGTGAATCATTACATCAGTGCACTTGGTATTGCTTTAATATAAGTATACCCCTCAAAGAACTATCCTTGACTCTGCTACCAGCTCTTATCTTAAACATGACGTGGAAGTTACAAACAAATATCCTGGCCTCCTTAATGCTTAATGTAAAAATCAGCACATTAATCTTGTGCTACCAGCAAACTGCAATTATCATTCTTGTAAGGAGGAACAAGACTCAGCACAGATAATGAAAGGTACTTTCAATAGTAAATTCATGATTCAGGGAATATACAAATAATACTTAGTCATTTCCAGCCAGGGTCACGTCCCTTCAACTTCACTTTATCCCAGTAAACAATTGGTAAACTGACAGGAATTTGCAGGAATGCTGCTAAGGATTTCGGTGTTATATAGTTTGCTCTCTTGGGAAGGCCTCTTCCCTCTCCATAGGGAATATTTGACCCTCAATTGTACTTCAACCCCAGACTTTCAATGATTTTGTAGCTCACAGCTGGAATGAGTCTCTACTTAATGATCTCTATGATCATCTCTATGCCTTTCTGTACACAGACCACAGGAACCTGTGAGAGTTCTGCTGTCTGGATGGTATAAGATAAAAAGCAATGACCGCTCCCCGCTTAAAACGGGGGGCGCCCTTTGCGTGGACGCGCGCAGCCCCTAGATCTGGAGCAGCTCCATCAGCATAGGCTTGGCTTTGCCTTCCCTCAGGTGGGATACCTGGAGGTCTCCGCCTACCTCAGTCAGTTGTCCAATCCCACCTGGGGGAAGCGTTGCCAAGGAGACCAGGCCAGGTAGGGGGGGATTACCTGTCCACACAATAGAGGGAGGATCTTACCTGGGAATCCTCACTTGGCTCCAGAGCTTCTCCCACCCTACCCACCCTCAGTAAATGTCTTATTTTGCAGGTTAACTTTTCTTCACAGGTTTTGCAGGTTAACTTTTCTTCACAGGTATGCGGGCGCTGCTATGTTAAGGTCGCTGTTAAAGGGCCGGAAAGGAATTTCCCTGCATTGCCAGGTTTCGCCTTTCCCGTAGCAAAACGTCACAACTTTGGCGGTATCAGGCCTTGGGCGGAATCCTTTAGTCCATCTTCCTCTTTGCGGCGGCGATACCAGGGTTCCCCATTAAAGGGGTTTCTGAAGGGAGGCTTTGACCGTACGCCGAAAGGTCGTCATTGCTCTCACAGAACCTGTGAGAGTTCTGCTGTCTGGATGGTATAAGATAAAAAACAAATAGCTTAACTCTTTCAGATGCACAGAGCTCTGATCCTTGACTCTGTGTTCTGGTAGGATTCCAGATCAGGTACATCTTCCTTTCTTTAACTGAACTGAACTGAACTGAACTGAACTGTGAGTTTGCAGCAGGAGTGCCAGCTTGGCCCCACAGCTGTAGGTGCCCAGAGCTGTGGATGCCACACAGCATCAAAATGTGGGTGCTCAGGAATCCAGGGCCCCATGTAGCCAGCACCTAGGGAATTTACAAGGTGACCATCAGTTCATGTCAATTGGCATGCAAGAATGGAAATAACTATACAAAATGGGAAGTTCCTTGTTCATACTGAAGAGTTTGCAAAGAGTTTGTGTGCTTATCTGGACTTCTTACATGGTTTATCAAGTGGATCATGGCATCAATGCACTTGGCATTGCTTTAATCTAAATATACCCCTCAAAGACTCTGGTACCAACTCTTATCTTAAACATGACGTGGAAGTTACAAGTAAATATCCTGCCTTCCTAATACTTATGTAAAAATCAGCACACTAATCTGGTGCTACCAGCAAACTGCAATTATCATTCTTGTAAGGAGGAACAAGACTCAGCACAGATAATGAAAGGTACTTTCAATAGTAAATTCATGATTCAGGGAATATACAGATAATTACTTAGTCATTTCCAGCTAGGGTCATGTCCCTTCAACTTCACGTTATCCCAGTAAACAATTGGTAGGGAATATTTGACCCTCAATTGTACTTCAACCCCAGACTTTCAATGATTTTGTAGCTCACAGCTGGAATGAGTCTCTCCTTAATGATCTCTATGATCATCTCGACGCCTTTCTGCACACAGACCACAGAAACCTGTGAGAATTCTGCTGTCTGGATGGTATAAGATAAAAAGCAAATAGCTTAACTCTTTCAGATGCACAGAGCTCTGATCCTTGACTCTGTGTTCTGGTAGGATTCCAGATCAGGTACATCTTCCTTTCTTTAACTGAACTGAACTGAACTGAACTGAACTGAACTGAACTGAACTGAACTGAACTTAACTTAACTTAACTTAACTTAACTTAACTTAACTTAACTTAACTTAACTTAACTTAACTTAACTAACTTAACTTAACTTAACTTAACTTAACTTAACTTAACTTAACTTAACTTAACAACTTAACTTAACTTAACTTAACTTAACTTAACTTAACTTAACTAACTGTGAGTTTGCAGCAGGAGTGCCAGCTTGGCCCCACGACTGTGGGTGCCCAGAGCTGTGGATGCCACACAGAATGCATGGCCCTGTCACCAAAATTTTTGGTTGCCTGGCCCCTTCATGGGGAATTTTGTGGATGCTCAGGAACCCAGGGCCCCAGGTAGCCAGCACCTAGGGTCCGTGAAACATTGTTTTCACTCACTTTTCTGACTTGGACTTGTTAGGGATCATCTCCTTTTTAGATCTAAGATGTATATATACAATATGTTTTGCTGCCTGTGCATCTGTAACTTGGCTGTCTGAAACCATACCCATATATGCCATCTCTCTTTCATTTCAAGGAATAAATCAATCTTTCAATACTCCTCTGGTGGGTGCAACTTATGGGGAATAAGCGAGAAAGTAAACACATATTCCTAATGGGTGCATGTACTGTCTCCAATAAAAGATTCCTATCCTTTTTAAGTTGTTGCATTGAAGATCTATCAGTGCTGGACATGCATGTGAGTTGAGTCACACACCTCATAGGATGCGGGTGGCGCTGTGGTCTAAACCACTGAGCCTCTTGGGCTTGCCAATCGGAAGGTTGGCAGTTTGAATTCCAGCAATGGGGTGATCTCCCTTTGCCCTGTCCCAGCTCCTACCAACCTAGCAGTTAGAAAGCACATCAAAGTACAAGTAGATAAATAGGTACCACTGCAGCAAGAAGGTAAACAGTGTTTCCATGCATTCTGGTTTCCGTCACTGTGTCCTGTTGTGCCAGAAGCAGTTCAGTCATGCTGGCCACATGACCTGGAAAGCTGTCTGTGGACAAATGCCAGCTCCCTCGGCCTGAAAGTGAGATGAGCGCCGCAACCCCATAGTCGCCTTTGACTGGACTTGAACATTCATTTTTAGCAAGTTGTGTTCCATGTTTAGTTACATTGTGCTGAGCCCAGAGCTTTGCCAGGGTTAACTCAGAAGAAGTTACACTGTCTTTCTTCCGGGGGTGGGGGGGATTGCTCAGTAAGTCTGTATCAGCAAAAACTATGCCGGAAGTCTAACTATATTTATGATGCATTCAATTGGAAATGCTGGCGGAAAGGTTTTTTTTAGAATTAGGCACATATCTGCATGGGGGGGGGATGTTGGAAAAAATGCTGAGAGTTTTGGGGCAAAATAATATTGGAGTGTGGTGGAACAGTTTGCTCTTCTATTGACAAAAGATTTTCGTTGGCATTACTACCCAGTTTTGATTGAAAGAATGAGACAATGCCATTTCAAGAAATGCTATTTTTTATTTTATTGCTACAAGACAGGTAATTGCAAACCACTGGGAAATGAAAATGGAGATTCAGTACAGGAACAGAGTCATTACATGATTTGGCAAAACATTTTGACAGAGAAGCTGACTAAATAAGTGTGCACTTCAGGGATGATAGATGAGGATGGCCTTGCAGCTCAGGGGCATACATTAAAGTCCATGGGTTGTATCAAATGCTAGTCGTACTCAAAGTAGACAAATTAAAATTAATGAGTTCGAGTAACTTGGGTTCATTAATTTCAATGGGTATACTCCGATTAGAACTTACTAGCAGACAACGCTTCCAACAAAGATTAAAAATACATCAAAATGTCACACATTAAAAACTTTCCTGAACATCAATGCCATTACTTTCCTATTCACAAGCCAAGGTTATTCTCCACCTATATTTCTATAGCGAAAATAAAGAGGTGTTGTTCTCTTTAAAACATAAGAAGGATTTGACGCACTAGCATTAGACTTTCAGTGGTATTAAGCAATACTGGAGAAATTGGAGAGTTTTTGTGACTGCCAGAATTTGTTAGATGACATGCACCTGAAAGTGAATCTATAATTCTTTTTGGTAGCTGACAGTATTTGTTACCTGGCATGCAGTACATTTTGGTATCTGATGGCATTAACACTTGGCCAAATTGATAGCTGATCCAGGATCTACTTGTCTTGAGCAGATGCTAGATGCTTGGGATGACAGCAGAACAAGGCCATAAATCTTTGAATATAACAGAGAAGAAAGACCCAATGGTTTCGCAGATATGTTACTTTGGTGCATTGCAGAGGTCATGGGAATTACAACATGTTGCCGTTTTTTTACCATCTGCGCTCAATTCCACAACGTCACATGGAGTATGGTTTGTAGAGCATAGTTGCTTATAAAATGGTGTCTTCCCCTCTGTGGAAAAGGAGGAAAGGGAACTCATTTAGTATATCCACAACACTCCTTATTACCTGCCCTGAGCAGAGATCATTAAACTGATAATGCTTTGGACCCCTGATATGTTTTACATAGAGATGCAAAAATAGATGTAGAGAAGCAATAGCCCTGCTCAGAGCTTCAAAGAGCATGTAAGGGTGTGTCAGCCGTGTGAGATGCAGACCTCTCAGCATGGGAATGTCAGAGGTCATGTGGGCAGGGCCATGAAAATTGGGGCTGGGGCTGCAGTATGTACCTTCAAACCCCCTATTATACTCTCACGTGGTCTTCTAACACCTAAACAGCAATACTGGGACCTGCAAAGACATACTAGAGTGTAAAGAGCTCATGATACATTTCATGATTTCTCACAAACTGTAGTTTGTAAAAGGTGCTGAGTATTGTTAGGGTAAAGGTAAAGGGACCCCCGACAATTAAGTCCAGTCATGAATGACTCTGGGGTTGTGGTGCTCATCTTGCTTTAAAGGCCGAGGGAGCTGGCGTTTGTCCACTTCCGCATACAGTTTTTTCGGGTCATGTGGTCAGCATGACTAAGCCGCTTCTGGCGAAACCAGAGAAGTGCACGGAAACACCATTTACCTTCCTGCCGGAGCAGTACCTATTTATCTACATGCACTGTGTGCTTTCGAACTGCTGGTTTGGCAGAAGCTGGGACCGAACAACAGGAGCTTACCCTGTCGCAAGGATCTGAACCGCCGACCTTTCGATTGGCAAGCCCAAGTGGTACAGCGGTTTAACCCACAGCGCCACCCGTGTCCCTGCTGAGTATTGTTAGGAGACCACTATTCCACTCATGGAGCTACAATTCCCAAAGTTCCCTAGGGAAAGGGATTGATTCTGGATATTGTAGCTCTCTCAGTGCTTCTGATGTTGGAGGTAATAAATGGCCACTGCGCCTTGAAGCTGTTGATAGTCTTCTCCTCTGTGAATTTGTTTAATCTGTTTTTTTAAGCCACCCAAATTGGTGGCCATCACTACATCTACATCTACATCTTCTGGGAGGTGTGTGTCAGGAAGAACAAGAGTTCCAGGGTGCCTGGGTGATAGTTATCACCTTATAATAAACATGAAGTGTGACTATACCAGTAGAAGAGGTGGAGGCATTCATTCAGTCATGGCAAATAAAAAGCAGCCGTTATTACACGATGCCAGACTATTTGTAATATAGTGTGAATATCCAGGAGCTAGAAAATAAGGACCAGAGACACTATATAGAATTAATGCAAGCTCAATTGCAAATGGAGCCAAACATACTTTCAACATAGATCAGCACGCAGTATTGTCTTTTCCGAGCTGTACAAATCGATTCTCCAGTGACACAGCCAGCAGTGGGATCATATTTTTTGCATTCATGGCAAGTGAGAGCATCAACTGTTGGAAAGAAGAGCTGCTTTATAAAACAAATAAACAAATAAAAGCATTGATTCTTACCTTTCCCAAACTCTATGTGGCTTGCATAAAGCACAATTGTGGATATCAAACAAGTTTTAAAGTCACTGAAGGGTAGCATCTCATGTACATCCTGTGTTTCTTCCCGTGTTCCTTAAAAATGCACATTTTTAGCTTGAATTGGCAGGAGTAGCAGATTTGCTCCAGCTGCACAGTGCCAAGCTATATTTTTTTGCTACTCACCCAGAGCACAGCAGAGGAGGCTGGAGAGGCCAAGAAACAGAATCTTATGCATAGTTTCTTTTCTCCTGGTGAGTGACAATTAGATAGAGGATCAAGGTCTTGTCAGCAGAACTCAATCCACAGGAGAGAACAGCTGGATTCTGTGTTGCAATTATTATACAGTTGCACTATCACCCAGTCAGAGATGGATTTCACCACCCTGTAATTTGGTGGATTACATATGCTGGAGACCATATGCTAAATCCAACTGTATCAGCAATTGACAGCCAAGGAGCAGGTTGTGCTATGCTCATTTGGAGGCTTCAGCTGAATGCTTGATGGTCAGATTAATGGACGTTCACATGGATGGCCCCATGAAAACACAGAGATTAGATTGAACCAAGGTGGAAGAATGGGGAAATACACCAAAAGTCAGGGGACATACAAGACGACATGCAAGAATGAAGATAACTATACAAAATGAGAAGTTCCTTATTTGTGTTGGAGTGTGTGCAATAGTGTGTGCTCATCTGGACTTCTTACATGGTTTATCAAGTGAATCATTATATCAGTGCACTTGGCATTGCTTTAATATAAGTATTATATTACTTATAATACTCAAAGAACTATCCATTTAAAAAAAAATAATAAAATTATTAACCGGCCAATCAAATCAAATTAAATCACATCACATAAATTCCGAATTACAAAGCCAAATTTTAAATTTTTTGTTGGGGGGACCCATATTTCAAAATCCGAAGGGGGATTCTGATCATCTTCTTGCTACTGCGTTAATGTCCAAATCAGTCCAAATCAGTCCAAACAGAGTTTATAATTCTATCCAGTCTTTTCTTGCTGTTTCCACATCACATCTTGTTTATATATTTTCTCTTTTTTCTTTATGATCTCTTCTGATAGTCTCCTTAAGCCGATAAACACCAATAATAATAATAATCCTGTGTGAATTTTCCGTTCTTCCATTCCTCAAATCGAGATGGTTTCCATATATCATTGCCTTCATAGATAACATCGCTCTTTCCATCTCGCAAAGCTGTCGCTCTTAAGTCCCTCTGAGGAGTTTCACCCACAATATATAAACAGCTCTATTCTCTCTTTCTCCTCCCAGACTCAAGACCTCCGACAGAACTTCCCAATATGGCGATGGCATTTTTAACTGCGTCATTCCCAAGCTCTTATACATTCCTCGCTCTTCTTAAAACATGCTTTGGTTCGAAAGTTTATCTCCACACAGCCTTAAATCCACAGCTTAAGTCCTTAAAACGACAATTGCTGACTCGTGACTCGTGAGGGGAGGGGATTCTTGTTAATCATATAAGAAAAGAAAGGAAAGTTTTTTCCCCCTCCCCCATCAGTCATTTGCCATACCGTGTCTTGGCGTATCTTCTCATGTTTTATTCTTGTCTTGTTTTATCAGAGATCTCTTCTATAGCAGTCTTTACTCCCCTTCTTCCTTGAAATATGTGCATTCCTTCATCCAAATTGTTTTCTTTTGAAGTTCAAGCAACTAGTGGCGCGAATCAGGGATGGCGTCCAGGAGTGCCGGAATCCCACAGGAGGGCTTTGTGCCTAGTGCCCCCATCCCCACAAGTTCGGGGGTGGTATAGGGCACAGCAGGCAAAGGCAGTCCCCCCCACCGTCCTGGGGGGGTTAGGGAGGCTAATTACTCCCATCATAGCCTCCAAATTACCTTGTGTGGGTCGGAGAGATGTTATTGTCAGCCATCTTCCGATGCGCCCCCTAGTGGCCCCCCACTCAAAGAACTATCCTTGACTCTGGTACCAACTCTTACCTTAAACATGACATGGAAGTTACAACCAAATATTCTGGCCTCCTAATGCTTACTGTAAAGATCAGCACACTAATCTTGTGCTACCAGCAAACTGCAATTATCATTCTTGTAAGGAGGAACAAGACTCAGCACAGATAATGAAACTTTAGCCCATAGGTGCCCTTAAAGTTAAATAAAACATTATCAGAAAGTGGCAATCTAGGAGCAGATTGAGCCAAGGTGGGAAAATGGGTAAAGACACCAAAATCTGGGATTCTGAGGGGTACGCATTTCAATCTTGCCCCCTCCCAAGAGACCACTTGGTGCATGCATATGTTCTTAATTATTTTTGTGTGTGTCCCCAGGTAGCTCATGATATGTAATAGGTTATGATGAGAGATGTAGTGTTTTCTAAAAAATAGGCTATATCAGATACGGGATTTACCTATGCCATCATTTAACTATATTCATATCCATGAAGTTCAGTCTGTCCTTCGAATTCTAGAATGTCTGTTGTTCTTTGCTGAAGTGATGGGTTTTGATCATTTCTATTATCCTGTGAAGATCTGAAATGGAAGCTCTCTGAAATCAAAGAAATAAGAAGTAAATGGAGCTGATAATTTCAAAGCTCATTAATCAGGTTTGATAATAGTTTCATAACATGGGACGATTTGTTCAGGTAAGGAGGATCATTGAGCTACTTATCTCAAAATATCATCGAGGTAAGAAACAAACAATCCATTTCAAATGTGTTTTATGGTATCGCAGCTTTCACATTTTCCATGCATGGTTTCTTGTATGGCAGATTTCCCTACACAATCAAAGCAAGCAATATTGACTCAAAACATGTCTCAGACACTGGACCTCCCCCCGACCCAAATCAGACACAGGTTTCATATATTCATAAAGAATGCATGCAGAGGTGGGTGACCAAGATGACAAAAGGTCTGGAAACCAAACCTGATTAGGAACACTTGTGGGTGTTGGGTATGTTTAGCCTGGAGAATAGAAGACTGTGAGGTGATAAAGGTAAAGGTAAAGGGACCCCTGACCATTAGGTCCAGTCATGGCCAACTCTGGGGTTGTGGCGCTCATCTCACTTTAGCGGCCAAGTACAGCTTCCGGATCATTTGGCCAGCATGACTAAGCCACTTCTGGCAAACCAGAGCAGTGCACGGAAATGCCATTTACCTTCCCGCCAGAGCGATACCTATGTACCTATTTATCTACTTGCGCTTTGACGTGCTTTTGAACTGCTAGGTTGGCAGGAGCAGGGACAGAACAATGGGAGCTCACCCTGTCATGGGGATTCGAACCGCCGACCTTCTGATCAGCAAGCCCTAGGCTCTGTGGTTTAACCCACAGCGCCACCCGCGTCCCGAGGTGAGGTGATAGCCATTGCCAAATATCCAAAGGATTGTGACATGGAAGATGGAACAATGGAATATGTTTTCTGCTGCTCCGGAAGGTTGGACCTGAACCAATAATTCAAATTTTCAGAAATAAAATTCGACTGAACATTAAGAAGAGCTTTCAGAGGTGAAGAACTGTTTCACTGTGGAACAGACTACCTCAGAAGGTCATGGAGTCTTCTTCATTGGAAGTTTTTAAACAGAGGTTGGAGGGTCATCTGTCAGGGATCCTTCTTTGTGATTCCAGCATTGCAGGCGGTTGGACAGATGACCCTTTGAATTCTACAATTCTATGAATAGCTTCCATACTTTATTGTGACCTTGGAGAAAGATGCAGAAACCAGCGCTTGGAAAGTTCATTGTAAGAAGGAATTACTTCCAGCTCCTGCTTACCAATCTTGAAGTATATTGTTGCCTATGTCTGTTTGCTACTCTTTGTCCACTGAGCTTCAGAAAATGACTGCCGGGGATACTACAAGTAAAGTAGCAGATTTATTACCCCTCCTTGCTATTTTGTTTCAGCCAATGTGATGTAATGGTTAGAGTGTTGGGCTATGACCTGGGAGGTCATGCTGCCAATCCTCACTCAGTCATGAAGCTCATTGGGATGACTTTGGGCCAGTAACCAACTCTTAGCCTAACCTACCTCTCAGGGTTGTTGTGTGGGTGAAATGGGGAGGAGGAGAACCATGTACACCACCTTGAGTTCCTTGGAAGAAAAAAGTAGTACAGTGGTACCTCGGGTTAAGTACTTAATTCGTTCCGGAGGTCCGTTCTTAACCTGAAACTGTTCTTAACCTGAAGCACCACTTTAGCTAATGGGGCCTCCTGCTGCCGCTGCGCTGCCGGAGCACGATTTCTGTTCTCATCCTGAAGCAAAGTTCTTAACCTGAAGCACTATTTCTGGGTTAGCGGAGTCTGTAACCTGAAGCGTATGTAACCTGAAGCGTATGTAACCTGAGGTACCACTGTATATTAATGTAATTTTTAAAGGGAAATATTGTTTTTCAGTGCTTATTGAAGACCTAGATCTTCCAATACATCTTTAAGTGGAGATGTTCATTGGATTTCTGCATTTATTTATACCCAACCCTTCAGTCAAAAAGTCTCTCAGAGAAGCTTATAAAAATCAGTTTTAAGATGGTCTCTGAAAAGGCACAGTACACAAAGGAAGGAAGGAAAATCAAGCTCCAGCCCAAGTTCTTAAGTTCCAAGGGAACTATAATCTAAAAAAGTCTAGCTCTAGATTAGCAAAGCTGAGCACAAAGATTTTATTTTATTTTATTTATTTTATTTTATTTTATTTTGTCTTTGTGGTTTATCACAATGGTAGTGGTAATCTGCCCATGACCAGCAGTTGAACCATCATGTGTTTTGATTCATTTAAAAAACAAAAAAACCATATAATTTTATTAATCTAGAATTTGAAAATAGAGATTTTCAAGAAAGAGAACCATAAAACAAATATAAAACAGATCAAAAGCATGAAAAACAAAAACAATTGTAGCAACAGTAAAAATTTAAAAAGCAGTAAATATAAAATCAGTTAAAATCCTGGGCAATCTTTTTTTTCTTTTCTTTTTTTTTTTTGAAAATGTCTAAAACGTGGCTCTCTGGGCAATTGGAAGAGGCAGGATTTTGTTTTGTTTTGGCGTGATAGTACTCAATTATATGGAATACCGTGACCTCTTTTTTTGCCCCGCGCCATGGTAGTCCTTTTGTGCTGGCACTCTGAGCACTTTTATCAAGATTTGAATACTGACACCTCACCCCCGCCAAAAAGGAAGGAAAAGGAAAAGGAAAAGGAAAAGGAAAAGGAAAAGGAAAAGGAAAAGGAAAAGAAACACTAAGGAGAAGGATCCATGGGTGACAAACCACATTATCCCTCTTTCAGGAAAAGGGTGAGATTTCGGAAGACAATTTGGTATGGCAAAGCCTTTTAAAGCACAGCTGAAATGGTCTCAGAAGTATGGCTGCCATAAAGAAGCTCAGCCTAGAGGGTCATGCTCCTCTAGGAAATGCTCAGGCATTGCAATAATCTTTTCCTTTACAGCAGACTGTCATGAGGCTGTGGGTAAGATTTCCGGTGGTATAATGACACCTGTCAGGTGGTATAGTGGTGCATCCTTTTTCCACGTAAAGCATCCGTTCAACTGCAGAGGAATAAAAACAAATGCATAAGTCAGTGTTTCTCAACCTTGGGTCCCCAGATGTCGTTGGACTACAACTCCCATCATCCCTGAGCTCTGGCCTTGCTAGCTAGGGATGATGGGAGTTGTAGTTCAACAACATCTGGGGACCCAAGCTTGAGAAAGGCTGGCATAATTGGTGAAACCACATTCAAAGAGAAGTCACGGCAGCTACCCTCCCACACACACACAAACATGCAGAGGGAATCCAATTTCCTTCTAGCCAGTAGCGCCAACTTGAACAAAACATTGGGCCCCACATTCACCCCACCCCCCTCACCATGCACCGCTCCTTCCAAGCCAGGGAAGGGCCAGAGGTCGGTGGCAACATGGGCATCAGCATCATGGCAGGGGCTCCTGCTCTGCTCCCTCCCTTGGTCTTTGTGCAGCACTGCAAAATTCAGGGTTTTCACTGCAAAACGCTGCAAAACTTTTTGCCAAAGTTTGGCGCCGGTTTGAAGTGAATTGGACAACGTTGGGATTTTGGTGACCCCATGACCCCCGGGTTTGAATGTCTACTGCTCCATTTTTGGGGCGCTGCAAAACACAGGGTTTTTACTGACCAATGCTGCAAAACTTTTTGCCAGAGTTTGGCATCTGTTTGGAGTGAATTGGACACATTGGGTTTGGGGCATTAATTATGAGCCCCGCTTTGATGTATCAATTACTCCATTTGTGGGGCGCTGCAAACGTTGGGCCTTCACTGCGAAACGATTGCAAAACTTTGGCACCAGTTCTAAGGGGATTCCAGATTTGGGAGTTCATTAATGAAGCTATCCATGGAAAACCTGATCACTGTTTGCTCTGATTCAGTGGTAAAACGTGGGTTTTCCTGGGGAAAGCACCAGCACCAAAACAAAAAACCTACTCAGATGCGGAGCTTTAAAGCTTGAACTTGTGCCTAGAAATGGCCCACCAAAGGAATTCTGGATGAGCCCTAAAGGTAAAGGGACCCCTGACAGTTAAGGCCAGTCACGAACAACTCTGGGGTTGCTCATCTCACTTTACAGGCCGAGGGAGCAAGCGCTTGTCCGCTCTGCAGACAGTTTTTCCAGGTCATGTGGCCACCATGACTGAGCCACTTCTGGCACAACAGAACACCGACACCAGAGCAGTGCACGGAAACACCGTTTACCTTCCCTCCGGAGCAGTACCTATTCATCTACTTGCACTTTTTGGCGTGCTTTCGAACTGCTAAGTTGGCAGGAGCTGGGACCGAGCAATGGGAGCTCACCCCGTCACAGGGATTCGAACCACCAACCTTTTGATCGGCAAGCCCAAAGCTCAGTGGTTTAGAGCACAGCGCCACCTGCATCCCCGGATAAGCCCTAGTCTAGCACATAGCAATAAAAGACAGAAAATAAGCCGGTGAGATGAGACATGTACAGAAGTAGCTCGAGGGAACTGCTACATTTGCTTCCCAGCAGTTGGATCGCTGTTGTTTACCAGAAGGGAGAAGGGCAAGGAGATTGGCTTGGTGCAAAGGCACCACCAGGAGTTCTGGAACTGCTCTCCCAGTGCTTTTGCACCTCCTCACCCCTCTCCTTTCCAGTAAGCAACAGGCTCAATGACCCACATGCCATGAAACTAGTATGGCCACTCCATCCCACTTAAATTAACACATAAGAGTTAATTTCAAGGCAAACATACCTTCTTTGATATAGGTTGTTTTGCAACGTAAGGCTGTGCATACATCACTTCCTTTGAAACAGATAAAACCAGGATATTGGAATTTGCACACCTTGCATTTGATAGCTTCAGCTGCTTGAAAGGAGGAAGTAATTTAGCATGAAATTGCATCACAACCCACCCTAATTCTAAATAGCTTCATGTGCATCAAAACTAATGCAAGATAAAGTTACAGAATGATCTGAGGTCCAGTAAGCATTTACTGCTAATATATACGAGGCCATTTTGTTGTGGCAGCTGTTGGTCATCATTACTGATCTAGAATGTGCAATCTCAGGAATAGCTTAAGATAACATTTATATGGAAAATAAACTAGAATTCATTTTGAACAAGAATTATGCAGAGAACATGACATAAGAACATAGGAAGAGCTCTGTAGGCTAGCATCTAGTCCAGCATCCTGTTTTCATAGGATAGTGCTGGTGTAACCTTTCATCTTGTTAAAGGTGTCCCAGTAAAAAGGTAAAGGTACCCCTGCCCGTACGGGCCAGTCGTGTCCGACTCTAGGGTTGTGCGCCCATCTCACTTAAGAGGCCGGGGGCCAGCGCTGTCTGGAGACACTTCCGGGTCACGTGGCCAGCGTGACGAAGCTGCTCTGGCAAGCCAGCACCAGCGCAGCACACGGAAACGCTGTTTACCTTCCCGCTATAAAGCGGTACCTATTCATCTACTTGCACTTAATTGTGCTTTCGAACTGCTAGGTGGGCAGGAGCTGGGACCGAAAGATGGGAGCTCACTCCGCCGCGGGGATTCAAACCACCAACCATACGATCGGCAAGTCCTAGGCACTGAGGTTTTACCCACAGCGCCACCCGCGTCCCTAAAGGTGTCCCAGTAGTGTATGCTAAAAGTTGTCCCAAACACCCCTTATCAATAATGTGCATAAACTGACTTCATTAAAATCACTTGAAGCCTTGTTTACAGAGGCTCATGCCATTTCAAAAAATGTTAACATTTATGGTCCCGCTTTGCTAATAACAACAACAAACACTTACAGGACATAAAGCACATATGTATGGGAAATGCACAAAATTCATACCAAGATAGAATGGAAGAGACTTAATGGTTGCAAATGGTGTAACATGAAGCAATGGAATTATCTCCACACCCGAGACTGACAACACCCCATCTGTTTTACTCACAAAAGAGCAGAGCTAAAATGCCGAGAAGCACAACCAAGTTAATCATCTTGGGCTTTCTTGCCATTCTTGACAACCCAGAACAACAAGGTCTCCTTGGTGGAGATGGTGAAGGAACAACAAAACGTGACTCCGGATAATGGATTTAAACTCTCATGGAGACTATAGGCTGCTTCTGGAAGGACCTTGTGTTACATCTCCCACCTGCTACGGTGGTTGATTACAGTCTTAGCAGCAAAGTACAGCCTAGGAACTGGATGTCCTTTGCCCATTTGAGTGCTCTGTTGCCAAATGCTGGACCATTAGGTGCCATTTCCATCAATTAGTCTAAATATAGGAGAAGCTGTAGTCTCAGGGAAGCCAGTGGGAGGCATAGAATGATTCCCAAATGACCCAGGCAGGTGATGGGTCAAGATGTGAAGATTATGAATTCAGTGTGAGAGTACCTTCAGTGCTTATATCAGAGGTGGGGAACCTCAGGCCTGGAGAGGCCCCTCCCTGGGTTACACACCCACTCAACCCTCCTCCCTGGACCCAGGTGTTTTAGTCAGTTTGCATTTCTTGGTGCAGATAGTATTGATGTGATGTGTAGAGATCTTTCCTGTTCTAATTAATTCACGAGGGTTCTGGAAGCTTCTAGCAGAAGGTTCATGATGTTTGGGTTATTCCTTCAGAGAAGCTGAGTACAGCTGGCTTAAACTGGTTTTGTTATCTCTTCCTGTCAAGGTCATGCTGACTATAATAGTAAGGCCAGAAGGAACCTGGGTTTCACTCTCTTTCTATCTCTCTTTCCTTCTGGTGTGATGTTCTCTATACAGTATGCTTAGTGTTAAGTTTTAGTCTTCTTACAAGTTATTGTAAGTTTAAGTCTGCTGCAACTGGATTTCTTATGGACAGTGCCAATGCTGAATGTATTGGATTTGTGACCATTTTGCTCATTTGCCTTCAGTTGCTGGATGAAATACAATTGCCTCAGGTCTATTTTTTGGGAATCCTGCAACATGTTTAAGTTTTTACTCTGCTAACTATACATTGGAGTACTTCTCTGGATCAATTTGAGTAGAGCTCCATGACAGTTTCTGTCTGGGTGGAATGTGTCCTTCAACTCTGATAATGCCTCTTGCATGTCCTGGATGAGGAAAGTGAAGGGTGTGTGATTCTTTGCAGAAACTTACCTACCATGCAAAAGTAACATTGACATTTGTTGCTTCATCAACTTTTGTCTCTGGCCTTGCCCACCACTAACATGCGGTCTTTGGAAGGTTACCCAGCCCTGACATATGCACACCCTTGTGGTCTTAAGGTTCTTGCATAGTCTGTTTTTAGAGCTGGAATTAGAGCTGAAGACCATAATTATCCCAAGAAATAAGTCTGTGTGCTGTGTAAATGGCCAGGCAGGAACCAGACACAATGGATGTCCAAATTAACTTCAGGTTCTTCCCAGTTTGTGTTATGAGCCATCTAGGCAGGACCAGCACAAGGGGTACACATAAACTTGACTTGCAGGTATGATAAGCTACCATCTACACCGCAGGGCTGTGTGCTTCTCACATAAACCTCTGCCCATATTTGCAAAAGGAAGGATGGCAGGCAACACAGACCACTGGGTTTGATTCAGACCGAATGATGTGACTTCAGTAACAAACCATTTTTTCTCACAGACCATTCAGAGACTACCCAATATGACTCATGGAGTCTAATCTACTTCTTTCCCCATCCCGATTCACTATTAGGACATTTCAAAAAGGCTATACAGAAGTGGGTGCAATTTGAAGACATAGTAACCCCTCCAGAGAGAATAAATCCTGTTGAATTACAGGCATATACCCTAAAATGTCACACACACACACACACACACACACACACACACACAAAATGAACAGCTTCTGACTTTTTTGGGGGCCAGAAGTGGATGAAATTTGCAGGCAGTATCTCCCATTTTAAGAGCATTAATTCCGACATATTTCACAGCCCTGTAGTAGCTTTCCTGAAAGAACAGCTGTTACAGGATCGGGGTATGTGTGTCTTCTAATTCAAGATATGGCATAAGCTTTCATGGGCTACAGTCCGCAATTAGGTTGGAACAAGAAACTGCTGAGCTACAATACATCAGAGGGCACCAAACCCTTTTACCCTCATGGACTGATTTGCAAACCTCGGCAGCACTTTGTTTTGTCTCAAATGGCAAAACGGGATGCTCTCCCTCTGGTGTTATCATCAAGTGTTTGGGGAATTATCTCAGTTAATTCACCCTCTCTTCATCCAGATTTGCTTGTGTGATGTTGATATGTCTTCCCTAACTATTCATTCATCGCAGATTTTTCAATGTGCTTCCCTGTCGCTTTCCCAACTGCAAAAATTCTGTTTTTTGTTTTTTAAAAAAGCCTTGTTGCACTAGGGAGACAGAGCCTTTGACTCCAATTTAACTGTGCACACTGAAAGTTCTGGTATACATCCCTGGAGCTGATGCAAATTTCAGAGGGTTCAAACATTTTACATGGAATGAGAGCCAGTGCAGTGTAGTGGTTAGAATGTTGAGCTAGAACTTTGGAGACCAGGCTTCAAATCCTCACTTGACCATGAAGCTCCCTAGATGACCTTGGACCAGTCACTACCTTTCCATCTAACAAACCTCACAGTGTTGTGGGGAATAATTGAGGGGGGGAAGAATGGTGTACATTACATTGAGCTCCTTGGGGGGCAAGGTGGGATACAAATGCCCCACTTTGGACAAAAAGATTCCTGCAACACAGGGTGTTTGGCTAGCTGATCCTTGTGGTCCCTCCCAACTCTATGATTCTAAATGCAACAAACAAACAAACAAACAGCACCACCTTGTACTTTGCACCAGACATCAAGATTTCTTGGGCTGGCTGTGCAGCCTACCTTAAAAAAAGAAGTAATAAAAGAATCACAGAATCATAGAGTTGGAAGGCACTGTGAAAGTCATCTGGTCCAACCCCCTGCAATGCAGGAATCTTTTTGCCCAACGCAGGACTCGAACCCTTGACTGTGAGATTAAGAGTCTCATGCTCTACCAACTGGAGAAGATACACACTTCTAATTTCACAAAGTAGCTGCTGATTTGATATTTATTTGTCTGTTTTTAAAGCCTTCCACTTTTCCATTGAAATACATGACCAGCCTGCATGAAAACCTTAAAACCCATTGAAGGGTTTATTAGTGGTCGATGCAAAGGACCAAACTGAAGGACTGGCTCTGTCTATGCGAAATATGCAACTGTTTATAAATACCATGATTCATCTCATTAAAGCCACTGTGAGAGGAAGCTGCCTCACACAGAGTCAGACCATTGGTCCATCTAGTGTCGTTCTGTCTACATTGTTGTCTGATCCCACACTCCATTTTAAGACTTTTAGCAGAAGCAGACAAAGGTGGCTTGCATAATCCTAGCCTTCCCTTCCCCTTCAGCCCCCACTCTTGCATTTTTACTTTCTAACCTGGTGGGGAGTTTGGGCAAATTCACAACTTTTTTGTAACATTTTGTTTGATTTAATAAGAGTTTTTATTTAAAATAGTTTTGGGGTTGTAATGTGAGAAGGAAAGCTCCATTGACAGAGCACAAATTCTGTTCCTTAATAGTTGAATACAATCCATTAAAACTAATTAACTTTTTTACAAAGAAAAGAATTCCAAATTATTCAGATATTATTTTTCAGCCAATTGAGTAAGGTTTCAATAGATCCATCAGTTAAACTCCAATGTTTTTCAACCCTAAATGAAAATGTTGCTATTGGCTTTGAATGGAGAGAATTTTGTCCAGGAATTTCCACCATCACTGCCCTAGTTCATTTAAATTTTAGAGCAACAATTTCTTCACTTCTGGTAATTAAAGGTTGATTTTTTTTCCAAGGTATTTCAAATAAGAGAGGTTTCCAGGAAAAACAGATGACAATAGCATGAAATCAATAAAGAATCTTTTGCTTCAAATCTGGCAGAAGATGCATGGAGCCCATTCATACATATCCCAAGCCTAGGGAGAGTTGCACATTTCTGTAGTGCAGCATTTGTTGACGTGATGAATGTGCCTTCCTCCATTTACATCCCTGCAGTCATAGGCACAGCCTGCTGTAGTATAAAGGAGAACAGATTCTGGAAAGGAAGAGAAAAATCAGTGAGCCCCCTGTAAGAAGGCAGACTTCCTATCTAGTTCCTATTAGTTGCCTGCTTATATGTCCAACTGAAAATCTGGGACAGGACCAGACTAATACATTTTGCCACCTATGGTAAATGACAAAATTCAGCACCCTCAAAATTCAGAGGTGGACTGCCCCTGAACCTGGGGGGGGGGGTCAATTTCTTTCCCTCTGGCTCTCCAGGCTCAGAGAACAAAGTTGGCTGGGAGAGGTGGGGTGGCTGCATGTGCACCCACAGGAGCACAGCACTGCCTAGCCAGACACACAAGCAAGTGGCTTGGCTGCCTGGCTGACGGGGGCCTCCAGGTGCCAGATTGGCACTTATTCGCTCACCTGCACACCCACTGGCCTCCATCCTTTAAAGCCCTATACGGCCTAGGACCCTCGTACCTACGGGACCGCCTCTCCTGGTATGTCCCACAGAGGAACTTACGATCTTCAAACAAAAACATCCTGAAGGTCCCAGGCCTCAGAGAGGTTAGGCTGGCCTCAACTAGAGCCAGGGCTTTTTTGGCTGTGGCTCTGATCTGGTGGAATGCTCTGTCACAAGAGACTAGGGCGCTGAGGGACTTGACATCTTTCCGCAGGGCCTGCAAGACAGAGCTGTTCCACCAGGCCTTTGGCCAGGGCACAGTCTGACCCCCTCCTTGGCAATCTTCACAGAACTCTAGCCCAATGGTTGCCATCAATTTGATTTGAATTAATTTTATAAGGAAATTATTTTAGAATGTTGTACTATTTTATTGTTGTTAGCCGCTCTGAGCCCGGCTTCGGCTGGGGAGGGCGGGATATAAATAAAATTTATTTTTATTATTATTATTATTATTATTATCCCTCCATTGGTCAGTCCGCCTCGGAGAGCTTTGTGCCCTTGCCCAGGCCTCACCTACCATCCCACCTGTCTCACCATGGCAGCCTCTTGTCTCCCTCTCTCATTACATTAGACTTCATGGACATCTAATGAAGCTGGAAGATACAGGACAGATAAAAGAATGCACTTCTCCACACAGCGCATAGGTGAACTGTGGAACAATGTCCCACAGGAGGCAGTGATGGTCACCAACTTGGATGGCTTTAACAGAGAACTGGACAAATTCGTGGAAGAGAAGGCTGACACTGGCTACTATCCATGATGGCTTTGCCAAGGTTGGAGACAACCATGGTTCTGAATGTCAATTCTTGGAAACCATGGAGGGCAGGGTGCTCTTCTGCTGAGGTCCTGCTTGTGGGTTTCCTACAGGCATCTGGTTGGCCAAGCGAGATGAGCCAGTGGCCTGATTCAGAAGGATCTTCTTACGTTCTCATGGCAACTGTGGGCAGCAGTGGATGTTGAAAGAAGAAGACCTGTTGTTGTGGGCATGACTAAAAAAATGCTGGCCCACTCCAGTCTCTGCAGCAGGAATGGGAACCTGTGGCTGCCCAGATGCTTCTGGACTACATCTCCCATCATGCCTGAGCACTGGCCATGCTGGCTGGGAGTGATGGGAGTTGGAGTCCAACAATGTCTGGAGGACAACAGATTCCCCATCCTTGGTATTGAGCAAGGGGCACATTTATTCACTATCTTTTTAAGAATTCCTTTCTGGACAGTACAAATAAATAGATACACAGAGTCCCAAAGCAAGCCCCATTAGGACCAAGAATCACACACCTTACCTGTAAAAAGCTTCTGCCGGAAGCAGGACTCCCTAGATTGTGCTATACAGGGAGGCTTTGGTGAAGGACAGGTGCCATTCTTAAGTTCAAACAAACAGGTGTAGCATTTGAGGCTGTTGACTGGAGAGGAGGGTAGATAAATACAGAGTTGGGAAACAGCATGGCATATGTTTGCCTGATGACCCATCAGTTGACAAATGAAACTGTAATCAACAGTGGTCATGATGTGCAGACATGCTTTGAACAGTTGCTGATTTCTTCATTGCCTGCAGCTCTTAAAGCAAAGGGAGGGGAGGTTTTTTGGCTTGGTGGGTCAGTTCTTTATCTCCAACACCACCTCCATGGGCCAACTTTTACAGGTGGTGGGACCACCCATGTCATCATGACACCAGGAGATTTACAGGTGAGTGGACAGAGAGTGCAGTGGATGGACAACCTCAAAGTTAGACAGCAGTGGCACCGTGGAACCTACTACACCTAAATCTCCTACTTTCAGTCCTGCTTTCTGCAAGAATTGACTACCCCCATCAACCCTCGCCCAATGGAGTGACACCACCTGACAGACAGATGGGTGTGGTTTTCACAAAAATGGTCTTGCATGGCAAACTGGAATACTTGGTGGGCGGGTGGGCCAGTGGGCCAAAGGCTCTGCAGCTTGAGGGGCAGCTTGGACAGTTAACTCTCCTGAAGCAGGTCTACTGTCCCAGTCACTTTGATTTTAGTCTTTGATATAAAAAAATGTTAGGATCAGTGCCTTGTCCAACAGAAGCTTTCTACCCCAGGAATTGAGACCCTGCAGCCCTTAAGATGCTGCTGATCTCAAACTCCCATCATGCATGATCACTGGCCCTGCTGGCTGAGACTGACGGGAGTCCAACAACATCTGGAGGGCCACAGGTTGCCCAACTCTGGGGTCCCCTAATCCAGCAAAGCCCAACAATTCCTCATTTAGTTTGATAGGAGTCCAGTAAGCTGCCTTATAGGAAATAGGTCCATTGGCTGATCAAGCATAGTATCACCTTTCTAAGCAGTTTTTGACCTTTTCTTGCCCAGGACCAGATATATTTTTTTCCAGTCAGAGCTCAGCTCCAGCACTTCTCAGAAAACAAGGGAGAAGTTAATGGTGAGCTCCAGAACCTCTTTTTCTAGAAAAATAGCACCTCCCATGACCAACCTTGAATGCAAACATGCATTTGGGGACCAATATTCTATCCAATATATATTTTATGGTGGAAGTGCTGCTGCAACCCACCTTTGATTAAACTGAGACTTTAATACAATTATACTGAACTGCATTTTTTAAAATTTCCCTCTGACCTTATTGCTAACATTCTTTTCCTCCTGTGCAGATAATAATTTTCCATCCATCCAATTGAGTGGACACAGTTCTGCAGAACCTGATGCCAAAATAAGTCAACATGTCATTAAGGTGCCACAAGTCTGTTTTTGTTGCAACAGGCTAACATAGCACGCCCTCTGGAAACTGCTATGCTCTTGGTGTGCTTTCACAAAGTAGATAGTTCCTTTCTATGGGGTGATCAGCAAAAACTAAAGCTGGCTTGTGGGTCCAGGATGAGCTCAGTTCCTTGCATATATTAGAACTACTCACCTCTGCTTTCCAGTCTCCAGCAAGTTGTATGTTGAGCAGCTCAACCCAAAACAACCCCATCAGTTAAAAACAGGAATCATACCTTCCAGACAAGCATACGTACAAGCATAAAGAATATGGTCAGCTAAGGACTCTGAAGTTGCTGGTGGTGCCTGTTTAGAAACCTACCCATTGAAAAGGCAAGCAGGATCCATAACCCGACTGACAAAAGCTTGTTCATGCTGTGAATTGGAACTCTCGCACCAGGTTTGTTCTGGATATTTAGCCAGGATGCTTATGAAGGGCTGACCTGGAGCAGTGTACAAAGATCCATTAAACATTAACACAGGTACAACAATCCCTTTCTAAAGATCAAAGGAGGGGCAACAGGAATGGTTAGTCTCTGAAACAAATGGCTCTTGTTTTTGTGAAGGGCTGTCAACTTTTCAACTGACCCCTGCAACTGTGCAGTTAACAGCACAGTGTAATGAGCTGGGATTGGTGCATTTAAGTAGATGTAGGTGAGAAGAGTTGGCTTTTAGGGGAGTGCATGGGGTTCCATGCAAGTGAATGAGTGGGCTGCTCCAGGAGGAACACAACTCTTCACCCCTCTAGACCCCTAGTGGTTGATTGATTCAGGCTAGTAACTTTTATTGGCTTACTTACAACTTGGTACCCAAGGGGCAGGCCACCCATCACTAGCTTTCAAAACTAGCAGCTAAAAACAGTAGCCACCACAGTGCCCTTCAAAAGTTCAAGCTCTCATCATCCCCAACCATTGACTATACTGACTGGAGCTGATGGGGACTGAACTCCAGCAACATCTGGAGGGCATCACTTTGGGTACCAAAGTAGAAACATCCTAATTAGAAAATGCCTGGTGTGCAGACATTCTTTGCCTATCATGCCTCTCTTTCCAGAACAACCATGACGGAGACGAGCTTCCATAAATTTCCCGTCCATTGACTTTGTTTTTAACATTATTAAAATATTACCGGATGTGTCCAATACTAGTCCTACTCAGAGCCCCTGGAAGTAAGAAACATGACAAACTTAGGTCTGTTCATTTCAATGGGTCTACTCTGAGTAGAAGTGAGTTGTATACAATATATAGAATTCTGATTTCCTTGAAGAACATTGTTTGAAACATGGGTGCATTGGACATTACACACACACACACACACACACCCATGGGCCCTTGGGAACTTCTCCTTTGTGCAGTTGTTGTGTGATGTGGTTTCACACAGAGGCATTTTCTCTTTCCAAAAAAAAATCATCATTGTGGAAAGGAGCTGAAGCGACAACTATATTCAGGATGTAGAATGAAAGGAACGGTTTGTGCAACTAATTTTTTTGGCACAAAACCTGCCAGTGTTTTGGAACTAGCTGGCAACGAATTGTGCTTGGTGGAGGCAGTGGTCTGCTTTTCATGGATCTGTCAATTTTAGTTTCTCATTTTCCCTCCTTATGTTCAGTTCATCACATCTCTCCATCTATGCCATTTCTGCATAGTCCTTTGCTTTCAGAAGCCACTCCTCCTTCACTGGAACCTTCTCTTCTTTCCATTTCTGTGCATATGATATCCTAGCTGCTGTTGTCATATACATAAATAGTAAGGGGATGTGAGTTTCATCCGCGGTGTAACACCGAGGATGAGGTTGAAAGAGTGTGAGTTTTGGTATAATCTTCATTGCTTTTGTTCTGTGGGAGTCACCAAAAGGACAGGCCTGGGAGGATCTGAGCTTGTGTTCAAGAACAAACAACACAGACAGTTGCTTATTGATTCTGATCAAAGCCCCATCTAAGACCAAAACACTCTGTTTACCTACACACCAGGTGAGAGCCCACAGCCTTATGTTTTGCAGGCTAACTTTTATCTTGACAAAAAAAAAAAGGAGGATGGGGAAAAGGAGGACGTCAAAAGTGTTGAACTGGAAGGACAGTATGGTGTCTCTTGAATGTGTGCAAAAGAGAGAAATGGAGGTGTGTGTGTGTGTGTGTGTGTGTGTGTGAGAGAGAGAGAGAGAGAGAGAGAGAGAGAGAAGTACCGTATGTATTTTTGGTCTGTGTGTTTACTTGGTTGTCCTGCTTGTTGAGGTGTAGTGGAGGAGATTGTGATGGGGGAACAGAACCAGGTCACAATGCCACCCACCCAAATAAGGGGCAAGCAGAATTCACCCTATATAATATCAATGCTTGCACATGAAAAGAGAGGGAAAGATGGAAGAGTGTACATGCTGTCTGTGTGCATGAGAGAGAGAAAGAGGCAGGGAGAGGCATAAGTGTGTGTGTGTGTGTGTGTCTTCACCTGACCTGATCATCAAGGGGGAAGGAGAAAGTGGGGTAGGAGAGCTGAAAATAATGTCTATTATGGATAACAGCAACAACTGACAAAAGATAGACATAATATATTACAAGGACAGGAAGAAACATCATGGACAGAATAATTGCCACACACAAGAAGAACAAAGAGAGAGTTTGAATGCTTCACCTGTAGGACAATAAATAAATTAATGAGTTAATGCGAATGGAAGTCGTTAAAATTGCAGTTGGATATAAGAGCTTGTTATTCTGACTGAAGTGAAATGGAAATTTATAAGAATGCAGAAATAAAGTAAATCATCAAACCATCCATTCTAGCACACGGAGGGGCCACGTAAATTGTATAATTTGGCTTTTGAATGATTGGCATTATTAATGGTATTATAATTCGCCATTGTTATAATGAGGCTTTTATTGGATTGTTGTAACTGAAAACTAATAAAAAATATTTTAAAAAAGAAAATAATGCCAATAGTGTTGGATCACTCCATCAACCTCCGATGGATGATTTAGAAGGATTGGGTCCAGCATCACTTTCGCTGCCCATGTGTGCCAGTAGCTATACTCAGCAAAGTTACATCTCAACGCAGCTCCTTCCTTGGAAGCGTCTTCGGGGTTGAAGCTACACACAGTAGGCAATAAACACTCATGGACACCATAAAGATTCAGTCAAGTGTGGAGGTTACTTGACAGGTATAAAAGCATATTGGTAGCAACTATATACAGACATTCACCACTGCCATGGTCAAGGCATGCTTAGAGTCCAACAAGAGTCCAAGACTCTCTCTCTCTGCTTCTCTCACGGCAAGGTGCAAGCAAGAGACTCACAACAAGTTACACGGAACCATTGTTATCATTACTTCCTGTCACACTCCACATGTCCAAAGAACAGTTCCCACAGAAAATGTCCTTGCATAGACAAAACAATCTCAGCCTTCTGCTGCCTCTTGAAACTTCTTTTCTGTTCTTCTCTGTTTCTGGGACAAACGATTCTCTCTCACACAGAAAGAATATCCAACAAATATATCTAAGTGCCCTGTGCACAGTAGAAATTGCATGGGCAACAAGACTCGTACAGCATACAAAGAATTCTATGGTGTTTTGTCTAAGATCACGTGCAACACCACTTGTAGGCGGCACATAATCTCTGTACAGACAATCAGTTGAATGCGCAGAGGCTGGGACTAAGCAGAGCAGGAGCAACCTCAATTCCTTCCCCCTTCATGCATGCGCCAAATGACTCAAAGGGATTAGATGTTCTGCATCAGCTGATCACAATGATATGCTCGTAGCTTTTCATCCAAGCAAAACTAAAAGGTATGTCCTCTGTGGACCAATCACAGGCTCACCTCACACCTGATCCTCAGAGGTGGAGATAAATTCAAGTTGTACTCTCCTCACACGCAGTGCTGACATGAAGGCAGAAGGGGCAGCATGAATAGGCTTCTGAATATCGTGTTCTGGGTGTTGCTATCCATTGAGTTGGGTAAGTCTGTGATGGGCCAACATGTCCATTTTGGTTTCTCTCCATTTCTTCACCACCCACTACCCACCCCAGTATTAATTTCAGTTCTCTGCATTTCTCCATCAGCGTATACCTGATTCCAATGTTGTTACAGGAGCTCGAATAAGCTTTGCACCAGTTGCAGCTGAGGGAGCATGTTCAGAATGGCATATCAAGAAAATGGGTCATCTTCTGCTCATGTAATCATTTTGTTGCTACCAGAGCCCTACATAGTTCTGTGTTACTGCTGAATTACCTTCAAATGGTTATAGCATTAAAGATGACTAATGTGTATTAAATTTCCATGCCACAACTGTGAAGCTTCTCTTGTGGATGTGTGATTCAAGTGAGGACGGGGTTCATTTCTGGTTCCAAGGCCTGGTATAGTCAATTATTTAATTTTTATTATTTAGTTTGACTTTTTCATGGAGGCAAAGATAGAGGCAAAACCAGTTGATTTTATTGGATGCAAATTTGGAAGTAAATAGGGAGAGGTGCGGACTGGATTTTCACCAATGAAAAGTGAAATTTCAGGTATGTTAGGGGCTCTGCACCTTCTTTGCTTCATTCACTGACCCTGCTTAACTCCACACTCTGCCCTACCCCCTTGTCAACCCCCTACCCTTTGCACCTCACCCAACCTCTTTGCTTGGCCACCCCTCTTTCCACTCCCACTTCTGCAACCTCACCACTCACCAACCCCCCACCCTTCCCACCATCCTTGCCAAATTCCCCTTACGTCTTGGCCAAACTGCATCCCTTCCCCCTAGACCTCCCCCCAACCCCTGCTCATGCTGCCTGCCTCACACCACTGCCATTTTGGGGGCTTTAAATGCAAACTGAACTGCATCTCTACCCCATCCCTTCAAGCGGATTATTTTTGTATGTTAAGCCTGTTTTACAACCCACATGTAACGGAGTAACACCCACCACAGGCAAGCAGGTAGAAAAGGAACAGTGCCCTCTTGTCCTCTGGGACCAGGTCAGTTTAGCAGCTGATTCTCTTTCAAAGTTCATAGTTCACTTCCTGGTTCCTCTTCCCCTAGTTGCTGGCATCAAGTGCTCCCAGTGTGCATATCAGCTCCCAGGTAAAGGGTGCGAGAAATGGAGACGTCCGTGCAGACTGCACTCAGGGGAGTCATGCTACAAGCAGATGGTTTATTTTGGTAAGTGATTATGGTTACTCACGACTCAGATCCTGTAATATATCCCAGGACCACGTAAGCCCTTGCAGCTTGATTACTCAGATCATCGGAAGGAGCACTGCTAGTTGTCCCCATGTTACAGAGGCCCAGCTGGCCTCCACTAGAAGCCAGGCATTTAGTGTCACTGGTCCCTTGCTCTTCTAACAGAGATGTGGCAGCTGCCCTAGCTCTTGATTTTCCAGTGTCTCTTGAAGACCTTTTTATGCAGACAGGCCTATGCGACTGTTTAACTTTTTTTTCCAAACCAGTCTTTTTAACAATAATTTCCTATGGTTTTTATGGTGTTTTATTTTATTGCATGTACGCCACCACGCCCTATTGCATTAATTGGTGGTATACCCAGTGCTATTGTAAATAAATAACCAAGAAAGAAGCCTTTCTCGGAGCATATAAATGGGTTTTCTCCACATCAACACAAGGCAACCACAGCCAACTTCTACAGCAATTAATGGACAAAGCTCCCAGAATTATCACACAGGTAGGTAGAAATGGATTTTATGGAGTGCTATTGAGTAATCCAGTGCATTCTACAAAGCAATCCTACAGAGTGTGGGAGGGAGGTGGAGACTCATGGTGGAGCCATCACCATTTCTTAAGCCAGGGGAGAAGAAATGTGTGTTGGGTTGGGGGGGTGATTGTTTTTCATTTTTATCTTTGGTTCTCTTCCATGACTTCTAATAGGAGTGAATTAACTCAAGCTCTCAGGCTGGCAGAGTTTCTGGCTCTGTTCTGGGGCATGTTGGGGGAATGAGGGAGACTCAGAGCTGAGATTCTCTTGGAACTCCAGCCTGCAATAGAAATCCATATTCAAGAATCCATGCAGAGCCAAGCACCTGGGGGTGGCACCTAGACTGCTGGGTGGAGCAATAAGTAAAGGAGTGGGACCTTAGGGAGTGGTGAAAATGATCAACTTCACAGTGTACACTGTTCTTGTTCACTCTCTCATTAAATGCAACCTGTTGTCCATGTTTTCCAAGACAAGTGACTAGAGGGTGGAGAATTTATAGGGCAAAGAAGAGTGGTAACAAGGTGGGCTGCTGTGATGCAGTTCCTGATAACAGTAGGCCAATCCTACCAATCAGGGTTGCCAACCACTCATTAAAAAAACGAGTCTTATCCGCTCATGTTGTCTTAGCAGCACTCTGCTCTGCAGAAATTTATAGACGAAATGTTTCACTGCGCAGATATGAGAATGATGATTGGTTAATTAATTAACCAATCACTTTCCACACATATCTCAAGGTGATATATAAAATTAAATAAAAATAGGTATATGATCAGCTGAATGCCTGCAGACCATGAGATTCTTAAAGGCAGAGAAACAGAGGATACTCAATGTTGGCAACCCTACTACCAGGTTTTTGCCTCTGAAACAATGGTACAATGATGGCAATATCTATGGTATAATCCTATGTTATCTAGAAGAATTCACTTGTAGATGTGTGATTGACATCAAAGCATTTGATCAGAAGGAAGGGGAAGGAGTTTGCCAGTACCTGGATACACCCTTATATTTCTTCCTTTACAGGACGGACTCCTCTCCATACCATCAAGGGCTGCTCTTCAGCTTGCATAAATGTATTGACACCAATGAAGCCTAAGACAGTGAGTGAAGTCTATACTTGCTGCTCTGATCGAAATTTCTGTAACCACTAAGGCACAGTAGTGGTGTTTCAGTGTCAGTGGAGAGCATCATAGATTCTGCTTTCTGGGTGAAATTTCAAGGGCTGGAAGCTACTGCATGTCTCTTTTCTACAGATACCTCTTCCTCTTAAGGCTAGGCTAGATGAGATCGAATGTTTGGTTTTTTCATGCCCTCAGTATCCAAAAATACAAAATTGTAACTATTTCCAACCACAGTTCATGTTTTAAAAATAAATGCTCAGGCTATCAAAAGTGCCTATTTCCACCCACTTTAAGGAAATATTTAAATTACATGATGCTGGGGAAACAATTTTTCCCTATCTCATAATACTAAAACCAGGGCAATCCAATGATGCTGAATTTTGGAAGATTTGGGGCAGGGAAAAGGTCCTTCTTCACACAGTGCATAGTTCAATGTATGAAAGTCTCTCTCAAATAATGCAAAAATGGTCACCAACTTAGATGGCCACAAACAGGGAGCAGCTGTGGAAAAGGCCTTCTCTCATGTTGCTACCCTCTGGACCTCTCATGGAGGCAGCACATGAGAAAGGGCCTCAGATGATGATTGTAGGGTCTGGGTGGTCCTTTAATTTCTCTCCTATGTCTAGCTTCCAAAGCAAATTTTTGTCAGTTTATTTCAATTGCAGATTAATATAGAAATGGTGCTGAAATGATTTATAAGTAGCATGGACCAGAAACAGTCTGATTACTCATCCCTGCATCTAGCTTTGTATTGCATACATCAACTAGCAATAACTTTCTATGGTCACCATCAAGGCTGACCCTACCGTTGGGCACTCTGAGGAGGCTGCTTTAGCTGGCAGATGGTGAGGGGGCAGAATAAATCCAAACTAAAATGCTGGTGAATTTTCACTGTTTGGAAGAAGGGAATGTGGCCTCTGGGTTGACAAGGGTTCCCCATCCTTGGAAGGGGGTATCACCTTGTTCTTTTCCTCAGGTAGCAAAATGTCTTGGGTCATCTCTGGGCTCCATACTATCTCTGAACCTGGAGGTCTTCTTTAGCTGCCACGACTAACAACCATGGATAGGCCACTCCTCCATAAATTTCTCTGATCCCCCTTTGAAGCTGTATAAAGCCATCTACGTTAATGAGTTACTGAGTCATTCAACCCTGAGAGATGTCAATCTGACATTTTAATGAATGCCTACAGCTAAGGTGGTTTGATACTTATGCGTAAGCATTGGGTAGGCACTGCAACACATTTTCCCCATTGATTCCCCCACCCAGCAAACAAGCACATCTTCATACTGCAGCAGAAAGGAATGTAGGGATACCTGTTAGATCATCTCAGGGTGAAAAAAAACCATTCTGCGTTTCCAGCTGTACCAACAGATGGTACATCAAAAAAGAACATCAATGCTTGGAACAAATCCACCTCAATCCGCCTACTGTGTCCAAGTTTGTTAATAAACCAAGGGACTTGCAATAGATATGGATTGCCTTTTAAGAGGAGCTCCAGAACCTGTTCCATTTCAGTGTGAATAGATTAAAAGCCATTGATAATCCCTAAACTATTAATTAATGGTGCTGGAGGAGACCCTTGAGAGTCCCATGGACTGCAAGAAGATGAAACCTATCCATTCTTAAGGAAATCAGCCCTGAGTGCTCACTGGAAGGACGGATTGTGAAGCTGAGGCTCCAATACTTTGGCCACCTCATGAGAAGAGAAGACTCCCTGGAAAAGGCCCTGATGTTGGGAAAGATTGAGGGCACAAGGAAAAGGGGACGACAGAGGACGAGATGGTTGGACAGTGTTCTCAAAGCTACCAACAGGAGCTTGACCAAACTGCAGGAGGCAGTGGAAGACAGGAGTGCCTGGCATGCTCTGGTCCATGGGGTCACAAAAAGTTGGACACGCTAAACAACTAAACAACAACAACAAACCATTAATAGCAAATGATAGATCTAAGCACCATGAATTTGTCTAGTCTCCAGTCAAAGCCATGTGAACCGGCGAGTTATCAGCCACAATGGGTTATGATTTCAGTTGCTTTGCACTGTAGTAGCATCCAAATATTTGTCCTTGAGGGTTTCCAGGGGCAACCAACAAATGAGAGAAAGAATGAAACATTTGTGGTCCTTTTAGCTATCAAATGCAATAGGAAAATAAGGTGTTAGGAGCTTTAATGTTCATTAAGTTGGGAGTTTCTACAGGTCCAGTTTTTCCAGACAGACATGGGGTCCCTCCAGACAGGTGTTTTATTGAGGATGTATTCTGCAACATGTTATTGACACAATAATAGTACAACAGTGGTAGATTTATTCTGCTTTGTCCTGTGATGCTTCCCTGATCTTGCCACATTACTGCTGCTCAGAGGGGTTATAGTACAATAAAAGTGTGTGGTTCTGTGGGGGGGGAAATAAACCAGAACTTTTGTGGTATAAAAAGTTATGGAATTTCAGCACGAGCTTATAAGATAGGAACTGATTGGAAATGAAACAGTGGGGCCACCCCAAAACTATAGCCACAAAGAGTATTGAAAGTGAGATGTATAACCAACCTGATACCATCATTAAAGCACAATAAAAAACACATCCAAATGGATTCATAAACATTCAGCATTGTGATATCACAACATACACCTGAGTTCTCTGCACAATCAAAATCTGGGTGGTGGATGGAAGCAGTAAAAAAAAATGGGGGGGAGCAATGAATTGATGAAACATTTTTTTAAAATCCAGGATATGGACAAGAAAGGTTTGCTCCAAAATCCTCGCCTAAGTCTAGATAGGATAGAATGAAAATCACAATCCATGTCCCTTCTCCTGTTGCTCACCTACCCATCTGATGGTCTGTGCTCAGTATAAATTGCATGGGCACCATGACTCATACATCATACAAAGACTTCTAGGGAACCGACACTCTTGTATTGCTTCTTGGTGTTTTAGCTAAGATCACGTGTAATATCACTTGTAGGTGCCACATAATCTCTGTACAGGCAGGCAGTCGAATATTCAGAGGCTGGGACTGGGCAGAGCAATTCCAACCCCTTCCCCCTTCATGCATGCACCTAATGACTCAAAAGGATAAAACGTTCTGATCACAAGGATGCGTCGGGGGTTTTTCATTCAAGCAAAACTAAAAGGTGTGTCCTCCAGAAACGAATCACAGGCTCACCTCACATCTGATCGTCAGAGGTGGAGATAAATTCAGATTCCAGCTGCACCCTCCTTGCACATAGTGTTGACGAAGATAGAAAACAGAACATGAATAGCCTTCTGTATCTCGGGTTCTGGCTGCTGCTGTCTGTTGAGATAGGTAAGTCTCTGGTGGGTAAGTTTCTGATTTTTTTTCTAGTCTTAAATTCAGTTCTCTATATTTCTGCATCAGTCTGTGATGGTTGCTGCTGTTGTCAAAAAGCCATTGTGAAAGTTTACAGAATGTTAGCCTGCATGTATCTCAATGTACGCATACAAACTTTTGCATGATATTGTCGCTAATGTACATACATTCCCCAAAGTCTAGGGCCAATTGAGTGTGTGTGCAAAGATCAATATAGATTACTGGTTAAGTAGGTAGGTAGGTAGGTAGGTAGGTAGGTAGGTAGGTATATAGTCTCATTTTAACCAGCAAGGCTGTTGTGTGTTCACCTGCTAAATGTACAGCTGTCCTGTAGAGGAGAATGAAATGATGAAGTAAGCTGCTTAAACAGCCACCCACTCAGGACCAACTTTTAGGCTTCTACGATCTGGAGAAAATTATCAAAGGGCCCTGCAGGTTTGGGATCAAGACAGGAAGTTTCCCCTCTCCTGCACCCTGTGTCTATAAGGAGTGTAGTCAATTCCCCCCATTTAGAGCAGGAGGAGGTGGAAGACACAGCTGCAGAGAAAGGATCCTGGACAGAGATTCTGTGCTCCTCTGCCCGTTCTCTCCCCAAGGCACTTTGATATGCGTTTAGAGGTTAGTGAGTTGGAGGTTTGCTCATTAACTCTGCTGTCTTTCTTTCTTTGTGGCTTACCAAGAATGGGCTGACATTGCAAGCAAACATTTTGAAAAGCAAGGAGTGAATTGGCTCTGATGGATTGTTAACAGGTTGGGTGATTTTTGCACCTTTCACCTGTTGATCTTGGCATCTTTGCTTTTCTCTAGTTGTCAGCATCAGATGTGCTCACTGTCATTTTCAGCATCCGAAAGGTATCTGCCTTGAGCGGAAACGTCCTTGCAGATTGCACGTGGGGAAGTCTTGCTACAAACAGACCATCTACTTTGGTATGTAATGACAGGACCACAGAATGATAGACTCATCGCATTGTAGAGGTGGGACCCTAAAAGTCATCTAGCCCAACCCCTGCAATGCAGGCAACACAGCTAAAGAATCCCAGACAGATGGCCACCCCAACGTCAGTTTAAAAACCTCCAGTGATTGAGGGTCCACCACCATCCAAGGGAGTTCATTCCACTGTCAGACAGTTCTTGGCATCAGAAAGTTCTTCCTATTGTTAAGTCAGAACCTTCTTTCTTGACATTTGAATCCATTTGGTTTGGGTCCTACCCTCTGGAGCAGCCATTTAGATCTTTGAATAGTTACCAAATTGGAAACTGCTTTACACTGAATCATACTATTGGTCCAGCTGGCTCAATCTCCTGGTAGACCTTACGGTCTTCAAATAAAAACATCTTGGAGATCCTGGGCCACAGGGAGGTTAGGCTGGCCTCAACCAGAGCCAGGGCTTTTTCGGCTGTGGCCCTGATCTGGTGGAACGCTCTGTCACAAGAGACTAGGGCCCTGCGGGACTTGACATCTTTCCGCAGGGCCTTCAAGACAGAGCTGTTCCACCAGGCCTTTGGCCAAGGCACAGTCTGATCCCCTCCTTCTGTAATCCTCCAAGAACTCTAGCCCAATGGTTGCCATTAATTTGACTCTGAATTGATTTTAGAATGTATTTCAATTAATTGATTGTGTTATTTTTACTGTTGTTAGCCACTCTGAGCCCAGCTTTGGCTGGGGAGGGCGGGATATAAATAAAATTTTTATTAATAATAATAATAATAATAATAATAATAATACCTGCACTGACTGGCAGTAGCTTTCCAACCTTTCAGCCAAAAGTCTCATTCCATCCTACTCAGGGATCCCAGGAATTGAACATGAGATTTATGCATGCAACACGGCTGCTCTACCACTGAACTGCAGCCTTTCCCCAGGTCAATACAGTCATTTTGAATGAATGGTCAGACATGTCACAGTGGTTCCCTTGTGTACAATTTGTGGAGAAAGTGTGCTTTGGCGCATTTGCTGTGCGCTCTTGCAATCATGGGGCAGTTGCAGTCAAGAACGTAATGGACTGGGCTTCTCAGTCCAAGAAATTACTGGACATGCTTGATGCATGCTACCTGTAAACTGTAACTTAAATGCAGGGATTAAGTGGTGGTGTGGTGCAGTCCTCTGAAGACAGGATGTCCTCTCTCCTAATCAGGGCTGCTGTCTGCTCAGAAGTAAAAATAGCAGCCTCCTCTATTCACGTTGGTTAATCACCCACTCTGTCTTGCACATGAAGATGAGAATGGTCACCTGCTAATGCTTGCATCCCATGTTGTTCAGGAGCACAGGCTGATAAAAGTGGCAACCTTACCAACTCTCCAAGCCTGAAACAATGGTACAAAAATGAGAGAGGCACTAGCTTGGTTTACTATTATCCATAGATGTCGTGGTCCCACTAATCAATCTTCTTCTACAGGAAATACTCTTCTCTTTTCCAAGAAGGGCTGCAGCACCCAATGTGTTAATGTTCAAGAAAAGCCAGCAGAGAATACCATCACCCAAACTTTCAAATGCTGCTCTAATAGAAGTTTCTGCAATCTCTAAGTGGTGTTGAGCAGCAGCAAAGCATCTGCTTTCTGAATGAAGTTTTGAGGGTTAGAAGCTTCTATAGGCCTCTTCCATGAATACCTCCCAATCGCAAGACCAAACTAGAGGCCATGATCCCTGATAAGGTCTCTCATGTTTTAAAAATTTGGCAAATAGTAGCTATACCAAGGAAGAAGAGGAGATGGAGATTCAGGTCTGTTGTAAGGAACGGCAAAGAGATTTAACACTTCTCCTGAACCCTATTTTCCAAAGGACAATCAAGATCCAGCTTCCGCCTTCAGCTGCCTCATTACCAAAAACTTTGACATACACAATCATTTGATTTATTGAGCAGAATTTGTTCACTGCTCAACTGTAAAGAAAGCCTATAAGCAGTTTATGGAGAATATAAAATTTAAGTTTGCCAGTGCATCAAATAAACAGCAAACGTCAAAGATATCCACCCTGCTTGTTTTCCACTTCTGGTATGAAAAATGCTAAACCATAAGAATTCCAAACCACAGTACATTTTTGTTTTTAAAGCTGACAATTTCCACCCACTTTACGAAAAATTTTAGTCAGTTGTGGGGAACATTTTGTCCTTCAAAGGTTGCTAGATCACAACTCCCATCATCCCTGCCCACTGGCCATGCTTGCTGGGGTTGATGAGAATTTTAGTCCAGGAGCATCTGGAGGGCCAAAGGTTCACCTTACCTGGTTTAGATTATAAGTTGCCAGGAAAGCAATCATTTGAGAAAATAGGTTCCACAAGAAATTATTTTAAATCCACTTTTCTACCTATAAGGACAAATGTTTTTGGGTTCTGCCATAGTTGATTTTTAGGGTGCTTTGCTATTTTCCCGACAGACTTTTTATATTTAACATAACCACTATTGGGAGGTAAAGCTGTAACAGGGTGTGTTGTCTTCAATAGGCAGGTTCTCAACGAAAAACAAAAAAAGTATGCCTGTCAGAAGGTCATGCCTGAAAATGACAGCGGTATCAAAATGTGGGTGTGGTGTTTTGTTTTTCAAGCAGTGAAAAGGCCAATTCCAGCACAATAGTTAGAATATTTCCTCCCATATCACCTTGCTCATGTGTGAAGATCTGCCATAAAATCCCCCAACCTGTGGTTCCATCAATAGGTAGGGATCGGGGAGTGGGGCTCCCCATGTAAGGCCTTCGCCACAGTTTCTCATCTCTAGAATAACTTCAGAGGTGAATCTACCCCCAACATGGCACTTTTCATCTGTTTGTGAAGATGCACCTCTTGGCTCAGACCTTGGCAAGAGAGGGTGAAAAATGGAGAAAGCCACACAGTTTGAACCTGTTTTTATCATCAGTCAATTTCATGCGTTTTGGGATGCGGGTGGCACTGTGGGTTAAACCACAGAGCCTAGGACTTGCTGATCAGAAACTTGCTGGTCAGCGGTTCGAATCCCCACGATGGGGTGAGCTCCCGTTGCTGGGTCCCAGCTCCTGCCAACCTAGCAGTTCGAAAGCACGTCAAAGTGCAAGTAGATAAATAGGTACCGCTCCAGTGGGAAGGTAAACGGTGTTTCCGTGCACTGCTCTGGTTCACCAGAAGCGGCTTAGTCATGCTGGCCACATGAACCGGAAACTGTACGCCGGCTCCCTCGGCAAATAAAGCGAGATGAGCGCTGCAACCCCAGAGTTGGCCACGACTGGACCTAATGGTCAGGGGTCCCTTTATCTTTACCTAATTTCATGCATTTTAAGGAGGTCTGGTGACTGGGAGTGGCAGCTGGGTTCATATAACACCGGTGCTAAATAAATCTACACTGGCTCCCAGTAAGCTCCAAAGCACAATTCTAAATGTTGGTGCTGACCTTTAAAGCCCTAAACGGCCTTTATACCTAAACAGCCCATTATACCTGAAGGAGCATCTCCACCCCCATCGTTCAGCCCCGACACTGAGGTCCAGCTCCAAGGGCCTTCTGGCAGTTCCCTCACTGCAAGAAGTGAAGTTACAGGAAACTAGAGGATCTTCTGGGCAGTGGCGCCCGCCCTGTGGAACGTCCTCCCATCAGATGTCAATGAGATAAACAACTATATAACTTTTAGAAGACATCTGAAGGCAGCCCTCTAGCAGGAAGTTTTTAATGTTTGACTTTTTTTTACATTGGAAGCTGCTCAGAATGGCTGGAGAAACCCAGCCAGATGGATGTGGTATAAATAAAATTATTATTTTAAAAATGTATTTATGGTTTTTAGTTTATCCACTTGTTTTATTGTTGTACTCCCATTCTGAAACCAGTTGGTGAACTCAGATCACATCCAGCCTCTTCCTCATTACTCACAGCAAGAGCTCCAGTGCAAGACCTGCAGAGTCTCAAGTCTCCCTGCCCCCCATCTGACAGCAAGGTTTCGAAAGGGCTTTTCCTCAAAAATATGCCCTTGTGAAATCTCTCCCTACCCCCCACCCTGCTGGCGGGGCTCTGCAAGGGCTTATTCCTGAAGCAGAAGCCCTTGTACATCCCCATGCTCCCCCACATTGCAGCTGTGGGGCATTTTGCCTCAGGCACCAAAACGTCACAGGCCACCCCTGGTATTCCTGCAAGTGTTTCCATATTTCTCTAAAAAGGCAAGTCACAAAGCTTATTCATGTTTTGGCTGTTCTGTTACTTAAAAGGGGACTGAACCATCAGTCCTCCTTTTCCAGACTTCAACCACTGTTAGGAAAAAATAAATAATGCTTGCTAAAAGCCAGCATCCTAGTAGGACCTGTTCTTTTCAGTTGCCACAGGAATTGCCATTGTTGAGGGTCAGTCTTGCCTAAATTCCAGTCAGATTAAGAAAAAAGGATGGATTCAGACTCAGGAATAATACATTATGCACATTTTATTTCTTCTGAGCTGCGCTAAATAGACCCAACTCTTCTTTCGGTTCCTGGAAAAAGGAAAAAGGAAGTGTTGGGATTTTCTAGAACATGGACACATGTATTTATGGATAGAGGATACTCTACAGAACCTTGTGATCTACATTGGGCTAAACATTGGTCCTTGTGCCTGGGAGGGAGTCCCTAAAGCATCCATCAAGGTTCCAAACACCAGAGGGTCTCCCAGAATCAGCTCCTCCTTCAAGGGAAAAGTGCCTATATTTGTGACTGCTGCTGCTGTCTGATCTTTGACCACAATTCAGATTCATTCATTGATTGATTGTAACTGCTGCATAATTGCCTGAGAGGATACCAAAAAAGCCCCACCATTTCTCTTCTTCTGAGCCTTTGGTCAATTCAGCAAACTATGGTGGTATTTTTATTATTATTGTTGTTGTTGTTGTTGTTGTTGTTGTTGTTGTTGTTGTTGTTGTTACTGTTACGCATTTTTATGTTTTTATATTGCAAACCACTCTACAATCCTTGGATGAAGAGCAGTATAGACATTTAATAATTAAACAATAACAATAACCATTCCTTGAAACTCTTTTGGTTTCACTCACGTGCAACAGAGCAAAAAGAATCTGGAGTCCTATAGCTGAACCTAAGAACAGCCTGATGAGCCAGACTAATGGCTCATCTAATTCAGAATCTAGTTCTCACAGTGGCCAACACCAGGTGCCTACAGGAAACCTGCAAGCGGAAGCTGAGCTCAAAAGCAGTCCCCCTCCTGTGGTTTCCAGCAAGTGGTACTCAGGAGCCTTTCTGCCCCCAACCATAGAGACAGAGCACAGCTATCATGGCAAGTAGCGATTGATAGCTCTGCCCTCCATTATGGTTCTGCTCCATGCCTAGAATCAGTAATGCTCCAGAATACCAATTGCTGGAAATCCACAAGGCGAGAGAGTGCTCTTCTATTTAGGTCCTGCTTGCAGGTTGGTCACAAATGGTTGCTGGACTCTAGATCAGGTTGCTGGACTAGATGGGCAACTGGCCTGATCCAAAAGGATCTTCTTATGTATACAGCCATTGAAGACCAGATAGGGGCAGGAATATATTCCCACAAGACCAGGAGGAATGGAACACTTGTGTATTAACAAATGTTGCTATCCACCTTAGGGAAGTCCTGTAGCCACATTCTAGTTTGTCTTGTGTAGGAAAGGAAGCCCTGGGTTTGTGCATTATATCTTGAATTTATTTCTTCTCTCAACCATCATCAAGAAGGTCAACAACATTGAGGGAGGGCTGTAGCTCACTGGTGGAGCTTCTGCATTACCATGCAAAAGGTCCCAACTTCCATCTCCAGTATTTCCAGGTTGGGCTAAGAAAGATTCCTGTTCAGCACCATGGAGAGTTCCTGCCAGTCAGTGCTAGGCTAGATAGCCCAATGCTCTGACCTCGGTATATGTTCTTATGTCATTTCTACCTTACCTTCCATCAGAACTTATAATCGCAGTTGTCCCTTGTTTGCAGCCTTCCCTCCTCTGCTTCCTCTTCTCCCCTGTAGAAGAAAGTTTAAACGGCACTTTCATGAAGATCAAGGTGCAAAGGAGGAGGGCAATATTTTTAGGAGCACCAATAAAGCGAGAGGGTCACTTCGAACACTGAAGGAAGTCTTAGAGTGATGCTTTTGTATCCTGAAGTACCTTTGGGGCAACAGTCTTGGATCTGCTCTAGCCACTGCCAAACCCACCCAAAACATTTTACAGTGCTATCTCGGGTTACAAATGTTTCAGGTGACATACGCTTCAGGTTACAGACTCCGCTAACCCAGAAATAGTACCTTGGTTTAAGAACTTTGCTTCAGAGTGAGAACAGAACATACTCCTGCAGCACAGTGGCAGCAAGAAGCCCCATTAGCTAAAGTGGTCTTCAGGTTAAGAACAGTTTCAGGTTAAGAATGGACTTCTGGAACAAATTAAGTTCTTAACCCGAGGTACCACTGTATAGGTTTTCTGTTCATCTAGCCTGATCATCTAGCCTGGTTTAGACCAAGGGTGTTGCAAGTCTGAAATGCAACAAGGGAGCATCATTACTCTGTATGAAAAAATAAATTCTAAAATACTTCAGTATAGTCATAGAGGCTAGCTTTCTATGACCAATTTTTAGGAAGGGGGAGATCTCTAAATCTAAGTGGGGAAATAACTGCTCTATACCAGTCGTGTTTTATTTTTCCAGTGCCCACTGAAGGAATTTTAAAAACAAATTCCAGCAGACATTTTAACTGAAGTTTGATTTAACAGATTTTTTCCTTTAGATTTCTTGTACACTGCTTACAGATGACTGGGGTTAAGGGATAAACAAATTATCTACATGAATAGGTAAAAAGGTAAAAAATAAAGGACCCCAGGGTGGTTAAGTCTAGTGTTTGTCCATAGACAGCTTTCCAGGTCATGTGGCCACCATGACTAAATTGATTTTGGCACAATGGAACACCATGACGAAAGCCAGAGCATACGGAAAATAACATCAGGTGAAGATTCTCTAAATACATGAGTGTAGGCTTACCAGAGAGTCCTCCTGAACAGGTTGTGGTGGCTCTTCCTTGGATGTGCCTGCCTGCTTGCTAGATTGGGCTTTGACAGGTTTTACAGGAGAAGCCTCCATCTCATCTGTCTTCGTTGACAGGTTTTCCTTGGAAGAAGCCTCCATCTCCTCTTCTTCATTAGAGGACTCTTCCTGATCTTCATCCTCGTCCAAAGGGGGACCAACTGCAAGAGGAGAGCTGGCTCATGATCATGTAGGAGGTGGTGTATGAAAAGTTACCATTATTAATCAAGCCACAGGTAAACAGCCATGTTTCCTGCTGACTCCCAGTACGTTTCCAAGCACAATTCAAAGTGTTGGTGCTGACCTTTAAAGCCCTAAATGGCCTCGGTCCAGTATACCTGAAGGAGCGTCTCCACCCCCATCTATCCACCCGGACACTGAGGTCTAGCACCGAGGGCCTTCTGGCAGTTACCTCACTGCGAGAAGCCAAGTTACAGGGAACCAGGCAGAGGGCCTTCTTGGTAGTGGCACCCACCCTGTGGAATGCCCTCCCACCAGATGTCAAAGAGAAAAACAACTACCAGACTTTTAGAAGAAATCTGAAGGCAGCCCTGTTTAGGGAAGATTTTAATGTTTAACAGACTATTGTATTTTAATATTTTGTTGGAAGCCACCCAGAGTGGCTGGGCAAAACTAGATGCCGCGTTAAATTTTGTAGATGTAATTTATGTCTGTTTTCCTTATCTAAAATGATGGCCACAGGAAATTATGTTTGCTGACTGGGAACAGTTATGGACCACAGGTATGAAGTTTAGGGCATGTAATGCCTTAAGAGAGAATATTATGAAAATGATATACAGGTGGTACATAACCCCAGTCAAGCTTGCAAAAATCTACCATTTGCCCGATAATAAATGTTGGAAATGTAAAGAAACTGAAGGTACATTCTTTCACCTTTGGTGGACTTAAGACACAAGATCTACCCACTCTGGAAGAATGGCAGATGAAGGTGATTGACTACATGGAACTGGTGGAAATGACTGGCAGAATCCGAGACCAGAGAGAAGAGACGGTGAAAGAAGACTGGAAGAAATTTAAAGACTATTTACAGAAATATTGTAAAATTAAGGAATCTTAGAAGGATGTTGGATAGAAACTAAGGGTTTTTTAGCTGTAATGCTTTAAGAGATATGAAAAAAGGTTTGCAACTGGGTAATTTCAATGGTAAGGATTTGCTGAATCAACAAATTGAACTGGAATACAAAAAAGGGAGGTATGAGGAGGTCCGGGGAAATAAGTATAAGGAAGATAGGTTATGGAAATTTTATGTCCTTTTAATTGTTTTATTTGGTATGTTTTCTCTTATTTTTTACTTCTTTGGTTATATTTAAAAAAAAAAACTTTATTCTTGTTCTTTCTGTATTCTGTATTTTTTGTATTATTATTTTTTGAAACTTTAATAAATATCATTTAAAAAAAAAAAAAGGAAATCCTGGACGATGACTGGCGCAAATGGAGCATTTGATACCCTGAAGCTATGATCCCCAGGATTATATGGGAGAAAGGGTTACTTGTGATGATTATTCTGGTAATGCAAGCAGCAGCTTTTTCGAAAGCACCAGGTTTCAGGCAGCACTTAAGCAACAGCAGTATTTTGATATGCCCAAACACATGCATGCATGAATGAGGCAGCAATAAAGATGTACGGGGGGTGTGATTGCAAGGGGAGAAACACTAGCCTGTCAACAGGATTTAGCCCACCTGGGCTCATGGATGACATACATAAACTCAAATTCAGATGCCTATGGGGAAACAGGATACAGGGTAAGCAACTATCAAGGCATGTATCTACCCCAAGTTACATGAAAAATAGATTTCAGGAGAGCCTTTGTCAGACAGCGTACTTGGTGCATCTCAAAATCAATTTTGCATCTTCCCTTCACAATCACATGCTTTAGACCACAGGAGGGGGTCTAAAGGGTGCCTGGCTGGAATTGCATCTCTGAAGCAAGATAATGCTTCTTGTTTGCCTAGATAAAATGAGAAGGGCATGTATTCATGAGTAGAAACCTCCAATTTTTTGCATAGCTGGACTGCAGTCCCTATGACAAGAGGTTGGGATTAAAGCAACAATGCTTTCAATGAGTTATCTGAAACAGTCAGGAGGGACAGACAGAGGGCCAGCCTGTTCTTCCTCCTCACCAATTTCTTCTCTCTTAGTAAATACTCGTTCCTTCCTTTCTGGCTTTATTCCCTTCTGGATTCTTCTCCCATTTAGTCAGTATGAGTTAGCACAGGCTACCATTAGTTTTTGGCTCTATCTTGGCCACGTGTAAAACCTATACTCAGAATGGCTTTCTTTGCCATGACTAATAAACTTAAGTTTATTTATTCTTTCAACCAGCACTCTTACCAGACTACATATTTCTGCACTCCCCTGCGATACATTTACCAAACTCCAGCCCATGAGTCACGTTTACTTTTCTCTCTGGCCTCGCCCACCCTTGACATGGGAGCCCTGGGAAGGAATTCAGTCCTTGAGCTGAGAAGGAGTCCCCACCCCAGCAGACGTTACCTGATAAATATTGTCCGGCAAGGTAGACTGGCCCAGAGCCTGATTTTAGCCTGAATGTGACAGGAAGAGCCAGGTCAAGTCCCATTAAGGAAGCCTGGAGGGTACACAAGTTCATATTTTGAGACACTCACCACTACACATATCATAACATTGACATCATCAGCTATTCCATTTTGATAGATTGGCAACAAAAAACCTATTGTGATCTATGCTAGATCAGTCCTCCTCTAGTTGATGGCCTCCCCAGTCAGATCTTTGGGAGGTTCAGGCAATACATTTGAGCTGGCTGGAAATTATTTTGGCAGAGGTAATCAACACTTCTAAAAAAAATGCATAAATAAATGGCAAAGGAAGTACTCACCATTGGAAGCACAGAAAGTTTCAAGGTTGCTATATGCACTGCAGTAGATGGCTTGCTATCTTTGGGGGGCAAGATCTCCACCATATTGAGTTCATCCCTCGCATTTTCCCCTAGGCAGACCTTTTGGCAGAAATCAAAGCCATCAAGACCTCAAAGAAATTGTAGTAAGACCACCATTTCTGAATCTTTGGCATAACACCATGATAGTTCCCCCATGAGCCAACCCCAAGTACAGTGTTTTTGTTTTAGCTATAATGTAGACTGCAATCAGATTCTTGCCATCAAATGGACTGCAAATAAGAAACAAGCAAAGTGAGATACTGAACTGGATTATCTCTTTCCCGCTGCAATGTGAAGTTCCCCACCACTTCAAGGCCTAGACCACATATAGGGAACCTGTGGCCCTCCAGACACTGAACTCAACCATGCCCTGGCACGCGAGATATGAGGCACATGTGAACAGAGGTCGTGTAACATTACAGTTCATTTTGGTTTGACTTGGCTGCAGAAACTGTACTTTGCTGAATAAACTGGGTGGAGGGACCAGGGGCTATTGGCTTGGTTATGGGTGAGGAACCTGTGGTCCTCTAGGTATGAGCCACAAGTGGTCAAGGATGATAGGGGCTGTGGTCCAACTACACCTGGAGGAAACCAAATTGGGATAGGTACTCTGTACCAAGAACAGGCAACCTCAGAGGCCAAATGTGTCTTTGGCCCTCAAGGCTCTCTGCAGCCCACACATTTACTGGCCCTGCTCTGTGACTTCCTCATGCAGAATGTATCCTTGAACAATGATAATGCTTCTTGCTTGCTTAGACGGAGACATGGGTGTGGGTAGACACCTCTGACTTTTCTGGAATGTAGCACCCCTTAAAAAGGATCCAGGGGAGATGCTTCTGTCTGGATACCCAGGTGGGGGCGAGGGTCCACAGCACTCCCCAGGTGCAATCCAGTGGGGGAGTTACTCCTTGGGACTCCCTCATTTCTGGTGGGCCGGAAGGCATGGGGATCTACCCAATGCCTATGCCAAACCTCTTACATCCATTGTCATTGAAGCTGTGGCCTGATTTCACCCAAATATTGGTTGTCATGTCTCTTACTCTTGATACTGGGGAGGACCGAAGGGTAGGGGGAATGCAATACCTCTTGCTTGCCTAGATGAAGACAGGTGTGTGGGTAGAAACCTCTGACTTTTCTGGGATGTAGCGTGTTGAACAAATGGAAGAGTCGGGTCCATAGCTCCACTCATTTTTGCCTCTAGCCTGTGACCCATGGAAGGCTGCGCACAAAGGGATGTGACCTTCAGGTTGAAGAGGCTCCCCCCCCCTTACCTGCTCTAAAGGTAAAGGGACCCCTGACAATTAGGTCCAGTCATGACCAACTCTGGGGTTGTGGCGCTCATCTCGCTTTATTAGCTGAGGGAAACGGTGTACAGCTTCCGTGTCATGTGGCCAGCATGACTAGGCCGCTGCTGGCGAACCAGAGCAGCGCACAGAAACGCCGTTTACCTTCTCGCCGCAGTGGTACCTATTTATCTACTTGCACTTTGATGTGCTTTCGAACTGCTATGTGGGCAGGAGCAGGGACCGAGCAACGGGCGCTCACCCCATCGCGGGGATTCGAACTGCCAACCTTCTGATCGGCAAGTCCTAGGCTCTGTGGTTTAACCCACAGTGCCACCCGCTTACCTGCTCTATATACACCCAAAGTCAAACCTTCTCACACACCATATGTGAACCGGATGCTACATACCATGGCCAGCCAACTGTTAAATATCCTTCCCCGACAAGGCTAGCAAGTTACTTACTGTCCTCAGGGACAGCTGCTGCTCATATGCCTCCTCTTCTGGAATATCAAATGTGTAGCTCGGGTTCTTACCATCTAGCCGACATCCTGTGCGAAATAAAGGAGATGTCAGAAAGCCCTCACCAGCCATTGAGCAAAGGCTTCTTAGTGCGCACGGAGAAGCAAAACCTCTTACCCCAAATGACACAAGTAGGCTGCTCTGACCTAGAGCTTTGAGTGGTGGCCGTGCTGTCTTCCAGGACCATTATTTACAGAGGGATTAGTCTGAGGGGGAGAAAAAGGAATGTGGTGAAACCTGTACTTTTCTAACAAGGAGAAGAACCTGGGACATATAGAAAAGGCAGCATGCTTCATTTCAGCTCTGCAAATGCTCTTTTGCTTTGAGAGGTAACTTGGAGGAAAGGTTAAAAAACGAACACTTTTATTTTCATTTTTGAAAAAGGAAATTGCATCAGCTGCAAGCGACTATGAAGAGCATTGCAGCAGGTATGGTAGGGGAGTCTCCTCTGAACCACAGGAATGGAGGAAAATCTAGCTTCTGCAACTTGCCAGCCAATGGGTGTTTATATACCAGTGAGGAAGAGCTACATTTAACAGCTGAATATGCACTCCCCACCTTCCCAAGCGCCGAGTGTGGTTTACAGTTTCTGCACCTCACAGGTAGGGAGGGGGTAGAAATTTGATTTAATTCACATTTAAAGGCAAATCTGATTTACGTTCCTCATGCACAGTACAGTATGAGAGTCAACACAGCCTTTGAAACTTGCATGTCTCTGAATTTTGTAATGAAGTTCTCCAGCCAAGCAACGTGCCCAAAAATGCATATATTAGCAAACAGTTTTACACACAAGATTAATCCCCAAGTTTAGAATTAGGCTGACATTCCAGCCTAGATAGAAAGGTTCTTCATGGATAAATATTTTGGCCTTTGTCATTCACAGGTGTATGTATGTGTAAGCACATACGTCAGAAAGACAGCAGACACACTGACTTAGAGACATGTTACTGATGCTCTAAACTAGAATCTGTGAGGAGGGAGTTATTTGCTAAAGGCTCCTGGTAGAAAACAGGTAGAGTCAAATAATACGACCAATTTTTTAAATCTTTTTTAAAGAATATCGAGAGTGTATAGGCTTCTTCTAGAATGGGAAGTGAAAGATGAAGAGGTGAAAGAAGTAATAATTAAGTGGGAGAAAGGTTTTGGTAAAAATATCCAACTATTGGCATGGGAAAGATTATGGAATAAAGAATGGAAATTTATGGCCTGTTATAAACTAAAGGAAAATCTTTTGAAGATGTTTTACAGGTGGAATATAACTATCAGCAGACTATCCAAAATTTATAAAACAATATCTAATACGTGCTGGAGGTGTAAACAGGCTGAAGGGACACTGTTTCATATGTGGTGGGGTTGCAAAAAAATTAAGAATTTTTGGGATATTATATTTGAAGAATTGAAAAAAAGATGTTTAAGAAAACTTTCATAAAGGCATTTTAGGTTCAAATATTCCAAATGAAAAAGAGAATATTTTTATATGCTATACTACAACGGCAGCAAGAATATTAATTGCCAGAAATTAGAAAGGAGAATTAGTACCAACAAAAGAGGAATTATTTGAATATCTCGAACTGGCAAAAATCTTCTTTTGTAAGAACATATGGATTTATGGATGTTTTTTGGGGATTTTTGTTATTTTATCATTTTTGTTAATTTTGTGTGTGTGTTTGTTAAGTAAGAAAACTAATAAACATAAAAAAGTCAAGGCAAGGTAAAACACAAGGAGCAACTCTTTGAGAAGGAGACTAGCTAGAGAATCTTACACAAGAGGAGGAGATTAAGCAGGCAGAAGTATTTTTACTGGAATGTCTTCCTTGCTTTAAGCTTTTGTTGGCAGCAGTAAGAACAGCATTTCTTAAATTTTGCCAATAGCGAGGAAATAGGGGGAACAGGAACTCATTGCAATCAAGTAATATCAAGTTTTGCATTCATAAAGAATTGCAAATTGTTATTTCCCTTCCATGATGGAGTTGGGACATACAACCTGCTGTATTACAATGAGAAGGCTAAAGAGCTTAGCTTTGTTTGTGTCTACATGTACCGGCCATTAGTGGTGCCAATGTTGGTTTAGAAGTCACCTAGCAGAAACAAGCCTATGTAACAGCAAAATGGCTGATGTCAGAGCACAGACGACAAATCTATTACCCTCTGCTCCAAGTCAGCTAGTTCTAGCTATCTCCAGCCTTCCAAGTTAATTCTTAAAAACTGATTCTAAGCTGTTCTTCCTATCTGTTTCAATGTTAGATTCCAAAGGTTTCAGAAAGGTCACAGCTTTCAAACCACTTTACCACACTTTAGTTTGAACAACTTAATTACATTGAATGGGCACCCAACAATGTTTCCTCAAGCAGAACACAGTTCAACAAATCTTCAAATTTATGGCTAGCTTTACAGATTCAAGGTTTTATAGACAGTGGATTCCACATTCGGTTATGACTTGTTTCTTTTACTAATCTTTCCAACTGTGACTAAGTTCTAGATATCGCCAAAGCTTGTCAATTGGAGGAATGTTAAACAGAACTCCAATTCTCCACGTTCCCTAATTACAGGCCTAACTCCTCACTTACTGTACTTTTTCTTGGCAAGCTGTGGTTGGGTACAATCCTGCAACTCACTCCTGCTTACTACATCATAATTGCTAGAGTGCCCTATTTAAAAAATATTAAGCACATCAGAAGACTTTGAAACAAGCCTCTTTCATCTTCACTACTGCTATTCAGATGAAGCAACAGGGGTTTTTTTTATCCTTCTTACAGCCCTGTGAAATAAGGATTAAAGAGCCCCTTTCCAAGGCACAGGCAACGCCCCTAAGCCTTTAATAAGAAATACTACAAAAATGAAGTTTCCAAAGCAAATAATAATATAGCTGAAATGCCCTCTAAGTTACCAGAGAATAAGCATACTAGCCCAACATATAAAAAAAACCATTCAAGTTACAGCTTTTTCCTACCACTTTTAGGTCCCTGAAGGAGTCAGTGCCACTTACAAAAACTGTAACTCAGCAGCCTCCCAAACAAACTAGAGACCGTTTATATAGAGAGATAAGGTGCTTAGCTTCAGCTTGGGCCAATGAACTTAGCCCTGAAACAAGATGCAAACATTTTATCTTAAAGAGACCCAACCCTTGGGTGCCCCAGTGCGCGAGACTGCATCTATCTCCAAAATTGAGCAGTGCACAAAAGGATGAAACAGGCATGATCACTTCCAGTTCTTTAATTAAGGAACAAGCCTTTAAAATCCATGTAATAAAACCATCTGGTTAGTAAGTACATTACTAGCATGGTCTTAGTGAAACCGAAGGCAGGGTTTCTGCCCCTGTAATAGTTGTGATGGTGTAACTTGCATCCGACTATCCTATATGCAATTGAAGTCTACTGCTTTTTTCACATTCACTCTTGCATTAGATCACCGTAAGTGCCCTATCATTTAAGCCTGTGGCTGTATGTTAAAATGCAACATTGCTTCCAGGTAGCCTGTTTATTCAGGACTCATCCTTAATCATTTGTATAAAGATCTCGGGGAGGTTAGAGAACATCACCCTGTTGAAGTCAGCTCTTTCTGATTTGGTTACCATTAGTTTTTATGCAAGCACTTTTTATCCTGCACTTCTGAGTGCATTTTCCAATAACTTTTCTTATTGTAAAAAGTTCAGGTTTCTCTCTTCTTCTTTTGGGGGGGGGATGGGTTTGCTGTGCAATGTGAATTCACCAGTATGTGATTGAATCCCACCCCAAAATAGTGACAGTTTGTGTACCTTTAAGAGGGGATTTCAGCAAGAAATAGCTTGTCCTATCCAAGGGCTGTGAGGGAAGAGATGCAAAGGGCTTCTGATTTTTCAAATAATTATATAGGAGAGGTCCTAAAGAGAGCCCTGCTGGATCAGGCCCATCTAGTCCAATATCCTATTTTCACAGAAGGACCCAAGCACAACAGCACTGTACCCACCTCTGATTCTCAGCGACTCACAGTCAGAGGCATACTCGATCCAAAAAGAGAGACAGAAAATAGCCAAGGTTATTTATGTATGCTACTACTGCCGCCCGTGTTTTGTTAGCCAAAAATGGAAAGCGAGCGAGGTCCCAACCAAAGAAGATTGGCAACTTAACTTGACAGAATATGCACAACCTGCAGACTTAACATAAGAATAAGAGAAGAAGAAGAAACAATGTTTAAAGAAGACTGGAAAACGTTTATTGAATATATGGGAAATAATTGCGTACAGCTGAAAACGCTGGCAGCATTAAGATACATTCAACAGTGTAAACAAGTTTTGATGGATGCAATAATGGAATACTGATTGATACAGTTTTTGTAAAATATGCAGGGATTTATGATATGTAAAATGAACCATGGAAAGAGAAGAAAGGAAGTCATTGATATCTGAAGGGTGTAAAATGAGTATTTTAAATTGTAAAACACAATGAATATATATATATTCTCTTTCCATGGTTCATACACACACACACACACACACACACACACACACATATGAGAGAAAATAGCCATCATGACTTGTAACCATGGATAATCTTATTCTCCATGAAATTGTCTCATCTTCTTTTAAAGCCATCCAAGTTGGTGTCCATCACTACATTTCCTAATGATGTGGACTGGGAATCTCTAGCCCTCCAGATGTTGTTAGACATTAGTCATGTGGCTGAGGCTGGAGCTGGAGTCCAGAAACATCTGGAGGGCTACAGGTTCTCCATCCCTGGAGTAGGTCCAGATTTTCCAAGGAACTGGATAAGGAATAAACAAACATCCCTTGTAAAGGCCTTATTGCTTCAAATATTCTTACCAAGAGGAGAAAACTTTGCTCTCCCTCATCCAATCCTTTTTGAGGGTACAAGCATTTCCTTCCTTTTCCAAGCCATCGCTGCTCTGAGGGTGAGAGGAACCAAACCTGACAGGATTCTTTCTTTTGTGCAGTTCTTAAAATACTGGAGGCACAAACTCATGTTGTGAATTTGGTGAACTTAAGGGAAGCTAGGGTCACTTCCAGATGATCTGTTTGGTGCGCATTCCTCCTGCTTCGTTCACACAAAAGTTTGCAGAGAGGTTATACAATGGGATTGTTTATCAAGCATTCATTCTGTGAACAAATGAAATAGGATGCGGCATCAAGCAATTGTTATTGCACACTTTCCACTGCATATTCCTGTCATTGTCCTTACTGCAAAGGTTTCATTTTTAGGTGGAAGCGGGCTAGTCACACAACAGGACCAAATTCACTTCTCTTATGTAATCTGAATTTGCTGGTATGGTGGTGCTGTGGTCTAAACCACTGAGCCTTGGGCTTGCCGATCGGAAGGTCAGCGGTTCGAATCCCTGCGACGGGGTGAGCTCCCATTGTTCGGTCCCAGCTCCTGCCAATCTAGTACAGTCATACCTCGGGTTAAAGTTGCTTAAGGTTGAGCGTTTTCGGGTCGCACTCCGCAGCTACCCAGAAGTAACGGAAAACGTTACTTCCGGGTTTCGCCGCTCGCGCATGCGCAGACGCTCAAAATGACCTCATGCACATGCGCAGAAGCGGCAAATCACAACCCGCGCACGTGCAGATGCGCAGACGCGGGTTGCGTTCTCTTCAGGATGCGAACGGGGCTCCAGAACGTATCCCATTCGCATCCAGAGGTACCACTGTAGTTTAAAAGCACGTCAAAGTGCAAGTAGATACATAGGTACCACTCTGGTGGGAAGGTAAACGGCATTTCTGTGCACTGCTCTGGTTTTGCCAGAAGCAGCTTAGTCGTGCTGGCCACATGACCCGGAAAAACTGTCTGTGGACAAGTGTCAGCTCCCTCAGCCAATAAAGCAAGATGAACACCACAACCCCAGAGTCGTTCGTGAGTGGACTTAACTGTCAGGGGTCCTTTACCTTTTTAAAAATAAAATCATCATCATCATCATCATCAGCCTACAAGTATAATGCAGCCATGTCTGCAGATGCTAGATTCTACAAAACAGCTGTAAAATGTTCGGATGGGGAGGGTAATTTCCCCATATGAAGTGGTACAATCCCTCTCCCCCAGCTTCAAATCTCTCATCACTGTTGTCATTCCACATCTCCATCTCCACCTCTATTTGGTTTTCCCACTGAGTGCCTGCTCATCCGGCAAAGAGCCCTACAAGGGAAAAAAATAAAAGGCAGCCACCCTACAACTAGGATAGCAAGATACTGTATAAGAAAGGGATCAGGTTCCTGCACCTTTAATTGTAGTGCAGAAAATGGGATTTCAGCAGGTGTAGCATGTCATGCAAGCTACACCTGCTGAAATTTTCTCTTAAAGGTGCAGGAACCCTCTCCTGTGTTTGGTTTTGCAGCTGACCCTTGCTTGTGTGCTTCCCATAAGAATCTAGCTGAGCATTGTAAGAGCAGAACTCTGAACTATGTGAGCCTTGTAGCCTGATCCAGCAGCACTTTTCTTATGTTTGAAGGGAAAGGAGTCAACACAAGCCTATCTCTCCACCTAGTCTTATTCACTGGTTTGTTGTAAGGATAAAGTAACAGGGCAGGCACCATGTAAACTCTCTTCGGTTCCGTGGTGGGGAAATATATGTGCTCAGGATTGCAGTCTTAGTCTCAGTTAAGTGTGTGTGTTTACCACCTTATGAAAGGACTCCAGGCAGATTTCTGAAAGTTTATTCATAAAAGGAACTACATTGGGAAATTATTCACGATGGGGTGCCAATGTATCTGTTTGGACACTTAGTCAGTTTGCATTTTTTGGTGCAGAAGGTGCTGTGCAGAGATCTTTTCTGTTCTAATTGATTCAAGAGGGTTCTGAAAGCTTCTCTGTGTGATACAAGCTGGTAGTTTCTAGCTAATGAGCAAGCTTCTATTCTGCTTGGAAACAAGCAGGTGGTTCCTGATGTTTTGACTATTCCTTCAGAGAAGCTGAGTACAGCTGGTTTAAAAACTGATTCTGTTATCTCTTTCACTCAAGGTCATGCTAACTATAATTATGGGCCAGAAAGAGCCTGGGGTTTGCTTTCTGTCTCCTTTTCTTTCTGGTGTGGTGTTCTGTACATAGTACGTTTAAGTATTAAGGTTTCAGTCTTACACAGTGGTACCCTGGGTTAAGAACTTAATTCGTTCTGGAGATCCATTCTTAACCTGAAACTGTTCTTAACCTGAGGTACCACTTTAGCTAATGGGGCCTCCCGCTGCCACCGTGCCACCACCATGCGATTTCTGTTCTCATCCTGAAGCAAAGTTCTTAACCTGAGGTACTATTTCTGGGTTAGCAGAGTCTGTAAACTGAAGCGTCTGTAACCTGAAGGGTCTGTAACCCGGGGTACCACTGTAGTATGTTTAAGTTACCATATTTTTTGCACCATAACACTCACTTTTTTCCTCCTAGAAAGTAAGCGGAAATGTCTGTGCGTGTTATGGAGCGAATGCCTGCGGGTGGCGGGGGGGATCTGCTGCAGTCGTGAGCAGAGGATCCATGGTTCCCCTTCCCCCCTCCTCCGTGGTTACAAAGCATGGATCCACATGGATCCTCAGGATTTTTGCATTGGGCTACTCCAAACTCACTGTCAGATCACATGTCTGTGGCCACAGCATGAACCACAAAAATCATATATCCACTATTTCATTTAGAATATTTTTTTTCTTGTTTTCCTCCTCTAAAAACTATGTGCGTGTTATGGCCGGGTGCGTGTTATAGAGTGAAAAATACGGTAAGTCTGCTGCAACTGGATTTCTTATGGACTGTGCCAATCCTGAAGATGTATGCATTTGTGACCATTAAGCACATTTGCCTTCAGTAGTGAAAAGCTCTGCTGGATGAAGCTAATGTCCTCTGGTCTATTTTGGGGAAATCCTGCAATGTGTTTACATTTTTACTCTGCTAAGTATACATCTGAGTCTGCTCTGGATCAATAGGAGCAGAAATCATGACACATCTTCTCCATCATCTCTCACAAACACACCTGGCCTGCAATATCCTACTGCTTCTGATAGCAAAGAACGCGGGAGAAGGGAGAAAGGTATGCATTGTGATAGATGATGGCAGCTGCAGATTGGGCATGCAGGGTGACAAAATAAGCAGGAAAATAATGTTGCTGTGCCAGAATCTTTATTCCAATTTCTCAAAAAGGTTCTCTTGACCTCCAAGGAGTGGGGTGGGAAGGCTCCATTTTTTTGCCTTCATTTTTGCTGCACTTCAGAATTTCTTTAAAATTTTGGTGAAAGCAGGGCTTGTGCAATAGCCAAAGGTGTGGTTCATGTTTCTTATATTTCTTCTTTACAGTATGCATCTCTCTGCATACTTCCTAGCTGCCTGTGATTCCTGGAAGGAGGAATCTTGTGATGTCTTCCCCAGGGCTTTGACTAAAGCATGGCAACCCAAGAAAGCTGCAGAGTGCAAGCCACAAGTGAGATGATTTGCACAATGAAGGAAAGGACACCCACAAAACACCCCTTGGCCACCTCAAATCTAAAGCAAGTGCTGTTAATTTGGCAATCCAGCCAAGACCAGTACACACCATGCAAAAATCCTAATACTCAGTGGATCCCTCAATAAAGGCTTCCATTTTGGGGATCGCAAATTCATTAAGTTGTAGGAAGCAATGAGTAGTAATAAATGGACAGTTCTCAGAATGAAGACATGTATAAAGTGAAGCCCCACAAGGATCAGTATTGGGTCCTGTGCTCTTTAACTTGCTCATAAATGAACTAGAGTTAGGAGCGAGCAGTGATGTGGCCAAGTTTGCTGATGATACTAAATTGTCAGGGGTCATAAAAACAAAAAGAGCTCCAAAAGAACCTCTTCAAACTGAGCATTTATATGTGGCTGCTCTGCTGTCTGCACTACTGTAAATGTTCCGTAACTGATGAGTATGCCTAGATTAAGAAAAACCCTGCATCCCACTCATGGGACTATTAGCAGGATATTCTCTCTCTCCTTGCTCATTTTCAAGGCGTTTTCTTTCCTTGTTAACTGATGAAGTGGTGGTGGAGAATGCAGGAGACATTTATTGGCACATCATAAGCAAGAGCATGCTGCTCCTGACATCTTGGTGCTGAAGGTTTTTGTTCTCCTAAGATCACCTCCACTCCCCATCCAAAACTACATGTTGCAATAATCTGTGGAACAGCAAATGATTTCGTGCCATGTGTAGGGACCATAAAATCTGTAACCTTCACATTGCTGGAGGCAACCAACCACGGTAGCGATCAAGGTTTTTGCTGAAATGGGAAAAAGAAACTGATCATTGCATTGGCTGGAAAGAGAGTTGCAAAATAGTCATTTCCCTCTGTTTCCTCTGATCTTTCTGAATAATATGAGGTCTCACTGAAAAGGGATGTGCCTTTCACTCTTGAATCCTGTCTCTCTTTCAATGATTTAAATCAGGTATGGGGATATTGCTGAACTATAGTTCAGCAGATATTGCTGAACTATAGTTCCCTTCAGCCCTAAGAGCTCTCTTCATCTTCCCCATTCTGCCAAGACTCACAGGCTTGAAGGTCAGTAGGTCTGATAGGAAGCGATGTGACAGTATATTTGCTGGCCTCTCTCATCTCTATGCTCCTTAGCAGCTGATATCAAGAGCCACCAGTGATTAATAAGGGCACACTCTACCTCTTGAACTGTTTTTCTAGTGCCATGGTGCTACTGAAACTTCCCACAATCTCCCAATGTAGCCATGCTAGGCATTTTATGGAAAATGGAAATGGCAGCCGCCAGACTTTCCCTTTGAGGAGCTTAGTACTTATAGGGTTGCTGCTGCCTCTACCCAGTAAACCTGCTATGGGGCCTTACTGATGCAGGAGAGGACATAATGGTGAGGCTGCTTATGAGTGTAAGACAGCCTGCTTAATGAGAATTCATCCTTATTGATTTGCACCAAGTTTGCAGGGGGTGGGGCTGTTTATTGAGTATTATTATTATTATTATTATTATTATACTGTCCTATACCTGGAGGTCTCAGGGCGGTTCACATAAAACGATCACAGTATATAAATTAAAAATATAAGCAATAACCCAATAATACCCCCCCCAAAAAAGTGAGCCACATTTTAAAAGGGTATGGGATGTTGATCAGATCAGCCAAAGGCCTGGTTAAAAAGGAAGGTTTTTGCCTGGTGCCTAAAGGTGTATAATGAAGGCTCCAGGCGAACTTCCCTGGGGAGAGCGTTCCACAGATGGGGAGCCACTGCAGAAAAGGCCTGTTCTCGTGTTGCCACCCTCCGGACCTCTCAAGGAGGCAGCATACGAAGGAGGGCCTCAAAAGATGATCTCAGAGTCCGGGTTGGTTCATATGGAAAGAGGCGGTCCTTGAATTATTGCAGTCCTGAGCTGTTTAAGGCTTTAAAGGTCAAAACCAGTGCTTTGAATTGGGCCCGGAAACTTAATCCGTAGCTAGTGCAGTCGGTCCAGGATCAGTGTAATATGCTCAAATCGTCTGAATTCTGCACTAGCCGAAGTTTCCGAACCGTCTTCAGAGGCAGCCCTACGTATAATGCATTGCAGTAATCTAACCTTGAGGTTACCAGAGCATAGATAACAGTAGTTGTCATTCTGATTAGCTTGTGGGGAGGTTATTTGACATCAAGCAGTTGTTCTCCCATACCTTCCACTGCATTTTCTTGCTACTTTCCTTGCTGCAAAGGAAAATCTGTTTTATTATTATTTTTTGGAAGTACGTTTATTGCACAAGACCAGCAGCGGGGAATCTCTGGCCTTCTCCCCAGGGCACAAACCTTTCTGAGCCACATTGCCTCATCAACCCTGCTTTGAACCTGCTTTGAGGGATTTTTTCTAGCTGGAATATATCCTTGAACTCTGAGAATGCTTGTTGTTTATCTAGATGGAGGCTAGAGAGGGATTCTACTGGACTAAGGTCAAATTTGCATTTGTTGCACTGCCTACTTTTGCCACTGGGTGTGGCCCAGATGGGACCGTGGCCTTCCAGTTGAAAAACACTCCCCATTTCTATACAAGAGTATCAAATCCACTTTAACTGTGTTACCTAAATTCACTGGTAGGCAATTGCATCCGACCTGCAAAATATTTGCAGCCTGGAAGCAACCACAATGTTTTTAGAACTGTGAGGTCAATCTGGAAGACCCTCCACTGCATTGAACCCAAATACATGATTCTTCGTCTACTTACAAATATATAGGTTTAATGTATAGCAGGCTGCTTCACCACCAGCCCAGCACAATTCCTTTTTTGCTGGACAATTCCCAGTTTTTCGTGGCTGTATGCATTGGAAACACCAGGTGGCATTTGCTGTAGAAGAGGAGAAGAAAGAAGGGGGGAGAGTTTGTAATAGGAACTTACATTGGCCTAAATGCAAATTTGCTTTACAAATGCTTCTAGTTCTGATATATATTAATCAATTTTAAAAATTAGATACATGGGAGTAATTTAGGTCTCATGTAGGAGAATATTTTAAACTGGCAGACTCATTCAGGATCAAATTATATTTTACTTTTAATGCAAATACTCTTGGGGAGCAAGGAATGTTAATTCAATATGTGAGGTATGTGGGGGGGGGGGTTCATCAAGTCTGTTATCCATGAGGAGGGGAAGTTTAGTTGGCCAAAATCTCCCCACGATACAATTCCCAGATTGTGAAATGACCTCCCCACCCAGGCGTGTATCGTGCTATTATTGTATATTTTTGACAATTCACCAAGAGTCAAAACTAGGAAAAGTTTTTCCGAATGCTTAGTTTTTCAGAAAGTTTTTTTCCGAATGCTTAGTTGGAATCTCTTGTAACTTGAAGCCATTGCTTCGAGTGCTACCCTCGAGAGCAAGAGAAAGCAAGCATGCTGCCTCTTCCATGTGACATTGGACTAAGATATTTGAAGATGGCTGATTGTAAACAACAACAACAACAACAATCAGTCCACAGAGCTGTACCAGTTTAGAAGGGTAGTTTTTTTGGTCTATCTTAACACTTGACACTAAATAGGCTTTAGGATTGCTGCATGCTATTTGTGCATGCACGTGCATTAATGGAAGTCAGAAATCAAAGACATTTTTTAATTTAAAGAAATATTTTTTAATTAAAAATATTTCTTTAATTAAAAAATATTTCTTTAATTAAAAAAATATTTAAAAGTGTTTTATTAGCAATATGCAAAAACTCTTGCATGTGGAAAATGCAGTAACTATTTGTTGTTGTTGTTTAGTCGTTTAGTCGTGTCCGACTCTTCGTGACCCCATGGACCAGAGCACGCCAGGCACTTCTGTCCTCCACTGCCTCCCGCAGTTTGGACAGACTCATGCTGGTAGCTTCGAGAATACCATCCAACCATCTCATCCTCTGTCGTCCCCTTCTCCTTGTGCCCTCCATCTTTCCCAACATCAGGGTCTTTTCCAGGGAGTCTTCTCTTCTCATGAGGTGACCAAAGTATTGGAGCCTCAACTTCACGATCTGTCCTTCCAGTGAGCACTCAGGGCTGATTTCCTTAAGAATGGATAGGTTTGATCTTCTTGCAGTAACTATTACTGATTTACAAAATGTGAAAAGCTTGACTTGAGATTTGAAGCCCTTTTGGCTCAGTTTTCCTTTAGGGACTTACCAGTGCAAAAGCAGAGAAGAATCCATATCCCAGAAGATGGAAGCAATTTCATCTTCAGCTGTTTTCAGTGTTGAGGAAGTCCTACTAGCTGGGTCATGTGAATGGCACCTGTAAACGTGGGGCAGGGGACACACACAAATAGGATAGCAGAGGAAGCTTAGCAAAACAAACAAACAAAAAACCCTCCACTAAGCAGTTTGTGGGGCAATCAGTCCTCAACTGGGCTGAGGATGATATTCAGGCAGTGCAGTGTGCATCCTCCAAGCTGTGAGGCTGATGAACTGCAGAGTTCTCTTCTGTCCACTATGCCTTCTTTTTCAGCACCCTCTTACTGAATCTCTGGAAAAGCTCTAAACCGAGAGTGCGGAAATGTACCACTGATTTGAAATAAGCTGGAATAAGAATTAGGTGTGCTAACAGACTCCCTGTTCTCAACCTCCTCCTCCCCCACCAAGCACGGTGTGATGGGCACACAGCATAATGTCACCTCAAAGATCACACTGAGCCTAGTACACAAGAATGCAGAAAACGATAACATCAATGCGCAGGAGTAGAAGAACATCATGGACCGGAGTTTGCCCTCCAAGGCCACTTTTCTGAAAGCACAGGTGGTCAAATGGTGTCTCTTGTGAGCACAAGAACCCAACTTCAACAGGAGAGAGGCAACTTGTGCACCTTTACTCAACCCCCAAAATAGATCCCTTTGCTGGAACCATAAGCTCATGTGCATTTGCAATGTGACTGCAATGCCCTTGAACATGTCAAGCCCCTTGCTGCCAACTTATTTATTGCCATTAGCTAGGTATTGTCATTCAATGGGGCATTTTTTTTGTCAAGAGCAATTCACCGTGAAGTTGTTACAGTAAGTCGCCGGACGACTTGGCGCAGCCCTGAACAGATGCCGGTTTGACAACAGCCGTGTTCACCTCCCAGAGAGATGCTAAAAATTGCGGCAAGCTGACTCCCTAGCTGGTTTGGGGGTTGCCCCTGGTTCTGGGGCAGGCGAAATAAATGCTTAACGTTGCTGTAGTTCAGTGAACTGTATGTCAGTAGTAGAGCACATCCTTTGCATTCAGAAAGTCCTACCTTCAGTCTTTAACATGTCCAGGTGGAACTGGGAGTGCCTCCCATCTGACACACTGGAGAGCCACTGTCAATCAGGGCAGACAGTTCTGAGCTAGGTGGACCAATGTTCTGACCCAGCAGAAAGCTGCCTCCTGTGTTCCCAATGAGGGATCCTTGAAAGGACAGTTAAACTAAACTCCCCCAAACTTACACCAATACATAATTGCATATTAGGGTAAATGGGGAGCCAGTCAGTGTTCCTCCCTCTCCTTTCATGACTGGTGGTTTCCATGAAGCAGGAGAATATCAGTTGGGGGTGCATTCAATTTTATGAGATGGCAAATGTGGCTCTCTCCCCTTTCCTTTATTCTCTAAATTTTTAAACAAGCTAAGCTGCCCCTCCAAGAGGTAGCTAGGTATCTGCTGAGCAAATGGGGCTTTTCATCAAAGGTGGTCGCAGAGAGGTTTACACAACATTTGATGCAATGATCCATCAGTTAAGATAATACGGTGTTTAAAGCAAACCAAAACCCCAGGTAAAAACAGAAAATCAATAAATAGGCATAGTACAAGTGACTTAAAATGACCGCCAAAATACAAAGGTCTTCATCAAGAGCCTGAAGTTCAGCATGGAGAGAGCCTGTTTGATCTCAGCCAGGAGGGAGTTCCACAGTTCTGTATACATAGAACCATAGAATTGTAGAGTTGGAAGGGACCACGAGGGTCATCTAGTCCAACCTGCAGCAGTGCAGGAATCTCAGCTAAAGTATCCATGATAGATGGCCAACTCGCCTCTGCTTAAAAACTTCCAATGAAGGAAGACTCCTGGTAGATGCAAGCTGTGCATCCAAGTCATGCGGAAACCACTAGGAGAGCCTCTCACAAAAACCTCAGTGATTGGTCAGGGATATAAAGTAAGTACCTTCCAAAATTCCAGAGATGTTCACCCCGCTCGATCTTTCATCTCCCCACTAACTGTATGGAGCACCAGCACCCATCCACGGTTGACAAAAAAACAAACTCTAGGCTGAAATAGTTGATCCAGCCCTATAATATAGGCTGCAGAGAACTGGGAAGTTACCCCCTTTTGTGGTCTAAACCTTATTGGGGGAATAATATTGTAGCTGAGCTTTGTCATTATTGTATTTTCTAATAGAATTGAGTTGCATGTCTCCCCCACCCTGGATTTTTCTCGCTGCTTAAGCTGTCTAGCTAGTCCTTGAGATTGTTGTGAGGATAAACTGATAGGATCTTTATGAAATTATTCACACAGAAAGATACCCGTACAAAGTTTTGGTGCTTCAGAAAAGTTTGATTGGTTTTAATCAAAGCAATTTATTTCCAGAGAAGTAAGCAAGTTAATGGAAACTTCGCATGACATGCAGTCAGGTGTATCTTTCCCCACAATCTTTTCTGTATTTATTTATTTTAAAAGTATGTACAAAGTCCCCTCTGAAGCAATTAATTCGGTCAAATGAATTCAATTTCAAAGAGGGGCAGTAGAGAGGTAGCACAATCCCTCCCCACCACACAAAGCTGTCCTTTCTTCTCAGCTTCCAGTCCTCAAGGCCTTGGCCACAAATGGAGGGTAAGATGTTGGCCCTGAAGGCATCTCAAGAACTGGACCTTAAAAACTAGTCCCTAGAACAGGATCCAAGACCAATAAGGTGTGTGTGTGTGTGTGTGTGTGTGTGTGTGTGTGTGTGTGTGACTTGACCCCCAACATCTGTTTGGTTCTTGACAGCAAAGCATGTGGAAGGAGACATGTATGATGGCTGATGATGGCAGCTGCAGATTGTGCTTGCAGAGAGACAAGAGAGGACAGGAAAGAACATCGCTGTGCTGAAATGTGTCCTCCAATTTATCAAAAGAGTGACAAGCATCTTGATGTTGAGGCTTTTTCTGTCCTAGGCTCCGCTCCACTGCCTATGCAAGCTTAGGAATTGCAGTAATCAGTGGGGCAGCATATGACCTCCTCCAGTATTAAACCATGTGTCACTGAATGTGAATTCCTACAGTCCTGGGTACAACCCACCACAGAACCAATCTTTGTATTCCCTAGAAACCAAAAGAGAGAGAATGTAAGAGACCTTGTACAATGCATGAAACACTCGTTACCCTCTGCTCTGTTATCACTGATCTCTCTTGAAGCTTAAACGGCCTCGGTCCTGTATACCTGAAGGAGCGTCTCCACCCCCATCGTTCAGCCCGGACACTGAGATCCAGCGCCGAGGGCCTTCTGGCAGTTCCCTCATTGCGAGAAGTAAGGTTACAGGGAACCAGGCAGAGGGCCTTCTCGGTAGTGGCGCCTGCCCTGTGGAATGCCCTCCCAGCAGATGTCAAGGCAATAAATACCTATTTTACTTTTAAAAGACAACTGAAGGCAGCCCTCTTTAGGGAAGTTTTTAATGTCTAATGCTGTATTGTTTTTAATATTCAGTTGGAAGCCGCCCAGAGTGGCTGGGGAAACCCAGCCAGATGGGCGGGGTATAAATAATAAATTATTATTATTATTATTATTATTATTATTATTATTATTATTAATACCCTGAGATCTCAAATGTCAATGAGCAAACTATATTTTGTATCTATGCTCAGTCACAGGGGCCTTATAGGCTTCCTAAACAAAATGAATACTGTTTCTTTGCTCAATGAAACAAGCGCACAAATAATGATATTTTTTTTACAAAAATGGGAAAGGGGAAATTTCTGAGAAGTCCCCATTATCAAGGAAGTACAGTAGATGTGTCCCCACCCCATGAGTCTTACAGAATGAAGAATGGGGAGAGGACACAAAATAGATAGATGAATATAGTCCCAATTTGGGGGGTTCCCAAAATTCCATCCACTCTGAGCATCAGGTCACACTTTTGGGTGACCAAATCGCCATTCAGTAGATGCCAGCACACACAAACAAGTTCAATTAATGTGCATGAAGATAGGGGAGAAAGGTAACACTTGCTAAGCATGCCTTCTCTGTTTTGACTACTGGCCATGCCTCCATGGTGGCCACAATCCAGCATTAATCTGAAGGAGGACCTACTCTGAAAGGGTTCCCCCTTGCATAGAAGAACCTACTGCATGGCCACTAGGGGGCCATGGCCTGTGGGTGCACTGATGCTGATGCGCCATGGCTAAAGGGTACATTCCCATTGCCTCCACATGCATTCATTGACCATGTGAGTTGGATCTTCTGAGCAGGTATAGTACCTAGGGTGAGGTCAAGCAAGTAGAAACAGGTTGGGTGGCTTCGCCAAGAGCAAGGAGCAGATGTAGGGCCCAATTCAAATGGGCTTTCCTTCCTCCTCTATAAGTGAAGAGGCACCATTCATCCATACGTGAAAAACAATCATTTTAGGGCAGTGTTACATTGAAAGGGAAAGCTGCTTGAAGGCCATCAGTACTGGCACAGTCTCCTGGGGAAGAGACACAGCTCAGCATCTTCAAGAGCCAGCAGAATGCCAATACGGGTGGATGCCCTTGCATTTCATCAGGGAGAACATTGTACAGCCAGTGAAAACAAACCCTCTGAAGGTGGAGATAACTTCTGAGGCATGACCTGCTGCTATACATCCTTCAGAATCGGTGGAGCTGCTCAGAGTAAGGGCATTTTCACCAAGGCCAACCTGGAATCATCTCTGCTGTAGTGCATTGGTGGGGAATGACCTCTCAGCCAGTGTGGTGTAGTGGTTAAGAGCGGTAGTCTCGTAATCCGGGGAACCGGGTTCGTGTCTCTGCTCCTCCACATGCAGCTGCTGGGTGACCTTGGGCCAGTCACACTTCTCTGAAGTCTCTCAGCCCCACTCACCTCACAGAGTGTTTGTTGTGGGGGAGGAAGGGAAAAGAGAATGTTAGCCGCTTTGAGACTCCTTAAAGGGAGTGAAAGGCAGGATATCAAATCCAAATTCTTCTTCTTCTTCTTCTCTCTGGCCCCAGGCTGCATCCCTGCTCCTCAGACCACACGCTCCACTGCTCCACAGCCTTCTCAAGTTCTCCCGGATGGCCAGAATGTGTCCTTGGAATGTGAGAATGTTTCCTGTTTGTGCAGACAGAGAGAGCTGTGGAGGTGTAGAAACCTTTGGCTTTTGTGTGGCTAAGTGGTAAGATTCTCATTTGATGTCCTACCTACTTTTTGCCTCTGGTCTTACAGCTGGCACACAGCTCCACTCCCAAGCATTACTCCTGAGGGAATGGATCCCTCAACCTGCTGGGTTAGTCCAACTCACTTGCATACTTACTGACATAAGTGTTCAGTGTGGAACATGATGCTCCCATCCCGGCCCAACAAAATTCTGCTTCTGGAGGACAAGCAGTCGCTGGAAGCTTTTTTTCACAATAGTAACACCAAAAGGCATTTGCTGCAGAAGAGTGAGTGGAACAGAAATGGGGAGGGATGGAAGGAGGGAGAGACAAGAACCAATGCAGAGGGCTTATCATTCAGGAGGGTTTCGTGGTGTTTTGTTCAAATCTGTTTGTAACAGGAAAGCAAAACACACATATCACCATACCAGCAAGTGCTATTGGGTAGAGTGAAGTAGGGGAGCTGGGTTCAAAACTGTGATGGATGAAGATGAAAAATTCCAGGGCCCCAACATCATGTGCAGTACCCCTCCCACTGCCCCCTTAAAGTAAATAGGAGGAACAAGTAGCTGGCAACTGAATAAGATGCAGGGAGGGAATGAAAGCTAGGAGTTATTTATCCCAGAAGGTGAGAATAAGAGGGAAGGAAGCAAGAGGAACAAAGTCAATCTCGGTGAGCCCCCAGCCGTAAACCCTCCTGCCACCACAACCATATACCTCCAGCCCCAATTTCAACAACTAAGCAGAGAACAGGGAAGCACACGATCCTGCTGATCATACAAACTGGTCCACAGACATAAACCAGAAGTGCGTTCGAATCTTTGTGTATCTCATTAATGGAGGCCAGAACTCAAATACCATGTTGAAAAACAAACAAACAAATCTCTGCTTACCATTTGTATCAGCAATCTGGGGTATGCAATATCCATCTCAGCTTTTGCATGTGAAAAATGTCATTGCTGGTTTACAAAATGTCACGAGTGTAGCTTGAGATTTGAAAATATTTTTGCTCTTCCGGTTGTCCTTTAGAGACTTACCAGTACAAAAGCAAAGAAGCATCCATATCCCAGAAGCCAGAAGCTTTTTCATCTTCGTTGTTGAGGAAATCCTACCAGTTGGTTCAGATAGTGGCCTCTGTGAACTGGGGAACAAACAGAAATGTGATAATGGAAGAAGCTTAGCAAATATCTCCTCCTTTAAACAGTCTGTGGGACAATCAGTCCTCAAGGGCTGAGGATGATATTCAGGCTGGCAGTGCAGTGTGCGTCCTCCAAGCTGTGAGGCTGATGAACTGCAGATTTCTCCTGTGTCCACTATGCCTTCTTTTTCAGCACCCTCTTACTGAATCTCTGGAAAACCTCTAAAGCAGCAAACCGAGAGTGTGTAAATGTACCACTGGTTTGAAATATGCTAGAATAAGAATTAGCTGTTCTCAACTTCCTCCTCCCAAGCACAGTGTGATGGGCACCTAGCATAATGTCACCCCACAGATCATGCTGAGCCTAGTACATAAGAATGCAGAAAAAGATAACATCAATCCCCAGGAGCAGAAGAACATTGTGGTCTGGAGTTCGCCCACCAAGGCCACTTTTCTGAAAATGCAGGTGGTAGAATGGTGTCTCTTGTGAGCACCAGAACCCAACTCCAGCAAGAGGGAGGCAACTTGTGCACCATTACTTCCAAAATGGTACTCCCAACCCCCCAAATAGTTTTAGGAGCAGAGGGGTGAAAATTCTTGCAGTTCAGTGAACTGTATATCCATGATAGAGCATCTGTTTTGCATGTAGAACATCCCAGGCAGAATTCCCATCACCTCCATGTTCCCCATCTGACACTTTGAAGAGCCACCAACATCCAGTGCAAACCGAGTTATATGGACCAGTGTTCTGACTTGGCATAAGGCATCTTCCTGTTTTCCTTATCACAGGTCTATGAGGGATCCCCCAGGTGACATCTGGAGTGAGCCTCCATAGTGAAGCTAAACTCTAGAATTAGTCACTGTTCCTCCCTCACCTTTGCATTCCGTTTTGCTGGGGTTGTTGTGAAGATGAAGCAAGAGGAGAGACCATTAAAACTGCCCTGAAGCCCTTGGCGGGGAGGGTGGAATCATATATTGTTATGAGTTTGTGGGGAGCAATCCAGATGTTGCCCTGGGTCCCTTCAAAACCTGTGAGCCTGTGTGTGGGAAGCTAAAAGCTATAGGAAGAAGATGGCTGAACCAGTCAGGCAAGTTCCTTTCTCAAGAGAATGACCTTAGACCAGTGGTTTTGAACCAGTGTGCCGTGGCACCCTGGGGTGCCTTGAATGATGGTCAGGGGTGCCACAGGCAACACTGGCCTCAGTCCCTCATTTCTTCCCTTCCTCCTCTGATGCTCTCTCATGTCTCTGCCTCGCAAAGGAGGTTGTTTCTTGCAGCAGCCCTAGCTACAAGCTCCCCAGGCGAATGGTTCTTCTGGGGCTAGCCAGGGGGTACTGGCTGCCAGGACCTGAGGTGCCCTCGTGGTAAGCAAGCAAGTGGGTGAGGGAGCCCAGCCAGTCAGTCCGCCAGCCCTTGCTGTTGGGAAAGTCCAGACAAGTGGGAGACCAGGCAGGCAGGCACCATGCTGGCCTTTCTTGGGCTTGCTGTGTGCAATGCCTACCTGGGAGCTGAGTGCCTGGCACCAAAGGGAAGCATTTCCATCAAGCAGGCACAGCAGTGCCCACTGCTGCCTCCCAAGGTGAGTAAGGTGCTGGCCTCACATTCACCTTGGCCCAGTCTTCATTGGGCCACTAAGGCTGGGGGCATCCTCTTCCCGGGCCCCTGTTGGGCAGTGTAAGGAGGCATCTCTCTTTGGGGCAGGGGGGTGGCAGCTCAGAAACTAGGGGAGGTGGCAGCAGCTGCCCAGAGGACTCCCAAGGAGAGGGGAGAGGAGAGGAGCCTGAGGGAACATTCCACAAGGGAGGGTGTCCATAAAGGGGTGAGGGGCTGCCAGCTCTGCAGACAAGGGGTGATATAACTGGGCTCCTGAGCCCCACAGGGGAGCTGCAGGAGGAATGTAGTTGGTCAAGGGAGCCCTGGACTCAAAAAGATTGAAAACCTCTACCTTAGACACCTACACTTCTGCTTGTCCTATTCCTAGAAAACACTAGTCCGAGGGGTTTACAACACTTTCTAGGCACAGGACTGAGCATTTTTTCCATTTGTCCCACCACTTTCTGTAAGAAAATCAACTGTTGATCACAGAATCAGGGAAAAACACACACCCTGGTTTACATTCCTTTCACATTCAGCAGCAAACAGTGGGCTTTCCCAGAGGAAAGTAGAAGGACAAGCAGAAATGTGGGCGAGTTAAATGCCCACCATTTGCATCTTAAAATAGTGAGCTCTGTTGCCATAGAGACAAATGGGTTGGCCTTTCCTGCCACACCCAGCTGGATGCCATGTCATCCTAGGATGGAGAACAATAGGCCAACAAGGGCTATGTGAGAGTTGTGCTTTGAGATGCTGGAAGCTGGGCACAGGGATGTATCTTGCTCTCGGCTGGACCTGGGGCTTCCATGGAAACCTAACGGGGAAGTCAGATCTGTTGTGATGTTAAGGCTGGGAGTCCCTTCATCCTCTACTCAGGTTGTATCTATGTGTATATAAAATCATATATCCTAAAGATACCACAGACTCCATTGACCTTCATTCCAAAGAAACCAAACACTGGGTAAGTGCTGGCATGCTTGGAGTCTCTCGCCACTCGGACAATGGGATTGCATGAAATGACATCGTATGCTCAGGTTTGCTTATATTAGTTTCCTGTATTCGTTAGTTAATGAAAGAACACACACAGCACACTTTTGGTAGTTCAGATGAAGTTTGGTTGGTTTTAATCAAAGCCATTTCTTGCCAGAGACAGAAGCAAGTTGCGGAAGTTTCAAATGACACGCTGCCAGTTGTATCTTTCTGCTCAGTGTTTCCTGTGCTTTAATACAGAACAGCCTTTGGAGCTATTAATTCAGTCAAATAAATGCAATTCAAAGAGGATCAGGTGGGCAAAACACTCCAAGTTTTCATTTCTGCTGAACTTCCGCCCACCCCAAGTACTTTTCTACATATGGATGACAACATAAATTCCTACCTTGCGAGTTGAATGCCTTGTGAGTCAAACGTTTTGGCTCCCGAATGCCGCAAACCCAGAAGTGAGTGTTCTAGTTTGCAAACGTTCTTTGTAACCCAAATGTCCGACAGGGCTTCCATGGCTTCCAATTGGCTGCAGGAGCTTCCTGCAGCCAATTGGAAGCCGCGCTTTGGTTTCCGAAGATTTTGGAAGTCGAACGGACTTCCAGAATGGATTCCCTTCGACTTGAGAGCCAGTGTGGTGTAGTGGTTAAGAGAGGTAGACTCGTAATCTGGTGAACTGGGTTCGCGTCTCCGCTCCTCCACATGCAGCTGCTGGGTGACCTTGGGCTAGTCACACTTCTCTGAAGTCTCTCAGCCCCACTCACCTCACAGAGTGTTTGTTGTGGGGGAGGAAGGGAAAGGAGAATGTTAGCCACTTTGAGACTCCTTCGGGTAGTGATAAAGCGGGATATCAAATCCAGACTCCTCCTCCTCTTCTTCTTCTTCTTCTTCTTCTTCTGAGGTACGACTGTACTGTATAGCCACTGGAACCATCTCAAGAGCTGGACCTTGAAGTCTGATCTCAGCATCCTAGAATAAGTTGAAAGGTTGATGGGGCCAGAAGGACAGGGCAGTTTTATAGTAGCAGCTAGTTATCTGCCTTAAAAGCACCCTTCCTGGGATAGGGTGGGGAGCAAGGAGCCAAAATAAAAGAAGAGCAATCGATTTCTAAAAAGGCCAGCTACTCTTGCTCACGCACAGAAGGAACCATATGGGGAGATTATCCAGATAGAGTATCGGTGGGAGGAAAACTGGAAAGCTTCCTTCATAGACTCTCACCTGACTCCAAAGACCTCTCTGGTTCTGTTAGCACAGCACATGGAAGAAGGGAAGAAATTAGCATTATGGCTGATGGTGGCAGCTGCAGATTGGGAAAGGGGGCCATGCTGAAATCTGTCCTCCAATTTCTCAGAAGAGCAACAAGGTGGGAGAAGGGGAAAACCTGAGTGACAAGAGCACGTTGCTTCTGATGTCTTGACACTGAGGTTGTGGCTGCTCTAAGCTACGCTAGCCTATTTATTGCAATATTCGCTGTGACAGCAAATGAACTCATTCCACATGAAAAGATCCTCTGATTTGGAATTTTGACAATTCTGGACGCAACCAACGTCAGAAATGACCATGCTGTTTCCTGGAAACCAAAAGAGAGAGAACATAAGGGACCTTGTGTGATATAAGGGGCAATCTTTATTAGCTGCTGATCTTTCTTTATAGCCTGAGATCTCATTTAGCAGAACTTTGTATTTTACACATATGCTCACAGCAGGTACCTCAACAGAATGAGCTCTAGTTCTGTGCTGGAATTTTCATTGACACAAGCTCGCAGATGATTAAAATTGAGCAGGAATTTGAACAAAAATGGAAGAGGGAAAATATCTGAAGAAGTTTTCAAGAAAGTTGGGATATATCCCAAGAGCCTTTGTGGTCTATATCAGTTTACAGAATGAAGGGGAAGGGACACAACATACTTAGATGTAATGATTATCAATTTAGAGGATTCCCAAACTTCCATCCTTTCTCTCTGAGCATCCAGTTACACTTTTGAGTGACCAAATCCCTTTTCAGAAGATGTCCACACACAACACAAACAGGTTCAATTAACGTGCATGAGGGAGGAGAGCAATAAGATACTTTCTAAGCATGCCTTCTCTGTTCCGACCTGACTGCCCATCAGGTCTCTCTGGTGGCCACAGTTCAGCATGGATCTGAAAGGGGGTCTACTCTGAAGAGGTTCCCTCTTGAATAGAAGAGCTCAGTGCATAAACATTTGAGGCTCCCATTAGACCTACTGTGTGGCCACTGACAATCTGTGAAGCGGAGCCTTTCCCAACTGTGGGACCCCAGATGTTGATGGACTACAACTCCCATCATTCCTAGCTAGCAAGACCAATGGTCAGGGATGATGGGCATTGTAGTCCAACAACATCTGGGAACCCAAGGTTGAGAAAGGCTGATGTAGACAATACTGAGCCAATGGTCTGACTTCAGCATGAGGAAGCTTCCTATGTTCCAGCTGACTTATGTTTGCTTAAGTGATACGGGGCAGGAGTGTAAGGTTATTGCTTTGCCTTCTAGCATCTATGGCCTGAGGTGAGCACTTCACTGCCTAATGGTAGGGTTGGCCCTGATCATTATCCAAGAAGAATCCTGAGGAAAAGAGAAATCTGCTAGCTCCAGTTTTCAGTGAACCTTGGGTAGGGATGGTGAGAAAATCATATCAGTTTCCACTTCCTGAAACAATATGTGACCTGAAACCTAGCTATCCTTCAAAATTTGCACTTTTCTGAATGTTGTGTTGCCATTCTCAGGGGTGGGGTGGGGAATGTGTACAAAAAGGTATATCTTGCAGAGAAGCATGCCTGAAACAGGCATATATTGTTGACAGCAATGTGCAAAAAATGCATTGTTTTAGGAGTAATTGCTGGCATATTGAAATGCAACACACTTTTGCGAGGTCTTTTAAAAAACAACAACCCGGTAAACTAATGTGGATATAGGGTGTACTTGAGCTTTGATGCTGGGGAGAAAATGTATCTCTACTCTTGAGGGAGGGAATTGATTGTTAAACCACTTAGGTTTCATAATGTCAATACAGCCAAAAGAGGAGACAAAAGCTGTAATCCTACACCCACTCACATAGGAGTAAGTCCTATTAACCTCAGCGAGAATTACTTCTGTTCATGCATGTATAGGATTGCACGGAAAGGTGCTACAAACTGGAATCCCCCTCCTTGGTATTCAAATCAGTCAAATGTTGGTTTCACTCCAACTTCTCTAGAGGTGGAGAGAACTTCTGGGACATAACCAGCTTTTGTGAATCCTTCAGAACCACAAGGGAGGCTTGCTGAGAGCAAAGGTATTTTCACTGAGACCCATTTGGAAGCACCCTCATGGGAAGGCAGGGGTGGGGAACCTCAGGGCTAGGGGCTCCCCTAAGCCACACCCCCTCTCCCCAGGCCACGCCCCTTGCTAGTCCTGCTCGACCACCACCCCCCATAAGTACTTTTGGCTGGCCAGAATACTGTACGTCCTTGGACTGTCACAGTGCTGCTTCTTTGCCCTGATAGAGATGCGTGTAGATGCCTTCAGCTTTTGTGTGGCACAAAATGTATGAATCACATTTGTTGTTCTGCCCACTTTTGCCACTGGCCCTACTAGCGGCTGGATCCCTCAGGCTGAACATTGTGCCCTTTCCCTGCTAAGTCAACCCAGCCGTGCTTTTCCTTGCAGTCTTACCAATGTAAACGTTGCTTGTGAAGCATGCCGCTCCCTGCCCAGCCCAACACATTTCTTCTCCCTCGGGACAAGGCAACATTGGGATCGGCTTGTCACAAGAGTAGCACCACATGGCATTTGCTGCAAATAGTAATTATTATTATTGTTGTTGTTTATTATTATTTATACCCCGCCCATCTGGCTGGGTTTCCCCAGCCACTCTGGGTGGCTTCCAGCTAAATATTAAAATACAATAATCCATGAATATTAAAAGCTTCCCTAAACTGGATTGCCTTCAGATGTCTTCTAAAAGTCAGATAGTTGTTTATTTCTTTGACATTCCACAGGGTGGGCGGCACTACAGAGAAGGCCCTCTGCCTGGTTCCCTGTAACTTCGATTCTCGCAGTGAGGGAACCGCCAGAAGGCCCTTGGCGCTGGACCTCAGTGTCCAGGCAGAACGATGGGGGTGGAGATGCTCCTTCAGGCAAAAGAGTTAGAGGAACAGAAATAGGAGAGAGAAGAGAAAAATGGAGAGACAAGAAATCAACGCAGAGGACTTATCGTACAGTTTTTTTTGTTGAAATCTGTTTGTAACAGAGTTTTGTTTTTTTTAAGCACCATTTGGTAGAGTGAAGTATGAGACCCAGGTTCAAACCTGAGATAGGTGATGGGGAAGAATGCCAAGGCCCTTCAAAAAATGTACAGTGCTTCCCAACCCAACAGACTCCAATTGGGATTGCCTGGGAAGTGTAGCTCTGAGAAGAATTCAAGCCTCCTAACAACTCTCAGACACTACAGTTCCCAAGATTCTTTGGGGGGAAGCCATGGCTATTTAAAGTGGGATGATACTGCTTGAGTGTGGATGGTTCCTGTAACTGACAGATTCTTCCATCCCATCCATGTCATTGGTGGAATGCATGTGGATGTTGTCAGTGGCGGGCAGGGAGCAAAGAGACCCTATTAAAAAAAGAAAAGTCAACCTTATGCTCATACAGTGGACACTTGGGTTGTGAACGTGATCCGTGCAGGATGCACGTTCGCAACCCGCAGCATTCGCAACCCAATGAGCAAAGCACAATTTAGCACTTCTGTGCATGCACAACTGCCAAAACCCGGAACTAACCCCTTTCCAGTACTTCTGGGTTTCAGCGGTCCACAACCCAAAAAAACGCAACCTGAAGCAGCTGTAACCTGAGGTATGACTGTATAGCAGAAGCAGGAAACACAAAATTTTAGTTAAGCCTAACACAGGATTTACAAGTTGTTATGATCTTGCTCCGAGACTGGAAACTCTTTCCAGTTTTCAACTTACCAGTGGAAAAGCTGAGAAACATCCATAGCCCCCTAACCAGAAACTTGTTCATCTTCACCTGTTGGGTTGCTGACATCGCTTGCCGTTGTTTTAAATGATGAGTAAGGTCTTCCTAGTTGGATTATGAGAACAGAAGGAAAGCCTTTGTTGGATCATATTGAAGGTCTGTCTAGTCCAAGCTCCTGCTTCGCACAGTGGCCAGAATGATGCTTCCAGGAAGCCCACAAGCAAGAGAGGTGGTTGCCCTCAAGGACATGCTGCCTGCATCTTAGAGGCTGCTTATAGCCATCACAACTAGCATCCATTTAAAGCCTTGGCCACCAGCTTAGATGGAGGTTATCACCCTGTGAATAAGTGCTTCCACCTGGCTGCCCTGAATCTCCCTCCCTTCAAGATGATGATCTCCGTCAATTGAAAAATAAGACAGAGAGTAAAACAAAATAAACAGGGGATTGTGGGTCACGTTTAGCAAATCCAGCTGACTAATTACCTCCTGGGACGGTCAATCCTTAACTAGCCTGGGGATGATCTCGGAGCTGGAACATGCAAGGGATAGCACAGTGCTGTTCAAAGTGTGTGCTTGATGCACTCAGGATTTTGCCTGCCTGCCTCCCTACCTTCCTTTCAGCAGCTCTCTTAATGGGATTTCCAGGAGAGCTCTGAAGCAGTAAACCAAGAAAGAGCACAGGAATGCCCCATCACAAACTGATTTAAAATAGGATAGGAATCAGCTGTGCCAACAAGCTAGAGGTTCTCTAGCTTCTTCTCCCACTCCCAGCACACAGCGATGGGAGCACAGTAGTTGATGTTCCTCTTAGATCATGCTGAGCCTACGTAGGCAGGTAGGCATTCATAATATCAATGCTCGTAGGCAGCTGAACACCATGGGTTGCAGGTTCGGTTCACCCACCGAAGCCATAAAAATCTCTGTTTTTATATTGTAAAGTGCCCTGGGATCCTGCCCTAGCAGTATAGAAATTTAATTAATTAATTAATACACATCTGGAAATGCTGACTAAATAATGGCATCTTCTCTGCTGGGTTGCAGTATTGGTGGGGCAATTAGTACAAAGGTAGCCCTTTGCTAGGTCAACAATCCCACATACAGCTGTAGTGTTGTGTCACACTGCAGGGCGTAGGTGTGGTGTAGTGGTTAAGAGCGGTGGACTCGTAATCTGGTGAACCGGGTTCACTTCCCCGCTCCTCCACATGCAGCTGCTGGGTGACCTTGGGCTAGTCACACTTCTCTGAAGTCTCTCAACCTCACTCACCTCACAGAGTGTTTGTTGTGGTGGAGGAAGGGAAAGGAGATTGTTAGCTGCTTTGAGACTCCCTAGGTTAGTGATAAAGCAGGATATCAAATCCAAACTCTTCTTCTTCTTCTAGGTGCAGACTGAAAGAGCAACGCCAAATCCCCACGCTGGGTGGAGAATGAGGTATGGTCATGTCAGTGCCTTTTTTAAGGGCAATGATGCAACCCTCTCCCGAATTGTTTCAAGGGAAAGGGGTTTTGCCATTGTTGCAGCTGATGGGCTACTTCTTGTTGTTGTCTCTTTTGAAGGCCCCACTATATCATTTGGTTTTTTCTTTTCTGATATGTTTAATTGAATTGCATTACTGCAGTGGGATCGCAACTTACACTGGTTTGACTCATGCAATCGCAGCTTTACATGGATTGCCAATAAATAAATAAATAGAAAAGAGGCGGGAGACGCTTGCTTATTTATTTATTTTTATTGGATTTATATGTTAGGATATAGTTCCGTTCCACCTTAAAAGGGTACAGGCATGACTATTGTGTGTCACATGCCTGTTTACATTTCCAGCACAGTCTGCTGGGAACTTCCGTTTTGTATATTGCTTTTGCTTTGCTGTTTAGCTGGACACAAAGGGAAGCAGACATGTTTTTTCCTTTGCTCCTGAACTATGCTGAATAAATGCTGTAAATATGCTTACACACGATTCTGTCCGCCACTTCTGTTGTGATAAGATTTATTCACTCTGCTGATAGAGCAGGCACAGCTTCTAAACGTATCTGAGGCTCGTGTCGCTGATTGATGCTGTTCCAAGGGATCGCTGTTCCAAAGGATACTGTTCCAAGGTGATCGCCCGGCTGCCGGCCGGTGGCTGGAGCCAGCTGGGGGCCTTCCTGATGCCCCCGTCTCCCCAGCAATATCCCATACCCGGAGATCTCAGGGCGGTTCATAGAACAAAATCAAATTATAAAACCACAATATACATAATCAAAATAAAAACAACAACCGAATAACACTCCCCCCCCCCAAAAAAAGAACCTCATTCTAAAAGGGTGTTGGATGTCAATCAAATCAACAAAAGGCCTGGTTAAAAAGGAACATTTTTGCCTGGTGCCTAAAGGCGTATAATGAAGGCGCCAAGCGAACTTCCCTGGGGAGAGCATTCCACAGATGGGGAGCCACTGCAGAGAAGGCCTGTTCTCCTCCTGGGCTCTGGAGGCTACCACAAGATCTCTGGAGGCTCTCATGAGATCTTGGATGGCAGGAGAGGATCCAGGGGTTGTTCTGACTTAGCACAATTTTGCCTTTACACTCAACCCTGTATATACTTTAAAAACACTATAATCCACTTTGGGTATGATTTGATGGGAAAGGGGCCAAGGGGCCTGTAACACAGACTATTTTAGAGCTTATTTTTGTAATCCCTTCTGAGAGCCTTTTTGCCTGAACGACAGGGTAAAAATGCTGTAAGTAAGCACATAAAATAAAATGGATAGCTCAGCTGGTTAGAGTGTGGTGCTGATAACACCAGGGTTGCAGGTTCAATGCCTGTTTGGGATGGCTGCATATTCCTGCATAGCAAGGGGCTGAACTACTAGATGATCCTCAGGGTCCCTTCCAAATCTACAATTCTATGATTCTATGAAATAAATGAGAATCAACTCAACACACTCATTTGCTTTCTTCCCCTCTTGGACAACATATACTTTATTTTGCAAGTGTTCTCTCTTTATACAGACAAAAAAGTTCACAGTGTTGTACATTTAAGTATGGTCAGACGAAAGCACAGTCAGAGATATTATTGCTGTCTGTTCAACAAAGGACTTCAGCTCCTAGTCATGCCATGTCATCCACTGTCAATCAAGGTGAACCGAAAGGTAGGGTTTTGACACAATCTAAGAGAACTGGAGGGGAGGGGAGCACTATGGAGTTAACACTGAAACCTGCAAATAATAATTGCATAAATAGCTCTTGTAAAATCATTATTAAAAGGTTTGATCAGGGAACGAAGCAGCAGGAATAACCTTTTTATCCAAATCCCATAAAATTGTTTCCACATTGTTTTTAATAAAAGTTACCATTTAGTTAGGGACGCGGGTGGTGCTGTGGGTAAAACCTCAGTGCCTAGGACTTGCTGATCGTAAGGTTGGCGGTTCGAATCCCCGCGGCTGGATGAGCTCCCGTCGTTCGGTCCCAGCTCCTGCCCACCTAGCAGTTTGAAAGCACCCCTAAGTGCAAGTAGATAAATAGGTACCGCTCCGGCGGGAAGGTGAACGGCGTTTCCGTGTGCGGCACTGGTGCTGGCTCGCCAGTTGCAGCTTCGTCACCCTGGCCACGTGACCCGGAAGTGTCTTTGGACGGCGCCGGCTCCCGGCCTCTTGAGCGAGATGAGCGCGCAACCCTAGAGTCGGTCACGACTGGCCCGTACGAGCAGGGGTACCTTTACCTTTTTTTACCGTTTGAATATTTTAAAAAACCAAAAAAAAAATCCCAAAGGACTGAAGGATGCAGACATTAAGTTGCCAGAAAACGGAGGAACAGAGAAGCTAAGCTTAGTAAAGCTGCCAGATATTATTTTTATTACAGTAATCTGTTTGGCAACAATAAGTATACTTTATGTAGTCGGTGCTCAAGTTGGTGACTGTTACACAAACTGAAGTGCAACCGCGGTGCACTCGCCTGATATTTCCCCCTGCAAATGAAAAGTAGGAAAGAGGAGATTACAGAGGATCTGCACAGAGAATCCCTGAGTGTTGGTACATGCTCATCATTTCTACGCATGACTCGTGTTTTATAAGCTTCCTCCATACTGTGTTGAAATATGAGGATAGGTGGGGTTTGTCTGTGCTTGATTTTGCTTGTGCATGCATGTTCATGAAGCAGATGGGGAAAATTAAAAATAATTTTAAAATTCTATTAGTCCTGTCTTCCAATGCTAGGACAGGGATTTATGCTATATATGTATATATATGTATATATATATATATATATATATATATATATATATATGAATTCTGGGCAACAGGGGTGCCAACTTGAATAACATATGGGGGGCAAGTAAGCTCCGTCCCACATAATCGATCACAAGATGTGGCACACTCACACCATTTGATTTGCAATGCCCATCAACTCGGGGGGGGCAGCTCCCTCAAATATTTTATTTGGGGGGGACTAAGGGGACCTTGGCCCGTAGGAGTAGGCTCCTATGCTGGACAATGTAGTTTGTTAAGGGTTTCCAGGAGTTGTAACTCTCTCAGGGTGACTACAGTGCCCAGAATTATCTGACGGGGGAAATGTGCTTAGTATAGTGTGCTTGCAGTAAATTAATTCACATTAAATTGAATTTTGGAATGAATGCATTTCAAACTACTAGTTCTCGCAAGCCTGCTTCTTTTAATACTTCACACAACTCTAAAAGTAAATTGCCCATACAATTATTTCCCACAGAATCACCTTTGGAAATTCTTTGAATGAAGCAGAATCTGCTGGGAGAGACATCACAGATTTTCTGTTTTGAACATGTGTTATCTTTTCTAACTCTGGTACATTTGTGGCATTTAAGTCCTCCAACTGTATGAGCAAACAGAAAGGGGAAGAATGTGAGGTCAAAAATATAGATATAAACATACCAAATACAATCCATCTTGAGAAAATGGTCAGACAGGCCAATGGCTAGGGATGAGTTCAGAAGGATCTCATAGAATTCTTGCCACAGCAAGCAGTGGTGAGTTAAGGCTGGCGGCAGGCAACTTTTTCCTCAGGGGAATATGGTCAGGGGAATATGCTGGCAGCAGATGGGTCAAAAGCCCAATGGAGGTGATGACACCAGACCCCCCAAGTGTCCCTATTTTCCAGGGACAGACACAGATTTACAGAAGCCATCCTGGTTTCTGATTTGATCCCGGAATGTCCTGCTTTTCCTTACGACCTCCCTATTTTCATCAGTGAAATGTTGGAGGGTATGGATTTATCCAAACCCCCGAGCCATCTGAAGACAGCCCTGTATAGTTTTTTAATGGTTAATGTTTTATTATGCCCTTACATATGTTGGAAGTCAGTCAGAGGAGCGGGGTATAAATTGGAAAAATATTATTATGGAATAGCACGTCCCTATTTTCAGCAGAGAAATGTTGGAGGGTATGTGACATCCTCTCTCTCTCTCTCTCTCTCTCTCTCACACACACACACACACACACATACTCCCCAAAATGTCTGCACCCCTGTGTGGGTATCAGCTTCCACTTGCACCCTGCCTCCCTCCCACCTCCTGGGACCCCCCCCCCTTACTAGCTTGCATCCAGCAGGTCTGTCCAGATGTACTAGAGGGCCACATAGAGAAAGGTTGGCACTTTCAGAAGACACCATATGAGGAGAGGAAATGCCCATGTAGAAGAGTAGAAGAAGAAGAGTTTGGATTTGATATCCCGCTTTATCACTACCCAAAGGAGTCTCAAAGCAGCTAACATTCTCCTTTCCCTTCCTCCCCCACAACAAACACTCTGTGAGGTGAGTGGGGCTGAGAGACTTCAAAGAAGTGTGACTGGCCCAAGGTCACCCAGCAGCTGCATGTGGAGGAGCGGAGACACGAACCCAGTTCACCAGATTACGAGTCCACCGCTCTTAACCACTACACCACACTGGCTCACATGTGACTCTGGGCAACTGGAAACAACGGAGCATGCCTTTTTTCACTGCCAATACTATACAGATATACGAGCTAGGTTCATCTTGCCTACACTACATAAATTCCCAGGTTTCACAGAACAACTTTATACCTCCCTGCTGCTTGAAGATGAAAACCCAGATGTTACATACTCAGTTGCTAGATTCTGCACTGCCATGATGCATATGCATTGAAGGATGGTTTGTGCCACAAACTAGGCTCAAAATGCAAGACCTTTGCTCCTTCACGCTCCCTCCCTAATACAGTGGTACCTCGGGTTAAGTACTTAATTCATTCCAGAGGTCCATTCTTAACCTGAAACTGTTCTTAACCTGAAGCACCACTTTAGCTAATGGGGCCTCCTGCTGCTGCCGCGCCGCCGGAGCAATATTTCTGTTCTCATCCTGAAGCAAAGTTCTTAACCCAAGGTACTATTTCTGGGTTAGCGGAGTCTGTAACCTGAAGCGTATGTAACCCGAGGTACCACTGTAGTCGCTTTTAACAGTTTGTCCTTTCTATCTTTTTAAGTACGTATGATATAATCATCTTTGAATTACTTGGGTTTGTTTGTTTCTTATCCCTTATGTGTTTTAAGTCTTATGTGTTCAGTTTATCTGTATGTTTTATCTTATGCTGGTCTGTGACCGAAAAAAAGTTTGATACTGATACTGAGAAAGGCTGAGCACCACATGTGACCTGAAAGGCATGGATTGCACACCTGTGAGTTAAGGGAATGGTTCTGCCCTTTAGAAAAATGTTGGGACACTTGTCAAAAACTCCTTGTTTTGCAGAGAGGCAGTGTGGTGTAGTAGTTACAGAGTCAGATCAGTGGCGGTGTTTTTGAGCTCAAGCCAAATAAAAGAGAATAATATTACCACAACAGATCCTAGCTGAAGTAAAGGTCACAGGAAGTTACAGAGGCTAAAGTTTAGCTCGGAAGTATCTCAAGGAATTCTTAATCACAGTAGGCAGCAATGATTTAAGGCAGCGGTTCTCAACCTGTGGGTCCCCAGATGTTGTTGGACTACAACTCCCATCATCTCTGAGCTCTGGCCTTGCTAGCTAGGGGTGATGGGAGTTGTAGTCCAACGACATCTGGGGACCCACAGGTTGAGAAAGGCTGATTTAAGGGGTTGTATATGTATGTGTGCACATGTGGGTTTATGTGCAGATAGACAAATACATTCTCTTTCACACACACAGGTATAGATCCCTCCAAAAATGTTTCCCAGAACAGCTTACAAACTATGTCAACACATATACAGTGGCGGAGCAAGCTGATTGGGCGCCTGGGGCGTCACACATTCAGGACCATTCACCTCTGAGGAGTCTGCCTGCCTCCTCCCATTCAGCCACCCTACAGCTGAGGGAGAGGCAACAGGTGGACTGTTTGGGGCAGCGCGGAGCCTGCGGGTGCTCAAGCCACCACATCACTCCCAGGAGAAACGCGCGATTCGGGCGCACTGCAGGCCCTGTGGTGAGTGCCGCCCACCATTTTGTCACCACTCTTAGTGGGGATACCCAGGGTGGACCGCACCCACCGCACCCCTCTTGCTACGTCCCTGCACATATATAATACTAAAAAACAACAACATTAAAACTCTTTTGAACATTTTAAATTTCTGTTCCTTAAACCAGTATGAAAAGCCAGCATAAGTCATATGAAGCTATATGAAACATTTGAGGAGGGTGCTTTAAAGAGAGGCCATATAGCACCGAAACTTGGAAAGGGACCTGGAAGACATAGTGGGTAGTGTCCAACCAAATTGCCTCTGGAGCAGGCCCAGGGGAAACAATACACTGAAGTTAGGCATCATGACTAACTTCTCTGTTGGTTTCAATGTGTCCACCCTATGACCTAGTTGGGTACCATGTATCAGCTTATAGAAAGAGACATTGAAATCCTCTCAATGGGCTGTACTGGGGGAGAGGGGATGTCAGGGAACTGCCATCAGTGCCGGAGGGAGAGAGCAAAAGCCAGAGGGATTCCAGAGAGCGTCCAGGGATCAGGAGAAGCAGCCCATCTTCTGGGGAAGAGAATCAGCGTAGCACCAGTGGAGAAGGGGGGCAGATGGGGGAAGCGGCGAGGCAGTCCCATGACTCCTTGCCTGGGACCAGCGGGGAGAGTAGGGGTCCTCCGTTGCCCACGCCCTCCTTGCGCAGAAGGCTTTCGCGCAGAGAGAGTAGGAGGAGACTAGGCGTCAAAGAGCTTCTTTGCTGGAAGAAGTTTAAGAAACGCCCACTGACGGATTCTGCCAGCGATTGAGACAGCCACGGGTGAGTGGCTGTCTGGACAGAAAAGGTTCACTTTGGCAACCCAGCCAGGTGTTTGCACCCAGCTGGGGAGATAAGCACCGGCTTACGCACGAGCAACCCCTAGAACCATTACAGGAGATATCCCTGCCTTTAGGACTTACCTGCTGCTAAAGAGAGTATTATCAAGAAGCCAAGAGCTACAATCTTATTCATCGGAGCCTTCATTCTAAAAGGATCAGATAGGAAAATAAACCCATGAATCCGATCTAGAAAGCATGCAAGGTATTTAGTACCTTAGATATGACTTGTACAGGCTAACAGAAAAGTTATTTTTTACCCTTTCAATTGTTTAGAAATCTTAAAAATAAAAAAAATGAGAACATACAATTTAATAACACATTTCCACTTTAGTTTGTGGATTTTTTCGTGGGGGGGGGGAGTCATGAAAAAGAACCAACATTTTAGTGCAAATTTCTCCTATTACACACATGTAATGCAATTTCCCCCATTTTTTGGCAAAGCGATTTCCCCTTACAAATACATCTTGCATGTTATTTTCACTAATATATGCATGTATAAGCACACCTGACCCCAGTTTCTGATTTTTGTACACATTACTTGCATTGCAAAATTCAGAAACTTGTGCAAATTTTGAATGATTGCTTTCTTTGGTTTGCACATAGCTTTAGAAGGGGCAAATTTGGTGAGCTTGCCTTTTAATGGAAATTTCTCCCCCATCTCTAGTAAACAACAGCTCTGGATCTTCCATATGCATATGTGGCTAATGCTCTGGCCCCAAAGTGACTGCAGAGATATCATCTACTCCTTTGGAATTCCATGGAATTCTAGTCAATACTGAAAGCAGAACTCCATGGCAGGTTGTGAGATCCATCTCCACAGGAGCGGGGCTCATCCTATCGCAGAGGATCTCTTGCATACCCTGCTTCCTCATTAACCCCTTCTTATATCCAAAGTAGTGGGGCGCGGGTAGCGCTGTGGGTTAAACCACAGAGCCTAAGACTTGCTGATCAGAAGGTCAGCGGTTCGAATCCCCGCGACGGGTTGAGCTCCCGTTGCTCAGTCCCTGCTCCTGCCAACCTAGCAGTTCAAAAGCACGACAAAGTGCAAGTAGATAAATAGGTACCGCTCCGGCGGGAAGGTAAACGGCGTTTCCGTGCACTGCTCTGGTTCACTAGAAGCGGCTTAGTCATGCTGGCCACATGACCTGGAACCTGTACACCGGCTCCCTCAGCCAATAAAGTGAGATGAGCGCCACAACCCCAGAGTCGGTCACGACTGGACCTAATGGTCAGGGGTCCCTTTACCTTTATATCCAAAGTAATCAGACATCAGGCAACATCACTTCTGTTAAAACTTGGAGCCAGAACTCAAAGAGCAGAATGGATAAGGATGCAACCATATCTCACCTGGTGGCAGTAAAAGCCACTTGCTAAGCACCTCCCAGTCCTTGCTGGAAAATAGCAGGCAATGTTCTCCTTGAAGTTTCACCAAAATCCAGACAGGGGTCTTAGATGCTTCTGCTGGGAAGGAAGTGCATTGAAACGTTCCACAGACGACGGGCATTTGGTTTTTGATGAAATTGAGTTTCTCACTGGGAAAAGGTCAGTGCATGGGCAGCCCAAGCTGGTGGCATTTTCATGAGGCCACAAAGTGCACCATGACCCTGTTGGGTGGAGGACCTCTAGTAAAGATCAAATAATGATGCCGTGGGCTGGTTGGGCCATTGGTACATTGGCTAATATTTACAACAAAAGGTTATTTTAAAAGCCCAGCATTCCAGGCTGTGTAGGCACTATCCAGGGGTCAGCAAACTTTTTCAGCAGGGGGCCGGTCCACTGTCCCTCAGACCTTGTGGCTGGCCGGACTATATTTTTTTTGGGGGGGGGATATGAATGAATTCCTGTGCCCCACAAATAACCCAGAGAAGTATTTAAATAAAAGCACACATTCTACTCATGAAAAAACATGAGGCAGGCCCCACAAATAACTGAGAGGTGCATTTTAAATACAAGGACACATTCTACTCATTTAAAAACACACTGATTCCCAGACCATCCGCGGGCCGGATGAGAAGGCGATTGGGCCGGATCTGGCCCCCGGGCCTTAGTTTGCCTACCCATGCACGATCCATTTAAAGCAGAACAAAGGCACAATCTCCCCCTCCCAAAGAATCCTGGGAACTGTTGTTTGTTAATGGTGCTGAAAACCGTGACTCTGAGAGGGGTAAACTACAGTTCCCAGGCTTCTCGGAGGGGGGCGCTTGAAAGGTACGCAGCCCTAGACTATGCGTATGTCAAGAGGATTCAGGAAGGACTTGGTCTGTTATAGCTCTTTCTCTGACAACTGAGGTATGGTTAGTCATGAGCCCATTGAAACTTTTCATCAGGTCAGGAAATTTCAGCAACAGAGAAACCATGCCAGGGAAAGTGGCCCAGTTTCAATTGAAATAATTTTTATTAATTTTTCCAACATACATTTAAAATATCCAATCAAAATTTTCACATCTTATCTCTTTTAGACTTCCTTCAGCCTCTCTAACAATCATCCATATTTCAATTTTTTTAACTACGCATTTCCTAATTTTTATATTGCATTTTATATACCTTCATCCTCTTAATTTTTCCGTAACAATATTCCTCAAACATTCACAGAACTTCTTGAAATCCCACTAGCGTTATTTGCTCATCACATATACATTTCAAATAATCAGAAAATTTTCCCCAGTCTTCGATGAACTTTTGGTCTCGTAGATATCTGATCTTCCCTGTTAGTTTATCCAGTTCTGCATACTCCATCAATTTCATTCTCCATTCTTCTAACGTCGGCAATTGTTCCTGAAAGTGGCCCAGTTTCATGTTGGCCAACTACTGTCGGACACTCGCCAGGGAAGCCTGGGTAGCTTGTTTGGTTAAGAGCATGGTGAGGATGACGCCAAGGCTACAGGTTCAAATCCCATATGGGACAGCTGCATATTCCTGCATTGCACGGGGGTGGACTAGATGATCCTTGGGTCCCTTCCAACTCTTAAGATTCTATGATCCCTGAAGAGGTGCACCCAATGGCAAAGTGGTCAAGATCCTGAGCAGCTATACAAGCAATGCAGCATTGGACACAGAAGCTGGATTTGACCAGCACATGTTGCAGGTACATCTTCCTCGATTAATAAACTATTATGGATCTTTAAGAAACAGCCACCAATTTTGCGTTTCCATTGTCATATTCATGTTCAGCACCTTGATATCAAATAAAGATTGCTACTTTTATCTCAGAGACATGACTTTTGAGGGGGGGAATTGTGCAGTGCATTGCCTCTTTCTTGTCTGAATGGAGAACTGGCGGGGGGGGCTGCTAGTCTACTGCTCAAAAGCATTGCTCTCTTCCGGTTTGACTCTGGCCCACCCACCCACCCAGCCCTTGAAAGATTGCCCAGAAGGGATGTAGCCCTCAGGCTGGAAAACGTTCCCCACACCTGCGTTATAGCCTTCTCCAACCAGTTGCCTGGCCCTCCCCCCAAACCGGGGAAATTAGCCTTGATGACAGAGCATTCACTTTGCATGCAGATGGTCCCAGGTTCAAAACCAGCATCTCCAGGTTGATCTGGGAATTCCCCCCCCCCCGAAACCTTGGCATGCTGCTGCCAGTCAGTGTGTGCAGTAAAGTGCTAGATGGACCAATGAGCTGAATTGCTAAGAGGCAGCTTCCTATGCTGTATCCTGGGTTAGCCCCTCTGCTAACTCAAGGGAGACTAATTTCTTCCAATTTGCCCTCCCTCCAACATCCTCCCTCATCACCTCTCCCACTGTTCCAAATAGAGGATTCAGAACCCAGTCATCCTCTATTTTGGTGCATTTTTGGGAGGCAGCACGACCAGGCGCCGCCTACATGACAGGCCCCCTCATTGGAGCCAGGCTGTGGCACATGAGAAGAGTATGGATTTGATATCCCGCTTTATCACTACCCAAAGGAGTCTCAAAGTGGCTAACATTCTCTGTTCCCTTCCTCCCCCACAACAAACACTTTGTGAGGTGAGTGGGGCTGAGAGACTTCAGAGAAGTGGGACTAGCCCAAGGTCACCCAGCAGCTGCATGTGGAGGAGCGGAGATGCGAACCCGGTTCCCCAGATTACGAGTCCACTGCTCTTAACCACTACACCACATTGGCTCTCCGAGGCAGCTTCCTCATGCCCTGCCACATTAGTTCCACTTCCGGGTCAAGCCTGACGCAGAGACGCAAGTCTCAGAAAGGTGGTGTTGTCCATCTCTGATTCTAGGTCTTGCAGCTCCATGCCCCCTCCTGGTCATGCCTGACCAAGGGGTGGGAGCGGCGGGCTACAGTGGGTGAGTGTGCCTCCTGGTAGCATGCCCCACCCCCAGCACGCCCCCACCCCCGGTGAGCCCACACCACGGAGTTGGGGGCATGGCAGCAAGGTGGTGATGGCCCAGTTTGTTGCTGCTGCTTGGATCATAGCTGTCAACCTTCCCATTTTTTGCGAGAAATTCCCTTAGTCCAGTGCCGTTTCTCGCTGCTTCCTGCTGCTATCCTGGATTGTTAGATATCCCGTAGACTGTCCCCAGGACAGGTGAGGCTGCTGATCCCTTATTTTCGAGGCTGCTGATCCCTTATTTTCAAATCTGAAAGTTGACAGCTATGGCTTGGATGTGGGAGGGGGGTTGGGGTGGGGAGGAGGACAAAGAGCCTGCCTTGATGTGTTTTATGAAAGTAGGAGTTATAAATATTCAAATCAATCAATAATAGAATCTAGCCGCTTGGTGTTCACAGCGCAGGAGAAGAGCACTGCAATGCAGGTTTTTGCCTTCTATGGAAAAACTTGTAGATCTGGCACTCCCCAATCTGGAGCAGATTTTTTGGGGGGGGAGTGATAGGGGCTACAGGTGAAGATATTGCCTTTTTTCCCTATTTCAGTGATGCAAGCCATGCGGCACCACTCTTTATCTTGTATGAACAGTTCATATCATTTAGTAACAAGATACACACTTGTTGCCTCTTATATTTTAAAAGTGACTTAATAATAAAAAATAAGTAATTGTCACACGCACAAATGCCGGTGAGATTATGCATAGTATTATTCAATATTATGAATCAGTTGAAAGGGAAGACCTCTATATTTCAGTATTTTCCGCTATGACATAACTTTTATTATATGTATGTGTCTGTGCATGCATGTAAACGCAGATGATTTTTAGTCAAATTTACATATATGAATGCAAAGTCTCAATCTGACAATTAGATAGTGAGACAGTGTCAGGGACAAGGCTGAATTGAACACCTGGGAAGAGTCAGACACAGGAGGTGAAGGATTGCCAGTACTAAGAGAGACAGAGTCTGACTCTGGAGACGAAAGATTGCAGACAGAGCAGGATGGGGTGGGCTCAGCCTCCCTTCACCAAGAGTTCCCTGAATCAGCTAGAGCAGCAGACACAGACAGCTCACAAGAGGGGGGAGGGGAGATATAGGTGGCAGTGAGAGGGTTGCTATGCAACCAGCAGAGAAACAGCATGCTGAGAGTTTTTCTTTCGAGAATTGGGAATTATACCCTCCTTCTCCCCGAACCCAGAGAGCTGAAAGGGTTAAAGTGCAACAGAAGTGCAAAGAAGGAAGGGCTGGACTTTGGAGTCCTTCTTGCTTTGATGGGGCGGAGACTCAGAGTGACCAACTCGTTTCAAAGAGCAGCAGTCTGGAAGCCGAGCTCTGGATGTAATTTAAAAATAAACGTACCATAAAATTGCAAGAGAGTTGTTAATTCTTATCAAGGCTTGCTTGCCTGTCTGAGATCATTACAGATAGTTACATTCTTTCTTGGGTAAGCATCATGCATAGGTGTGCCTGCATGTACCCAAGAAAAAGCTGTCCCCCGGAAGAGCACAGGTGAGTTAAAGAGAAAACCACACCCCACTTTTCATGCACCTCCCACTCTACACATCCTTGGGGATACATTGCAAGGAAGAATGCAACCAATACAGGGGATGTTGCACAATATTCATTGTTGTGTGGACACAGAGCAGGCAATATTCCCATTTCTTAAAACGAAAAATCAGCACAGCAATGCCTTGGAAATGTGCTCCAGTATATGGATGGGTCTTTTGCTGTGGAAAGCTGGTCGGAGTGGAGCAGCTCCACCCCAACTCAGGATGTGCTTAGCCATTTTTAAACCCAAACATTATGAACATTACATAAATCCTCTTCACAGCAAAAGTTACTGACTTTCGTGCTCTTTTCGATATTTACGAGCTGTCTGCAGATTTTGCTGCAACCTCGGTAAACTCTCTTAATGGCTCCTCCTGCAAATAAAATAAGAGAGATTATTCATTATAGAGGACTGGTGTGAAGGAAGTTCCTTCTGTTCTGGGTTATTCCATTTCCCAGACCTCTGCCCATAACAAATGCTGACAGGTGGAGTTCACCCATCTATGTTTATTTCTGTACTGCAGCACCTGAAGGCAAAACTGATGTGTCCCAACAAACCAATTTGTCTGGCCTTCACATCCAAAGACAGGGTTGGGAAAAGGAAGCTAAGGGCAAGTTGATATTTTAAATGATTTCGCACTGGCTGGGATGGGGTGGAAGGAGCTGTGTCTCTCCAGAACTGAAGTCCAACACAGAGGTCCAGCGCCGAGGGCCTTCTGGCAGTTCCCTCACTGCGAGAAGCCAAGTTACCGGGAACCAGGCAGAGGGCCTTCTCGGTAGTGGCACCCGCCCTGTGGAACGCCCTCCCACCAGATGTCAAAGAGAAAAATAACTACCAAACTTTCAGAAGACATCTGAAGGGAGCCCTGTTTAGGGAAGCTTTTAATGTTTAATAGGTTATTGTATTTTAGTGTTTTGTTGGAAGCTGCCCAGAGTGGCTGGGGAAACCCAGCCAGATGGGCAGGGTATAAATAAATTATTATTATTATTATTATTATTATTATTATTATTATTATTAAAAGCTGCCTTGTATGGAGTCAGGCATTAAGCTCAGTGTTTGCTATGTTCCCGTCGTACACTTAAAGCACTATGATGCCATTTACATAATCAGGGCTCACCCCAAAGAATTCTGGGAATGGTTGTTTGTTAAGGGTGCAACTAGACTTTATTCCCCACATAGAACTACAATTTCCAGAGTTCCCTGGGAAGAGGGATTGATTGCTAAACTACTCTGTTCTCAAACACTGTCTAATCTACCCATGTGTAAAATCCAGCTACTAACATTCCCTCCTGCTCTTTCAACTTTTAAAAAATGAGATAATACAAATGCCAAACTTCACAAAAACATATTAGAAAATATTGTGGGAAAATACTGTGGGAAAATACACACATTAACAGGATGCCATACCCTCCCCCCGCCAAAAATGTTCTGGTAAACCATCATGTCAAAAAAAGAAGAAGCTTATATTCATGTTGATGTATATCTGCCCAACTTGTTGCAAATGTTTAGGGGGAATTTTAAAACATTGCTGTTCCTGTTGCCAAGAATTAGGTACTTATTTCTGGCAACCTTGAAACTATTAGTTGTGAAAACATTTGGTTGTTGTCAATTTGTTTTTGTTTTTATTTGTTTTGTTTGTATTGTTTTATTGCTCGCCACCTGTGGGTGCTTTGTGAAGAAGGGCAGGATAAATGATAAATTGTGATAAATTATTTTGTTGCCCCCGTTTTCTGTGGATTGTCTTTATATACACTGTTCAGAAATGTGAATGATCAACAGCACATAAATGCCATAAATACAAAATAACAATCTAAGCAAAAAGAACAACCACCAATAACAGTTCATTGTGTGAACCTTCCAGAGAATGTTTAGTATTCCAACAACAAAACCACCATTTCCTCCCCCAATTTTTTTAGTGAATGATCAAAGCGTCCTGTCTGCTTGCAAGCATTTAACCAAGCTAAATAGCTGGATACTAACATCACATATCAAGATTTCTGGCACTATTCACCTAGACCCGCCATACGTCAGGAAAAAGCCTGACATGTCCTGGTTTTCAGGTGTAAAAATGGCTTTGGGGTGAATTTTGCAGAATCTGCAAAACGTCTGGGAAAATCCAGGTATATGGCAATGCAATGGAAAAAGCAGTGGAGGCCTCAACAACTTTGTGGGTATCAGGCAACCTTAATTCACCTCAAGTTAATGTATCATTTTCCAGAATTTTGTTAGCAGCATTGAGGATCCAGCAAAAGATTTGTTATGTACTGAGCTGAATCCTAGAACAATAGGATCCAGAAGGCAGCGGTCTGATTGGTCCGCAGGAGCCACCCAATCCAGCTCCAGGTGGAAGTGAATCAGTGACCTGATTGGCCTGCAGGAGCAGCTAATCAGACTTCTGGAGGAAGTGAATCCGCAACCTGATTGGCCTACAGGAGCAACCCAGAATTAGCCATCACGTGGAGCTCATTGTGTAAATAATGTATATATAGCAGACGTTTTGGGGAAAGTTTCATTCTTTGCTACTAAAAGCTGAATATAGAGCATGAAATTCACACTCGACTCCAAGTATATTTACATTGCTTGTGGATTTATCTAGGGTAGATAACAGATGGAGCTGAGGTTTCACTGGGAAATTGTGCATGGGTTATCCACCTCACATTGTTCGACACTTTACTCCAACATTTTAAAATTGGATCGCAATACCACCAGGTAAGGATGAAGCCTGTTGCCAGTGCACTGTACTGCCACTGTTGTCATTAAGGGCAGTTTTATCAGTTTACCTGGCATATAAAGTACAGTGGTACCTTGGGTTACATACGCTTCAGGTTACATACGCTTCTGGTTACAGACTCTGCTAACCCAGAAATAGTGCTTCAGGTTAAGAACTTTGCTTCAGGATGAGAACAGAAATCGTGCTCCAGCGGTGCGGCAGCAGCAGGAGGCCCCATTAGCTAAAGTGGTGCTTCAGGTTAAGAACAGTTTCAGGTTAAGAAAAGACCTCCGGAACGATTTAAGTACTTAACCCAAGGTACCACTGTACTATATTGTGAAATGACCATGATCTCCGCCAATATAGCTATAGCTACCGACCCCTTACCAACGCCACGTAAGTATGCAATTTTTAGATCTCTCTCCTCCTGTTACATCTACGGAAGACCCAACAAGAGACAGTAGCTCAGTTGGTTAGATCATGGTGCTGATAATGCCAAGGTTGCGAGTTTGATCCCCGTATGAGGCAGCTATGTATTCCTGCATTGCAGAGAGTTGGACTAAATGACCTTTGGGTCCCTTCCAGCTTTATGATTCTGTAAGATTAGAGGCATTACCTCTGAACAATCTTCGAGTGTAACAGAATCCGTCTGTTTGGCATTGTCTCTGCGGAACGGCACAAACGTTATCTCCATTAACCCTTCGACAGGAATGGCATCTGAGTCCTGCAACTGAGCGACACCAGCAAGGACATGGGGCTAAACAAAACAAAATGCCAGCCTAGCTTGAGAAGTAGATCAAGGGGTCTGAGGGGCCAGCAGCTGATTTGGAAGAATCTCATGGAATTCTAGCCACAGTACGCAACTTTTGGTTTCCCCGCCCCACCTTTCATCCAAGGAGCTCAAGGTGGTATTTATGGCTTTTCCCCCTCCCCATTTTATCCTCACCACCACACTGTGAGGTTGTTTGGGCTAAGAGACAGTGACTGGCCCAAGGTTACCCATGAAGTTCCATTGGTGAGTGGGGATTAGGTACTTTTCTGACACGCAAAACCAGAGGTCAGCAACCTTTTTCAGCCATGGGCCGGTCCACCGTCCCTCAGACCATGTGGTGGGCTGAACTATATTTTGGGAGGAAAATATGAATGAATTCCTGTGCCCCACAAATAACCCAGAGGTGAATTTTAAATAAAAGGACACATTCTACTCATGTAAAAACACGCTGATTCCCAGACCGCCCGCAGGCCGGATTGAGAAGGCAATTGGGCCGTATCCGGCCCCTGAGCCTTAGGTTGCCTACCCCTGCTCTAAACTGTACTCCATCTTGGCTCTGAGACCAATGTTCCCCTGCCCCTTTTGAGATCACACACACACACAGTGCATTTTTCTGGGGGATACGCAGAGTTATGCACACCCCTAAATATTTTGTAAGTCTTTGTACTTTTGTCCATTTACTCTATTTATTTTCCACAATTTGAACTATAAAATGGTGATTTTCCTGAGTCAAAATGAGAGTAAAGTTAAAGGGACCCCTGACCGTTAGGTCCAGTCGCAGATGACTCTAGGGTTGCAGGAGCTCATCTCGCTTTATTGGCCGAGGGAGCCAGCATACAGCTTCCAGGTCATGTGGCCAGCATGACTAAGCCGCTTCTGGCGATCCAGAGCAGCTCAAGGAAACACCATTTACCTGCCCACCAGAGCAGTACCTATTTATCTACTTGCACTTTGACGTGCTTTCGAACTGCTAGGTTGGCAGGAGCAGGGACCGAACATTGGGAGCTCACCCCGTTGCAGGAATTCGAACCGCCGACCTTCTGATCGGCAAGCCCTAGGCTCTGTGGTTTAACCCACAGCGCCACCCACATCCCATGAGAATACTGTACCCCTAAACATTATTTTAAGAGAAAAAGCACTGTGTGTATGTTTGTGTATATTGGTCTCCGCATTTTCACAAGGGTGGCTGTGAATGCTGCGAAGCAAAAGGCTGGCAGCTGCCATTTTCATTTCCACAGAATTCTCAGAGCATGTATTCAGGTTGCAAAATTGAGATTTGGGGTGTGGGGATCCTGGGAGTGCATTTCCGTTTGGGTAATCCTGGGAGAGCATTTGTACATGGAGAGGCTTGGAGAAAATGGAGGGATGTATCTATGCACATGGTACATGACTTTGGTGCAAGCAAGTATGTAAACGGATAGTTTTTGGTGCTTCTGTGTGAGATTTTGTGTGTGTGTGATCCTGAAAAAAGAGAGTGCTTTAGGTTGGGTAACCCTGGGAGAACATTTGGGGCAGAAGAGATTTCCTGAGTTTTAGTGGGGTGGTTTGGCAGGAATGTTTAAGCTGTGCCACCAATTAGGGTGAACCTGAATATATGTAATTAAACTCAAGATATTACGAGACACTCATAAGTCTGCAAGGATGCGCTTCCTAATTAAATCTGGGTAAGCGTATTCATGTGTTAAGAGTTCTCGGCTTTTAACGACTGTTTTATTGAAAAGTTTGAATTATGATTTGGATCACAATGAGAATAAAGTTTAAATCTAAGCGCTAAAAAAAAAAAAAAGAGAGTTGCACCCCTGCACATCCTGTTTGGGTAAGCAGGAGAAGTGCAACAATACGTGTGCTGTTTTTGTTTCTGTGCAACCTGGAAGCCCCCAGCTCAGGTGTGGTGAACCTTTGGCCCCCAAAATGTTGCAGTACAACTCCCGTCCACTGGCCATGCTTGATGGAGCTGATAGTTGTACTTTGGCAACATCCAGAAGGCCAAATGTCCCCCACAAGTGATTTCGTTGGCAACCGATTATTGGGTCCTTTGGTCTGATTGAGCAATGCTCTTCTATCTAATGTTGGGATCCCAAACCAGGAATAGGAAGAAGAAGAAGAAGAAGAAGAAGAAGAAGAAGAAGAAGAAGAAGAAGAAGAAGAAGAAGAAGAAGAAGAAGAGAGGAGGAGGAGGAGGAGGAGGAGTTTGGATTTGATATTCCACTTTATCACTACCTGAAGGAGTCTCAAAGCGGCTAACATTCTCCTTTCCCTTCCTCCCCCACAACAAACACTCTGTGAGGTGAGTGAGGCTGAGAGACTTCAGAGCAGTGTGACTGGCCCAAGGTCACCCAGCAGCTGCATGTGGAGGAGTGGGGAAGCGAACCCGGTTCCCCAGATTACGAGACTACCGCTCTTAACCACTACACCACACTGGCTCTAGAAATACTATTAATTCATACAAATTGCATTAAGTGCTGCAAGCACTCAGTTTTAGCATTTGTCACTTTTTGATTGGTTAACCCAGTTTTGCTTGGGAGCCTACAGAAAATGTAATACATTGGTACTTGATTGGTTTATAAAACCATTCATTCATTCCCACCGACAATACTAACCTCTTAATCCCACCAATTCCTAATTCCAGCTCTATTTACAGAGCATTCCTGGCCCCAAGATGATGCTAGCATTGTCCCAAATAATTCTTGAAGATTCCTTGAATTTAAATCCTCTGAACTGGCTGTGCCCCAATATGCGACGCTTTACCCCAGCTTATGGACTTACCTGTTGCTAAAGTGAGCAACATTGAAAAGCCAAACACCAGAACCTTATTCGCTTTAGTTTTCATTCTATAAAGGGCAGAGAGACAAAAAGAACCCGCTCAAGTCTGGTCTAAACAGCATGTGAGGTTTCCCAAGTCTCCTCCGCCATATTACGTGGTGGTGTTGAAACAGTCCTGATTACCTATTTATATTCTCAGTCTTGGCCAGGTTATCAGTCAACAGGAGACAGAACAGCCAGTAATGATTATGATGCAGACATGCACACCTGCAAACATTAATTCGTTGGTATGGTGCTTCGGGCAACAAACAGCCCACAAAATGTTCCAGGGACAGGTGCTCTTTCCCTTTACAGTCTCCTACAGTTCCTTATCTGTCATATGGGATGGCACAAACTAGCAATTTTCTAAAAATCCAGAATTGTACATGCTAAAATGACGTAGCTTCCCCAATTCAGAGCAGCCTCCCTGTCACATGTCAGAAACACAGGCAAGAACACCACCCCCTTCCTATCCAGAGTAAAGAGCGAAGAAATGACCCAGTTTTGGCCTTTCTTTTCCCAGGGAAATTTTAAAAAATCCCTTGTTGGGCAACCCATGAAGAAACATGTTGGGAGCCACTGAATATAGGCCACAGATAATAAATATCCCAGTAAAACGTATCAACTGAGTGCAGTACAAGTATACATGTGTGGGGTTGCTGCTAATATGGACTGAAAACATGTGCTTGTCACAGCAAAACACCCACAAAACTTCACTGTGCTATATAGAAGCTACATAAATACATAGAGTGGAAGCTCAGGTTTTGAACATCTCCATTGACAAACATTTCAGAACCCAAATGCCCAAAACCCGCAGTAAATGCTTTCGTTTTCGAATGCAGCTCGGAAATCGAACTTCCAAGGCGGCTTCCATTTTGAGTTTCCCTATTGTATTGAGCCATAAAGAAGGCTGATCGCCGAAGAATTGATGCTTTTGAGTTATGGTGCTGGAGGAGACTCTTGAGAGTCCCATGGACTGCAAGAAGGTCAAACCTATCCATTCTGAAGGAAATCAGCCGAGTGCTCACTGGAAGGACAGATCATGAAGCTGAGGCTCCAATACTTTGGCCACCTCATGAGAAGAGAAGACTCCCTGGAAAAGACCCTGATGTTGGGAAAGATGGAGGGCACAAGGAGAAGGGGACGACAGAGGATGAGATGGCTGAACAGTGTTCTCGAAGCTACCAACATGAGTTTGACCAAACTGCGGGAGGCAGTGGAAGACAGGAGTGCCTGGCATGCTCTGGTCTATGGGGTCACAAAGAGTCGGACACGACTAAATGACTAAACAACAACAACATTGTACTGAGGCTTCCGTATTGAGTTTTCGGTTTTCAAACGTTTCGGACGGTTTTCTGGAATGGATTTTGTTCGGAAACTGAGGTTCTACTGTACAAGTATCAATGGAAACACACTGTATGCCACACCACATCTTCCGACAAGATCTTCAGCTACTGAAACCACTAGAATCCTCTCAATTTAACGCATAAGTCAAGTTCCCCAGAAATACTTCCCTCCATTTTGGTCGCCCAAACATATATCCCTTTGTGATATAGTTTATTCCAAACCACCTTGCTACAAGAGGGAATTATCAGGATCTTCTATTTCGGGTGAATAAAGAAGAAAACTTGCATGCTATACACTGACAGCGTTCTTTTAATCCGAGATCATTCTTTATTTTGCAAATTGTTTTATTTTCTTTACAGACACATTTAAAAATTCACAGTTTTGTAGATTTAAATATGGGTCAGGAAGTATGGTCAGAAACAAGGTTTGTGTGTCAGCCCCTTACTCTCTTAGTGCAGGGGTAACCAACCTGGTGCCCTCCGGATTTTGCTGGACTACAGCTCCCATCAGCCCCATCCAGCATGGTCAATGGTCAGGAATGATGACGGCTGCAGTCTAGCATCCGGCCACCTCCACTCTAGTGTATTTGCATGGTACATTCAAGTTTAACCAGTTTGAAAGAAGTTTGCTTCCCAAAAGACAGAACAGTACAAAAGGAAATAAAAAGAGTGAGGGGTCTGTTAATCCATTACATCTCCTTCCATTTAGACCGGTGTTTCCCAAACTTGGGCCTCCAGCTGTTTTGGACTACGGTTCCCATCATCCCTGACCACTGGTCTTGCTAGCTAGAGATGATGGGAGTTGTAGTCCAAAAACAGCTGGAGACCCAAGTTTGGGAAACCCTGATTTAGACTAAGGTGGGGAACCTATGGCCCCACAAGATGTTGTTACGACTACAAAACCCAATATTTTTGCCCACTTCTACTTTAGAGGCTCAGCCAGTCTGATCAGACCTATACAAGGATTGGAGGGGAGAGAATTATACCCTAAAAATAGAAAATATATTTTAAAATTGGAACTGATGCTAAAAACAACCAATGGGCTTTATATTTTCTTAAGGGTGACAGTAGAAACCAAAAGCAATGAACTGCAACTGTATAGCTCCATTCAGAAGCCCTGACTTTAGGAGCAAGTAATCATAAACTGAGTCAAGTGATTTGAGAAGGACCTTATTCTGGACCTAACATTCCTACAACTCTTATCATGTTTATATAAAATAACCTTATTTTTTTGTTGTTGTTTTTTAAAACCAAAGTCATCAAAGGAGCATGATAACGCTCATGTTATGTTTTACAAAGGAGCAGCTTTCAAGCTCAGTCTGAATTTTTTTTTACTTTGGAAAAAAGAAGGGAAACACATGTATATGGATGAGGAGCTTGAGCAACCTACAAAAAAACACCACTTCTAAGTCAAGAATGTGAACTAAGCTAAGCCACTCGTGACTTTCATGATCATAAGCAAGGGTGGGATACCCCAGCCAACCATTGCAAATGTGCACCTTCACAACAGTTATCGCCTGTTACCATATGTGGATAGCTTGAACGCCTATCCCCATAAAACCTAAACAAAACAAAAGATTTCCATTGAATGACTGGAGTTTGGGGTGCGGCAGGCATGACTGTCCCTTAGCAGAAGCCACTGAATCAAAACAGAGCCACTCTCAACCACAACGTCATCATGTGACAGGAAGCCACAGCTTCTGTGTGCTGACGACATCACTCAGCTTCCCTTTGATCTTCAGGAAATGCCTCTTGAACTCCAAGCCGTCACCCTGCATAGGGAAGGGAGGTGGGGAAGAATCCAAGTGAGTATATGTCATTGGAAGGGCACGTATTAGCTAGAGAAACGATACAAGAGGGAAGTATAAACCACATTATGAGTACAGCCGTACCTCGGAAGTCGAACGGAATCCGTTCCGGAAGTCCGTTCGACTTCCAAAACATTCAGAAACCAAAGCACGGCTTCCGATTGGCCGCAGGAAGCTCCCGCAGCCAATCAGAAGCCCCGTTGGATATTAGGGTTCCAAAGAACGTTCGCCTGTCTAGCTGCCGCATTCTGGATTAGTTGTAGTTTCCGGGTCACCTTCAAAGGTAGCCCCACATAGAGCGCATAGCATCCCCATAGCTGAGCTTTCCACTAAGCACCCTGCAGCTCTTGAACCAAGCAGAAGGCTAACCGCCAGCCCCAGCCCATACAGTATGCTAGAACAGATTAGAAAATAAAGTGACTACAATGGTAAATATAATATTCTGAATCAGAACATGTTGGCAGCTGGCAGTGTGAAAGCATTCTGCAGTACTGAGGAGCTACCACTGGAGGGAGCCCAAGCACATAAAACATTCTCCCCACAATTTGCAATTCTCTCAAGAGATTAAAAAGCCCAGGTCAAATCAAATCTTTGCTTTCTATTGCGCTAGGTAAAAATGTAGCTTAATTCCTATTTAAGTAAGTTTGACTGGTTAGGTAATATCTACTACAAGTGCCAAGGCATCCTTCTTATCCTTAGATTGAAATGCGTTGGTTAACTTTGTATATACCTTAGACAGGCGGAAGTCAACAAGTATTTTGTCATCCATTTCCAAGAGGTTTGCCTTGAAAATCAGTTTGTTGTTTCTTCTATCTGTGGTTGATATGGTAACCTTAGAAGGAAAACAAGTATTTTATCAGGGGAAAGAGGTTTACAAAGGATATTTACAATCAATAATGCTCACTCTTTTTATGCTGTGAACCGTCCTGAGGTCTGCCGATATAAGGTGGTATACAATTCAAATCAAATCAAAAAATAAATCTCTGAAGTTGCAAAGTTAGGCTCTCTAAGTTTACGGCAGCCTTCACACTATTTTTCTCACTAGCAACCAAATGAGGATCTGTCTAAAGAGCTCCCCAACAGGCCTTGAATTAAAAAATAACAATTTCTTCCAGGACACTGTGTATCTCCTAGTTACAACAAATCATATATATTTATTTTGTATGCAAATGCATACAAGCAGTGCTTTTTTTCTAAAAATATATTTAGGGGTACGCATACCCCTGCGTCCCCCCATGGAAAAAAGCACTGCATAAAAGTATGTAAATGCAAATTAATTTTATTTTTTAAAATTACCTGCCCTACTCGGTGCTGCTTACAACTTAAAATCACAGCGTGAAAATATAAGAAAATCACGATGAATAAAATAAAGCAACAAATAAAAATGCAAAAGAGAAGAATTAAAAATACAACAAAAGCAAGCATCACAGACAAATCATGACTTTTAGAGCAGGTTTTTCCTGCCAACTGACAGAATAAAAATGTATGTACCACGCAACAACAACAACTACCAGACAAGGAATGGCCCATGTCTCACAGGGCCAGGTGTTCCATAATATTGATGCACCCACTGAGAAGACCCTCTCTCTTGCTGCCATCTATCGTGCCTACACCACAATGCCTGTCTGTCCATCTTGTGTGTGATGGACACACACAATTAATTCACACCTGGTTTGTGCAGCCCTTCTTCCAGACGTAGCCCATTTTTTCGCAAACCTCCTTCAATACGTGGTAAGACTGGTCAGCGTCCAGCTTCAAAAAGAAACGGGTCATTCTCTTCACTAAGCGCTGCCATGAATTCTAAGAGAGAAAGGAACGGAAGACACCAGAAGTCAGCTGAAGGCTAAAATGAATGTCAAGTTTTCATCAAGGCTTTGCATTGTTTTATGGTGCTAAAGAATTGCATAGCAATCATTTAAAAATATATGTGTCCTGTGCATGAACCAAATATATACACCCTTGTGCAAATTAACTGAAACAAAGCATGTTTTCTATCTTACTCGTAATCCTGTACTCAAAACAAACATGAAAAGTCAGTTGATCATTATGGTGTCGGAAGCCTGAAGCCAACAGAAGGAATGATGTGCTCGCCGCAATATATTCAGGTTCTACGAAAGAGTTATTCCAGAGCTGGAAAAGAGGTATCTTGACAGTACTGGGATACTGCAGCAGGATCTATCCCCCTGTCACACATCGAAAGCGGTGAAGAAATTCATGACAGAGCAGCAACTACAGGTACTTGATTGGCCAGGGAATTCCCCAGACGTAAATCCCATTGAGAATTTGTGGGCTATATGCAAAATCTCCGTGCTGTAGACTGGAGGAATATGGAGAAGCTCATTCAGGCGCTGATTCAAGTGTGGATCCGAAAATCAACAGTGACTGTTCGAAACTAGTAGACTCCATGCCAAACTGTGTTCAAATGCTGCTTAAAAATAGTGGAGGTCATATCCGTTACTAATGTAGGTATCTGTGAGTTTTGTACATGTATATGTGAGTTTTGTACAATAAACTACATTGTTTGTTTCAATTAATTTGCACAAGGGTGTGTATATTTTTTTCGAGGGCTGAAGCATTAAATTGGGGAGGGGGGTTGCTGTTACGGTGCAAAACAAAAGCACAAGGGCCTCTACAAGTTCCAAAAACAACGAAAGTCGATAGCCAAGCCACCAGACCAAGTTACCTGGGAAGAACTGGGAGTGCCAAGCAGTTGGCTGTTGAGCAGCATGTGTTCAGGGCAAGCTGGCTGGGAGAAACTGATGCCTTGCACTAGCTTATCGATGCCAGCTGGACCGCTATCCCACAAAGAAAGTCCAGTGCCAGGTTCCGGCTGAGAATTGGAGCAGGTCTTTTTCTCCTCACTGCAGCAAGGAAAACAAAGCAGTGTCACGTTCCTAAATGGCGCGACAACACATTGTCTAGAACTTTTTTTATTTCCGGGAGTTAACCGCTACATGCGTTGGCCCTCAGAACTGGGCATTAAGTCGGCCTTTTTCTTGGCAATTTTCGTCATTATTTAAATCATTCTATCATGACTGAATTGCCTTAATGCAGGCACGTCCAACAGGTAGATCGTGATCTACCGGTAGATCACTGGATGTCTGTGGTAGATCACTGGTAGATCACTGGAGCTCTTTGGTATGCTTGAATGGTTACAAGTCTATCTCTATTCTAGCTATTATTCTAGTAAATTTGGTTTTATACTTATAAGCACCCCCCAAAAACGGGGCTTTCCTCCTCCCTAAAGAAAGCTCAACAGCTTTGATCTGAACCCCTAAAAGGGGGTAGATCACTGCCAGTTTTTAACTCTGTGAGTAGTTCACAGTCTCTTGGGAGTTGGCCACCCCTGCTCAATGTAAAAAGTCACTTGTTTTCTGCATTGCATGTTTGCAGAATCATAAAACACACATAGCCTCGACAGTAGCATTTACCACACAACTTGAACATATTACTTTGTTATGCTCTGCAAGACTTAAAACATACCCCCACCTTCGCCCATTTTCTCCTGCACTTAAATAAAACCCAGACGCTAGAACCACCAGATTAATCCTCATATTAAAGTCCCCAAAGTTCCCCAATTTTGGTATTTAAACAGGATAGAATGAGTGCTTTCAGATACAAAACCATCTCCGCTGCTGCCCTCGCTCTCTGTGTACGAGTTGTTTTGCTACTATTCTGTCAAATCAAGGGGGCAGGCAACAATGCAGCGAAGGAGGGGCAAGAAGGAAGAGAAGATCTGGCTCTGTTAAACTGGCTACTGCAGCCTAGTGGCACAGTGCAGACATGCCATAGATCACCTCTGGTTTTGTTACTTGTGGAACACGTCTTAAGATATGGCAGCACAGAATAAGTCATTGCAGAGCTTCAGAGTAAAAAATAAAAAGTTCCCCATCAAGTTAAAAATATTAGCCAGACACCACATACACACATGCTTTTGCCTGTGTGTTGGACACAATGAACGAATATATTTTTCACCTGCGTGCACTTTTCACTGGAGAGAAGTCCATATCCGATCGGATGTGCTTAGAAAAACATCCTGGGGAATCGGATAGTCCCCCCGATGAGACTCGAGGCCGCTTGATGCCTAGAAAGAAAAACTAGTACTCAGTTTTCAAAGGGGAGGGGGGGAAATTATTTTTGTCATTCACTGTTAAGTACATTGTAAATCCCAAGTAAAATGATTGGATTGTTGCTGTTGTTCTTTAATGGCTCCAACCTTTCCAAAGGTGCTGTGTGTCAGCTTGTCATTCTTCCTAAGACCAAAAGAAGCTAAACACACATCACTTGCATTTGTGAACACTAATGTAAACTCAAAACCACCGACAGTGGTACCTTGGTAGTCGAACGGCTTAGTTGTCGAACAAATCGGCTCCCGAACGTTGCAAACCCAGAAGTGATTGTTCCAGTTTCCGAATGTTCTTTGGAAGCCGAACATTCGATGCTCCTGCAGCCAATCGGAAGCCACACCTTGGTTTCTGAACCATTCTGGGAGCCGAACGGACTCCCAGAACGGATTAAATTTGAGAACCAAGGTACCACTGTATTCAAACTTCATGAATGGTGGGATCAAATAATTGCACTAGAACTGCCAAATGATTTGCAGAATTCTCAGACCAACAACCTCTTCCCATTGTTAGAGCTAGTTAAAATGTGATTCAAAGTGTCTAAGGAGGCCTTCCGCACCACTTTTCATTTAGATGGGCGCTCCCACAGGTCACTCAGGAGGGATGTGAGTGCACAATCATAATATTGGAATGATTTACACTGGTTTTCATCCTAGAGTCAAACGTGAATGTACCGATTCCAGGCATAGGCAAACCAGTGGTCAGGGATGATGGGAATTGTAGTCCCAAAACATCTGGAGGGCCGAGTTTGCCTATGCCTGGATTAACCCAAGATGAGCCCTTATTAGTAGCAGACCTTGATAAATGGGACTGATCAGCAAAGGGGATGAAAAAGCAAGCAAAATCTATCCTCAAGTAAGATTAAAACAGGGTGAGCCACCTAAATTGTAAATATCAATATCTTTAAATATATAACTCGCTCCTTTCAGTGGCATATATGAGAGATGTCAACTGTACCGTTTTCAGGTGTCAAAAGATTTCAAATATGCAGCTACATACAAAATTCACATGCATTTATTTTTTAAAAATTACCTTTCTTTAAAGCTTTTGTGTACCACCTGTCCTTTTTAAGGTCTTCAATAGTAAGCCTTGATGCGGGGTCCTCAGTTAATAGTTTGAGGAGTAAAGCTGAAAAGAAATAAAGAATTTGGTTATATGCATGGCCTACAAGTTCTGAAATTGTCCACCTTCTGTGGCAATGGCTTGCAATTCAATTGAGATGCCCTCAAACATTGTTCCACCAGTTTTCAAATAAATCGTTACAATTTTTACATGAACCAGAGTCACCCAACTTTTAAAGATGTTCTTTGGAGGATATGATCTGTACTCAGAAAAATAACACACTCATTTCTTAGCAAAGCTATCAAGACTGCCCGCCAAGTAAATATAAAAACAGTCAGTAAAGGTCTGTAAAGGTAAAGGTACCCCTGCCCGTATGGGCCAGTCGTGTCCGACTCTAGGGTTGCGCGCTCATCTCGCTCAAGAGGCCGTGAGCCGGCGCCGTCCGAAGACACTTCCGGGTCACGTGGCCAGCGTGACGAAGCTGCAGCTGGCGAGCCAGCACCAGCGCAGCACACGGAAACGCCGTTCACCTTCCCGCCGGAGTGGTACCTATTTATCTACTTGCACTTAGGGGTGCTTTCGAACTGCTAGGTGGGCAGGAGCTGGGACCGAACAACGGGAGCTCACCCAGCCGCGGGGATTCGAACCGCCGACCATACGATCGGCAAGTCCTAGGCACTGAGGTTTTACCCACAGCACCACCCGCGTCCCTACCTAGTGGTCTGTACCTAGACCACTGTACCTAGACCCGCGTCTGTACCTAGTGGCAACGAGTCTATCTTCTTCCATGGTGACAAATATGTTTTCTTTTCTTTCCAATCACAGTATTCCTGACATGTGTCAACAGGCTGGTCCCATGGCAATTCTGCAAGAAAGAAAGCCACATTTCTTGACAAAACTTGTCAGTGATCTGGGGACAAACTAAGAAGGTATTTGGGTTTCAAGCAAATGGATGTTAGCATTTTAAGAGGAAGAGACACACCCAAGGGTTATAAGAAGGTCACTAATAACCACATTAGTTACACAGCAAATTCAAAACGAGGAATTAATAACTACTTAGACTAGAAAAACAGTCTCCAGTAAAACTATGAGCAATGAAAATCTGCGGCAATTTCTTTTTTTCTGTTCCAGCTTAGCTACAAATGTCACACTATCAGAAAATATGGTTACTATGCAATATGCTCCAGATTTATGCAGTAAGCTAAATCCCTCAAAAAATTATTGCGGATACACTTGTTTAAATATTAATTTTATTATATGTATTAAAACATTTATATCCTACCATTCCGGTGCAAAAGCACTGCTCATGGCTGCTTGCAATATTTAAAACTATCAACCCCTGAGAGAGTCAGTAGTTGTATGCTGTTAAAACTGTGAAGAATTCATTACTATTATTTTTTAAAACGCTGGTTTCGGCAACACATTTATAAATGAACATTCTATGCTGAATGTATAGAATGCTTTAACTTAAATGACTCTTCCTTCCAAAGCCTGTTTTTTTAAAAAAAAATGCAGTATCTTGCAGGTTTATCAAACACTGGAAATTTGTTGTGGCGTATTATTGCTACTTTTGGTGTTGAATCGGTTGAAATGCTTGTGCTTTTATTTTATCTGCTTAAATTTGATCTAAAAATATATTATTATTTTTAAAAGGATGTATTGAAGGAGAGGGAAAAGTTCACATAGCTGCTTTTAAGAGGAGAGCTTTCTTGTGGTAGACAGTTGGAGAGACGTTCTCAGCTATTCTTGGGAGTAACCATACAGACAGCGATGGTTAGAGGGTAATTAATTAGCTTCAACAATCTCCCCTTAGCTACACTGGAAGAAAGATTTAGTGGCACTCCATATATGAATTGTGTAACTGTGTGCTAATAAAGGCACTACTATGGTATCATTTTTAAAGAGACAAAAGCCACATGTATTTGGCCTCTGATGGCTCCCTTTGCAACTCAAGCTGTAGAGTGGCGTACGACCTTCCAAGCCATGGGCGCCTCATCTCATGTGAATGAATCAGTTACTAAGTTTGTACTTCAAGTTAATAAGATCAGCCAGCAACTTTTGCAAAACTGCTATGGGTATTGGTTGTTCTACTCTTGCTTAAATTTTTCAAGAATGAAAAATGTACCCGGGCCATTCTCTGTTTTTTTAATGTCCCCTCTCCACCAGTATATTTGTGAAGGCCTGTAGATGATTACAGTGGTACCTTGGTTCTCAAATGCCTTGGTACTCAAACAACTTGGAACCCAAACACTGCAAACACAGAAGTGTTCCGGTTTGCGAACTTTTTTTGGAAGCTGAACGCACTCCGATTTGAGTGTTACGCTTCTGATTTGAGTGCCACACTTCCGTTTTGAGTGTTACGCTGAGGTCTGTCTGTTTTTGCTATTCATTTTACATTTTTGTTTTTGCGGCTCTTTTCGTTTTGTTTTTGTGACTGTGTGGAACCCAGTTCAGCTACTGATTGATTGATTTTGTGACTGCAGTACAGTGGTACCTCGGGTTACATACGCTTCAGGTTACATATGCTTCAGGTTACAGACTCTGCTAACCCATAAATAGTGCTTCAGGTTAAGAACTTTGCTTCAGGATGAGAACAGAAATCGTGCTCTGGTGGTGCGGCAGCAGCAGAAGGCCCCATTAGCTAAAGTGGTGCTTCAGGTTAAGAACAGTTTCAGGTTAAGAACAGACCTCTGGAACGAATTAAGTACTTAACCCGAGGTACCACTGTACATTGTTTATTGCTTTCATTTTATGAATCAATGGTCTCGTTAGAGAGTAAAATTAATGTTAAATTGGTGTTTTAGGCATTGTTTTTAAAAGTCTGGAATGGATTAATCCATTTTGCATTACTTTCTATGGGAAAGCGTGCCTTGGTTTTGGAACGGACTTTTGGAATGGATTAAGTTTGAGAACCAAGGTACCACTGTAATGAACTAGATCAAGAACCACACTTTAATAAATATCCCAAATTCCCAAGAGATAATACACCAAGGCGCGCTGCTGATCTGCATCCCTGTTGTGTAAATGTAGAGCATTAGTTTTAAGAGGCAAATCCTTATCAACAAACTAATGTTAATAAAACGAATTAAAACTTGGGTAGCTCTTACCTCCTGCCAACATGGCAGTGAGTACGATTCCACATGACCAAACATCAACTGGCTCAGCATGGAATTCTTTTCTTTTAAGGACTTCTGGCGCAATGTACGGGAGCGTGCCACACATCTTGTTCAACAATCGCTCATGACCATTGTACTTAAACACAGTTGCTAGTCCAAAGTCAGAGATTTTGAGATTATCTAAACAAATACAAGAATAAAGGTATCTTGCGCATCATTCTAATTCATCATCTTTGTTTGAGGCACACTAAAGCATGGGTAGGAAAACTAAGGCCTGGGGGCTGGATCCGGCCCAATCACCTTCTAAATCCGGCCTGCAGACAGTCTGGCAATCAGCGTGTTTTTACATGAGTAGAATGTGTCCTTTTATTTAAAATGCATCTCTGGGTTATTTGTGGGGCCTGCCTTGTGTTTTTACATGAGTAGAATGTGTGCTTTTATTTAAAATGCATCTCTGAGTTATTTGTGGGGCATAGGAATTCATTCATATTTTTTTTCAAAATATAGTCCGGCCCCCCAACAAGGTCTGAGGGACAGCGGACCGGCCCCCTGCTGAAAAAGTTTGCTGACCCCTGCACTAAAGTAACATTGATCTAAGACACAAACATTTAACTTTTTTAAAAATGGTCCTTTTAAGTATGCCAGCTCAGAAATTTGTCACTGATACTAATCTACCCTACTCCTTAGTATGCCAATTCCAAAATATCCCGTTGATACTAGTGGGCCATGTCTACATAAGCAGGCATTAAGTGTTCTATTGCTGCTCCAAATCAAGGATAGCCGAGTGAAATCCTAAAAAAACCCAAACCCAAGTCCTCTGACTGCTTGATGTTTGCTGTTAGCAACAGAGAGGACTTGTTGCTTTCACATCCAAAGTGTGGGCTGCTTTTTAACTTGTGGAAAATTGATACTGAACTAAAGAAATTAGTGATGTATGGAAGTGAGAGCTGGACCATAAAGAAGGCTGATCGCCGAAGAATTGATGCTTTTGAATTATGGTGTTGGAGGAGACTCTTGAGAGTCCCATGGACGGCAAGAAGATCAAACCTCTCCATTCTGAAGGAAATCAGCCCTGAGTGCTCACTGGAAGGACAGATCCTGAAGCTGAGGCTCCAATACTTTGGCCACCTCATGAGAAGAGAAGACTCCCTGGAAAAGACCCTGATGTTGGGAAAGATGGAGGGCACAAGGAGAAGGGGACGAAAGAGGACATGATGGTTGAACAGTGTTCTCGAAGCTACAAACATGAGTCTGACCAAACTGCGGGAGGCAGTGGAAGACAGGAGTGCCTGGCGTGCTCTGGTCCATGGGGTCACGAAGAGTCGGACACGACTAAACGACTAAACAACAACAACAAGAACAAAGCGGTCTCTCTCTCTTACCCATTCCATTTAGCAGCAGATTCTCAGGCTTAATATCCCGATGTGTTACTCCTATACTGTGAAGGTAGACCTGTCAAAATGATACAAGGCATTAATAGAAAGCATTCATTCAACCTGCTTTCACACACAAAAAAGAGCTTGAAAAAGCAACATAAATAAACTTACGACTCCAGCTATAAGCTGGTGGAAAAACTTCTGTGCTTCTGCTTCAGGCATTCCTACATCTGGCTCTGCAAGAAAGGCACCATAGCTTCATGAAGAAACATACTAATGAAATTTACACAGTGATAGCAGTGTTTCTAATGAATATAACCTTTCTGGTTGTTTGCTCTGAAATAGTTATGGCCGAAGGCATTATTGGTAACAAACTGAACACCATGTTTCACAGTAGCATTGATAGCAGCAAACAACATTTTTGTTTGGATTCAAGTTCATAAAATGATTGCAGGCTACCATAGAGGAGGCTTGCTTTGAATGTGTTTAAATATCCCCGAAATGCAAGTTGCAGTGGTACCTCGGAAGTCGAAGGGAATCTGTTCCAGAAGTCTGTTCGACTTCCAAAACATTTGGAAACCCAAGGCGCGGCTTCCAATTGGCCGCAGGAAGCTCCTGCAGCCAATCGGAAGCCACAGAAGCCCTGTCGGACGTTCGGGTTTTGAAGAATGTTCACAAACTGGAAGTCACTTCAAAACATTCACGTCGCAAGGTGTTCAGGATCCAAGGAACGACTGTATATAGATGACTTAAATAAATAAACCATTTGACCCTTGGAGAGCATCCTCATCCAAGGACCATTCTGTGGCCTGCCTTCCTATCCCATAAAACCCCCTGTACCTATTCGGTCAAAGAGTTCTCCCCCGCTGCAGTACTCTAGGAACAGATACTGAATAGTGCCTTCTCGCCGATGTCCGTAAAACTTGACAATGTTCTCGTGATTTAACATTTTGTTAATGCAGATCTCCTTCTTAATCTGATCTGGGCACTCTATAGCGCATTTCATGTCAACAATCTTCACCGCCACTGCTTCTTCCGTGCGTCTGTTCACAGCCAACTGAACTCTATAAAGAGAAAGTGGAAAGCAGGGTTTTTATAGATAGGCTTTCTTCGCCGAACATTATTACTAAAAATTGTGCGTTAAGTCTCAGCTTTGCTTGCCAGCCACAGCACACATTTCCTCCTCCTGGAAAAAAATGAGCAAATTCAACAACCCAAATTAAAGCTCTTGTGATTTTTTGACAACCCTCGACACAAGAATACAGCAGCAATTTCAATTTACAGTTTACTCTTGTTCTGGAACCATTCACTTGCCTCCATGTATTATAATATGTTAAGGGACGTGGGTGGCACTTTGGGTTAAACCAGAGCCTAGGACTTGCCGATCAGAAGGTCGGCAGTTTGAATCCCCGCAATGGGGTGAGCTCCCGTTGCTCGGTCCCTGCTCCTGCCAACCTAGCAGTTTGAAAGCACACCAGTGCAAGTAGTTAAATAGGTACCGCTCCAGTGGGAAGGTAAACGGCGTTTCCGTGCGCTGCTCTGGTTTGCCAGAAGCGGCTTAGTCATGCTGGCCACATGACCCAGAAGCTGTATGCCAGCTCCCTCGGCCAATAAAGCGAGATGAGCGCCGCAACCCCAGAGTCGGCCATGACTGGACCTAATGGTCAGGGGTCCCTTTACCTTTATTATAATATGTTGCATGGTATTGCCTAAGCTATACTCACTCTCCATAAGCACCTTCCCCGAGGGTCTGCACTAAGTCCCAGTCTTCCACGAAAGGCACGGCCATCTTGACAAACAGGACACACTCTGCAGATCAAAGAAATAAGGAATCGGAAGTCAAGGCTCATAAGTATTTGGCTGCCAAGGCAGAAGGGGGGGGGGGGAGTGGCAGAGAATTTGCTTTGCATGAAGTAGATCCCACATTCAATCCCCAGCATCTCCAGGTAAGGCTAAGAGAGAACCCTATTTGAAATCTTGGGAGAGCTGCAGTCAGTCATTGTAGATAACATTGAGCTAGATGGACTGATCAGCATAAGGCAGCTTATTTCTGAAAAAAACACTAAAGGGGATAATATAGGAGTCTTACCTCAGAATGCTAGGGGTTGTGCGCAGTGCTAGTCCTACTCAAGAGTAGGCGCACTGAGATGATGGATTTTTCGGAGCTAGCCGACCTAACTGGAAGAGTCCGTGACCAGAAGGAGGAGGAGTATCAGGAAGAATGGATTAAATTTAATGATTATTTAGTTAACTATGTTAAGTTAAACTAAATGAAAACAGCTTGCAGATACTTAATTGGCTGAGGATTTTATTTATGTTAAGTGATGAATTAATATCTTTAATTTCATAAAGGATGTTAATGTTTAAGTTAAATTTTATAAGAATTGTGACTTGGGAAACAGTTTAAAGGAAATGCAATGAAATTCAACCAAGGGGAAGCCACTTAACAAAGTTAATAAGTGTAATTTTCAATAAGGCTAGGATTTATGTTTGTTTGTCTTATGTGTTTGTTTGTTTATAATACAGTGAAAACCAATAAAAAAATTTGGGGGGAGGGGAAGAATAGGCACACTGAAGTTTATGTCTATATATATAATTTTTATTAAATTTTGTTTTACAATTTAGAATACTCATTTAAACATCCTTAAAATATCCATGACTTCCCTTCTTCTCTTTCCCTTCTTCTCTTTGCATATCTTATATCCCTGAATATTTTACATAAACGAAACCATTCAGTATTCCATTACAGGTGCACAGTGGTTTTCAAACACCTTAGTTCTCGAATGTTTTGGCTCCTGAACGCCACAAACCCGGAAGTGACTGTTCCAGTTTGCGAACGTTCTTTGGAACCCAAACATCTGACGGGGCTTCTGCGGCTTCCGATTGGCTGCAGGAGTTTCCTCCACCCAATCGGAAGCCGTGCTTTGGTTTCCGAATGTTTTGGAAGTTGAACGGACTTCCAGAACAGATTCTGTTCGCCTTCCAAGGTACGACTATATTACATCCATCAAAACTTTTTTACACTGTTGAATTAATCTTAATGCTGCCAACGTTTTCAAGTGTACACAATTCCCCCCATATATTCAATAAACATTATCCAGTTTTCTCAAAACGTTTGTTCTTCTTGTTCTCTTAGTCTATATGTTAAATCTGCAAGCTGCACATATTCCATGGCTGGCGGAAGTAGAGAGACTATGGGATGGATGTGGATTATTTTGGTTTTTTAAATACTGTACAGTGGTACCTCGGGTTAAGTACTTAATTCGTTCCGGAGGTCCGTTCTTAACCTGAAGCACCACTTTAGCTAATGGGGCCTTCTGCTGCTGCCGCTGCGCCACTGGAGCACGATTTCTGTTCTCATCCTGAAGGAAAGTTATTAACCCGAGGTACTATTTCTGGGTTAGTGGAGTCTGTAACCTGAAGCGTATGTAACCCGAGGTACCACTGTACTGTACAAATAAGGCTTCTAATCTCCTATACCTTTTTATGCAGGCCTGTAGAACCTCACTTGTTGAATTGCTCCTGTCAACAAGTTGTTAAAAAGTGTTGTGGAATGAAATACCCACTGTAGAGAATGCCTGGTTCCACAAAACAAGGCAAGTAGGACAAAACAAATTCAAATCTTTTACAACCACTAATTTCTTTAATTCGGACAAGCTTTCAATTACACAGAATTTTGTGCAACACAGCTTGTTTTTCAAGTTTTGTTTTTTTAATGAGAAATGAAAGGGACTCCATGAATGACTCAACATTTGTTGCCTTCTCTGCAATACACATTGTTGCATCCCTCAGTCACACACTTTAAATAACTGCTAGACAGGAAGTAATTCAACAGGTGAGGCTTTCTCCAGTTCTGCAGACACAGTGATGAAGTGCTACACCTATTGATTGCGGCAAAGTCACTCTTAGAGGTCCAGGAGCTGTGCCAGGAAGTTTGGGGGGGGGGTTCAAAAAAACAGTAACAATGCCCATGCATTGTTTGCTATACTATTAGCAAACTCAATTCTCCTAGAGATTATCTTTATCCAAAAGAAAAGTTTGCAGAAATAAATAAATAAAAATTGAGGACCATAAGAGACCAAAAAAAGTCACAAAAACAGCAAAATGAGGAGTGCGGATTGACCACAGAATGTGAATTAAATGGAGCTTCCTAGAGGACATAGCTGGATGGCACCTTGAACAGGAGCATGCTGCACTGTTTTTGTTGCATGCAAATCCCAACACAGGGCATAACTTTACTGCCTACAGCCATGGGCTTCTGCAAACCTGCCAGGCCATTTATTGAATAAACCAACTTTCAACCATTATAGCATTTTAACAGCATTCATAAAACAGATCGTGATTATAAATCAAAGTATAAAACTAAAAATCCCTTATCTGCCCCAATTCCTGCTCTCAATCGAAATTTTATCCCAACCCAGAACTCTTACACACACACACACACACACACACACACACACACACACAAAACACGTGTCTCCCTCAAATATCCCCCATGCTCACTTTTCGGAAAGGTACCAAAACGCGCAAAGACACAACATGTATGAATTGCAGCCCACCCTTTTGAAAACACCCGTGCATTAGTACACAGAAGGGCACGTGCATGCACAGCCAATGAAATGGGCTGGTTTTTTTAAATGAAGTTTTAAGTCTCCTTGTTTCGCAATATGGACACCCGAATTCAAACAGCAGCGAAAAGCAGAAATACTCAGCCATGGCGACGCTCCTTTGGCCCTGCGAGCCTACCTCACAGGGTTGTTTGGGAGGGCAAATTGGGGGAAACATACGCATTCTGTTCCTTGGAGTGGAAAGCGGGATGCGCGAAGGAAACCAGGAAGAAAAGTCTCCTACGGTGGGTGGGTGCGTGGGGGGGGGGGGCCTGGCAAGCCAAAGCATCTCTCCCACGCCCCGCTCCCTAAGAATAGAGACCCTCCTCCGCCCCACGTGGGGAGGAAAGAAGAGCGAGAGGAAAGGGGAGCAGCCCAACCTCCCTCTCCAAATTTTGGCCATTTTTTTTTCCTCACCCGCCCAGCGGCGAGGGCCGCTTCCCCGGCTGATCAGCAAGCGGCGTTTCCCGCCGAAGAGCGTCGAGAGCAAGAGCCGGGCAGAGACTGGGAGAGAGCCGGGAGGAAGAGGCGGCGGCGAGGGGCCGAGGGGAGGAATCCGGCGCCGGCTCCGCCTCCTGCCCCGGCCGCCCGGGTGAGGCAGCATAATGGCGTCCCGAGGCCAGAGGAGCCACCGCTTTGCTAACTCATGCGAACTCGCGGCATCTTTAAGCCGTCGGTCCCGGCCCGGCTGGCGCGGGAGTAGGCAGCGCCTCTCTGCATCCCGCCGCGGGACTTCTTGCTTCCGAGTAGACGCGGTGCGGTATTTGGCGAGAAACTGCTCCTGCACGCTTGTAAGGAGATTTTTTGAGACTTGTTTTTTTTTTTCCCCGGGGTCAGAAGAAAGTGATTTCAAATAACTGTTGCTGAGACCCTTTCCACTCCGAATCTGCTAGACAAGAGTCAGGCAGAGGGTGATGACATTCGGGCTTCCTGCCTCCACTAACATAATTTTTATAATTTGATTTTACATGTTCATTCACAGAAATGATATTCTTGCAAATGTTAACATTTTACACTAGATGCTTTCAAATCCTAGGACTTCCCTCCTCCCCTCCGTGAGTTCTTTAGGCAACTTTTTCAACTGCATATTAGTCCAGTTTACAGTCCTCCATTACGTATACCCAAAGTCTGTGTATCATTGCAGGATTTATTTAAAGCCTGCCCAAGAGTTCATGTGTTTGCAGTGGTATTTTAAATACTATCTACATTTGCCCCCTTCTCTGTTGCAGTTTTGATCCTCCCGGTTTCTGATTTTCCCAGTTAATCTTGCCATCTCCGCATAGTCCAATAATTTCATCTGCCAGTCTGCCCTCGCAGGTATTTTATCATCTTTCCAGCTCTGGTCAAGCAGACTAACATTTCTATTATGTAGCCCTCCCTTCCCCACAGGTTGCTGGACCACGTCATTCCAATTGGTCCGTGTTGTAACAAGCGCAAGCATCTCGGAAGAGGATCCTGCCCTTCCCCATGCTCATGTTCATTCTAGAGATGCATTCACACGTTGGCTTGTACTCCTGTCGTGTACAAGTGTTTATATGAGTGCACACTTGCCAATTTACACCGCTCAGCTATTGTGTGCTGACTGAAGATGTGCAGCCCAACTATGCGTGCAAATGGTCCAGTTGTTGAATGTAAGAGTGTGGACGTCCTTTAGGAGGTGCTAACGTTTTGCACTTAGGTGTTCTTGAACTCCAGCTCCCTGCACCTTGACCGTGGCATTGGCTGGGCTGACTGGGGCTGATGGGAGGCGGATCCAACATCTGCACAGCCACGTTTCTAATGCCTGCTTTGAAGTGCTGCAAGGCTTGTTTCTTTGGGTTTCTGTGAACAGTGCTGCCCCTCTTTATATCTTCTGGGAGATGCCTGGCTAAACTTTGGGTAAATTAGTAGCACTGTCATTTTTCAAAGTTCAGCCTCAGCTGAATCCAGTAATGAAGGAAGCTATCTTATACCAAATTAGACAATTGGCCCATCTAGCTCAGTACTGTCTGCAAGTCCCCCCCCCCCACCCCAGGTTTTAGGCAGAGGTCTTTCCCAACCACTTTTGGAGATGGTGGGATTTGAACCTGGGTCCTTCTGCATGCAAAGCAAATTCTCTACCACAGACCTACTGCCCTTCCCCAGGACCCCTAGGACTCAGGTTCCCACTCTAGTGTATGGGGAAGACTGTCTAGGTCATCTATGTCCCCAGTGTACTACTGTCCAGATGTAGCAGTTAATGGGCAACTTTGAGAGCCCTGGTTTCTCTTAAGGTTCTCTTTAAACTGGACACAGACCAAACAAAACTTCGAACAGAGGATTGTCCCCTGCAAAATAGGACAGACCACTCTAGCAGAAATCCTAGGGCTAAGTTTCACTGAACAGAATGGGTCTTCCCTAAGTAAACATGCGTAAGATTGCATTGCAAATTTAGGATCCTATTATACATACTTACTTGAAAGCAAGCCTGGCTGAACAGTGAGCTCAGTAAATAAAGGTAAATAATGACTGCCAAAGTGCTAGTTACTTAAGCATAACTTTTACTTGAGCAGCTTTACAACACTCAAAATTCAGGAGTTAGTAAAGGTCATGAGAACAAGGGGACAATTCCCAATCAGGCTTGTTCATTTACCCAATATGGTTGCCACTTTTTGGTTTTGGTTTTGCTCGCCCTGCCCCTGACCTTTAGGATACATGTGTTATGTCTGGAGACTCACTTTTTAAATTTTAAGAGCCTAGTTTTTAAGATGCCTACTGCATATGAACATATACTTCATTTATACACAAAGTACTTGGATTCCTTCAATGGCAACAGCTGGAGGGAGGCTTGCTTTTTGTATGGCAAGTGTGTGTGTAAATTAACAAGCTAGCCTTATTTGCATAGGTGGAAGACCTATTTCAGCTGCTTCATTCTCTTACGAGAGGGAACGAGGAAAAGTAATTCAAGTGCTTACAGATCCTCTTTCTCTGAGTTACTTATGTCTGATCATGTAGAATACAGTTGAAAACCATCAAGTGAAGGGACAGAGATAAATGAATACAAATACACACTTTTTCCATACCCCTTTTAATGATCCCATCATAAAGCTACTGTTTCTGATTTGGTAGCCAGTTCATATTTATAAAAATCATTCCATCTAATACAGACTCATTACATGAGGACGGGATTTCTTGGGCAATTAAATCCCAATTCCTTACTGACAAACAGTATAAAAAAAATCCAACTGCTTCACAGGCAATGGCTCGGTCAGTGCTCATTATGGTGTATCTGAAGGCAAATTACGTTCTCGACAATCCACGATTATCCAAGTCCTTTACCTGTTAAGGCAAAAATAATATTTTTAAAAAATTGCATTTAGCTTTATTAGGGAAAAGGTCTCTAACCAGTAAAAACAGAGAACTCTTCAATGAAATCTCTGATAATTAACCTAGCAATTAACAAAGGATTTTATATCTTCAATAGAGAAAGAAATGGCTCTTTATGCTTTTGCTATTCAGTGCTGCTGAGAAATCTAGTAATTTAATGTGCTCCAATCGTTCCCCAACACCATCCTGTCTGGGTAAAAAGCAGAGCAACCATTCCACTTCACTTGTATTGTGATGTAGTGGCTCATGATAGATCTAAATGTTGTAGCAAGACAGTGTTAATTACTTTATAGGGTTTAGGACCATGAACAGCCAAGACACATACCATTCCAGAAGCAAATGGGGCCATGCGACATTTCTCCCATGACTTTCAAATACAGGAAAGAAAACTCAGTGTCTGGAAGCAGACAGACACCACACACAGCACAACTACTTACTTTGTATATTCGGACTAGCCAGTGTTCTGTGGTATATGCCTCTTCCAATACATCAAGCTCAAAGTCCTTGTTGCCAATCTCAGCATTTCTCACTCTGTCATAACCTGGAGGACGCTCTGGAAAAGAGGTGGGAGAGAGAATTAACAAAAGTAGCTTCAGTCAGTTCCCTGGTGCCCTTCTCCCTATTAAGTCTAGTTTTACCATTGTAAGAAAAAAATCTGTTCATGTTAGCAAAAATGTAGATGCCTCAACGTCAACTCCCCCCCTCCCCCAGCTTTCCATCAATTCACAGCCAATGACTTGTTAAATAAAAGGGGAGCGAGAGGAAGCCAATTAAACAGGATGTAATGTGTGACTGAAAGAAAAAACCTCCCCTGCCACAATCTATTATGCTATAAACACTAATTACGTGTCAGAGAGAAGACCAGGGATCATCCAAAAACACAACTCCTAGGCAAAATTTCTGGTTCTCATTTGCAGTGCTCAGATAAAAGTGACTTACTGGCTTCTGTATAGACTTGGCCAAAGCGATAGTAACACATCTTGTACATGAGGCAGTTAAGCAGCACAGGAGAGCCCTCCCTGTCCACACGGAACTCTCCTGTTGGTGTGTAGTAATCATGCTCTTTTATGTGCTTTCCAGTGTCTGTGCTGCCTCCTATTCGCACCATCCACAGAAATTTATTGATATCTAAGGAAGAAGCAGCAACTTTGTCAATGTAACAGAGCAGAAAACCCATTAATAAAGAACAATTAAAGGTCCATTCATGGGAAATTTGCACAATACAGGTATGAGATTACCATCCGAGGAATATCCAGTGAGGCCTCCAAATATTACCAGCACATAACTGACATCCAGCTCCCTCATAATCTCATAAGCTCGCTCTTCCGTGGATGCCATGGCCTGAAAATTAAACAAACAGCAGCTTATAAATTCACGTATCTTAGTTACCATGCCTTTTTTTTTTATCCACGTATAAATAAAGAGTCTTAACTCCTTCAATCAATTTTGTAGTTCATAATAAATAGCCGGGACAAGAAAACTGCAAAATGCCTTCATAGTTTCTCTGGAATGCGATGGGGGGAAAAAACCCCTGGAATTCACAAAGCTACTGCACCTACCTGACCAACTCGAGAAATGTGGGTGTTATTCCAAGTGTTGTTATCCACAAGAATTGTTCGGTTTGCCATGGCTGTTATCTGATATCCATAATCCCACCAGGACATTACTTTCGCATCCTGAGCTCGAAACAGAAAAAAGCAATCAATGTAGTGAATTAAAAGGCAGTAAATGAGTTTGAGCGGATCTGTGATGCAGTGAAAGGACAAAATGACTACAAAAATTTCTCTTTGTGGGTCAGTATCCTAGGATTATCAGTTGAATGGAAATGACAGTATTCTCAAGAATTCTTATGTGACCATATGAAGCAGGTTTTTTCAAAACAGAAGAATGATGAATTTGCCACTGTGAACAGATTTTATACATATGCTGACAAAGTATTTTTAATAATAGAAGTGTTTTAAATAGAAACCATTCTGCTTGGGCTTGGAGACTCTTCACATGCCATTTTACATTAGTAATTTTCAAAAAAGCTTTTTTAAAAGTATTTACAAGAATTGTACAGTGCCAATTCATTATATGTATTTTAAATTATTGGGAGATGAGGAAGATTTAGTTTAATACTAAGTATCTGAATGTCCCCCCCAATTAGTTATAAAACATTATGGAGTTTCAACAGATTATGAAGGTTCAACATTCAACAGATTCAGTAGCCAACAGCATTTTCCCTCCCCACCTTGAAGCTCATTCAAAACAATTAGAGACAGCACACAGACAGGTACCAGTGCCAAGAATGTAAGCCAACAAGACAGACTGGGCTACAGTCCTTTCATATACATTACAAATACATAATCAGGCAGTAATTGAACATTCATGCCACCACAAATATTTCAGTTTGAAAGAGAAAATATATGCAGATTCTCTAAAATGTAAACTAACCACCTGCTTCCAAATAAACTTGATGGATCATCAAAATCATCTTCAGAGGCCCTACTCAGAATCCCTACCCTTGTCCTCAACTCCCATTCACTTCCCAGGGTACCTCCTTGATGATTTTTAGGAGAAGCAATGCTTTATTCCCCAGTAGGACCTGATCCATGATGCTCCTACTGAATCTGTAGATTATTTTATCAGTTCAAATACTGCTGTCTAATGATTTTCTTTGTGTGTATTGTTAGCTGCCTCAGGAATCTTTGTGAATGAAATATTTAAAGTATGTATAATAGCTGATACATGTGCTTTAGACTAAACTTCAGCCAACATAAAGATTAGGAAGCATGCCTGCTCCTTTCGGGCAGGCCCTCCAACCTCTCCACGGCACCTAAAACAAACTCAATGTGTGTGCAGAGACCAGCCCTGTAGAGATTTATACCTCTGGTGTATTGTGACGAAGCCAGTAATAAGCTTCCCTGAAGTCATCAAAGATTATTCTGCTGCCATCACCACCACGTGCCGACAGCACTATGGAGGGAGAAGAGTAGGCTTCACTGGTTACCCAAGTTGAATGGAAAGTGTAGGTGATCAAGAAGAAAGCCATGACCAGGATCATGCCACTGGCAACCTAGGAAAGCAAGAGTAGCCATCAAAATGTAAAACAGCCACTTAGTAGTTATACAGAAACAACCTTACTTACAACACAAAAACTGTTACCCATATATAGGAGGTGATTCAAGTGCAATTCCCACAATATTTCTTTCCTATGCACATCTTAGTGGAGTACCCGGCCTCCTTCTTTTGACTCATATTTTTAGTATCTTCCAGAAAAGTATGATAAAAATCTAACAAGCAAGGAACCTCACATAGCAACTTACTTCGTTTTTGATGGGGTAAGTAGCATCCTGTTGCTTTTTTGTCTTCTTGTCAGGTCGGCTGATATCTAAATTTTTCATGTAAGTTGACAACACTTGGGAGACTCCAATGCCAGACAGAATGCACATAACTGGGGCCAATACCAGCATGAGACGAACCTGTTAAGACAGAGGCATACTGAGTGCTTGGCTACCATGCAAATGAAATAAAAACTGTGGAAGCATAGGGACAGCAGAAACAAAGAGATTCCATGAAAAAATTGCCAGTCCCATAAGTCAACTCTCAGTACTCACCATCACAGCCGAGAAGTACATGCTGGTCACACCATACATGATGATAAAAATGCGGGCATCAGACAGATTACTGAAGCAATAATACAGTCCAACTGTAACAGAAAAAGAAATGAGTCAGCTGCCAGAAGAGTTACATCTATGCATTAGGGCAGGTTTTCCCAGCCTGGAGCCCTCAAAATGTTTGGGGCTAAAACTCCTCGCAGTTCCAGCCAGTGTGGATAATGGTCAAGAATAATGGAGGTTGCCTAAAATATCTGGAGGGCACCAGATGGTGGAAGGGTGTTTTAGAGACTAGCAGTCACCAACTCAAGAGTCAGATATTCCGCAGAAGGTGGGTAGTATGAAAGCATAGTAAAAAGCTATGCTAAACTCACCTGGGAACATGAAAACAAGGAGTTGCAGATCAAAATAGTAGGATGACCATGTGGTAGGCTGATGCTCAGAGACTGAAGCAATGATGGGAATATTGTTCTTCGCATAGGAAGGATCCAGCAGTGAATAGAAGCGGCCAGTCCATGGGGAGATCTTTCCTGTATGAGAGTAAGAGATCCAAATGTACATGTTCAAGTTTACAGAGTAATTAATATCTCTCAACAAGTTTACACAATATCTCATTTCCAATATGCATATTCTATACCTAAATTTCCCCAAAGCTCAAATTTAAAAGTTCAGTTTCCTAAAAGGTAAAACAAAACCTGATGGACCCCTAGTGATGTTTGTTTTTCAGTGTTTTCAGGTAAACATCAAAACAGGTTTCTTCCCCTTTCCTTAAGCAAATTCAACAGAAAATAAGGATATTATTAATTCAGTTACTGTTACTGAGAATGTATCTAAATAAAAACTGTTATTCCCAGCATGGCAAAACCAAATGCTTACACAGTTCAGCTACTGTGTGTATGCACACAGCTGAGAAAAACAAGTATTAAAATATTTAATAGAAAAAATGGTTCCAGACAAAAACATGAAAATTCTCTACTGATTAGGAAAAATATTGTTCCTACTGTAAGAGTATAGGAATCGCATGCATTTTAGTAGCACCAACTGCACCTGTAAGCATCAGAATGGCTCCTATTGACAGAAGGACAAACCCAACCAGGGAGATTACACTCCTGAAGAGAATCTCGAACTGCTGAGGGTTCAGTTTGCTGCGCAAATAATCTACAAAGGCATGAATCTGGCACAGGCCAAATACACCCAAGGCAGCCATATGTTCAGAAGACAGGACAGGCTGCAGGAAAGAACAAACATGCACCGTTAAGCTGCATTATGTGACAACTAAATAATTTGTCTCTGGCCAACAGTCTCACATACGTAAGCCACTCCTTTGCCACGAAGAATTATCGCTGTACACATGGACAATTAGTCCAACATAGAATACATTTACCTACTAGCCCCGTTTCTATTATTGTTACTTTATATGGGTCTGATGAGTGTCTCCCCCTCCAATTTTCTATTTCAGTTCAATAACATTTATCTTAATGGGGCTGAGGCAGAGCTAAACGATCTGGGTAAAGCCCAGAAAGACCATGCTTTTCTGTGGCGAGTATAATAAAGAGAGAATACGGTTGTTTTATAGCAAAAGTGGCATTTTATCAAGAGGCAACAATGCAATAATGCTCCTCTATTAAATGAGAAATGCTATTTGAGGACTGATCCTGATGGATGATCTTATCTTTTCCCTATCATACAGTAAGGAAGATTCTGCTAGCCATGGATTTGCACAAAATCACAACCAACTTTCTTCAGTATCCCAGATTTCTCACCTGGAAGCCAACGAAAGATATCTGCATTGATAAGATGGTTCCTAGGCAATATACTGTGCAGTAAGCCACATATATCCGATGGGAGAATCGTCCAGTTAGCATCAGCACCAGTACATGAAGGGGAATGAGGTTAATCAAAAACACATAACCACCCCATGAAGAAACCTGAAAAAAGATGAAAGGGGGCACGGCATTTTACATCTATAAATACTATTGTTTGTTTACTCCACAAAGCAAAATATTTTTAACTTCTAAGTAGAAGTCAATACTACAGAGGCATACTTTTACAAAAGAGCCTTGTTCCATTGCTAAATGAAAAGGCCACTCAATACCCCTGTTGAGCTAGTGGGAGAAAAAGCTGGGCCTGGGCCGGCTCTCACAGATGGAGGGATGTGGTGAAGATGATTGCTTAAGGTTTTCTTGTGTATTCATGACTGAAATGAAATTTACACAAGAGAATCTCAAGGCTCACAAACAACTTGACTGTTATGGCACTAACCCACCAATTCAACCACCACCACCCCTCCCACAAATACAGCAATAACAATATTTCTATAGTGGTGCTGAGTACTCCTTATTACCAATACCTAGTCCCTTCACAAACTTGCAGTGATGCCGGGTCCAGGATTGCAAAGCATATTCAGCTTTGTAGGCTGAATTCCATTCACTCAAGCCAGCTCTCATAATGGAAGATTAATCTGATGGGTGAAACAACTGCTGTTCAAGAAATTCAAAGCATTATTGAAAAATCACTTACCATGTAGAAATAGGCAAGTGCACACATGGCTGCCCAATAAATGGAGCCTGTTTTCACTGCTTTGATCCACATGTAGTAAGTCAGAAGCATACAGAATATAGCAATACCTGGAAATAAACAATACATAGGAGTCAACCACATGAAGAAACCCCCATCATGCAATCTCCACATGCCAGTAAGCAGTGTGCTTTAAACACTGATCTTACCTTCATTGTCATAGGATCCAGCGACAGAACGAGATATGTAACCAGGTACCACAGCTATCATTGCTGCAGCCAAGAGACCTGCCCCTGCATCCTAGACAGAATTAAAAAAAAAATTGAACTTTGATTGCCCAGACTGTCTTTCACGATATGTAACAAAAGACTTCCCGGTTCCTTCTTCCTCATCAATCCCAATATTGACTTTAAGATCTGTACAGGCTTCAAGTTAGCAAGTATGCATTACAATTCAGGTTTGCAAATAAGGTCTACTTGTAGAATGTGGATTTTCTTGTTTAAAAAAATGAAGATTTTCATATGCAAACATACAATTGCATAATCTATATGAATTAAAGGGAACATGCACAATGTTAACTGCCTCATAAATTGTGCGTAAGCAACGATTAGAAACTAATAATACCAGCCTCAGATCTTTTACAGTGATGAATGAAATTAGCACTAGGAAGCATTGCAACCATGATCCATCCTTGTTTTTACCTTGAGTTCTTTGGTGAGGTGATACGTTACTATGGTGGTGAAGGAGGAGAAAAGGGGGGCCAGGAAAACACACACATTTCGTATGTCAATTGTAATGTGGAAGAAGTGCAGAACATGGTAAATCGCTGCTGATGTGATCATTAAACCTGAGACAGAGGGAAGGAAAGATGTTCTATTGGCAAGAAATCACAGATTTTCCAAATGCAAAAGAAAAGAATGAGCAGGTGCAGGACTTGGAAATATGAGCCAAATCTCATCCAGCAAGGGGTGATGTCTGACCTCCAAATGGCCAAGTAAAGCCTCTTCAATACTAGCAGGATATTTAATTGCTCTAAAGAAGTTTGACAAAACACTACAACCGTTCTGGAAGATGCATGGCAAGTGTTTCCCATTCTCTCTAGCACTTTTCATCCACAGTTTAAAAAAAGGACAAAGTTCCGAACATCATTTTACCTGGATAGATAGTTCCACCAATGATTCGACCCAGCGGATACCATGCTCTATCGTCAAACCAGTTGTGGAATTTATAGAAACCCTCTTCTGCCAGGAAGCGAGTTGTGCGGTAGTTAAAATACCTGTGATAACAACAGAAATCTGAGTGCCTCTTCAGCTGCATATACAACACACTATTTGCTGCTCCTCATATTACAGTCTGAGCCTTCATCTAAGGTTCTTATGGAAAAGCACTGCCACATAATACATAAATCAGTGTCAGCCTGATTGATGAGAAATGTTTCCAGTTTCTGTCGGGTAGGGATCTGATTTCCAAACACAAACACTCCAAACAGTTTTCACCACAAGCAACTAAAAGCATCCAAATTACTTTTATATATCATTTGGCATACTGCAACACAAAGTGCATTGCTTTATACAACCTTCTCTAAATCATACTGGAAATCTGAAGCAAAGAAGCTCCATCTCCCATAAACACGTTCATGCAACCACTGATTTAAGTTTTTCACTGAAAAACAGAATTGTCATTGGTCTCACAGCTTCAGAAGTTACTTTCGAAAACATTCATTCTACTATACTTTCATCTTTACATTTTTAAATCAATTCCCTATTCAATCCAGATGGGTCTAACTAAAATTGATACTACTTCTACTGTTGAATTCACCAAGGCTAACCCTATTAAAATTTTCTGCAGAAAAACTCTTAGCGTTCAGATATTTTTGAAGCCCTGTCATTAGAGAAGGACAATCTATCAATATCCTTCTGGGTAACACCACAATCAACACCTGTGCATAGCAGAACAATTGCTCTCTCAGAGCAAAGTAGACTACTAAGAGGCAACAGGAATACTTACGGATCAAATTCATGAATGACACTCTCAAATCTTAATACAGAGAAGAGTCTAGTAGAGAAAGCTGCAACACAAAAGGAAGGAATATTAATGCAGTTGTACAGGTAAAATGTTTTAATGCTGGTCCTTTGTTATGTGGACGCCTATTAGTTTGAAACTGTTATAGCCATCAAAGAAGCATCTAGCATTGTATTAGGTATAAGCATCAAGGCATAAGATACAAAATGAACCAGCAGATGCAGATGATGCTTATAGTCATATAGTTATCCCTGACTAATTTTTTTAAACTCAAACTTACACAACACAGCTGCCATTGACAGAATCAGGAGCTTGAGGAGAGTGTCCTGTTTCTCATAAGAGAGGCGGAGGAAGCCTAACTTGGTCATTTTGGCAAAGGCAACAGCAAGCAATCCTTAAATACCTGGAAGGAAAACAGAAAGTAGAGATCACCAAGGTTGTTGGGGTTTTTTTAAACTGAACTAGTGCAACCAAGTCTTCAGGCTCTCTAAATTATAACATTACAAGCAAACATATTTCCTAGGACAGGTCATCTCCTGGGTCATTTACAAGGTATCCCTCCTATGAGAACCGATCTAAAATCTCAGTGACACAATTCCACACAAAAGCATTCCTTTTTCAGAGGAACTGATCCAATACCATCTTCTGCCCATATAAAGTCTCTAAGGTTGCATCCCATACACACTTATCTGAGAGTAAGTTCCATTGGACTCAAAAGGATTTGCTTCTGAGTACATACTCATAGAGCTGTGTTAGCCAACATCAATTGTTCCGACACATTAACATAGCAGCTTTCAGGTATTTTCAGGCTTATTTTATAAGCCTATGCCAGCTAATTGTTTATAACTTGTTTTTAAATGTTATATGTTAATTTGGATTTTGTATTTATATTTGTGGGCTGGATATTGTTTAGAGGCTTTTGTTGGGGAATGTATTTTTATTAGTTTGTATACATTAGTATTGTTAACTGTTTTAATCATTTTTATTATGTATTTTGTGCTTTTTATATTGTAACTTTATGTTGTGAACAGCTCTGAGACCTATGGGTACAGGGCGGTATAAAATTTTAATAAATAAATAAAATGTGTAATGACAGCCTGAATGTGAATTTTCTCTTATATAGGCACAACTTTTCAAATATATTAAAAGAAAATGCATTCATTATTGTACCAAAATTGGGTCCTATCTATGCATTTGTGAGGCCAATGATTTATAAAAGCAAATAAAGCACAGTATACAAAACATATTCACTTATACATTTCAACGTTACTTTTATTTTCCCACCCAGTATCTTACAAACCACAAACATCATATTAAAAAACACACACAAATATTGAGTGTGCATTTTCTATCAGAAATTCAGTACTACAAAATTTTGGAAGGGTAATAAAGACAAAACAAATAGAAGCCATTTTAAGTAACTTGGTGCAACTGTGTAAGCGCAGCAGACTCTGATTGGCTTGTCACTGTCTACAACACTGATAGCACTAGGTAAATATTGAGCAATAGTGATCGGTAGACAAATGTGTAAATCTACCAGCAAGAAACATATGGATATGAAATATGAAATTGAGAGAAATTAACTGTCCCAAAAAAGCATAGTTCATTTTGCATAGTTCATCTCTTGATGCTAAGGCAGCCTCTCACCCTTGAGTCTGTATATGTTGTTGGACTACAACTCCTATCATTCCTTGCCAGCATGACCAGTGGTTAAGGATGATGGGAGCTGTAGTTTAAGAACTGGGGACCCAAGGCTGTGCTAGGGGTGGGGTGCAGGGATAGTCTAAAAGATGTGTCTGTACGGTATTTGCCATCTGAAATCCGACATCTATCAAGCCAAGACTCCTCTGGTATTTTAATACCAATGTCAGGCATAACACACAGAGAGACATGTTACACAAATTAGTACAGTCAAACATTGGCTGTTGAACGTAATCTGTTCCGGAAGCCCATTCGGCTTCTGAAATATTCGACAACCAAGGCACAGCTTCTGATTGGCTGCAGGAGTTTCCTGCACTCAAGCAGAAGCCGCATTGGACATTTGGCTTCCGAAAAACGTTTGAAACGCTTACTTCCGGGTTTTCGGCATTTGAGAGCCGAAACGTTCTAAAACGGAGGTGTTTGGGAACCAAGGTTTGACTGTAAACCTACAACTAATATAGCTAGCTGCATTACACTGGATGTTCTCAACTTCCAAGACTACAGCTTACTCACCAGTATGACCATCCTCATCACAAGCAGAACCTTTAAGAAACAAATCTTTTGTACCATGAGGACATTTTTTAAAAAAGCAATATGCCTTATACTCTGATGAGAGAATTCATCCCAGCAGATTCTAGAGAGCTGAAGATGAAATGTTATCTATTTCTGGGGATATTTATTACATGACTAAAGGTTCCAACCTCTAGGAACACAAGGCACAGTTACTGCCTTATGACTCTGTGGACCTCAATTAACGCCCTATCCCAAAGAGTGCAAAAATGAGTAATTATTACACAGTATTTTATATCTGCCAAGGGTCCAAATAAGACTAAAAAAGAGATAGGAAGAATAAATGCTTTCAGTATCTCTTTGATACACTGGTGGTCTACTTAATTTTATAGAACTAATTATTATTTTTTGTTAGATGACTTTTTGCAGGGAACCCTGTGTTGCTGTGCGAGTACAAGGGCTTGTTTGCATGTTCTGTGGGTGTTTGCATGTGCAGGGATTAACCAAAGTTTGATTAGCCATACTGCTGATCTACACATACGCATGTGCCACCAGTACATTTCTTAATGCAAGGAAGGAATTGTATAGTTCATGAGAAACTTGCCACAATATTATGAAATGGGGTGGGGAGCATAGCTTTATAGAAACAGAATAGGGGAGGTCTGCTTTGCAAACATTTGTCTGCTTGTTTAAATAAAGCTAATTTACAATGAATAACACCATCAGTCCATCTAGTCCACAGCTGTCTGCATTAAGAACCATTAGCTCTTCAAGGCCTTTTAACGGGAGACACCCTGAGCTCTTCTGCACACGAAGCATGTGTCCTGCCTTTATAGCCCCTGGTGGGGAAGGAGGCTGCCAACTAAGCAGGGAAGGCATATCTTGCCTCACAGCTTTGATAGCGCTTTTAAGATTTGCGGGAGGGAGCACCCTCCCTTAAAAAAGTTAAGCATGCATTGCCTAGATCAGGGTTTCCCAAACTTGGGTCTCCATCTGTTTGGGGACTACAACTCCCATCACCCCTAGCTAAGCAGGACCCGTGTCAGGGATGATGGGAACTGCAGTCCAAAAACAGATGGAGACCCAAGTTTGGGCCTAGATCTAGGCAAAGCTAAAGGTGGTGACGGGCATGTGCCACTCTAGATTTCAAGATGGGCCGCTGGAGAAGCGGGAAAACCGTTTTACCACTTTCAAAGCTCCCCAGGCATTTCAAAGAAGTCTCTACGATTCTATGAGGGGGGAAACCAGCACGACAAAGGGGACGTGCCACTGTTCTCTCCGTATGCAGTTTTGCTTCTTGCAACACAGACCCTGTCCGGCTGTATTGCTGCTGCTGCTGCTTTTAAAAAAGGAAAACCGCTTCCCTCGGAGTTCATCTTCTGCAGACCGCAAGCCCCTCGAGGGAAGGGGCCTGTGGCCCTGCCCTCCGCGCAATAGCCGGGGCACGGCTGGGGTGCTAAAGAGCGGCAACATGGGCCTTTGTGACCGGCGTGGGAGAAATAAGCACCGTATTTCAGGGCTGAAGGGGAGGCACTTTTCAAAGAAGGCGTCGCCGCTCCGGCCAGGCAGAAGAAAGCGGAACCGCCTCAGCCGGCGGCCAGCTCACTCCGAGGTCGCGGGTCCTCCCACCAGGCCAGCTTCGCAAGGAAGCCCACGGCCGCCCTCAGCCTCCCCTGCTCTCCCTCAGGCCCCGGCCAAGTCTCTTCCCGCCCCCCTCAGGAAGCCTCAGCCCAGCAGCGGCGCCCGCTCGCTTCCCCTCACCTGTGTGACTCGGGCGCCTCTCCTCAGCCCGCTCCCTCAGCCATCCGCTCCACGCGCATCCACTCCCTGCGGCAGAGACGGCCCGCCTCCCGCCAGCCCAACTGCCGGCCAGCGGTTGGCGGAGACGGCTGCCGATCACGCCGAAGGGGGGCGGCCTCTCCGAAGAGCGCCGTTAGGACGAGGCCAGCGTCTTTCGCCAAAGGGGAGGTTTCAGAGGCACGCTCCGCCGCCTCCGTCGCTGATTGGCGGAGGGGAGAGAGACGGCGGGGAAGGCTGTCTTTTGAGGGACCAGGGAAGTTTGGTTGAGGGCGCGAGCAGTGACGTGTCGCTCCCGGTTGGTAGAATTCGGAGACGGGCAGGAGGGGTGTGGCCACAGTTCTCCACGTGACAGGATGCAGAGGGGCGTGGCCGGGGAAGGAGATCAGGGCTCTATGCTATTCCGGGGCAGTCAGATGCACCCGGCAAGCTCCGCTTAGTGCAATGGGATTTATAGAATTGTAGAGCTGGGAGGGCGATGCAACGGGGGTAGCGTTGCATAATTTTTCAAGAGCACGTTGGAAGATGAGTAGCTTCGGAATTGCAGAACTATACACCCATATTTAGGTGTATGCATACTGTATGCTAGGGACGCGGGTAGCGCTGTGGGTTAAACCACAGAGCCTAGGACTTGATCAGAAGGTCAGCGGTTCGAATCCCTGTGACGGGATGAGCTCCCGTTGCTCAGTCCATGCTCCTGCCAACCTAGCAGTTTGAAAGCACATCAAAGTGCAAGTAGATAAATAGGTACCGCTCCGGCGGGAAGGTAAACGGCGTTTCTGTGCGCTGCTCTGTTTCGCCAGAAGTGGCTTAGTCATGCTGGCCACATGACCCGGAAGCTGTTCGCCGGCTCCCTCGGCCAATAAAGCGAGATGAGCCCAGAGTCATTCACGACTGGACCTAATGGTCAGGGGTCCCTTTACCTTTATACTGTATGCTTGTGACACAATGACCACTGATAAATGTCATCTCCAACTCCTTGAAAGATTCCATCAAGGTTGTCTCCAAAAAATGTTGCACATCACTTGGGAAACAGGCAAACTAATGCCAGTGTACTGGAAGAAGCAAAGATTACCAGTGTCAAAACAATGATTCTTCAACATCAACTTCGGTGGACTGGTCATGTTGTTCGGATGACCGATTATTGTTTTCCAAAGCAACTACTGTATTCCAAACACCACTTTCTGGACACGGCCCAGGAGAAAGGAGCGGAACCACCGTATGACAATGCTCCCAGCCCCTCTAGATGGTCCAGAAGGATATTATGGTCGATGGTGTCAAAGGCCGCTGAGAGATCCAGCAGAACTAGGAAACAGCTCTCGCCTTTGTCCCTAGCCCGCCGGAGATCATAAACCAGCGCGACCAAGGCAGTTTCAGACCCATGGTGAGGCCTGAATCCCGATTGGAAGGGATTCCAAATGGTCTGCATCCTCCAGGTATGCTTGGAGTTGTTCGGCAACCACCCGCTCAATCACCTTGCCCAAGAATGGTAGATTTGAGAGTGGGCGATAGTTGGCCAAATTGGTCGGGTCTAAAGATATTTTTTTAAGAAGCGGTTTAATGACCGCCTCTTTCAGCGGGTCTGGGAAGGCTCCCTCACAGAGGAAAGCATTCACCACCTCGCAGAGCCCATCGCCCAGCCCTTCCCGGCTCGCTTTTATCAGCCAGGATGGGCAAGGATCAAGGAGACAGGTGGTCGGTTTCACTTGTCCAAGCAGCCTGTCCACATCCTCGGAGGTAACAGACTGGAACTGATCCCATGTAACAGGACTAGACAGAACTCTAGCACTCTCCTGCCCAGGCCCTGCTCCCACGGTGGAGTCTACCTCCTTACTTAGGACTGTGTAGTCTCAGACAACCAGAGCCATTAGATCTTTAAGTACAGAAACAATTTAAGAAAACCTATTTTAAAAGAAGTTAGTTCACTATCAGCCTTGGGAGTTCTAAGAAACCCAAAAATAAGTGCAGTTTTGAAAGGTTCAGTCCACCATCTTAGTTCAAATGGCATTCTATTACAGTCGTACCTTGGAAGTCAAACAGCCTAGTTCTCAAACGTTTTGGCTCCCAAACAGTTGAAACCCGTAAGTGACTGTTCCAGCTTCCAATTGTTCTTTTGGAAGCCAAACATCTGACGGGGCTTCCAGTTGGCTGCAGGAGCTTCTGCTTTGCTTTTTGAATGTTTTGGAAATCGAACGGACTTCCGGAACGGATTCCATTATACTTTCAAGGTACGATTGTATATCCAAGAATAAATGAAAACCTGTTCCTTCCTTGATCTCGGGAACTATAATTCAAAATGGGTTGTTTCCAGTGCTAGTCCTAATCAGCGTAGACTAGTTGAAGTTAATGGGCATGCCAAACTTAGATTCATTAATTTCAATGGGTCTACTATGAGTAGTACTTAACTGGATACAACCCAATATGTTCAAAGGTATCCAAATGCAACTTTCCAAAATATACAGAAATTGGCAGTGAGTGCAACACCAAGTTCTCCCCTGTATCAGCACAATGAAATTAGCTTCAAAATTCAATCACAAAATCAATTCAAGGTTGTGTAAGGTTGTTGAGTTTTTTTGCATTTTAATTTAATATTTCAGTGTGAAAATACTAGAGAAAAGGTTTATCTGTAGACTGACCTCAGTTCTGCAAAAACCAAAGGGCTTTTTTGAATTTCATAGTTTTCAGCCCTACAGAAGTCTTGACATGCATGAGAAACACTGTCTAAAATCAGGATCATTTGCACTTCCTTTGTGTATACACAGTTACATATGTACACACAGACAGACGGATACATACAAATATCACATATCCTGAGCTGACTAGCAATTAGTTTCAGCTGCAACTACAACCACACAGGAGCTCTTCGGCATACATCATTCTGACTTGGCTGGGACAACAATTGCAGATCAGGCAGGTTGCATATGAGCTGGAGGCCTCTTAACCGTGACTTGAAGTCTTTTTGCTGCAAATGCACACCCACCATACCTAGATTTAACAAGATAGTGACACCTCTTGAAACCCTGTACAGAAGTGCTGTAGGAAAAAGAGTTCTCTTGTTTTTCGTGGATATCCTTTGGAACTGTCATTGTGGTTTTTGCCATCAAACACCACCAGGATCTATAAAGACACTAATTTTTACACACATCTACCTCTTTCCATTAACAAAATATTACACTGCAATTCTTACAACCCCAGCCACAGATTTAACATGTTTCCATTTCAGTGCCTGAACTTACCCGTACACTTTTCATATTTTCCCTTTGAAAGTTCAGAAGGAGTTTTTTGGGGGTGGGGGAGCTCCAAGGATGTAGGTTTTTTTAAAAAAAAATCCATACATTCTACTGCTAAGGTTAGGAATTTGTTTCATCCATCAAAGCAGATCCCTTCCAGCATAAAACAGTTTGAGTGGCACTCATCAAGGTCCTTTAAAGTGACACCACCAAAGTGTGTCAGTTGGCAGAAAGAACTGTACAGATGTCACCAAATACCAAAAAAGAAAAAAAGAGGGCGGAATCCTCCTACTCTGTGTCTTGATCTTGAACCTAGAACTACATGATCCACTTTTCATTTCAGCACAACAGGGATTACAAAATCCTGACCTGAGTTATATGCTATTACAAAGAACTACGATCATTGAGAAAACCCAAACACTCCTGGTGCGGTTCACCGTAAAGACCCCATCAGCGTTATCACAAAGCTACGACAAAATATGCGTTACAAAAAAATCATTCATCAGGAGGGGGAAATGGCACAGGGTCAGGTGGAGAAGTATCAAAAACAAAACAAACGAACAAAAAAACACCAACCAGTATAGACACAGGTTCATTGCATGCTGTGAAAACAAGCAAAGAACCTTGCTTTTGAAAAACTCACAAAAGGTGTTTAAAAAACCCAGGCTCTACTGCTCCCTTCCCTCCCCACCCCAATATTTTACTCCACACGCTCAGTGTGACACAGAGCTGGTGTTCAACTGGGGCTCACAACAGTGATAGGAGGGGGAAGGAGGATGCACAAGCCCCTTGGCAGAACACTGACTGCCCTCCCGTGCACCAAAGGACCATGTATACAGCAGCCAGGAACAGTACTCTTCCCGCCCCCCTCTGCTTTGGTTATGGTTCAGTGCACCAAAGCAGCCTTTTGTCTGGCAGGTGATGAGTGTGGAGAGGGCTGAAGTCGATCGGCTGAAGCAGAGTTGCTCAGGCTAGACTGAAGGTAAACCGTCTTGTGAAAGAGTCTGTTGCTGAGGAAGACCACCAAGGAAAAGAGGCGCAGCTGGAAGTGGCTGGAACACAAGGAGGGGGAAATGGCTATTAGCTCCCAGCCAAAGGCTTTCTGGTCCAAAATAAGATCGGAGCACTTTGACCTTTCACTGCCCGAGTTCTGCCTTGCATCAGTTAATGAAAAAACAGAGCACAATTCATGTGCTTCTCTTCAGGCCACTCCCTCCCCAAGCCACACCCCTCACCCACCCTGGCCAACACTCTAGTGCTTTTGCATGCCTGGCATGTGTCCTTGGACTGTGATGATGTCTCTTGCTTGCCTGGAGTGAGAGTGCATGTGTGCATGTACATATACATGCACAGAATCCTCTGTATTTTGCATAGCTGGAATGAAGCTCCGCTGCGCAAAAGTAAGAATCACATACTTTGTTCCACCCACTTTTGTCTCTGGCATGTGGCCTCTGGAAAACTGGCCCTAAGGGAATGCAGCCCTCAGCTGAAAAAATAAAAGGTTTCTCAGCCCTGTTCTAAGGGGACCTAGCACTGAAATTCTGTCTTTTGAGTGCAGTTGCTTAGGCTCAGAAATCTTATATGCAGGTGCACGTGCTCCTTTTGCACTTAACTTTCTGCAGCCCTACTTTCAAAACTATTTATTTAATTAATTTGCATACTGTTCTTCATCTGAAGATCACAGGGCGGTTCACAACACAAAACATACAAAATATGCCTATGTGTGTGCACTCTAAGGGCCATAACACAGCCTAAGGGCATTTTATAAGTATTTTATAAGCAGACTGTAGGACATTCAGGGTTTAAATATCTTCGTAGCCAAGCACAGTTGGGAGCAACTGTATACACTACAGTATGCATTAGATAGGATAGTGTCTTCAGCAACATGTAATTTGCTTTATTGAGATTCAAGTTTCAGCGTTCCACAAAAGTCGTCTCTGCAAGTGGCACCTGTAGTCATTTTGGGAATCTTAACTCTGTCCCGGTTACTCTACACAGAAAATAAATGCCTCTTTTGACTCTCTCTCTCCATTCAAAACTCCAGTTTCTGCTGGTCAAATAGCAAGCACACCCCACACCACCCATCAGGAATACTAAGAATGTTAAACTTGCCGTCAGGGCTCCCAAAGTTATCTAGTTCACCAACAGAGGGGCAAACTAAATCACAAAGATGGCAAGAAGCAGTTAGCAGCATGAAAAATTGAACAGATTTCATAGCCAACTGGTAGACTTCTTTTCCATCATTTCATACAGGAAGAGAGAATACATACTATGCTTTCCCTGGTGTCTTTGCTTCATTGGCGCTGATGATAAACAGAGGAAAAAGAATGGAGAACAGACAGCCACTGGAAAAGAAGTAAGAAATTAATCAGACCATTCTTATTATGAGATGGTTTCTGTTCACACACGTGCGCCTATTGGCGCAAGATACAGCAGCAATGTTTACAGAACTACTGCTAGGGGTATCTCTGTAGATCTGTGAAAGTCGACCTACGAGCAAATAACATTGTGCAAGTTGAACACAAGTATATATCCACATTGCAGGATTGGGTAGCAGAGGCAAGACAAATGCGAACGCAGATTCAGGGCAAATTCTTATCACACAAGCGAGTCTAATCATTTTCCTCGCCACGTTTTGCTGCAGCCCTTTTTAATGTTAAGAAATCCAATGTTAAAATTGGTCAGAGATCAAGATCTTTTCCCACACTCAGTATTCACCAACACCAATTTGAGAAAACAATTAAGAGGCACTAATCCTACTCGAACCACCACTATTAATCATTCACTCACACCTTGCAGACCACTGCACTAATGCAAAGTGCTTAAAAGAGTTTCATGCTCAGTACACTCCTTCCCCAGGCAAGTGCCTGGCCCCCTATCTATGCTGATGCTACTCAATGTATCACTACAAAGGGTAGGTGCAACAGCTGGATGCCAACCTCTGCACAAATCCATGGATCTCAGCACTACATCTGTGTGGTCTTGGCCCAAGACACAGGTGGATCAGAATTTCTGTGAAAGTTTTGAAGTCCTCTTTAATACAAATCTTATTCTTAGATTCTACTTGTTCATTAGCATGCTATGTGGTAAAGGGGAATAACATTCTAGAAAGAGGGTATCTATTTTCCAGATGTTGCATGGGGGGGAGCAGATCTTGGCTGTACCCCTAGACCAGGCATCCCCAAACTCTGCCCTCCAGCTGTTTTGGGACTACAACTCCCATCATCCCTAGCTAACAGGACCAGTGGTCATGGATGATGGGAATTGTAGTCCCAAAACAGTTGGAGGGCCAAGTTTGGGGATGCCTGCCCTAGACTCAAAAATTGTCTTTACACCTTATCTCCCTGCCCCACGTCAGTACCATCTATCCTGTTTTCTTATCATTCACTCAATATTACTTGCACTAGTCAGTTTCCCCCAAACTGGTGCCCCCTAGATAGTTATTGAACTACCACTCCCATCAGACCCTGCCGGCATAGTCAATAGTCATGTATGATGCAAGTTGGATTCAAAAGTATCTTGAGGGCACCAGGTCGGGGGTGGCTGCTTTAACCCCACACCTTCCCTTCCTGTCCCACTGCTTTATCCTGTGTACATTTGATTTTACATTTGCCTACTGTAATATCCAAAGAAAATATATCCGAACAAATCACCTGATAATGTAAGAAGACTGCATTGCAGTGAGGAAGGCCAGTGGTAAGCCAAATCCAAAGTAATAAGGCCAGTTTCTTTCAATGTTGGATAATCGTTGATGCATTTCAATTCCTGACATGACAAAAGCCAATCACAAAGTGTTAAAAGAAGGCAAAGACACATAGATACTGGATTTTACATTCCAAGAGCTCTCTGCAACAACATCAAAAGGGCGGAAGCCCCTCAAATGCCATTTGCAAACAGTGTTTCGCAACAAATGGGAGTTTCACAAAGATGCCAAAAACTTGGGTCATACATTGTGGTATGGTCTTTTGCCAGCACACAGCTGGGGCATGCTTACTAAGGAATCACTGAATTTGCGGGGATTACTTCTGGATAAGTTCTCTCTCTCTCTCTCTCTCTCTCTCTCTCTCTCTCTCTCTCACACACACACACACACACACACACTGCATTCCTCCATAAAGTTCAGAGTGACATTTTTAGAAACTCACAATAACCCAGTGAAGTAGATTAGACTGAAATACCGCAACATTCTCAACGTCTTTCCCAATCTGCTTTGCAGAGCAGCAGAGAAATGAACCTGACCTTGACCTGACCCCAACATCCTAGACACACCACCAGAGGAACAGTTCATAGATGATCAAGATCTCATCTGTGGCGGTAACGTTTATATCCATTAAGCACATGGGATGGATGGATTGCGCTAAAAGCTCCCATGGCAGTGTCATAAGCCTCGAGGGCTGGTGCTGAGACTCTGCCATATAAGTCACCCTCAATTGCCACGGAGACCCCAGGCACAAAAGAAAGGTAAATATGTATGGACCGGCCCAAAGCTTTAAAGAAAACTCAGCTATTTGAATAAGGAAGCCAAAAGAAGCACTTACCTTTGTTAAACCAACGATACTCAAAGCAGTAAAGTGAGTAGAGCAGCGACATATGAAGCAGGCTAATTAACTGGCCAATGATATCGATGGGAAACAGGCTTACAATCATCCCCTGCAGAAGGCAAGAAGGAATCAACTTAAAAAGAGGGAATCTTATCTGCAAAGCAGGTGCCTTCCAATCACAACAGAAGCACCATCATTCAGCCCCAAAAAAGCAAAAAATGAAGGGACTAGAAGCTTTTGCTTCTCTCATCCATTAACTGCCACCCATACACTCTTTATTATTTGGGCACGACTAAAGTTTAACCATCATTCCTGCGAGGCAACAGCTGCTTAAGTAATCATTCTTAAGAGGTTACAGCAGCGTGGCAGGAGAGGTACTCAGTTCACACCTTTGAGTCATCTGGAAATATTTTACCTGCCTGCAGCTTCCTGAGCAGCTTTCTACTTTAGGTACCTCATGGTATGATTGAACAGTCTGGTCTCTTAAAAGCCTGACTGATTCCAGGTTTTGCCTCATAGCTCACATCCACACTATTCATTTAAAGCATATGGCTTCCCCCCTCTCCCCTCAAATCCTGGGAACTGTCGGCTTTGTGAGGGATAAACTACAGTTCCCATGATGCTTGGGAGAAGTCAGGTCTGTGAAAAGTGGTATAAATATACTTTACATGTACAGTGTGGATGTACAAGGCCTAGGTAATATTCAGGTCCATTTTTTTACTATTCTGTTAAGTGTCTGTGCAGCCAGAGTCCAGGCCTTCCTTGCTATTATTTTATTTTATTAACAACAACAACAACAACACAAATCTAACAAAAAGAAAAGAAACAAAGAATCAAAAATGTAAACCATAAAGCTTCACAGCCTGGAAGGACAAAAATACAAAGATACAGTGCAGCTCTAAAGGGACTACAGTATAAAGCATTAACTCATACAAATATTCCCATTACAAATAAAAGATTCATAAAAACAAAAGTATTCTCCACCTGTGAGTTCCACTATTACTGAGAATAAAAGTTCTATTTAGTCTTAAATTTGCGAGACATTTGCATATACTGATGGTACTAAGTAACTGGGTTGTTGTTAAGAGATGCCAGGCCTTTCTTGCTCTTACCTGGATGAGGAAAAGAGCTTGCAGTAAGAGATTAAACAGCATGTCAGCAATGATTTTACTGACGCTGGGGAAAGGCTGGGGCTTTCTTCCCGACACCTCGAAAGCCAGATCAGCAATGTCCTGAAACACAGGGAAATGTTTTTGCAAAACTGATTTCTTAAGACAAGATTTAATCCTCTCACTACTTAGGACCACTGTCATCACAATACAGATTGTACAAGGAACAAAAACAGGCATAGTAAATGTAAACGATCTTGGGTAAAATATCTGTAGTTGGGTTTTTTTTAAAAGAAAACACAGAATATCTCATCAGAAAACCATGTTCTTCCGAAGGTAAGAGTCAGTAGCATTTGTTACTGTCCTGCATTTTAACACAGCTGCTTTAACTTCCAAGGTGCCGGTTCCCATCCTTAAAAAATGAAATGAAATGAAATATGAAAGCTTTCAATACACCACTCAAAACATGTGGCAGTAAGGGCAGTAAAAGACTTCTCCTAATACCATCACTTTTCCGCTTTGGAAACTGATGAGATCCCACCCTCCTCCAGGCCACTCACAACCAATCATGAGGTGCACATCATCTGTACATAATCAGACATGTACCGTATTTTAGAGGGGGAGAACAAGAGAAAAAAATTCTCCCCCTCTCTGCTCAGCGCCCCTTCAGCGAAGCGGCAGGAGAAACGGAGCCCCTTCCATTTCTCCTCCCGCTTCGCTGAAGGGGTGCTGCGCAGCTCTCCCTCTCTGCTGAAGCCGGGAGAGTCTTGCTCTCCTGGCTTCAGCAAAAGGAACCCAAAGCCTTCAGAGCGCAGCGCAAGTTCCCGCTGCGCTCCAAAGGCTTCAGGCAGCTATCCCTAAAGCCTGGAGAGCGAGAGGGGTCGGTGCGCACCGACCCCTCTCGCTCTCCAGGCTTCAGCGAAAGCAACACGAAGCCTCCGGAGCACAGAGGGAGCGCTTCGGAGGCTTCGCGTTGCTATCGCTGAAGCCAAGGAGCCTGCATTCAATCCATAGGACGCACACACATTTCCCCTTAATTTTTGGAGGGGAAAAAGTGCGTCCTATAGAGCGAAAAATGCGGTATCCATTTTCCCTTTACATACTGCTGAATTTGCAATATGCACCCCGAAAAGGGACCAAGCTGGGACAGCATACTTAGGGGGAGCGGCCTTAAAAATACTGGATGTATGTGTGCATATCTAAGTGTGTCTGACTGCATGCAGTGTGTGTGTGTGTGTGTGTGTAATTTGTGTGTGTGAATACACAGATATAAAGAGATATGGACCAGCCAAATGAGATACACCCTTAAGCTACAATCCTAAACACAGTTTAGTGATTGGTGTTGGTGAGACAAGCACTGAAATCATCAATTGACAAGCATTGCACAAAAGGGAGTAACATCTTCCTGGCAAGGTCACCTACCTGAAACCAGATGGCATTGACAACTTTACTCAGCACAAAGAGAGGAAGAACCCAAAGGGCACTGAAGATGGAGGTGAGGATAAATTCCAGCCAGGACCAGACATCACCGTGTAAGGAGGGGTCACCTTCCAGAGACAAAGATACAAAAATCAGCCACCCAATGTCTGGGACCAAAGTACTGTGAATTCTACAAGGCTTGTGACAGGAGCCAAAAAGCTACTTTAGGTGCACTGAAGGAGATGGCAAAAGCTAGCAGTTCCCACCCAGCCCGCTTTTGAATGGCAGACCCCTGTATACCAGGTTCCCAATTATTTTTGAAGATTCCCATCAGTTTCCAAAGAGGTTTGGCATGCAGGGCTAGTAGCTGAAACAAGTTCAAGGTCCCTCAGGCACACGGTTCATGTTGCCATGAGTTGATGACTGGCTAACCAAGATGCAAGCAATTGTCTCCTGGCAGTTTTTAATTTATTTAAGGAAATTTATTTATATAACACCACTTGATTGTAGCGAAACCTCCAACGGGTTTACAAGAAATGTTAAAATTATCAATAAAACAGTTTAAAACATTTAAAGGCAACTAAATTTAACAGTAAAAAACAGATCAAAAACATATGAACATTTACTTGCCAGGATAGGTAAAGGTAAAGGGGACCCCTGACCATAGGGTCCAGTCGTGACCGACTCTGGGGTTGCGGCACTCATCTTGCTTTATTGGCCGAGGGAGCCGGCGTACAGCTTCCGGGTCATGTGGCCAGCATGACTAAGCCGCTTCTGGTGAACCAGAGCAGCGCACGGAAACGCCGTTTACCTTCCCGCCGGAGTGGTACCTATTTATCTGCTTGCACTTTGACGTGCTTTCGAACTGCTAGGTTGGCAGGAGCAGGGACCGAGCAACGGGAGCTCACCCCGTCGCGGGGATTCGAACCGCTGACCTTCTGATTGGCAGGTCCTAGGCTCTGTGGTTTAACCCACAGCGCCACCCGCGCCCCTACTTGCCAGGATAGGCTTGCCTAAACAAGAATGTTTTAAGCAGGCACCAATGAACTGTACATGAAAGCCTGATACCAATAGGCAACCACAGCAGATCTCTGGGCAGAGGATATATGCTGATAGGGTCTCACTCCCATCAGCAAGCATGCTGCAGCCTTCTGCACCAACTGAAGTTTCTAGGTCAAGCACCAGGGAAGCCCCGCACTGAGGGCATTGCAGTAATTCAATATTGAAGTCACCAGTGCCTGAACTACTATGGTCAACAGTTAAAGTTGTCATACCAGGTGCAGCTAATAAAAGGCACTTCTAATACTTACCGATTATTTGTGCTGTGGCTGACTGAAGTACAGGTATAAATACCTGATAGAACAAGAGGAGACTAAGCTAAGAAGAAGAAGCAAAGAAGGAAATCAGTACAGTTTAACATGTTTGTACAGACACGCTCCGTTCTACAATTTAGCCATAATTCTGAAATCTCCAGTACCGTTTTGGCCTGAATATAAGCCGCACCCGCAAATAAGCCGCACCTTTAAAATTCAAGGGGGGGAGAGAAAAAAAGACAATGCCCGAATATAAGCCGCTCCCTTAAAATTGGGTTACAGGCTGAAAATCGCTGCAGTTGGTAGAATTGTAACTTGGTGTCAATTTAAGCCTTCAGTCTTGAAAGCCTACAAAAGTTATTGTACAGTCGCTAAAATCACAAATCACTATTTAATTGCTACAATTCCGCAGGCACTCACACCTGTAAATGGCAAATGAACAGTCTCAAGCTCACAAATCAGCAAGAAAACATTTTTTTTGTTCCATTTTACCATATGTCTGTTTCAAGCGATATCGTTTTTGTAAGGTCGCAAATTTAAGCCACGCTTTAACTTTGCATGGTCGGAATTTGGAAAAAAAAGTGAAGCTTATATTCAGGCAAATACGGTATATTTGCAAATTAGTTTACCCTTTCAAAGTCTACAGTTTCCTCCAGGTGTGTATTATTTTTCCCCACATACAGACAGGTGTACAAGAAGACACACAAAAGGTATTGCCCATGCACCTTAGCAAACACTATCAGAAAGTTATCCCTTGCACTAGCATCTCTGTGTATGTGGGAAACAAGATAAAGCGACAGACGTTGGGAAGTCTACAGGCATATGCTAATCCGCTCTGAATTATGAACAACGCAGATGGAGGTGCATAAAGCTAGACGATCAACACTGCAGCCTAACTATCAAGGAAGGACCAGACATGGAACCTACAGTAGACATTTCATGTGGTGCAATCCAGATTTAGACTACAACTCTCCTATCATCTCTGGTCAATACAGACTGGGCCTGATGCACCTTGTAGTGCTAAACATCTGGAGGGAATCATATTGGCTAATTTTGGGATCTGAAGCACCTTGAACAACTCTTTTGTTGTTGTTAAGGAAGTTGCAGGGAACTTTTGGCTTTCCAGAAGTTACTGAACTACAACTCCTATCTGCCCCAACAAGTGTGGCCAATGGCCAGGAATGATGGGAGTTGTAATTCAGCAACTTCTGGAAAGAGCCAAAAGGTTCCCCACCCCTGTTTAAGGAGAGGCAGTTACAGAGACGGCCGCCATGGGAGGGGGGAATAGTTGTTGCCATGGTCCCCAAATTCTGCCCCCTGATCACTTAAGCTTGCATTGCCTATGCACTTTAATATGTCTGCATGCACACAGCAGAGAAAGAGCTAGAAGCTCTATTAAAACAAAGAGCACCAGGGGTAGCGTTCTGACTTTTCCTCTAAATACAGCCAAAATCCATATTAGATGGGTTCCTTTTTAGTGCTTCCATACTAAAACTTCACCAGCCAAGACACACTCTAAATGGAAATTTAAAACCCACAATAAATAATATTGTAATCAAGGCTGTGAACATCCATTATACTAACCACAAGGTCAGAAGACTGAGCTGGTTCTAACACACAATTCAGTTCAGTGGTGTTCTTCCCAAGACCACTTCTAGATCTGAATGTGCAGAAGTTTTTGAGGTTTGAGAAATAGGCTCACAAATGAAAGGACTGGTTTATGAAGGCAACGATTCCCCAAAAAATGTAAGTCTAGACATTCCGGTGGCTCATAGACATTTTGTGGGCAGGCCAGAAGGCAGCTGGCAATGATTACTGGCAACAAAGCAGCAGAAGAATTAAGTAGGCCGCATATCCAAATCCCTTTTTCAGGAACCCTCTGAAAAAATAAAATCTGATTTGAGATAGTAAAACATTGGCAAACCAATCTAACACGGAAGATTTAAGTCACTTATTGGTTTGCTCCCGGATTTGCAAGATTCCTGCATGCAAGCCAGCAAACATGTACACAATCATTTCAATGATGTTCAGATGTTTAAAACAACAAAAATATACTAACCCAGAATACACCGCCATTCCACGCACAACACTGAACTATTCGGCTTACTATCCGGGGCTCACTAGAGAGAAACAAGGGGAATGTGTGAGAGCTTTCGAAAAGTGACGATGTGAATGTACATTCTGCCCAATTCTCTCTCAAACGGGGGGGGGGGAAACAGAACAAATACCTTAAATTACTCTTGTCAAATTCCCCCTTATCCACAACCTAGTGGTTGGTTTGATAACTTTAGATGCTGAAATTGAGCAGGTGTGGACCAGATCAGTTCCGTGGATGGGAGACCATCAAGACACCCATTTCCAAGTAGAATAATAAATCTACTTTTTAATTCTCTTTTTCCACAAGCCCGCCATATTTAGAAATACACACAGGTCCTGCTATCCACACACTCACTATCCAAAAATTCACTTATCCATACATTATGCCCAAGTCTCGCTATACACTCCATAGAGTCACTTATCTGAACAGCCAGTTTTCTTCCTTCTGTGTTTTTTTCCTTGTCAGTAGCAGTAATGTTCAGTCAGAAACCATGGAGGTGGGGAGAGGGATTGGGTGAATCGGAGAGCAGGAAAGATAGGACAAATTGGGTTTTTTCCTTTGGTTGCAACCGCTTCAGGAAGAAACCACTGAAAAAGCGGCGAGGGGGGCTGAGAAATATTTCCATAGGAAATAATGGAAATCACAGACTCGTTATACAAACACTCGCCTAACAAACAATATCCATGGAAAACATTGTGTTTGGTAAGTGGGATCTGCGTGTATAAAATACATGGTTCCAACTTCTATATATGCCACAGTGCCGTTATCATATATTTCCAGGCATTCCTACTTTGGTTTGATTTCTTATCTTTGTATATTGAAAGTGGGAGCACGATCAAACCCTCCCAAACTCACTTCTCCTGCTTCCTCTCTTCACTCTGTGCTCTTCGCTGGGCAAGCACACTGCTTGCTCTTCTTTTTCGCTGCTCTTCCCTTTTCTGCTGGATTCGAGCATCCAACTTGGAGATTGTCCAGATCCCCCATATGGAGTCTTTAATTCCCTATACAAAGAGGGAGAGAGAGACAAAATGCAGTCGTACCTTGGAAGTCAAATGACTTGCGATTCGAACGTTTTGGCTCCCGAATGCCGCAAACCCGGAAGTGATTGTTCCGGTTTGCGAACATTCTTTGGAACCCGAACGTCCAGTGCGAGTTCCACGGCTTCTGATTGGCTGTAGGAGCTTCCTGCAGCCAATCAGAAGCTGCGCCTTGGTTTCCAAACATTCTGGAAGTCGAACGGATTTCCGGAACGGATTCCATTCAACTTCCAAGGTACAACTGTAATCAGGCCCAAATTCAGTAAGTTTTGGGGAAACTGTGGAGAGAAAAATGAATAGGTGAGTTTTACAGATTAATCAATAACCTTGTGACAACTCTGATTTATGAACTACGGGATGAATTTAGGAAGAAGAAAGAGAAAGACTCACTTGTTCTGCCAGCTCAAAGATAAGCCATCCCCTCTTCCTATCTTATTAACCAAATTCCAGTAGAGGAAAGAAAGAGTCTGAAATGAAGGTTTACTCAGGGAAACCTACTTGGAGTGGGACAACTAAACCATGAGAATTTACACAGAAATAAGCAACTCCAGCTACTGGAAAGCCTATTGCAACGCCTGCTGGATTTCTGAAACTTCAGTCAAACATTATCGAACATATTTTCCAAGCCTAGAGGTCTAGAAACATGACAACATAAGACAGATTTTGTTTTCAGGATGCCGTATGACAAGCCTAATGCCAAACCTTACAGCTGCATACTGCAATAATGGAATCAATGTACACACATAATCCATTGTACTATATGGCAAACCACAGCTCAAGTGTTTGGGACAACTCAGATACTTGCATTACATTTTCTTTTTCCTTCTAACATTTTCTCAAAAGACAAGCCTGGATGTCTGCCAGTGGCTTTCTAGCCAAGCAGGAGCTCCAGCACTCTCAATTTTAGCCAAAGGTCAATCCATGAGCAACACCTAGTATTAACTACCCAGTGACCTAGAATAAAATGATTAAATGTTCCAGGGACTCAGAGAAAATGACATCAGAGGGTAGTTTGTTTTCTCTTTTGGCAAACTACTACTCCTTCAAAGATTTGTGTAGTCCAGGGGTCAGCAAACTTTTTAAGGAGGGGGCCAGTTCACCTTCCTTCAGACCTTGTGGCGGGCCAAACTGCACAGTGTTATAACACATATAAAATGCTTTTTCTTTACTAATGTAGCCGAGTCCTAAGTCTGATTAAATTAGGTAGACCTTCCTTTTGAGAAAAGATGCACATGATTGGGTTGCAAGACTGTGATGTGGGAGGGTAGGGAAAGCAACAAAGGGGGGGGGGAGTAAAAAATCTAGAATGCTTAGGGCTGTGATAGAGAAGAATCTGCTATTAAGAACAGATCTGTGGATAGAAACTGAAACAGTATTGTGGGCATTGTCTGGGAAGGAGTTCCAAGAGTAAGAGGCAGAGCTGGTTTTAAGAATAAGGGAATGTAGAATGAATAAAGAGCAGAGGATGAAAGAAAGGGCTTGATGGAAAATGAGGGGTGAAAGATAAGCTGTGACAGAAGCATGAAGAGCTATTTATGAGCATTTCTAAATCTCCCTGCCAGTGGGAATGATAGTGCCAAACTAGGAAGCCGCTCAAGAGGTACATCCTATGCAAAGGGGTTTAGAGTTAGTTCTTGTTTTCCTGCAAAGGTAGTTGTATTAGTTTTAGCAGAATCAACCTAGGCAATACAGTGGTACCTCAGGTTACATACGCTTCAGGTTACATACGCTTCAGGTTACAGACTCCGCTAACCCAGAAATAGTACTTCGGGTTAAGAACTTCGCTTAAGGATGAGAACAGAAATCGTGCTCCGGTGGCACAGCAGCAGCAGGAGGCCCCATTAGCTAAAGTGTTGCTTCAGGTTAAGAACAGTTTCAGGTTAAGAACAGACCTCCTGTGGAAGAAATTTAAAGACTATCTACAGAAATATTGTAAAATTAAGGAATGTTAGAATGATGTTGGATAGAAATTAAGTGGTTTTCAGCTGTAATATTATAAGGGAATATGAAAAATGGATTATTATTAATAGGTAAAAATTCAATGTTACAATAGCTTAAGATTAAAGGCTAGGATAAACAAAGAGGGTAAGGATTTGCTGAACCAACAAACTGAACTGGAATACAAAAAAGGGAGGTGTGAGGAGGTCCGGGAAATAAGCTAATGAAAAATAAGTAATGGAAAGAATGAGTTGTTTTTAACCATTTTTATTTTGTATTTTCTTACTTTTTTATTTTTATTTTGTAATACTTTGAAATCTTAATAAATATCTTATATATTAAAAAAAAAGAACAGACCTCCTGAACGAATTAAGTACTTAACCTGAGATACCACTATACCTGAACCATCAACAGCTGGCTTTGGGATCAACACTCCCAAACTTGTGTAAAGTGTTACAGTTCAGAACTCTTATGGCATACAAAACGCTGCCTCTAGAAGTTCCCAAATAAGAGCAGAAAACAGAGACTGGATGCAAAAATCGAAACAAAAAACCAACGGAGAAGTGGTTAAATGAGATCAAAATAGCTGGCAAGGGGGTTAATACTGGTAGCACAATGCTGCACAGAGATAACTATATCAAGATGAAATTCAGGAAGGTCAATGTGAAGCACATTTGGTTGTTGCAAAGTGTGAAATAAGAGTACAGACAAAAGAAAACCTAGAAAGAATAGAAAACAGTTGGAGTATGGCAGTGGTATAGAGGAAGATGGGGAAGCTGATTGAATCAAGTGGAAAGGAACCAAAGATGCTTGAGCAACAAGGTAAATGGAATCACCATAATTGGAGACAAGATTGGAAAAAGCAAAATGAAGCTTCAAATTCATGCCCGCCCATCTTCCACAAGCCAAAGGTTAGAGATGGGAGTTGGAGACCAGCAATATCTGGAGGGGTGTATTACACTGTGTATTACACTGTGGTTTGCTCTCGATTTTCAAACCAGGTTTCCACAATCAGATTCTGAGGGCAAGTGTAAACCAGTTTTCCAGTTCAGACGTATGGTTTGCCACAAACTAGGAACTAAATAAGTAGAGCATGTAAGAGGGGGAAGGGTACACCAGATAGCTTAATCTTATAGCACCATACCATGGCGGTATGAACGATCCTATTATCAGGTCGCATAGCTCTTCATAATCAGACCCCAAGGAAATTTGCTTTGAGAATGATTTTACTCTACCATCACATTGATTGCCCACTGAAAATGCAACTCCAGATGGAAATAGCCCCGGAGGGTCTGAGCCCTCTCCTTGCTTTTGCTGCCTGAGAGAAAGAGGCTTGCTTGGCACCTTAGAAAACTAGAATCCACAAATCTTAACATCCAACAGGAAATACTTGGAATCTGATTTTAGCCTATAGGTAAAGGTAAAGGGACCCCTGACCGTTAGGTCCAGTCGTGGCCGACTCTGGGGTTGCGACGCTCATCTCACTTTATTGGCCGAGGGAGCCGGTGTACAGCTTCCGGGTCATGTGGCCAGCATGACTAAACCACTTCTGGCGAGCCAGAGCAGCGCACAGAAACACCGTTTACCTTCCCGCCGGAGCTGTACCTATTTATCTACTTGCACTTGATTTGCTAGGTTGCTAGGTTGGCAGGAGCAGCGACCGAGCAACGGGAGCTCACCCCGTCACGGGGATTCGAACCGCCGACCTTCCGATTGACAAGTCCTAGGCTCTGTGGTTTAACCCACAGCGCCACCCGCGTCCCAATTTTAGCCTATAAACACACTTTAAAAATAGATGGCCATAATGAAAAGGAAACACTTACCCTGATGAGATCATTAAGGAAGATCTTGACACTGTCTGCCATCTCTACTCCAGCATTGCCTCCACATCTAGAACTATCAACTACAGGGTGAAGGGAAGAAGTGAAGCCAGAACTGTCTCATTGTGAAGAGGTGGGAAACTGGTCGAGCCTTATAGGAGAGAGAAAAGCAGAGATTGCCATTACTGAAGAAACAAAACGCATTTGTGATGGATTATAAATAAAACAGTTGCATTCATTTGAATCAGTCTCAGCTGCAGTGCATAACGGATGTTTAAAAGTGTTCCAACTCCCAAGACTATATCAGTAATAATGAGATCTCTGGTTTGTATGAAGTTCTGAGATAATTTCTAACTTTGCTGCTTGCAACCTACACTCAAGTAATAATGTCAAAGATTCTGCAAAACATTCCAGCTGCCGCAACAACCACAAATAATTGGGCATTCACACACTGCCCAAGCATTCAGCTGTTGTGGTTTGGGTGTGGGGTGATGTGATGTGAAGCATGTTGGCAGAATTTCAGGAGGTGGTTTCCATCATAGGTGGGGAACTAATGCCTACATGCAGTTCCCTCCTCCACATGCTAAACCAGTCCAAACCATTTGTGTCCTTTAACCTAACTCTCCAAATCTCCCTTTATCTCTACATCACTCTTTCCCGTCACCCAAAAAATAATAAATATGTTCCGAGGAGGCAGGGAAGTAAAGAGTCACAAAACAGACACACCCTAAAACGTGTATTTCACATACTTATTCTGAATCTCCGCTTTCTCAGCTATGAAATTACACACATAATATAAAACAAAGCAATGCTTCATAGATGTCCTTGCACTTTTAAGACTAAAATAGTGACCAAACCTAACCACGAAGAATATTTATTGTGAGTGCAGAAGGTGGCAAAGCGTATAGCGATCCCATTACACAACGGAGAAGGCTCTTCGAGGAAAATAAACCTGAAGCCAACAAATGATAAACGGATGTCTGTAATTAGCGAACACTTAAAAGGAAATAAAAGTCTTCCATATTCAAAATGGCTAAGCAATTTATTCTAGTGCGCATGGAATTTGAATAAAATGTAAGGTTCTAAGTTGTCAGTGTTGTAAGCTCCTTGTGCTGCTTCTTCACACAGTATGCTCACTGTACATCTCACTTGACAAAATGGTGTAAAGAAAAAAAGAAAGCTCTCTGCCCCAAGTAATCTACAATCTACATTTAGACAGCAGACAGTGAATCAAGGGGGGGGGGGAGCGGACAGAGGAGCACCGTTGGAAATGTAATCTAGGCTAACTGTGAGTAAATGCATTTTTTAATATTTAGACTAAGGCTGAATTCAGGCATCCAAACACAGTTAACAATGCTTTGTCAAATGTATTTTAGTGTGGTGTCTGAATTGACAAACCATCTTTTGGGGTTGGCTGGAAAGCTAGCATCAGAAAACATTGTTTTCAAGCTATAGTTTGTGTGGTTTGGCATAATGAAAAGCTACCAGGCTTCTGAAATCACTGGAAATACCGTCAATTCAAGAATTACCTAAAGAGTCAGATCAGCTCTGTGTGAAATGTTGTAGTTCCACTGTAGTTCAAGTAAATAAGAGCCACCATTCTAGCAAGTTATACCATTTTTAAAATCACAACTAACGTGATCTCTATCAGTGAAATCATTCTACTTAGCAATTTTTGTAGATAAAGAAAATAGAAAAGCAAACTGGCATTTATAAAGAAACTATTTGTGCCTCATCTTGAACAAAATCATATTGTTCCTAGTCTTGCACTGGATTCTCAAGTTCCGTATTAATATATGCCTTCATATACACATTTTGCCTCCAGCGTTCAGCAAAAGGTAATTAGAAGGAGTGTCAAGAAAGCACACGTTCCTGTTCAGAGCAGAATGTGTGTGTGTGCTTTCTTTTGTGTTTCATTTGCTCAGCACAGGTTTAGACTAGTTAGACCACACTAATGGCGCAGTCACTCCAAAGTGAACAATTAGATATAGAACCTCTGTGTCATTAGAAAGTTTTTCTTTAGGGTATGTCTGCACTACTACAGACTGAAATCAGTTTTACACACAGTTAGCTGAAGGCTCCCATCCAGAGCCCATGGGAAGCATAGTTCTGTGAAGGTACAAAGAATCTGTTAGCAAATAAGTTTTTCATTCTCATAAAACTACTGTTCCCACAACCCCACTGGAGAATCTGGGTTCATTACACCCATTTCAAACTGGTTTAAAATGAGCAGTATAAATTTGGCCTTAGCGTCCCATACATATACAGCAATTCCATGAAGTTTAGTGAGCATAGTTCTGAACACGCACATATTGAATGGCAACTAAAATCCCTTCCAAATTAAGCCCCAGCTTGTTCATATTTTAAACATGGATGGCACTACTTTCTCACCACTGCAAGGAGCTTTGATAGTTAGATGCAAAGCATAATTATGTATTATAGGGTCTCACAGGTCCTCACTAATGGGCATTAACTCTTCCTAACAAAAGCTATTCGGTCTGAAACAAGTGTTTGTCCATCTCTGGTATATGAAATACTGCCTAACACCACCCTAGGGACTACAGTATGCAAGCACAGCTCACTGAATCATCCTACTTGAGAACAAAATTACTGTGTTGATCTCACTATCCATTCATCCTCTTGCCAAAAAAGAATTTGTGCTGTTCCTAGCAAGTTGCTGAGTGCTCCAGTTAAAATAATGTACACAACACTACCTACAATATTAAAGCTACACTTCAATTTAATGATAATAGTGAGCATTATTATCACACTTTCAAAAAAAACCCTGAAGAAAGTTTCTTAGTAATCCTTACATTAGCCCTGTCTTGTAGATTAGTATTATTTTTCCCATATTAACCATGATGGGCTGAGAGAACCAAGCCCATGTAGCAAATTTGTGTCTGTGGCAATACTTGAACTAGGGACTTCCTGGTTCAGGCTAACATCCTAGCCACCCTTACCTGGGAGTAAGTCCCACTGATTTCAACAGGACTTACTTCTAAGTATATATGGTTAGGATCGCACTCAGTCTCATTGCTGCTGTCAGACGCTCAGATTTCACACAGGGCAAATAGGCCACTCTGGAACCATGTGGTGGAGGGTGGCGCTTATAAATTATACAATATATACAAATACACAAGTGCTAGTTTCAGAAAATCGTAAAACAATCAGCAGTGATATGCACCCCATCTTCCACCTTTAGCACCTGTCTGCCAAGGAACAGCCGCTCCACCTCAAAATGGCAATTTAGGTCATTTCATGAGAAAATAAAGCTGCACACTTCAACAGAGAATAGATCTCAGTTACACCCAGAAAAAGATGGGAATGGAGTGTGGGGATGATGCAAAAAGAGGGTAAGAGTCCAGCAACGAAGCTAAATTAGTTAGAGAGAAAAGGGGCAGCTCAAGCACAGCAGACAAGGAAAACTGGGTGCAGCGGTGCTGAATTGCAGGGACAGATGCAAGATTTAAAGGGTTTGGGTGTACATGGGAATAGAAACAAAAGGTTTGAAGGGTGTGTGTTTTGTGGTCCTCCAAAGCAGAAAAAGACAGAAGGATGCCTGTCAGAGCAAACAGAAAGAAGGTGCCAGAGCAACAAACTGGAGGAGGAGTGTAAGGTTTATATATGGGGAAAGATCTGAGGTTATGTATTGCAGACCAGGGAGAAGAGACGGGATGGCGAGCACAAATAAAAAGGGTATTATGTTATTAAAGCAAACGAAAAGAAGAGTCACAATTGCATGCAATTATTAGAGAGTTTCTAAAACGAGGTAATTATACCCCAGAGGGGCAGGGTATAAATATTATTATGATTAAAATTATGAATAGGAAAAAGGTGTGAGGTTGCCCAAAAGGGAAATGGCAGGAGGATATTGCTGGATAGGTGGGTGGGTAGGAGACAGGCATGGAAGAACCAGATCGAGGGTCCCCAATCTAGGCTTGCAACTAGGAAAAGAGTGACAGGGGAGGGGGGAGCCCCAGAAGAGGGAATTAGAAGGGGAGGCGGAGGATGGTAAAGGTGTGTCGCAAGCCACACTCACACACACACACACACATACGGGGTCTTCGATACTTGCCGGCCTAGGGCGCTCGGAGTCCGTGGCGGCGGCGGCTGACCCGAGCCAGGCAATTGACAAGCAGCTGCCCCGGCCGCCAGAAAAGGCTGACTGAGCTGAATAACAAGCTCCTTGGGCAGCGCCGACCGGGAAGCCACTGCGCAGGCGCGGCGCACCGGGTACCCCTCCCGCCCCCCGCCTGTCTCTCCGGATTACAAGGAGCGAGACGGCCGGCTTGGGTTTGATGGAGACGCGCATGCGCCCTTCCGCGGATTCTCACCCCCCACTCCTTTCCCCGAGGTAAAGAGCAGGCGCAGTAAAGGAGGAGGAGACGGAAGCAGGAAGCTCCTCAGAGAGCGGGGGGGGGGGGTGCAGCGTTGCTATGGAGACGCCCCCGCTCAGTCTCTCACAGACCTGTTTTGACAAATGAAAATAAAAATTAAGAGCATCGCAATGTGTGGCTCGTTTGCTTTTTGCTGTGCTCTTTTTTGCAGGTTGTCTTAAAACACACATGCATATGGTTCGCCCTGTTGAAATATTTATTCCTCCACCCCGTGCCAACAAGCCAAACCTGAGAACTACAGTGCCCTTTTATTTTGAAAGCTGTGGTAAATATTTGTAAAAAGGTGACAGGGAAATTAATAATCAGGTGGCTTGCAATCCTACAATGTTTCCAGTCTGGAGAAAATACACACACACACATATATAGCCTCTGCATTATTTGATTGCATCCCCTTTGTAGAAAATAAATATAAGCCAATATTAACTCAAGTACTAAGCAGTTGAAGTCAACAGCACTTTCTGTCAAGGCTGCATAGCACTGCTGCCTCAGCGAATAAGACCCATTTGAACTCAGCTGGACTTCTGAGTAAATATGTACTTGCACCGATGCTCTCCTGAAAACATTTCAATCCATGGACAGAGGAAATACACAGGCCAATATTTAGTTCCATGTTAAACAGGAATACCAACCCATCCGTCATCTCAGAGTCATCATCACAAAAAGTGGATTAAAATCCCAATTCTGCACACAAGCATATATGCATTCAACTCTTGGCATTCCAACAGTTCAGCTTTTGGTGAGACCCTATTGAATTGTACCCATCCTGGAATATACCAGTGGTTTTCAGCCTTTCTTAACATTTAGGAAATCTCTACAGCATCAACTTGTCTGCTATGGAGCCCCAGTTCCCCAAAAATATTGTAGAGGAGACTGAAATACATTCTGGGATGCAAATTAGAGCTCACGGTACTTACAGGGCCTATTGGGTTTCACCATAAACTTGTGTGAGCAAAATAGTCACACACACACACCAACACTTAAGATTTTCTTATGGCTGCAGGTTGTTGGAGCCTTTCAGGGAAGCTTGTCTCTTATTACTGATCTTCCTTACTGAAAAAATCCTTAAAAGTTTTTGAGAAATCCTATGGTTTCCTACAACACAGTCTGAAAACCAGCAGTGAATCTGTGTCAGAGAAGAAGGAAATTTTAAAAGTTGTGGCGCCTAGATCTGCAATGTTTATCACTTGTTTAAGTAGCTTCTCTTGCATAGTATTCAGGTACAACAAAGATACTTAGGAATAATGGAAACCCAATATTGTCGACACCGACTGGCAGCAGCTCTCAGTTCTTTCAGGCAAGGGTCTCTTCCAGCCCTAGCTGGGAGATTCTGGAAACTGAACCTGCAACCATTTGCATTTTACTTGTTAAATCTTTATTCAGTTTCTTTATCTGATACATCCATTTCACAAAAGCAGCATATTGTATTTTCTTAGCAGTACTAAATGAATAACATTTTTCATTGTCCACATGTGCGACAAGATATACCATTAGTTTTTTGCAGCACTGTTTTAACTTCATCCACTATTTTTTTTAAAAAGGGGGGGCACAATCAATCTTGAGTTGGATTATACCTAACAATATACTTCTGTGTTTACTGAGAAAGCTCACTGTGTTCAGGGGTGCTTATCCCCATGTAAATTGGTTTACATATAATCACATACCCTTTAACATTTCTCCGATGAAAATAGGGACATCCTAAGGAAAAATGGAACATTCCGAGATCAAATCAGAAACTGGGACAGCTTCTGTAAATCAGCGATGTCCCTGGAAAATAGGGACACTTAGAGGGTCTGTAATCACCAGTACGAAAACAAACAGAGTTTATATTCCACCATGCATATGCACAAGATTCTCTAGCACAGCTCTGTAATGCGTAAAGCCCGCACCCTGCCTGAGCCACAACCTGCTTTTGCTTTCACCAAAAACTGAAAACGAAAAGACCCGTCAGTTTTCCTCCCTTAGAACCGGATACTATGCAAACCGAGCCCCCGTTATTTACAGCCCCTCTTTCTCCAGGTCCAAACTTACCTCCGGAGGCTCTCCAAACAGACCTCATCCAGGTGTCCGCACACCTGTCAGTCTCTGCCGTTCTGTTCTGTGCAAACAGCTCCCCTGTCCAAGGCCAGGGACATCTTTGTACACAGCCGGTGCCCTCTGGGAAACGTAGTTCTGAGCCTTCCCTTGCTTTGCATAACAGGAGGGTTGTGTCACTTTTACAAAGCCTTGAGTGGCCGCGGAGAGCAATCTGGGAGCTGTAGTTCAATTTAATGGGTCCTTCTCCGCTTTCTCGGCGTCCAATGAGAAATCTTCCGTGCGTTGTCCCCCCCACGCATCCGGGATCCCATCGCAGCGCCGGGTTCTCTGCATAGATCTAGAGCGAGCACCGTCTACCGCGGATGCTTCCACAATTGCTATCAGTGCCCAAACCTTCCATTTTAGCATGCCTGAAAAGACCGGTTGGGGTGGGGGGAAATCCTCCGTTTAGGCTGTAATCCTACGCTCACCGGGATGGGGGAGGTAGTTCCCCGTTAATGGGACTTACTTCCGAGTAGGCATGCACAAGCTTGTGCTCTTAACCTACCTCTGAGTAGGGCTAGGTGATTCCCAGGTTCTGCATGTGCGGATGACATAACGATGTGCTTAAATATAGGAAGGGAGAAGGAACAAACTCAGAAATCCTTTGCACTTTTAGGGACTGGGTTACACGGATCCTCATGGATCCTTCACTTTAAAAAAAAATAATAACTCCAACAAATCCAGTGTCAGATCACATCTGGAAGGCACACCTACAGACTGGACTATAAAAAAGGTGGATCCAACACTTTGCCGCACTGCAGCGCCACAAAAACATGGATCCGAGGCATGGATCCTCATTAATTCATATGATTTTTAAATTGAAACAAAATAAAACCACCATGATACTCTAGACCACATCTTAGTCTGTAGGCAGAACAAAAAACACACACGCATCCACTGTTTCGTGGTGCCGCAATGGCGCAAAAACATGGTTAAAAAACACGGATCCTCAAGGATCCTCATGATTTTTGCACTAGATCAGCCCGATGTCACCATCAGATCAAATATCATGTCTAGGGGCACAGCCTGCACCTCCAAAACCTTGGATCCATGGCTTCCTGGCAATTCCATGGCCCAAAAAGTGGTTTCAAAGCACGGATCCCCATGGATCCTCATGCTTTTTGCATTGGGCCACCCCTAAATTACCGTCAAATCACACATCATAGCCAGGGGCACAGCCTGCACCACAAAAATCACAGATCCACGGCTTCCTGGCCATACCATGGCCCAAAAACATGGTTTCAAAGCATAGATCCTCATGGATCTTCATGCTTTTTGCATTGGGCCACCCCTAACTCACCATCAAATCACACATCATAGCCAGGGGCACAGCCTGCACCACAAAAAACTCAGATCCACAGCTTCATGACGACACCTTGGGCCAAAAAAAGTGATTCCAAGCCATGGATCCTCATGAATCCTCAGGGTTTTTGCATTGGTCACCCCAAACTCACTGTCAAATCACACGTCATGGCCAGGGGCACAGCCTGTACCCAAAAATCATGAGTTTCACCACCAAAATCTCAAAAAGGCACTCACCAGCACTGTTAATGTCACCACTGGAACATTACTATTACAGCCAAAAGAAGAATGTACAACTATATATTTTCCCAGATATGGTTCATCTTCAAGAAGAGATCAAAAACATGCCGAAGTATTTAAAAGGAGAAAAAATATGAAACTGCTTACATACTGTCAACTGATATCCAGATTCAACAGAGACTGTATGGCAAACAGTTAAATCAGAAAAAAGACAAAACTTGAGTCCATAATAACAGAGGTCTACCTTTTGGGTAAAATTTATAAACTACCGGTATAATGAATTGAAAAAAATGTTTAAAATAACTTTTGTAAAAACAAACCCAGAAGTCTTTTATTGGGAATTGTGGGTACCGACATTCCAAAGGAACAGAAAAGACTTTTCATGTATGTGACAACAGCAATGCGGATGCTACTAGCCCAGAGATGGAAAGAAGACAAAGCCCCTACCGGAATGGCAAACCAAGCTGTTAGACTACGCCGACATGACAAAACTGACTGGAAGGCTCAGGAACCAAGAAGGCCAAAACTTCAACCAAGAATGGGGAAAAAAATTAATTTATCTAGGAGACCACTGTAAGCAGATGAAAACCTTAGCAGGATTTTAATAACGCTTGTAATGTAGCGAATATTATGGATAATATGGAAATATATAAAATATGGACTATGAAATAATATGCAGTGGAGAAGGTGGACAATAGGATCCATGGAGACAACCTTTGAGATCAGGATTATAGGCAGTATTTGGCGGAATAAGTTCATGAGCAGAGCAACTTCCACTTCTGCAATGGGACTTGAAAACACTACTTGGGCAGAAGGTGGAATCTTTTAAAATCATGGGCCACCCACAACCAGTAGCATTTGGTATGGAGAGGCACTTAGCATATATCCCAACGCTGACATCACTGTGGCTTACAAGAAGGTAGAGGAGGAAGGAGGTGAGGTTGAAGTTGTGTGAACACACTGGCATGAGCACCAGTTTGGCTGCACCGGTGTGTTTGCACTGTGCCAACCTTACTCAACCCTGCCAGCGCCAGCAATGTCAGTAATGGGAGGTCATGTAAGTGCCAGGACCTTACCCTGCCGACAGTGCTAGCTGCAACCCAACATGGAAACCCTGTGCATAATCCTACTACAGTGGTGCCCCGCAAGACGAATGCCTCGCAAGACGGAAAAACCGCTAGACGAAAGGGTTTTCCGTTTTGAAGTTGCTTCGCAGGACGAATTCCCCTATGGGCTTGCTTCGCAAGACGAAAATACCTTGCGAGTCTTGAGGGTTTTTTTTCGCTTTCCCCCCCCTTTATCTAATCTGCTAAGCCTTTAATAGCCTTTAATAGCCTTTTAGCAGCTAATCACCTAAGCCTTTAAGCCTTTAATAGCCGCTAAACCGCTAATAGCGCTAATAGCGCTAATCCGTCAATGGGCTTGCTTCGCAAGACGAAAAAACCGCTAGACGAAGACTCTCGCGGAACGGATTAATTTCGTCTTGCGAGGCACCACTGTAAATCTATTTGGTTTAATAGCAGTATTAGGCTAGCAAGACCTTGTGAGATCTTCCTGAAATCTCTCAAGATCTCATGAGCTCTGTAAGATCTTGCAAGAGCTCAGGGAGATCTCATAAGATCTCACCAGAATCTGCCATGATTCTGTGAAGATTACATCTAGGCACCTTATTAAAAAAAAACCAACGAAGTGTAATGAGTTCTTCAGAAGATGTTGGGTGGATGGCCACTGTCTGGTCAAAATCTGCTTTTGTTCCTCCCATTTTGACAGCCACAGCAAAGCCTTGAAGCATTTCATCACATCCTAACCCTTGCATATGATGGCCTACCACCTTCTCCTGTTTCGTTGCACACACCAGTTTCATTACACACTTCGTCTTCCTTTTAGTTACAGCATGATACATTGGGATAAAAGAAGTTGTATAGGTTTTCACACTCTCGCTTCCATATGTAGTTCTAGCTTCCACTTCTGTTAGTCCCACCGTTCCAGTAGGTGGGTGACTGAAGACCACGATATGAATGTTGGTGTAGTCAAGTTGAGAATCTTCTTTCCTGTCAAAAATCGTGTGTGCCAGTTTCCTTCCAGCAGCTATTGCAACTGGTGTAAGAAAAGCTTTCCCACATACATCTCCAACAGCGTAGATCCTCTTTCTGCTGGTATTTTGGAACTCATCAACAATAATATGACCCATAGAATCTACCTTAATATTCTGCTGGTCAAGATTTAACCCCTCTGTGTTTGGCTTTCTACCAATGGCCCATAACAGACAATCAACATCCTCAAGTCCACTGCCAGAGCCAATATGGACCTCCCACCAATGGGCTTGCCATGTTGGGGCTTCTGGTTGGCCTCTGTGAGAAGAGAATGCTGGACTACCTAGGCTACCTTTGGCCTGATCCAGCAGCGAGCTGTATGGCCAGTCAGGGGAGCAGCACCACATCACTGCACTGTTAATAGTTCACTGCACTTCGAACACCCTCAGAGTGAAATTCAATTGAGATCCAAAAGCTTATCTGGTTGAAATTTGTGTTCCTGTATCTTCAACAGCACTGATATACCTGCACTACTGTTGATTCTCCTTTAAAACATCTGTGCATAATTTTTTTGATTTATGAAAAAATAAATTGGAACAAACTGAAGGAGAAAGGGCTTTTTAGAATTCTGTCTAAAGTTGCTGCCTCTTAACTGCACATGAGCAGGTATAACTTGACTTCTGATATAGGGAGAAATTGGTCGGGCCTCCTTCCCAAGCTATGATATTACCTGCTGTCCAGGGTTTCAGACAGGAGTCTTTCCTAACTCTGCCTACAGATTTGAGGGCTTGAACTTGAGATCATGTGCATATACCTTTTTGGAAGGTGAAAAGGGGATAGATTAACTGGCTAATTCAATTGTCAGGAAGTAGAATCCATTTGGTACATAGAAATCTTCCTTATACTTTCAGATCATTTTTAATATTGTGGTCCAAGTGCCAGCTACCCACTGCTGTTGAATGGCAATGTCTTAAATTACAGCACCTTTTGGTGTCTATTTATGGACTGGCACCTTTGAGTGTTTCAGCACAGAGGAAATAATTGGAAATTTACAGAAAGTTAAACCATACTACTTGTTTATAAATGTTTGTTGCAAAGTTGTAAATGGGACACTCAAGTTCTTAGATGCTCAAGTTCCCTATGCAATAGGGTGTTACAATGTTCAAACCAGTCTTCAAACCAATTGAAAGTTGCTTTAGCATCTATATGTATTGTTGCTTTAGGTTTAAATTGAGAATGAGTCAATAAAAATGGTGTTTCTGGTAAGGAACAAGTTAGTTCAGAAAGATGCTCATGAGAATGCCTCTCTGAGGCATATTGTGTGGGTTTTGATCAGAAATTGTTGTTTGCGTATTCATTGTTTTGGAAAAATCATTGATATATTCCAGTGCTCTCACACTCTTATTTTTCCAGGATGATGTGGACAGACAGCAAAAGTAGATCCCTATGGTTGTGGAAAGACTTTTATATTTCAGTGTTGAAAGGATACACACCCATCATTCGCTTTTCAGTTGCCTTTCTATTTTTGAAACATGTTATCTTATCATCAGTGCTATTTGGATATTTGTTTGGACAAATGAACTGCTTATATTAATACGTATGTTTCAATTAGGATAGATGGGTTGTTCTTATTGCTAATGTAAGCTGATTTTGCTCCTTTCTTTGTTTTCTTCCTGCTATATTTGCAACAAGGAAAAGTGCTCTAAATATATGGAACATGAAGAGCAATTTGCCTGAGAAAATGGTTCTTCCCAGAGGTCTAATATTGGAAACTTTTGTTTAGGAAAATAGCTTGGAGACTGACTAAAAGTATAAAGGCATTGTTGCATTAACTCAGATTCCATAAGGTCCCCTCTATAGTAGCTGTTTCCCTGTAACCCTCAGACTTCCTTTTTATTACACATTACTTCCTTTTTATTACACATTCATGATGATTTGTGCTCACGGTGCTAGTGGGGTGGTCATACGCAATCCCACTTTTAATGCTGTTTCCACATGCAAAAGTTCTGGGGTGGTCACACCGCTTCATTTTGAAGCCGTGCATACAGGTATCCTGTAACTGAAATCACAAATGTCGTGTTTTATTTTTGTCCTGCTTTTGTTGCACTGTAGCTCCTCTGGACACCAGTAATGTGGTAGCATCAGGGAAGCCTCTCAGAACAAACAACTAATGAAACAAAATGGGCATTTGATAAAAAGAGACTGTGGACGATGACACTCAAGGAGCAGACTACAATTTGCTGAAGAAAAGTTAAGTTCATTGGCAAGAAATTCCCGCAAAGTTTGGTACAGCTCCATGCTCCATGCTCCATGAGAGGACACAATGAAAGATTAATCAGGGGAATCGTTGTTTGGGGTCAAAGTCTTCACGTGGACCTGAGGGGGGAAAGGAGAGCTGGTCATGAAGGGCTGTACCCAACACTAGTCCTATTCAGATAATAGAAGCATTGAAATTCATGCACATGACCAACTGAGGTTCAGTGAGTCAACTGAGAGTAGAAATTAATTGGATATAAGCTAAAGAAATCTGAAGGAAGGTTGCACACTATTCTTAAGGTGGGACATAGGCTATTCCTATTCCTGAGCTCCAGTAGCCATTAGGGGGTGGTTTTTTTATGGAGTTGGAATCAGGTCCCATCAGTCTTCATCAGTTAGCCCTTGCCCACAACACCATACCATACAATGTAAAACAACGACCACTAATCACTGGAAATGTTCTATATCTCCACATCCTAATTGACAACACAATGGCAACAAATTTAACACAAGGTTTTTTGCTCAAGTACCTTGATGTTACTAAGTAAAAAGAAAAAAAAATGTCATTAGTTTTGTGTGTTGTTGTTTACTAGCCTGCCATTTTTCAACATTCTTTTGAGGCACTTCTCCATACTTTAGCCCTCGTCAGACAGTAAAATAATAATAATAATATTTTTTATTATTTATACCCCACCCATCTGGCTGGGTTTCCCCAGCCACTCTGGGCGGCTTCTAGCAGAATAATGAAAACACAATAAAACGTCAAATATTAAAAACTTTCCTGAAGTAGCAGAACAAAACCCTGTTGGAGTTGAGGGTCGTGCTTCTAACCCTGATCTTGCTGCATTGTTCATTTGAAGACACTTAAAAGTCTCCCTAGAGGGACGTGGGTGGCGCTGTGGATTAAACCATAGAGCCTAGGACTTGCCGATCAGAAGGTTGGCGGTTCGAATCCCCTCAACGGGGTGAGCTCCCATTGCTCGGTCCCTGCTCCTGCCAACCTAGCAGTTCGAAAACACGTCAAAGTGCAAGTAGATAAATAGGTACCGCTCCGGCGGGAAGGTAAACACCGTTTCCGTGTGCTGCTCTGGTTCACCAGAAGCAGCTTAGTCATGCTGGCCACATGAAAGCACATCAAGTGCAAGTAGATAAATAGGTACAGCTCCGGCGGGAAGGTAAACGGTGTTTCTGTGCGCTGCTCTGGCTCACCAGAAGTGGCTTAGTCATGCTGGCCACATGACCCGGAAGATGTACGCCAGCTCCCTCGGCCAATAAAGCGAGATGAGCGCCGCAACCCCAGAGTCGGTCACGACTGGACCTAATGGTCAGAGGTCCCTTTACTTTTACAAGTCTCCCTGCACTCTAGGGCTGTGTGCACACTATACATTCAAAACACAATATTTCCCTCAAATAGTTCTCAACATTGCTGTTTACCCCTCAGAGTTACTATTCCCGACAACCCTTACTACCATGCCCAGAATTATCTGGGGGAAAGAATGTACCGTAGGTGCTGTCGATTGTGAGGGGTTTTTTGTCTTACCGTAACTTTGGCACTGACGGATGCAATCTATCCGTTGTGTAAAGTTGTTCTCATTGCCCATACAGCCACCATAGATAAACAGCTCACACCTATTGGTCTTGGTATTATAGAAGTAGCGACGAATGTACGCTCTACAGGGTCCGCTGACTACAGGGAGCTTACATCTCTTGGGCATATATACTGGAGGGGGGGAGAAACAAAGGCAAAAGGCTCATATATATAATCGCACCATTTGAAAAAGAGAACACTATGGCAAAAGCATATTATTATTATTATAAAATATGTTAGCCATAACCTTAAGGAACATTGCAAAAGGTTGTAATTGAAGGAAGTGGAAGCTTGCTGTTCAATATCTATATCTAACTTTTAAATATACAAAGTATTTCAATCATTTCCAACTAAATAAGGGTCATTTCCAACTAACCTCTATTCTAGAATAGACCCATTACATTGAAAGTAATAGCACTATCAGCCATGTCTATTACTTTCAGTGGGTGTTCTCTGAGTAGAACCCTAAGTTTATATCTGGACACCTGCTGTAGCTATACTACTGAATAATGATTAGAACTTGCCTCACTGAAAGGATCTCTTGGTTTCAATGCAACGTGGTCGGCGTACAGTGCTATTCTGCTCAATCTTTCTCCAGTTCCCTGTGCCCAGTGGTCTCTGGTGCCCATTGGGACTTGTGGGGGGGGGGAGAGACATGGACCCCAACAGTATCACAGAATTGTAGAGTTGGAAGGGACTACGAGGGTCTCATCCAGTTCAACTCCCTGCAATGAAGGAATCTTTTGCCGAACATGGGGTTCAAACCCACGCCCCTGAGATTAAGGGTCTCACGCTCTGTCGACTGAGCTACCTCAGCAGTCAGCAGGTGGAGCCAGAGGCAAGGACAGCCAGTCCCATCTTCTGGAATGGTTGTAAGTATCACAATAGGCAACAAAGGTCCGTATAGTTAAAGCTATGGTTTTCCCAGTAGTGATGTATGGAAATGAGAGCTGGACCATAAAGAAGGCTGATCGCCAAAGAATTGATGCTTTTGAATTATTGAGAGTCCCATGGACTGCAAGAAGATCAAACCTATCCATTCTTAAGGAAATCAGCCCTGAGTGCTCACTGGAAGGACAGATCCTGAAGCTGAGGCTCCAATACTTTGGCCACCTCATGGGAAGAGAAGACTCTCTGGAAAAGACCCTGATATTGGGAAAGATGGAGGGCACAAGGAGAAGGGGATGACAGAGGACGAGATGGTTGGATAGTGTTCTCGAAGCTACCAGGATGAGTTTGACTAAACTGCGGGAGGCAGTGGAAGACAGGAGTGCCTGGCATGCTCTGGTCCATGGGGTCACAAAGAGTCAGACACGACTAAACAACTAAACAACAACAAATCACAATAGGCAGCTGTTGGCTGGCTGATGGCAGACTGCTGTCGGCAGAGAAGTCCCATGGACCAGTGTGTCCCCTGCCTTTGCGGCTGCAGTGGACATTTTAGTACAAGGATGAGGAAGCTGTGATGCTCCAGATGCCAGATGACAACAGTATGATGGGAGTTGTAGTCCAACAGCATCCGGAAAGCCGCAGCTTCTCCAAACTTGATGAAACAATTGCTAGAATCTCAATACTGAAGATAAATAGAGCTCAAGGGCTTTCCTTCTTTTTCCTTGAAACCTGTGTGTTTCTTCCTCTCCAGAACAATAAGATTAATCCCCTCTGAGGGTTTTTTTAAAAAGCGAACACACAGTCAACTAGCTATTGCCACCCCCATTCTCATGGCAGATTTCCTTTCCTATAGCAAGGCGACTCAGTTGGGGCCACATTCACACCATGCCTTTCTTTTTTACTTTTATTTTTATTATTATTTAAATAATAAATTTTATTAGTATTTTCCACACAACAACAGGAAAAATATCAAAAAATAACAATACACAAAACACAAAAACCAGCATACAAAAAAAAAATCCATATGTTACAAGTTAATAATATAAACACTAAAAAGAAAAACAAACATTGACTTCCACCAATCCCACAGCACCTCTTTTACCTCTCATTGTATCACCCTGTTTTCCTTATCATCTCTATCCTAGCATCTAGATATAAATCCCTCTTTCTTATCCTTTCACTTCACAAGGTTATTCCAGATTTCCGTCCTCGAACCTTGGCTTTTAAGGTATTCATTTAGGCACTCCCATTCCTTTTTCACTTCACTTTTTGGTTTTTGTCTTCTTATATCTTTCAGAATATTTAGAATTAGCCAAATTGACACACCATGCCTTTCAGGTGTTATGATAGAGTCATGACTCCCCCCCCCCCCCAGAATCCTAGAAACTAGTTTGTTCAGGTGCAGAGAGTTGTCAGGACACCGTACCCGCCTCAGAAAGCTACAGATTCCAAGGTTCCCTGTGAAGAAGGATTGGTTGTTAAATCTCTGCGAAGGGAGGAGGGTTCTCTTAACAACACTCAGCACCCTTAACAAATCACAGTTCCCAGAATTCTTTGGGGGAAGCCACAACACTTTAAAGTGGTATCATAGTGCTTTTTAAAATGCATGGGGTAGGTGTGGCCTAGGAAAGAACAGACAATTGCGTCGCTGGAGTTCAAACAGCACTTGTCCATGACTAATGGTTAGAATAAAGTGTAGGACATTTAGGGCTGCCTGGGAAAGCCCACAAATTTATTTGTGCTTACCAACATCTGCACACTCTCGAATACATTGTCTAATATCCAGAAAGTTGTTTTTGTTGCCTCCAAAGCCATAATAAAGGAACATTGTACACTTCTTCTTTTTGAAATCATAGAAATATCTCAGTGTGGTTTTTCTGCCCCGTACTCCCTTGTTTAGCGGGAGTTTGCATTTTTCAGGCAGCAATTCTGAAAAAAGAAGAGAGAAGAAGGCAAGGCTCATATCTGAAATTTCACCTTTTGAAACACAGAAGATAACAGTATTGGAAGATGTCTTGTTTGTGATTCCAAACCCTGAGATAATCTTTTCCAAGTGAGAAATGAGGGACTTCTGGAAAGGGATCAAGTGCTGGCCGTGAGAGATGGGCAAAATCTTTCTAAACTGGTGTCTGAGTTTGCTTTCCCTCTTCCCTCTCCATCCCCTTTTGCCTTTTGTGCCTTTTTTTTTTAGATTGTCATCATGTGAGCAGGGAATATCTTGGTTTTTTTATTGATCTGAATGAAAGCCAATCTGGGTTAAAATGCTTTTAATAAATAAAATCACACAGACCAAAAAAGGTTCCAGTTCTGAGCAGGCTGCCCTCATGGTTCTGCTACAGCCATCTTTCTTTTTATTTATTGCTTAAATGTCTGGTCCTACCTTTCCACATTATCTCCAATACCATTGTAGCATATGGCGATTAGATATATGGGGGAAAGTAGAGTTGCAAAAGAAGAATCCTGATTTTTTTCCCCTTGCTCCTTCTTCAGTAAGTGCCCCCATTTTTCCACATTGTACAGAACAGAGAAAATAATGGAAGAAATGAGTAATTTAATAGCCCTTTCCTCCAGGAATGAAAGCGGATTAAATGATGAGCAATTCATCACACATCTTCCAGGGGGACTGACCACTGTGCCGCTCAAATAGTCTGAAACTGCAAAAAGAAAGGCACCTCCGGGGTGCTATTCTACCCAAGGGCATCATACTGGTGACCCCTGCAGCTCAGCCTGTTAAGAATAAAGTGCAGGCTCTTGGCTGTCCAGATGAGACCCAAAAGGTAGCATTTTCCCTTACCAAACCTTTCACATTCCCAAATGCAATCCCTCGGATTCCTGAAGTTATTAGCATTGCCTCCACAGCCGCCGTAAACGAATTCTTCACACTTCCTGGTGTGGAGATCAAAGTAAAATCTTGGAAAGCTTGCTTTGCATTTTCCTGTTTCTGTAGGGAGTTTGCATTTTAAAGGATATCTTCCTACAAGGGGAGAGAGAGAGAGAAACTTCCTTATCACACCCTGAGGAAGCAGTTTATTGTGGACGCACTTGCTAATACATGCAAGTCTTACGCAGTTTCTATACAGTTTTGTCCTCATTAAAATGCCATCACACATTCTTTTTCCGTTTAATCCAGATTTACCCTTTCTGTGGAAAATCCAAAAAAGTGGTTTTTTTCCCTCCCAAAAGAGAAACACTACGGAAATGATAACCCTGGATTAAATTTAGGTGAGGGATGAAGACATTGGATTTCAACACCCGGGCACTTTTACATCTGGTCACATCCACCACTAGGACGGAGCATTCATTCAGCCCTTTGGCAGAAAGACAATTCCCAACCTCTGCAGCGCAATGCCCTTGGGTTGTATCCAACGCTAGCCCTACTCAGAGTAGACCCACTGAAGGTAATGGACATGACTTAGGTTTGTTAATTTCAGTGGGTCTGCCCTTACTTTTACGTGATAAAACATATCCTTTTCTACAACATACTGGTACTTGTTCCCAAGGAAATTTGTTTAGCATCAAGGCAGCAGAAACAAACCACCATTTATTTCTGTAGTCATGATAGTGGTACCATTTGAGTAAGTTTGACATTACACACACTCAGAAACTTTCTTGTTTTCTTTTATCATACTTGGCAAACTTTTGTTTGTTGCTCAGCCTGTCAGGAATGCAGAAGCGTTTGCAAAGCATGAAAATGAGAAGGGAAATGTAAAGTATGTGTGTTGCACCTGAACATGGCTGTCCAAAGGAAGTCTCCCATACAACAACTGAGGGCTTATCCACACTCCCTCTTGTTCTGCTGCTTCCCCTGGGGTCACATGCCCACCCATGGCATTTGCTTGGGTGACCTGTGCAATCACTCACTCACTCACCTGGGCTACCTGCCTGCCTACCTGCCAGCCAGCCAGCCAGCCAGTCTCCCTCCTCTTGCACTCCCAAGCTGCTGCAATGACTTAGTCACTTTTCAGAATTCTGTCTTCAGATTGTAGTTCGCATCGCCATCTATCGCCATCCACATGAACTACTGCGTAACAACACTTAACATTTTAAGGGCCTTCTGGCGGTTCCCTCATTGCAAGGAGCAAAGCTACAGGGAACCAGGCAGAGGGCCTTCTCGGTAGTGGTGCCCGCCCTGTGGAACGCCCTCCCATCAGGTGTCAAAGAGATAAACAACTACCTGACATTCAGAAGACATCTTAAGGCAGCCCTGTTCAGGGAAGGTTTTAATGTATGACATATTAGTGCATTTTTGGTCTTTGTGGAAGCCGCCCAGAGTGGCTGGGGAAACCCAGCCAGATGGGCAGGATACAAATAATAAATTATTATTATTATTATTATTATTATTATTATTATTATTATTATTTATTATAGTGCATTTTGTATGCCATTGTCACTGATATACCTTTTTATATATATCTATATATATATTTTGTATATATATATTTTATATATACCAATATACCTTTTTATGCACACATTACTTTAGTATATACAGTTTGGTACACATTACTTGGCTGGAGAACTGCGCTGTATTTCAGTTCGCATATTATTTCGGGAAGTACAAATTCAGTAGATTTGCCTTTAAATGCAAAAGAAATTGAGTTTCTACCCTGTTCCTACTGATGATGAGGCACCTATCCTGTTTTTCTGACTGATATTATTCTCAAGGGTTTTGACCAGCCACAAAGCTCAGCAATGACCCTCTTGAGTCAGCTGGGATCAGTGGTGCAGGTCAGCAGCGTTAAACTCTGGATTTAATGGTAATGCATATTATTTCACTTACTTCAAATTGTCTTAAGCCAGATCTACTGGTTTGAGGGCCCTCCCTGCTCAATCCGGAGCAGGGCCCTTGACATCTGCTCCAAAGACCTGTGCTGATGGCACAACTGGTTGGGATGGCTGGCTGAGTAGGGAAGCGCTGCTTAACTGCTCAACCTCATCCTTATTCAAGCATATAAGAATTGCTTAATTTCCTCAGAGTTTTGTGATTTTTGCTAAGCTCTAGGAGCTGCCTCTGAGCACAGTGAATCCAACAGATGGTGGAAGCTGTGTCCTTTTAACACATCCCATTGTGTCTTGGGAGAAGGCAAGCCCAGTGCTTTGGGATCCAGGTGGGAACTATCAAGTTGCAAAGAAACAATGAAAGGGGGCTTAAGAAGCAGGTAGCAATATTGAAGAAATGCAACAGGAATGAGTAAGAAGACAACCATTGAATTCTTGTATTTTTCAAGGGTTTCTCACAGGTTTTCCCTGTTATAATGAGAGAGAAAACTGTTAATATTTGATGCGAGTCCCCCATGCTATCCAAAACCACCTTACATCATGTTCCACAGAGAAATGGAAAGCTTTGTTTGAGCAGCCAAAGCTCTTAGTTCCTTCCTAGACAAATGTTGTGGAGTCCAGTGTACTTGAAACAGTCATTTTTGCTGGATCAATCTCAATTTCAGGTCCAAGGACACATTCTGTACGGTTTCTAATGCAATTTTATATTGTTCAGGCTGTGTGATACCATTTTCTTTTGTTTGGGCTGTGGAATTCCACCCTGGGATCTTTTGCTAAAGGGCGGTATATACTGTATTTTTCGCCCCATAGGGTGCACCGGCCCATAGAGCGCACCTAGGTGTTTTTTTGGGGGGGGGAATAAAGAAAAAAAATTATTTTTCCCCCAGGCGAAGGGCTGGGGCGAGGGAAGCCCGAGCTTCCCCCGACCCCAGCCCCCAGAACAGGCTGCTATCCGCACGCCTAGGGAGCCCAGCGGGAAGTCCCGCGGGCTCCCAAGGCTTGCAAATAGCTTCCTGAAGCCTGGAGAGTGAGAGGGGTGCGCACCGACCCCTCTCGCTCTCCAGGCTTCAGCGAAAGCCTGCATTCACCCCATAGGACGCACACACATTTCCCCTTCATTTTTGGAGGGGAAAAAGTGCGTCCTATAGGGCAAAAAATACGGTAAATTGAAATCATCATCATCATCCACACCTCTCTGAGAGGGAACTCTTACCTGATATTTGCTGAGCAGCAGCATATGAGCATATAAGAAGTTCCAGGATCAGGACAGCAATGTGACTGCCCTGCATGACTGCTGTCTGATGTGGGTGCTTGCTGCTTAGTGAAGGCACTTTATACATTTTTGTATAAGGAAATGGTAGTGGGCATTCAAGCAGCCAAGACAGTCCATCAATAAGTAGGAACATCCTGGTGCTTCTTTGAGTAGTTCAAGGTAATTTCCTGTTCTTTTATAAATACTATTCCACTTCAGGTAGGGGTATTCTGAAGCCAACTTCCTGTTCTTGTGTAAGTGCCATTCCACTTCAGCTAGGGATTTATTGGAGACATAAAGCCTATCAGTATCATCTTGACATAGCTTGGGGGCCAAATGAGACTGTCCTTTATGCACACCACCATACTTGCCCTCCAAAAAGAGCCGCTTCTCCTCTGATAAATGCACTCCATTCCAAAGACAATACCTGTAATTATGTAGGGTTTTGCACGCTGACTGGACTTTTGTATTTTGAATGTCAGTGTACCTGGTAGCATTCCAGGAGAATTAACAGTCTGGTCACAAGTCAGAATAAGCGTCACTGATTGTCGGGAGCCAGAGTCAAGCATGGGTCAGCAATATATATACAGTGGTACCTCTGGATGTGAACAGGATCTGTTCCGGAGCCCCATTAGCATCCTGAGCAGAACACAACCTGCGTCTGCATGTGCGCGGGTCGCAATTCGCCGCTTCTGTGCATGCGCGTGATGTCATTTTGAGCGTCTGCGCATGCGCAAGCAGTGAAACCCGGAAGTAACCTGTTCCGTTACTTCCGGGTCACCGTGGGACCAACCTGAAGACGCTCAACCTGAAGCGTAATTAACCCAAAGTATGACTGTGTGTGTGTATGTGTGTGTGCCAAAACAGCACAGGCCTAGTAATCACAGCAACTCTTCCAGTAGGTTTTGCCCCAATGTGGCAGTTGTGACAACTGAAGGTCCCTGTCTGTCCACAGCTGTCTAAGACCTCTCTTCTCCAGGGTTTTTTCCTCCAGTCGGTTACAGAGTGCACAACCAATCTCTGCTCTGTGCTCTTCATTTCCCTGTGTCTTCTAAGAGACCAGGTAGGAGGGGAGCTGGTTGCAGCAGGAGGGGAAGAGTCCCCAAATTCTTCAGCAGCCTGCCTCATTGCTGCCTTTTCAACCCCCTCCTTTCTAGCCTGCTCCTCCTCTCTAGCCTCCTCTCCTGCCTCTGAGCTGGGACTGCTCTCTGCCTCAGCCTCTTCCTGCTCACTAAACCCTATTGCGTGTCAAGACCCCGAGGCCTCCCCCTTATGTTGAATAATAACACGTGGACACCATATATTAGGTTAATGGGCAAAATTTAGGCCACAACTTTATTGGTTACAGAATGTGAGCGGTATTGGCTTAGGCATTGGAATTGAACTGACTATATCCGACTCCTGCCCGCCATGCAGGAAGTCTCACAAGTAACCACCAGTAGGGGCAGCCCTGGTAGTGTTTATCAACTTGGAGCTCCCCCAAGGTCACCAGAAGGTTGCGCCATGGCCTTAGCCTCCACCCGGGCTTCAGACAGGAACCATGACCCCCAGATTTCTTTAACAGAATACCCTTTAACATAGAGGGGCAGGTGATGGCCACACCTCACTCCCCCCAAACCAGGTTTTATCAATGCCTAACTGCCACTCAAGCCAAATGCTCGCTGCCAATACCCTCACACCTGCAACCAACCTCTAATGCCCTCAATGACCTCAGCCAAGCAAAACCTATTGGCCCTTCAGCTGCCAACACCCCCTTCTCCCAGTCTTCTCCCTCTGACCACTCATCATCGTCCCACCATCAATCCCCTGGTAGCCAATGTCATGGACCGGCTGGATACAGAGGAGTGGTGGGAGGAACCAGTTGAGGAACCCCCAACCATCCTAGTTCTAAGGGCTGGTTCAATTGTGAAGGCAAACAAAGAAAAGAAAAGAAAACCACTCACTGCCGAGTTCAAAATTCTCTTTCCAACCCACTGCGTGATTTAATTCTTCTCAAAAATATGATACAAAACCCAATGGGAAGGAAAAGAACATGGAGCCAAGTCCAAGGTTATAACCTCCTTCTCGGGTTTAATACAGTCTCCTCTAGCAGTCATTCTTCAGGTTTGGACTGCCATGTCTCCCCTCAGTCCTGGGAAGCCCATTTTCTCATGGTTTATGCCAAAGAGGAAACATTTACACTGTGGCCACAATATTTTTCTGTACCCAGACCTGAATGTCCCCCTGTTCTTAACTCTTTAGTTGAAGATAGAGGCAAAGTATGCATTGAGCAGTTCCACTTTCTGTCACCCAATAGCATTTCTCCATCTTCTCCACACAGAGGACCTACTACTACTTATTTGTTCTTCCTCTTTCTTAGAACATAGCCGAAGAAACATTTATTATTATTCTTTTTAACTTCTCTTACAAGCCGGAGCTCATTCTGAGCTTTGGTCCGCCTTACCTTTTCCCTGCATCTTCTGGCTTCTCTTGTATCCTCTTACTTAATGATTTCCCCTTTCTTCCATTTCTTATACTATATATGCCCTTTAAAAATCTGTAAGCTCCTTATGTAACCACATTGGTTTCTTTAGATACCTCCTACTTTTCTTTCTTGTTGAAATTGTCTGCATTTGTGCCTTCAACATTTCACTTTTAAGAAATTCCTTCAACTCAATTGATATATGAGTTAAGGATCCCAGGAGACAGCTAATTAATTGATTGTCCAAGAAGAAATTACAAGATAGACAGACGGATATATCCTAACATGACTTCTTCAAGTTCAGTGCATGGCAAAGCCTGGAGGCTGCTGAAATGCCAGTGTATGTATACCCAACAGAACTAGGGAAAGAAAAGCATTCAGTATGGCCATCACAAAGGCTTTTTGATTTATTACCATATGCAGATTGTTAAGGTAATTGGGCAGACAAACGTGGTTGTCATATATAATGACAGAAGAGAGCAGGGAACATGTGTTATTGGCACAAGCCAACCAGTATTGATGGGCAATATCTCAGAGTCCACAAGACCTTTTTGTAGACACAATGTCTTGGTTCAGACATCACTTTATACCGTGGTCAATCTTAACCATGGTTTAAGTGTAAACTTAATGCTGGTACATGGGGCAAAGATGGTTGCTGCTTCAGTGCTCCTGCTGCCGCCATTCTGCTAAGAGAAGAACCATCAGTCCAAAGGGGCCACATGTACGCACCAATGCACAGATGCATTCCCCTCCAAACAAAGAGGAATCTCAATTGCAGATCCCTGTCTTGCTTGGAGAAGCCATGTGCACATACATCCATAAACAGAATCAGTCCCTTCACACTGGTGCCAAATGCTGCAGAACATGAGGAAAGCTGTCGTACCTCTAAAGGAGTGAACATTAGGTGTCCAGAGAAAATATTGAGAAGGGTCCAGGCTGTTAACTTCTGTGGCCAGTCAGGGGGTGAGGCAAGGAGGGCAACCGGATTCAATAAGGACCACTACACTGCAGAAAATAAAAGGAAGCGATCCTGCGATGAAAGGGGTGCCCTTTCTCAGTGTAAGCGGCCCACTGTGATCTCTGAAGTTAAGAGGCACCCTGGAGCTATGAGGATCTTACGGACCTTGAATGATAGGGATCTTTCCACCTGCACTCCTTTGAATCAACACTCTGTTCCTTGGACTTGGACATGATGATAAGGAAATAATGGAAACCTGTTCCTCGTCAGATTCTCTCCTCCCACCTCCTCAAAGGCCTAAAGCCATCCAAGAAGCTTTGCCAACCATTCCACAATCCCTCTTTCTTTTCTCTCCCCATCTTTTTAGGAAGTCTCATAATTCAGTCTTTGTCTCGTTTTTTAAAAAACTGATTATCTGAGAAAGCTTCTGTCTCTTTTATGTTGCCCTTCCAGGCTTCTCTGCTTTCCTGAGTGATCTCCCAAGCTGCGTTCTTGCCCTATAGCAGCCTTCTCCAACATGATGGTCCCCAGCTGCTCTTCCAGGAGGTAAGCCTCTCTCCCCTCAACTGGCTGGAAGCAAAATAGCCAAGAGCTAGTCTTTGTTTCTAGTCAGGTCTTGGGGTGGAAGCTCGAGAGACACAGGGAACCTGAAGTTGCTCTCTGTGCTGACACAAGAACTATGACTTTGCGGGTGTTGGTTTACAAGCCCCCCTCCAGAGAGGCTGGCCCCTCACACTGTCCTCGGAGCTTGTTTATCGATAACCTCCTCTGGCTGACATCCCAGACAGACCAGGGAGATTTTGATAGGCGACATTTTCCCCGTGTGGCTAAGTGCACACCCCCTCCCTCCTGCTTCCCTAGCAGGGAAAGGAGACAGTCAGAAACGTCTAGTTACATCCTTTTATTTCTGACTTTACAGCACTACAGAAAACATGTCCAATCAATTCAGTTCTTCTAGCAAGTCTGACAAACTTCCTGTACATACGCAAACGGAAGGTTTCAAATTACACTCTTCACAGAGCTCTGAGAAGCCTGTGAACTTCCGGGAACATTCTTTCCCACAGCTAGCCGCATCATGTGATGTCAACAAGCTACCGGTTTGCAGCTGCGTTGCTTTCATATACTGACAGTGGGGACTGGAAACCTAATGGGGAATGAAGATATCTGTTGGAATGTTAATGCTGTGAGCCCTTCCATGTTGTGCTTAGGTTGCATATATATGCAAATAAAACCAAATGCCCTAAAGACACCACAGTCTCCAGTCAGTGGCCTAGGAACGGGGGTGCGGTCCGACCCGGGTGTCATCACTGAGGGGGGGCGTTTGACAAAATGAGTTTTTTAAAAATGGGCTCACAAAACTTTTTAGGAGTGACGTATTGGCTTAGGCACCTGCAGGTTCCGCGCTGCCTGAAACTGCAACGTGGGACTTGCGTCTGCCTAATGCCTCTCCCTCAGCCGCCCTACAGCTGAGGGGGAGGTGGTGGAGAGGCACCAAGCGTTGGAGAGGCTTGCCCCACCCCCATGAGTGTGAATCCCCACCCCCCGGCTGCAGGACACGCCCCAGCACCAGGCACCTGAGCGGTTAGCTACACCGCTGTCTCCAGTGACCTTCATTCCAAAGAAATGGAACCCTGGCTAAGTGCTGGCACCCTTGAAGTCTCTTACCACTCAGAGATTGGGGTGTGTGCAATATCTGTGGGATCTGCTGCATATAGCATGACTTGCCTTGGAAAGCAATCCTCACCACTAAGTAGGACCAGTCTGGATAGTTGGCCTTGGTGAAGATTTGACGTTTTCATCCCCAAAAAGTTTTCGATTTGAGTTTCTACTGAAATGAGGCTGCATTTTAATGTTGTATTTTAATCTTGTTTTTAAGTTCTATTTTAATCATTTGCTTTTATACCTGGTGTTGGCCACCCTGAGCCCAGTCTTGGCTGGGAAGGGCGGGGTATAAATATTTTTTTTTAAATTTATTTTTATTATTTGGAGCAGGTGCTATTTTTCTAGAAAAAGAGGTGCTGGAACTCACCATGAATGCCTCCCTTGTTCTTTTATAATGGCAATGGTGCCCACCTGAGAGGTGCCGGAACTGAGTTCTGGTGAGTTCCGGTGAGTTCTGGTGAATAAAAGCCCTGAGTAGAACTAGTTGTTTAAGCAAAACTCATAGTCCAGAGACTGATTGACAGTATATTTAGAACATAACACTTAATGTGCTGTCTGCTATATATTTTGGAAATTTGTTCTTCTGTCATTTGGGGGCATTTTTAAAGATACCATGACCAAATTGTGCATGCTAGTTCCTAAGATCACGGAGCAGATTTTTGACTGTTTGGATGCAAGGGGGTGCTATTTTGAACCAAGATGGTGAACTGAACCTTTCATAACTGCATTTATTTGAGTGGGGAGTAGCCTTAGGATTCCCAAGCAACACTGGCTTACAGGGTTGCAGTTCTACCATATACAGTGGTACCTCGGGTGACAAACGCTTCGGGTTACAAACACTTCAGGTTACAAACTCCACTAACCTGGAAGTAGTACCTCTGGTTGAGAACTTTGCCCCAGGATGAGAACGGAAATTGCACATTGGCGGTGCAGCACCAGCGGGAGGCCCCATTAGCGACAGAGTGCCTCATATTTGCTCCTATCATCAATGTTGTATGTTGCATAATGTGCTTCCAAAAATCATAGGCATGTTGACATTTCCACCACATATATGTTAGGTGAGCATTTGCTCCAGAGCACTTCAAACATGTAAAATGTTCTTTCTCTGTGCAAGTCCAAGCAAGCACCATTGCAACAATACTACATGAATAATGTCAAGCAAAAGGTGAAGGTACTTTTGGTTGTCTGGGAAAAAACCACAAAAGTGCTTTGTTCTTACCATATTCATCACATGTCTCATAGCATTCAATGTAAGATGGGAAATTGTTCTCGTTGCCCTCACATCCATTAAACATGAATGGTGTGCATTTCTTGTCCCATACATCATAATAATGGCATGGGATGTTAGCTTTACATGTTCCTACTTTTGGGGGCTGTTTGCATTTCGGAGGAGTGTGGAAAGCATATAAAATCTCTTGCTCTATAGCAGATGTAAATGGCATTTGAAAGAGCCGTTCAGTCTCTGAAGATCATCACTTCATATCCCTCCAGTGCTTCAGCTTGTGTCATTAGGAAGACCTCTGTGAACCTAGAGAAGTAAAGGCAGCATTCCCCAACTCGGTGCCCTGCAGATGTTTTTGGACTACAATTCCGATTGTCCTGAACAGTGCTTTTTTCCTACTCATACTGAAAATGCTGCCCCTCAATGAGGCCAAACTTAGATTCACAAAATGTTTAGGGGTATGCGTACCCCTGAGTCCCCCCCCCCCCGGAAAAAAAGCAGTAGTCCTGACCATGGTCCAGGCTGAGCTGGAGGGCACCAGGTATGAGTAAGTGAATATTGCATCCATGTCCAGCATTAAGAGGTAAGATGCTCATCACTGGGTTATCTACACCAATGACTTTATTAAAATCAGAAAAACTAGATGACCTGATATTGTTATTCAAATAGTTTTTGAGCCATATTAACTTTATTTTCTTCTACTTTCTCAGTGATAAACAGCTCTCCAAGAGACTAGGAAGTCTGATTCCTGCTGCCTGCTTTCTCCCATGTTGAGAGGCCTGAGAAACGAGTATACAGGCAAGCATAGTGGTACCTCGGTTTACGAACTTAATCCATTCTGGAAGTCTGTTCTTAAACTGAAACCGTTCTTAAATCAAGGTGCATTTTCCCTAATGAGGCCTCCTGCCACCGGTGCCCTTCCACTGTTCGGATTCCGTTCTTAGACCGAGGTAAAGCTTGCATACCGGGACACTACTTCCAGTTTTGCGAAGTTCGTAAACCGAATCGTTCGTAAACAGGACTGTTCTTAAACAGAGGTACCACTGTAGAACAAAATGTGGAAAAACAGATCATTGGTCTGAATTTTCCAGCATCTGAGGTCCCAGAGACTTGTCACCATGATGGCACTAGCCTAGTTGGAAAATGTCAATCACTTCTCTTACATAGGCAGTTATCTTTCCACAAGGGCCAAAACTGATGCCGAAATCCAGCATCACCTGAGCTCTGCAAGTGCGGCTTTCTCCCGATTGCAGTGCAGAGTGTTTGAGGACCAGGACCTTACTATATACTTGTGAAACATGGACCACTTATAAACGCCATCTCCAACTCCTTGAAAGATTCCTTCAACGGTATCTCCGAAAATTTTTACACATCACTTGGGAAGACAGGCGAACCAATATCACTGTTCTGGAAGAAGCAAAGATCGCCAGTGTTGAAGCAATGATTCTTCAACATCAACTTCTTTGGACTGGTCATGTTGTGTGGATGCCTGATGATCGTCTTCCAAAGCAACTACTCTATTCCAAACTTAAAAATGGGAAGTGTAATGCTGGTGGTCAACAAAAGAGGTTTAAAGACAGTCTCAAGGCAAATCTAAAAAAATGTAGTATAAACACTGACAACTGGGAAACACTGGACTGCGAGCGCTCCAGTTGTAGAATAGCCTTTACCAAAGGTGTCATGGGCTTTGAAGACACTCAAACTCAGGACGCAGGGAGAAACGTGCTAAGAGGAAGGCATCCTTGGCAAATCCACACTGTGATCAACTCCTGCCCAGAAACCAATGTCCCCACTGTGGAAGGATGTGTGGATCCAGAATTGGCCTCCACAGTCACTTGAGCTCCAGCCCAAAGGAAAGAGAAGCATTGCCAGCTGTTAAAGGGCTGCTCTGCCTCATCTTCTTAGCACAGCCCTGTCCTTCCTGGAGAGGGAGGAGCCCCCTCGGAGGGTCCTCCAAGCATCAAGGTGTCCCAGAAGAGGAGAAGAACATGAGGAAGGTGGTGGAGTCTTCCTTGGAGCCAGAGACACACCCAGGAAAGGGGAGAAGGCCGATGTCATAGGGCAGCTGGAGAGATGCAAAATGGAGCCAGGCAGAAGTGTAGTGGTTGGAGGGCTGGACTAGGAGGACCTGGGGGAGCAGGGTTCGAATGCCCACTCAGCCATGAATCTCCCTGGTGGACCTTGGGCCAGCCTAGCCTGCTTTGCAGGGCTGCTGTGAAGATAATTGGTGGTAGGGAGAACCATGAAGACCACTTTGAGCTCCTGGGTGGAAAGTGGGCTAGGAATGTCCTAGTAAATGTAAATGATGAGAGGGGAGAGTGTTGGAATGAAACCACGACACGCCGTGGTATAGGCGGATGCAGCGTGCGGGAACCCAGCGAGCACCCTGTGGAGTAGAAACTGCAGCGTAACCCTTTCCCCAGGTGATCAGTTTTACAGGCTCACTCCATTCGTTGGAGGGTAATATCTTATAGCGGACCAGTGGGGCTGGGAGTATCTCTGTTTGCTGAAAGTGCTTCTGGAGGCGAGTATAAGATTGATGATCCTGTATGGAAACATTCAAATGATTGAGAGTAAAGAGAACACTGGCCAACCAGCCTTCCTTTTCGGAGAGTGAGGCTGGGACTCCGGCCTTCTTTTCTTGTCGAATCAAGGCAGTTTTTAAAGTGCGATTGGCACGTTCAACAATCGCTTGGCCTTGAGAATTGTAGGGGATGCCAAATAAATGGTGAATATTCCAAGTGTCACAGAACTGAGCAAAGGTTTTTGCACAGTACGCTGGGGCATTGTCAGTTTTCAAGGAATGAGGCTTGCCCATGACTGACATGGTACGAACAAGATGATTGCAAACATGCTTAACCTGCTCTCCCCTTTGAGGGGTGGCCCAAATAAAGCCAGAGAACGTATCAATGCAAACATGTATGAACTTCCAAGGTGAAAAGGGGGCGAAGTGAGTTACATCCATTTGCCACAACTGGTTGACTGCCAGCCCACGGGGATTAACACCAGGGCTGGGGTGGCCAATCTGATTAGAGCATTGAGGGCATTGTTGGATAATTGCACGTGCCGCTTCCAACGGGATTTGGAACTGGCGGCTAAGGGCTTTTGCATTTTGATGATGAAAAGCATGACTTTCAATAGGGGAAATAGGCAAAGCCCTAAGCAAGGAAACTGCTTTTGCATTGCCATCAGTGATAAAGCCTGGGAAGGGTTGGTGAGAGTGAATGTGCACCACAAATAGAGGGTGGGAGCGATTAGAAAGAAGCAATTGTAAGGATAGGAAAAGGCTCAATAAGTTGTCATCCAATAAAGGACTTACATAACTGCCTTGTAGACGAGTTATGACATTTGTAACATAAAGACGGTCCACTACCAAATTAAAGGGCTGTGAGGAGAAGTGGTGCAGAGCTTTGACAGCAGCTGCTAGCTCAGAACGATGGGCAGACTTTTGTGGAAGAGTGTAGAGGCTGTGCCATTCCTCATTTTGTTGCCAGGCAACCACCCCCCTGGAGGGGGATCCGTCAGTAAAGACAGTAGAGGCATCCAAAGGGACAGGAGATAATATGGAAGATAAAGACAGGGAAATTTGTTTGCTCATTTGCAGGCGAGGGTCGGCTGGGATATGGCAATCCACTTGGCCAACAAAATTGGCTAAAGCGCACTGCAAATCCATGCTAGTGGAGAGAGCAGTTTCCCATTGTTCTAAGGGCATGGGCACAATAATTTGGCGGCAATCAATGCCAAAGAGGCTTTTGCAGCGACGGCATCCCTTGCTGATGAGCTGAGCAAGGAGATCCACTAAAGGAGTCTCCGTGTTCTTTGGCGTATGATGTAAATACAGCCATTCAATTATATGAACTTTTGATGGGCCTAACTGAATAATGGCCGCAAAAGGTTGGACAGAATCTGTCATTATGACTACATCGGGCAAAACATTAAGAATTGCTTGATCAACCCAGTGGAGACGCATGATTTCCTTTAACTGGGCAACAGTCTTCTGTTGAGAGGAGGTCATGGTGATTTTATCACCAGGAGATTGATGGCCTTTTAAGGCTGAAAAAAGCGGCCGTAAAACTTCAAGGGGGATTTTAAAATAGGGTCTTATCCAGTTGATATTGCCCAGCAATTGCTGCAGCTGGACATATTTCATTGTTTTTGGAACATGAAGTTCAGGGACTATAGGAATAGAATAGCTAGCTATCATTTTGTGTCCCAAATAATGGAAGGGAGAGGATTCCTGAACCTTTTCTGGGGCAATTTTTAGACCATAAAGTGACAAACAGGCTGTCATAACATGCTTCCATTGAGGGGGAAGGTGTGGCCCACTGACAAGCACGTCATCCATATAATGATAAATTGGGAGGTGTGGATACTGCAAATGAAAGGGCTGAAGGGCTTGATTCACATAATATTGGCACATGGTAGGGGAATTCAACATTCCTTGTGGTAGGACTTTCCATTGGTACCGTTCCGTGGGCTGATTGTTATTTAACACAGGAACAGTAAAAGCAAAGAATTTACGATCCTTCTCCTGTAGGGGAATGGAGAAGAAACAATCTTGCAAATCTATTATAGCCAATTGATAAGAATGTGGAATCACATTTGGATTAGGCAGACCACACTGCAAGGGCCCCATGGGTTCAAGGATCTGGTTTATTTTCCTTAAATCCTGGAGAAATCTCCATTTGCCACTCTTCTTTTTTATGACGAAGATGGGGGTATTATAGGGGCTAACTGAAGGTTCTATATGGTCTGCCGATAATTGTTCATTCACTAATTGTTTTAAAGCAAGTTGCTTTTCCCCCGTTATGGGCCATTGTTCCACCCATACAGGGCTGGTAGATTTCCAGCTGAGGGGAAGTGCAAGCTTACTCATCAAACTGAATGGTAGCTTGTAATTGTTGTAGTAAGTCTCTGCCCCACAGATTGAGGTGGATTTTCAGCACACAGGGCTGGATGTATGCAATGGTTTCAGAGCTATCAGGCAGAGAAACAGGCAGTCACTGTACGCTTTTGGAAGAGGTTTGGGGTCCACCCACACCCCAAACTGCAGAGGCAGACTCAAGGGGCCACGTGGGGTCCCAGCAACTACTGGAAACTACAGAAATGCCTGCGCCCGTGTCAATCAAGCCTACCAGCACAATACCATTGATTTTATACTTACGAAGAAGTTTCTTTTCACCAATCCTCTGGACTACAGCTAACAGCTGTGGAGGGAAAGAAGAGAGCTTGTGCAAATTACTATCCATAATAGAAGCAGTAGGATGAGAAGGGAGCACCACCAAATGCGCCCAGGACTCACCCTTATTTAACTGCATGGGCATATGGCTCCAAAGTTGGACCATTATTGTGCCCACATAGTCAGGATCCAGAACTCCTGGAATAACCTGGATTCCTTCTTTTGCCGCAGAAAATTTGGGTAAAATTAAACCTGCGACTTTAGGAGGTAGTGGGCCTGCCAATTGGGTGGGCATAAGCACGATTTCACCAGGTAAAACAGTGTCTTTGGTCTCTTGGTTGATCAATTCAATGGTAAAATCAGAGGGTGTATATTTAGAAAATTTTTCAGCAGCGGAAACTAAAGGCGGAGGGCTCTCTATTTGTCCTGGCCCGAGAGTGGGGCCACTATGGAGTTTCCCGGACTCCTGCACTGATTTGCCCAATGATAGCCTTTACCACATTTCGGGCATTTTTTGGAAGGTCTAGCCTTGTTGGCAGCACCATCTTTGTTTGCCCCCCCCCCCCCCCGCCAGGGGCTCTGCATTGCTTAGCAAAATGGCCTGGGCGCTTGCAATTAAAGCAATTACCTGTAGGTTTATTATTAGCTTGGATCGCGCCGGCAAGCAAAGACATCGCATGACTCTGGCTACCGACATCTGCACAAGCTTGAATCATATCGGCCAGGTCATATTTAGGGCGATGTATGATTGACTGCAACGCTTTCTTGCAATCGGTGTTTGAGTTTTCAAAGGCCAATTTTTTCATTAATTCATTTTGAGCTGTAGTGTTATCAATCTGCCTAGTGACTGATTCTTTCAATCCATCTATAAACTGATGGTATGGCTCCGAATGCTGTTGTTTAATATTGACAAAGGAGCTCAGCGGTTGCCCTGAAACAGGGACTTTCCGGAAGGCGCGTTGTACACAGGTTGCGGTGCGACTAAAATGTACAGGTGTCAGCGTCGCCTGGGCTGGTATATTATCATACTGACCCGCGCCATAAAGTTGATTGGCTGTATGCTGCGGATCAGACAGGGCTGATGCGCTATGTTTAAATTCACTCTCAAACACCACATACTGAGCCGGGGATAAAAGCATGCGCATCAGGTCTTTCCAGTCTTGAGGTAGCATTGTGTAACCAGTTGCTATTCCCTCTAGCATTCCCATTACATGAGAGGATTTTAGACCGGAATCAGTAATGGCTTTCCTTAATTCTCTCATTACAGAATAAGGAAGCGTCTCGTACAAAACCTGCTGTTGAGCAGTTCCTGGGTTTGTATAGGTGATAGGGAAAGCAGACGGCATGTCACCAGCCCACTCAGATTCCTCCTCTAAAGACAGGAGCCCTTTCTGCCTAGCCAGAGAAAGTGCAGCGCGCACAGCTCCTGTAGAGCAAACAGGGGCTGTGGCAGGCAAAGGAGGGATGGGGGGGGGGAGGATGCAGGCTGAGACGGTTGAGACGTAGGGAGGGGTTGGCCGGGTTGCGAAGGAGAAGGAGGCAAAAGCTTTGGGTTAGGTGGGGGATTGTCTGCAATGGCTAGAAGGGCAGGAGTCGAGGGAGACGCCTGGGGTCCTAATTTAGCAACGGCATCTGCACATTTCTGCCAAGTGAGCAGACAATGAATCGGAGCCCTCGGTTCTGCAAAGAGGGTCTTTCCGATCTTTTGCCAAGTTTCTACTTCCAAAGAACCAGTTTCTGGATAGGAAGGGCACTGGCAGAAAGGGGCAAGAAAGAGACTTGAGGGCCTCGGATACGAGACAACCAGGTTAAGGAGCTGGATTATCGAGGTTAAAAGGACTGACAATCCCGGGTCCAGGGGAGGGGAGGTTGGAAGCTGGCTGGACTGAATTTGACTTATTACTTTTCTTTTTTATTTTTCAATATTGGAATGTTTACAAATGTTTGAAGGATGTTGAATGAAATTACATGGCTTAAGTAAGGATTGGTAAATGATTCGTAAAAAAGGTAATGATGTAAGAATTTGGTAAATATTGAATATAAGCTATGAGTTTTAAAGTTTTTATATGACAAGAGGGAAAATAGAATAAGGAAACGTAATGACAGATTGTTATGAAAAAACAGAAAGGATTTGCTGTAAAAATTAAAAATTAAGAAACAAGAGAGGGAGGAGGAGGAAGTCTAGAAAGGAAGTCAATAGAGATTGTAAAGGACTTTATATTTTTGTTTTTCTGTTTTTCTTTTTTTCTTTGCGGCTGGGTTTTCTTTTCTTTTTTGTTTATGTACTATTTTTGTTTTTTGTATTTTCAAAATTTTTTGGAAATTTTTGTTGCTATTCTTTGAAAACTTAATAAATATCAATTTAAAAAAAAAAAAGGAAGGGCACTGGCAAGCAATCTCGCATAGCAATTGTTCAATTTCCTTTAAAGAAATATGAACACCCACCACCCGCTGTCTAACTAGATGAAGCAATTCTTTAGCATGCTCTTTTTGGAATTTAGTCAATTCCCCTCCCATACTCACGAAATAGCGCGCTGAGACTTTTCCAGTCGAGTGAAGTATGAGGGCTGGCTGCGTAAGGGATCTGGCAAATCACGTCGGGGTCACCAGATGTTGGAATGAAACCACGACAGACGAGTAGCAGGTGTCATGTGAGAGGCGTCTCTGGGGCAAGCCCCGAGAACTCTCTTTTATTGAATATTACAAACATTGCCACAGGTGCGCTCGTTGCTGATTGGTTGATACAAACACAAAGCAACTTGTTGCTGATTGGTTAACACAAGTACAAGGTGAGGATTACATATAGGCAATAACCACCAATAGATTAAAGGCTGGGAAATGGAGCACAGAACTAGACAGGCATGAAACCTCCTAATTAAATTATAACTAATGATTGATATAGCATGACTAAAACAATTACTAATGATTGATCATAACATGAAAGAATATAATAATCGAGTTCCATAGATGTGGTCAGCTATGCATTAAGAACAGGTCATAGTGTTTTCATGAACTTAAGATGAACTGAGCAGCCTAGGGAAATGAGGGAATGTCTTGGTATTTGGAACAGGTTGTACAGTGTGTACAGAAGCAGAGAAAAGCTTATAAGTGAGACTTCCCAGAATGCCAGAGAAAAGACGCAGGACTTCCCAGAATGCCACAGTTATGTGCAGAAAGAGAACTTCCCTTTAGGAGAGAAAAGGGGAAGGCAGGGAAAGAGTGTGGAGGAGCTGAGCTCTCTGGAGAAGACTGGCCAGGTCAATTTCCAGAGAGCCAAGGGACCACAGAACTCATACCCCCCCACCCCCGAGACCAAGAGAAAGGAATGTTGCTTACAGTCTGCACATTTTGTTCACAAAAAAATCCAACCGTCCTCTCTAAACTAGCTAGCTAGCTAAAATGCCCACCCAAGCCTAACTCTGACCCCAACCCCAGCCCTAACCCTACACTTACCCCTAACTACTCCTCTATGCACAAAATAAATATATACAAAATGTGCACAAATGTGCTCAAAATAAAAATGTAAAATAAAAAATATGAAAATAAAGAACAAAAAAAGTAAAATAAAAGTGTTAAAATAAAAAAGTAAAATAATAAACAAAATCAAAATAATAAAACCAAATGAATCAAATAAAAGTAATAAATCAAATAACAATCAAAATAACAATCAAATGAACACCTCTCCTTATCTTCTCCAACCACCACCAACTCCTCTCTCCTCCGCTTGCCTCACTACTAACCCACAATGGCTGCCTGCAAGTCAGTGGCTTTTAAAGGAGAAGCAAGAGATGTCACAAAGGAGGGCAGGCCCTTGTCACTGTGGCAACCCCTCCTGAGAGGTGATGCTCCACTGTCAGAACTTAGAGATACCTACTGTTCCACCTGCAGCTGGGATGCATCTTCTCTCGGCAGATTCATATCGGCATTTCACATCCTTCCTGCAGCCCCATTTCCAAAGGGAGACCACTCCCACATCCTTCAAGGCAGGCTAGGGGTCTCCATAATGCAGGATTGGACCATCTGCTTTGCATGCAGGTCTTCTGTCCTGGGCGGCATCTCCAGGGGGGGCTGGGAATGTGTGTCCCCCATCCAAAACCCTGAAGAGCTGGTGCCAGTCAGTGCAGGCTAGTTGAAGGAGGATATTGAGCAGCTGGAAGGTGAGCAGAGAAGGGTGACCAGGATGTTGAAGGGTCTGGGAACCAGTCCTCATGAGGAACGGTTGAGGCAGCTGAGTATGTTTAGCCTGGAGAAGAGGCGACTGAGAGTAGAGAGGAGAGCCATCTTCCAATATCTGAGGGCTGTAAGAGGGAGCAAGCTTGTTTTCTGCTGCTCCTGAGGGGAGGGGAGGAGAGGAGATTCGGACTAAACATTAGGAAGAACTTTCTGATGAAAGATGAAAAAATCTTTTTTAATAATTCCAGTGGCACCTTAAAGATCAACTAAATGTAAGTTTTCAAGGTATGAGCTTTTGTGTATAATACACACTTCATCAGATACTCTGAAGCACAGGTTGCTTCAACCTTATAACTGTTGATGACTGTTATGGCAGTTGGTTCCACAGGGAAGGGCAAGGGATTTTTAAAGGGATAGATGACAAAAATTAGCTTTAGTATGTATAATGGGAAATGAATCCAATATCTCTATTCAGACCAGGTCTCCCCATAGCTTTTAGTTTGGTAATGAGTTGTCATTCAGCAACTTCTCTTTCAAGTGTATTTCTAAAGTTCTTTTGTAGTAAGACAGCCTCTCTAAGATCGTGTACAGAATGTCCTGGGAGACTGAAGGGCTCTCCTCCTGGTTTCTCTGTTTTATGATTCTTGATGTCAGATTTATGCCCATTTATCCTTTGGCATAAAGTTTGTCCTGTTTGTCCCATAGAGAAAGCTGAAGGGCACTGTTGGCATTTGATAGCATAGATAATGTTGGAAGATGAACAATTAAATAGGCCTGAGATGGTATATTTGATTGGGGCCAATAATGATGCTGTCCGGGTGTATGTGGCAGCAAAGTTGGCATCTTGATTTATTGCAGGCTCTTGTGCCAGTGTCCATGTTAAGTCTGGTTGTTGTATTATTGTGTGTAAGGAGCTGTATAAGATTGGGTGGCTTTCTGTGGCTTTCTGTAGGTTTTCTTCCCAGAGCTTGGGAGAGATAGCTGTCATTATCTAAGAGATGTTGCAAATCTCTGATGATGCGTTGAACTGTTTTAACTTGAGAGCTGTGTATGATTACTAGTGATCACAAATAATATTGTGCATTTCAAAAGTTTGAGCAAAGCCCTAGCAAAGGTGCAAGATCCTGCTGGTGGGTAAATATGTACTGGAAGGTATATGCTTGAGGGTTTCCCATAGGCATCTAGCTGGCCACTGTGAGAAGAGGATTCTGTTCCAGATGGGATTCAGCAGGGCTCTGCTTCATGGTGTAGCTAGCTGCTCAGGTGCCAGGGGTGGCGTGTGTGTCCTGCAGCTGGGGGCAGGGCGAGCCACCCATGGGGCGGGGGCGCTGTGTGGAGCCTCTCCACTCCCCCTCCACTGCCTCCCCCTCAGCTGTAGGGTGGCTTAGTGTTATGTACTGAAGTTCTCACCCTGGGCCAGCAGGGGGATACTGTAGATAGTTTTCACTCTGGTCCACATATGCAAATAAGGGATTGAAAGTGATGTTCAGTGATTGGCTAGTTACAGAAAACGGTTACTGTTGCGTTCTAGTGGAGCTCTATATAAGCAGGCTGGCTGAACCCTTCAGTTCAGTTCTGTTCTGGACTGTGAATAAACAAGAGCTGTTTGAAGAATCGCTGTGTCGTCTGATATGTTCACCCACAACCTAACACTTAGGGAGATGTGGAGGGCAGATGCAAGTCCCACGCTGTTGTTTTAGGCAGCGCGGAGCCTGCAGGCGCCCTAGTCACCATGTCACTCCCAGGAGAGACGCGTGGTTTGGACATGCGGCAGGCCCCACGGTAAGTGCCGGCCCCCATGGGGTGGCGCCCAGTACCAGCCACGTTTCATTACGTTTTTTGACTGAACTAAAAAGTTTTGTGAGCCCATTTTTTTTAAAACAACAACAACAACTCATATCTTTGTCATTTTGTCACACACACACCTCAATGATGACACCCCCCGCACCCCCTTCCTCCGCCACTGGCTCTTCTTGTATTCTAGGTAAGCTCTTTAAGAGTGGGGGCATATCCACACTGGTGCTTGTTTTTCGCAGTTGTGCTGACACAGCACCTCAGCTTCCTCTAGTCCACATCAACATAAGGCTGCAAAATAGTGAAATTAAGTAAAATATTTCATTTATAAGAAATTCCCATCATGAAAAAAAGGTTTTAAGTGCTTATGCTCACAGTGTTAAGTAAATAAACCAGAAAATAACATTCTTATTTTCCCTTTTAATAATTTCAATGGGGGGAGGAGGTGACAATAAATTTTCCACACCGGGTACCACCTGACCTTGCTACACCACTGGTAGGAGGAGACTGGGAAGAGAGTGAGGATGAGTGGTGGGGAGGTTTTGGCAGCACCCCTCGTGAGGAGGGGGAGCAGGAAGAGGTGGAGGAGGACCCTAGAGGAGGAGCTCTTGCCAATGCTCTTTGAGAAATCTTGCAGACTGGAGGTGGGCAAATGTTGTCCCCACCTTCAAAAAGGGGAAAAATGAAGGCCCAGTTAACTATGCACCAGTGAGCTTGGCATCGATACCAGGTAGGTTCTGCGAACAGATAATTCAACAGTCGGTCTGTGAGCACCTAGAAAAGAATGTTGTGATTACTAAGATCTAGCATGGGTTTCTCAAATATAAGTCATGCCAAATTAATCTAATTTCTTTTTTTGATGGCATTACAAGTTTGGTGGATCAGGGGAATGCTGTGGACATAGTGTATCCTGATTTCAGTAAGGCTTTCAACAAAATCCCCCATGATGTTCTTGAGAAAAAGTTGATAAAATGTGGGTTGAACAATGTGACTGTTAGGTGGCTTTGTAGCTAGTTGACTGACCAAACCCAATGGTTCCTCATTAATGGGGGAAAGTGACAAGTCAGGTGCCACACGGTTGTGTTCTGGGCCCATTGTTGTTCAACGTATTCATAAACAACTTGGATGAAGGAATTGAGGGGATGCTCATTAACTTTGCAGAAGACACCAAACTGGGAGGGTAGCTAATGCTGAAGAAGACAGAATCAGAATTCAAATTGACCTTAACAGATTGGAGAACTGGGTCCGAGCTAACAAAATAAATTTCAATAGGGACAAATGTAAGGTTCTACACTTAGGCAGGAAGAACCTGATGCACAAATATAAGATGGGGGACACTTGGCTTACTAGGAGTACATGTGAAAAGGATCTAGAGGTCTTGATGGATCACAAGCTTAACATGAGTCAATATTGTGATGCTGCAGCAAAAAAAGCTATGCTATTCTAGGCTGCATCAACAGAAGTATAGTGTCCAGATCAAAGGTAGTAGTGGTACCAATCTTTTCTGCCTTGGTCTGACCACACCTGAAATACTGTGTCCAATTCTGGGCACCACAATTTAAGTAGAATGTTGACAAGCTAGATTGTGTGCAGAGGATGGCAACCAAAATGATAAAGGAGCAGGAAATCAAGATTTATGAGGAGCGGTAGAAGGAGCTGGGTATGTTTAGCCTGGAAAAGAGGAGACTGAGGGGAGATATGATATTTTCAACAACATGTTTCCTGTGTATTGTTATGAGTTTGTGACTTTTCTACAAAATTTCCCTGAACAGGCTGCTTTCAGGTGTCTTTTAGAAATCACATGTCTGTTTATCTGCTTGACATCTGATGGGAGGGCGTTCCGCAGGGCCGGTGCCACTACCAAAAAGGTCCTCTCCCTGGTTCCCTGTAACCTCACCTCTTGCAATGAGGGAACCACCAGAAGGCCCTCGGCACTGGATCTTAGTGTCTGGGCTGGACGATGGGGGTGGAGACACTCCTTCAGGTATATAGGGCTGAAGCCTTTTAGGGCTCTAAAGTTCAGCACCAGCATTTTGAATTGTGCTTAGAAACATACTGGTGTTATATGGTCTGGGTGGTCACTCCTAGTCACCAGTCTAGCTGCTGTATTCTGGATTAGCTGTAGTAGCTGTAAGTACACAATTTTTAATTTAGCAAGTGTGTGGTCTTTTTCTATGCTAGGGAAAGAGGGAAACTTTGGAACTCACATTAAGGGCACATTTTAAGGTTTTCATGGCCTGTATTCCCACGCTTTGCTTTGCTCCATATTTTGTGATTTTAAATCTCCACAGTGTTTCTCTCAACCAAGAGTACTTACCCCAACCTTAGTTATTGGCATCCAGGAATTTTTGATAGCCCTCAAAACAACAGAGGTAGCAAGACCCTTCTCATCAGGGAATGAAAAGTCAGTGGTTCTCCTAATATTCAGTAATCCTAATATCCTAATATTCACATGTCAGTCAAATAGGGTAGTTTTCTGCCCAGAGACATATGGGAATGGCATCCCTGTTGTAGCTAGGGATGCGAAGGTTTGGGGAAAGACCACAACCAACTGCTCACGTATTTTCATAGGTCTGTTTGCCCTCCTTGGGTGGGTGGCTTTGCGGGCAGACACCAGGTCTCCCCTGTGAACCGGCCTCTAGCAGGCCGGACCGTCCTCCTGCCACTGAAGTGGCCAATGGCAACAGGAATTTAGGAGGCATTCCCCTGGGCGCGGTACCAACTGACCAGTAGTGGGGCTTGGCGCCATGCCCAGGGGAAGGTTAAATACCCGAAGGCCTGGGAAAAGACCCAGCCCACTGGTCACCTCTTTTCATAGTAAAAGCTCCGATCCAAATGTTCATACTCCCTGAAGCCCATAGACATCAGGTGACTACTTGAAATTTCAAGCTAGCATGACCACATATGCTGTACATGTGTCGTGTGCTTTCCCAAAGGATCCTGTAGTTTACTCCTCAATGAGTTACAAATCCTAGCATGCTTAACAAGCTACACTTCTCAGGAATTTTGTGGGGGGACAAAGATGTGTACCTATGGGACCGCCTCTCCTGGTATGTTCCACAGAGGACCTTACGGCCTTCAAACAAAAACATCTTGGAGGTCCCGGGCCACAGAGAGGTTAGGCTGGCCTCAACCAGAGCCAGGGCTTTTTTGGCTGTGGCTCCGATCTGGTGGAACGCTCTGTCACAAGAGACTAGGGCCCTGCGGGACTTGACATCTTTCCGCAGGACCTGCAAGACAGAGCTGTTCCACCAGGCCTTTGGCCAGGGCACAGCCTGACCCCCTCCTTTGGCAATCCTCACAGAACTCTAACCCAATGGTTGCCATTGATCTGATTTGAATTGATTTTATAATGAAATGATTTTAGAATGTTGTATCATTTTAATGTTGTTAGCCGCTCTGAGCCCGGCTTCGGCTGGGGAGGGCGGGATATAAATAATTTTTTTAAATTTATTTTTATTATTAAATGTATGGTGTATATACAGCCTGTAAAAAGTGTGTGGAATGTGCTTATATGAGTGCCATTGCCCCCAACAAAATCACACACTATAAATGAATGTGCTCTTCTTTTCTCTTCTCCCTCTCCTCTCCTCTCTCTGCTACTCTACTGATCTTTCAAAAGCATTGTTCTAATTTGTTCTAATTCATGATCATTACCGATGGACTGAGGGTTACTTTCATACCAGACAAGGGGAACCATGATAATCTAATCTGTTGGTGAGAAGGTAGTTTGCACGAAAAAACATACCATCAAACAGAGTGCATCTCATTACCTCCCTCCTGAACTCAGAGGCTATCCCCCGGAAGAAAACCTATCCTTCTCCCTTGAAGTCAGGATATTGTATTCATGCCTTTGGAACAGAACTGTTGTATAAATAGCATTAAGAGGAAAAGGGAGGTTCTCTGGGTTCCCTGGAAAAGTTCTAAAGAAATCTGTGATCTTACCAGCGCCTACATGCACTCCTGCATACATTCCTCTTCAGTTTCAAAGTTATTTTGGTTGCCTTGACAGCCACCGTATATGAAAGGCTTACACGTCTTGCTTTGGGAATCATAGTAAAAATGAGGATAGGCTGCTTTGCAAGGTCCCGGGTTTTTTGGTTGTTTGCATGTCTCAAGCAGAGTTTCTGGCATTAGAGGAGAAAGAGAAGCACAAAGACAAGTTTCATTCATATATATATGTATGGGGGTGTGTGTCATAGTTTGAAGAGCAAAGAAGAGGACACATTTGTCTACACTGACTGGCAGCAGCTCTTCAGGGTTTCAGGCAGGGACACTTTTTCCCAGCTTCACCTGGAGATGCCTGGGATTGAATCTGGGGCCTTCTGCATTCAGAGCACATGCTCTGCCACTGAGCTATGGCCCTAAAACAAACAGAAGGTTGCGTGAGCAGAGAGAGAGAGGTTTAAAGAGATGGGCATGGAGATCAGCAGAAGAACATGGCCATAGGTGCAGAGGGCTGCATATGCTTCCACTTCAGAATGTTTCAGTAGGTAGGCCCTTGAACCCCTAGAGAAAGGAAGGAAGTAGGGGAAGTGTTCTGAGATTCGTGGACAGAGAGGCCAATACGCAGGATGTGGGAGAAAAACATAAGTAGGGAAGACCTTGGCTGAGAGTCTTGGGTTCAAATGTGAATGACCCATGCAGAGGATGGCTGTCCTCCTGGGGCATGATCCATTCCATAAATACTGATGGCAGTAGACTCTTCTGAATGATGATGACCCCAGTGGTTGAGTACAGAAGACCAATTAACCAGAAGGTGACTTCCCGGGAAAGCCCTGCTCCAGGGCTCCAAGTCAGTTGGGATGGCTGGATGGCTGAGTAGAGGAGCAGAGCTTGGTCTGAAATACCACTGTCTCCCTCACTCATCCACCTGAACATCACTTGAACTCCATGAAGCTTCACAATCTCAGCTAGATCTCTGCTGTAGCCCCTGCTCAGTGTAGCTCAGTCCAGGGGATGGGGGTTAGGCTGTGTGTTTATGGCCAGATCCCACTGTGTCTTGGGAGGAAACAAGCCCTGGGACCCGGGTGGAAACGACAAAGTAGTACAGAAAGAGTGGGGAAAGACCTTAAGAAGTGAGCTGCCAAACTGAAGAAAGCCAGCAGGAGTGGAAGGCAGAATGCATACGAGGGTCAGAAGGAAAATGCCACGGAGCTGTTACCTTTGCTCACCTTGAGTCAGCGCAGGATTAAACTTGTGTCCTATTAAATGAATAAGGAGAACAATATTACTGTACAGCAGGTGTGAGGGACCTTTTCTGCCTGAAGCTTGCAAGTCTTAAGGTGACATCATTAGCGGGAGTGAGCATGGCCAGAAGTAAATGTGAGTGTTAGGAGTGTGTGCAGGATCCAGGCCCTGTGACTGGTAGGGCTTCGCAGGACTGGGGCCTTCCTGAGTTTGGCCTGGAAGAGCAAGGCACAGAAGCACAGGTGAGGCTTGACAGAAGACTCATAGCACCTGGTGGCAAGGGCTGGGAGGGGTATATAAGACCAGCATTTCCCTGGCTCTTTGCCACAGCAACATGTTACCCACCTAGCTGTGGTTTGGCTTCCTGACTCCTGGTTTCCTGATCCTCAGACTCTTGGCTTCCTGACTCCTGATTTCCTGATTTGTGGACTCTTGGCTTCCTGACCCCTGGACTGTTGACCCTGGACTGCTGATTCCTGCTTCCCAACCTCTACCCCGGTCCCGACATACCAAGCCGGGACTCCGACTGCCTGTAACCTGGACTGTGACAATGAGTGATGCTAGTGCTGGTGGGAATTTCAGGAGCCAAAACCATTTTCCAGATGCTTCAGTGCTACTCTTAACCCCAAGTTACTATCCCATTCTTGAATAAGCATTATGCCATTTCCAGACCCTCCAAGTGTCCCTATTTTTCAAGGACAGTCCCAGATTTACAGAAGCTGTCACAGTTTCTGATTTGATCCTGGAATGTCTTGCTTTTCCTTAGTACATCTCTATTTTCAGAGAAATGTTGGAGGCTATGGTAGGACATCCCTCTTATCATTGGAGAAATGTTAGAGGGTATGGACTTATGCGAGCCCCAAGCCAAGGAGATAAGTAACGATACAACCTTTAGAAAAAGTCTAAAGGCAGCCCAGTAGAGGGAAGTTTTTAAATGTTAAATCTTTTATTATATGTTTATATATGTTGGAAGCCACCCAGAATAGCAGTGGCAGCCAGATTGGCGGGGCAGCAGCAGCAGCAGCAGCAATGGGACATCCCTATTTTCATCAGAGAAATGTTGGAGGTTATATATTTCAGCTAAGGGCTTATTGGAGCTCAACTTAAAGCTCCCCAGTAAAAAGTACTGCTTTGCTTTTCACATGATTCTACCCAGACATGAACACCTTCCCTTTTCCGTGTGCCATCTGTCTGATACATTATTCACCCAGGCATTCACTTGATTTCTTGCTTCTGTTTTCAAATTATAACTTACAACCTTCCCCTTTTCCTTACACTGCATATACACTGTACATTTACAATACATTTAAAAACAAACCCATTTGCCCCAAGTGCCCTAGGAACTGTACTTTACCACTTGCAGACCCCCCCCCCTTTGAAAACTATGTACTTTCCCTATTCTAGCATCAAAAGCTGCTTTGCTACTGACATTTTAGAAAGCAAGAATGGGAGGACCCATTCCTCAGGATGCCGACAGCTCCAGTCCCACCACCCCCACTCCCTTGATTAAAGATAAGATTGCCCAGTTTGGGAGTTATAATGCATGCGTAATGCCAGTGGTGTAGCGTGGGTTGTCAGCACCCGGGGCAAGGCAAGTAATTTGCGCCCCCTAATCCGTTGAGCCAGGTAGGGGCAGAGAGCTGCGAGTGCGAGCGCGCCCCCCCCCCCCAGATGTTGCGGCCGGTGCGGCTGGCCCCCCCTGCACCCCCCACGCTATGCCACTGCGTAATGCTTAGCAAAAACTGCAGGTTCTTTTTGTTGTCTATTAAAACCATTAAAAGTGGCTCATTCTTACCAGGGTTTTCACACACCACATAGCATTCCAAGTAAAATTTGAAATTGTTCTCGTTGCCACCGCAGCCGCCATATATGAAGTGCGTACATTTCTTGTCCCAAACATCATAATAATATCGTGGGAACATAGCCTTGCATGGTCCTGTTTCTTTCGGCTGTTCGCATTTCAGAGGGAGGCCTGGGGGAGAGAGGGGTGCATAGAAATCTTACACACACTCACTCACACACTCACACTTCCACAGCTAATGTAAATCCTATTTCAAAGTCCTGTATCTATTATTCAAACTGCTGAGATTATCTCTTCCAAGTGGGCTGTGACAGGAGCTCTGCAGTAGTCAGGAAGTTAGAATCATGAAACAGAGAGCCCAGATGGGGTTAAACTGCTACTGTGGGAAAAATTTGTGGAACAATAATGGGGTATCAGCTCCACCTAAACACATCCATAACAGCAACAAGCGGGGGAAAGAAAGAACATCTTACAAGGACGGAGAAAAGCCATGGACAGAGTAATTGCCACACACAGGAAGAACAAGGATATAGTTTGAGTTCCTCACTTGTAGTTTTATAAATCATTTAATGTGTCAACACAAACGGAAGTTATTAATATTGCAGTTGTTGTATAAGGGATTATTATTATGACTGGAATGTAATGGAAATTAATAAGATTTTGGAATGCAGAAATAAAGAAAATCATCAAATCCAGCACGCAAATCCAAATCATATAATTTGGTATTTGAACGATTGGTATTCATGCTTGTATTATAAAGTGGTATTGTTATAATGAGACTATCATTGGACTGTAATTGAAAACTAATAAAAAATATTATTAAAAAAATAAAATAGACTGCCACTGCAGTTCAGAAGCAGTTAGCATTTCACCACAGCAGCAATGACTGACCAGGGCTGACTGAGGATGACGAGATTTATGGGGAAATGTGGGGTCATGAGATAACAAAAACCCTGAAATTGTGGTTGCCCCTTGAAATATTATGTGGCAGCTGCCACATATTTTGCTTCATTCTACATCACCAGTGGCTAATTTACATGTGTATATATATATATGCATATTGTGTGTGTGAGAGAGAGCTGCTATTCTTTAACAGACATAGATGGCATTTGAAAGTGCTGTTCAGTTATTCAAAATCCCAAGATCTCTTCCAGGCAAGGAGGCAGAGAAACTCTAGAGTTGCATCCAGTTACCAAATCACAGAACAGAGTCCAGGAGGGACTAGGCTGCTATTGCCATTTAGAAGAATCTGGCACATCACCACTTTCATGAACACCTGTTATAGCTTCATGGAGCAGAGCTCACTAGGCATAATGAGGTACATGGAGTAGTGTAGGTTCATGAGATAATAGCTCTGAAGCTGTGCTTGGCCTTTGAAATTTTCTGTGGCAGCCAGAGAGTAGGAAGCTGCCACGACATCTGCATCATTTGTCTGCACCAGTAGTGGCTAGACTGTGGCCCTCCTGAAGAAGATGGATTACAGCTCCCATCAGCCACCACCACCATGGCCAATGGTCAGGGATGATGGGAATTGTAGTCCAGCAATATCTGGAGAGCCACAGCTCATCCACCCCGTTCTATGAGTTCTGTCAGCCATCTTTCTTTCTCGCCTTCCATCGTATAAAGCTAAATTAATGCCTCTCAGCGAGGTATGGGCAAAGCACGAAGCTGAGAAACAAGTAAACGAGAAGGAGAGTAAAGAGGCGAGATGCTCACGATTGGCTTATCTATGTCCACAACTTTATTAAACTCAATAAAAACTAGAGAATCTGCAAGTATTATTTGAGTGGTTTGGGGCCCTTTCTAAAGTGGGAGCCACCATGTGACCTTCCTGCTGAAGTGGCTGAGGAGTTGACTTGACCATAAATTGGAAACAGTATACTGACTGGTTCCATACTATTGAGCCACACAACTTTAATTGTTGAAGGAGCCCAACTTGCAGCTCGCAACCCCTTGGACCCCAAAATTCTGGATGTGTGAACCATGAAAGACTTCCTTGCCCACAAGTCCCAAAGAACTGAGTGGCAAACTGAAGGGGTCCCTGCTCAACATCTTGGTGCTTAAGCGCTCAACACACACCTTGCCCATTGTAGCCGGCTTACCTCCCATGTATGTAGGCTTTCTCACTGCACTAATCGTGAATCCCACTGAGATATGCAATGCAGAAAAGAACAGGACATCTCACCTTTACTGTGGGTAGTGTGAGCTGACCAACCGTCCGGCTTGCCTATGAAAAGTAAAACGATAGCTATGTTATGGCATGACATGGTTGATGTGGGTGCTGAGTTAAACCAGTTTAATACAGGGTTCTACAGGAAGACAAAACAGGGGTATGTGGGCAGCTGAAATAATTAGCTAGACACTCACTCAGGAAGTGCTCTTATCCCAAGTTACCATTCTGTTATTTTTACTGAATTTATTCATTAATTAAAATATGGATATACCACTAATTCATTTTTTGAAAAAATCAAAGTGGTTCACAGCAGCTATACATCAAACCAGCCAATAAAAGCTATATAAATCAGAAAGCAGATGAACCCTTGTGGCAATATATATTCTTAATTATTCTTAAATATTTAATTCATAATAAGAATTCTTAAATATTCTTATTATGAATTAAATATTAAATATTAAATATACTGGTGCTCCAAATCTCCTAATGACTGTTCCCAATAGTTTTATATAGATGTTTAAAAGCACTGGGGGAGGAATAGTGTCCTGTAGAACTCCATAGCACAAGTACTGGGGGACCAAGATGCACCCACTAGTGCTATTCTCTGAACACAGCCTGGAAGATACTAATGGAACCGCCCTATAAAAAGATAAAGGTAAAAGACCCCTGGATGGTTAAGTTCAGTCAAAAGTGACTATGGGGTTGCGGCGCTCATCTTGCTTCAGGCTGAGGGAGCCGGCGTTTGTCCACAGACAGCTTTCCAGGAGATGTGGCCAGCATGACTAAACTGCTTCTGGCACAACGGGACACCGTGACGAGTGCCAAAGCGCATGAAATATAGATAATCAGTCTCACCCAGGAAAACTTGCAATGGTTCCACAAGTGGCCTGTCCACTTGTTTTGCCAAGCAAGGGGTGTTGGTGACCAGTCTATATTTATTGCACTTCACTAGCTCTAGAGCTACTGGTCCCATCACCTCCTGGCAAATAGAAGGGGAAGAAATGGAGGCAGTGAGAAATTTTACTTTCTTGGGCTCCATGATCACTGCAGATGGTGACAGCAGCCACGAAATTAAAAGACGCCTGCTTCTTGGGAGAAAAGCGATGACAAACCTAGACAGCATCTTTTTATATATATATAAGATATTTATTGAAATTTTCAAAGTGTTACAAACTAAAATAAAAACAGAAAAATAAATACAAAATAAAAATGATTAACAAAATGGAAAAAGAAAAAAAACAAACCCCTTCCAACCATACAAATACAAATTCAAAAATAAGAAAAAGAGACAGAAAAACAAAACAAAAATACACCACCAACAATTTAGAACATTTAAAAACAAATTCATTATTCTCGGATCCTCAACTGTCATTACCTTCTTTCTTTGACCTCCTCCTCTTCCCTTTCTTTGTATCCTAGTTATTAATTATCCCAGCAAATCCTTTCCATATTTCATAATATTCTGTCATTACATTACCCTAAACTGTTTTAATCTTATCTTTCTATAAGAAAATAAACCTTAAAGCTTAAAACTTAAATCTTATCCTTACCAACTTCTCATAACCATAATATTCTTTCATAATTCTTTAAACATCTTTACTAAAGCCGAGTAATTTCATTCCAACATTTTTCTGACATTCATCAATTTTATAAAACAGTCCTAATGGTAGAAAAAAGAAATACAAACAGATCCAATCTTCATCCAACGTCCCTTCCTCCTGGTTCCGGGTTTTGTCAGTCCTTATTATCCCATCAATCTAGCCCATTAACCTGGCAACCTTATATCCGAGGCCCTCAAGTCTCTTCCATGTCCCTTCCGCAGCTCTTCTTCATATTTGTATCTGTATTTTCCCTTGTCTCCTGCTCATGGTAACTCCAGCTTGGCAATATTTTTAACCCTTCTCGACAGATCAGCCCCTTTTCCATATTCAGCACTAAATTCCATATGGTATTTAAAGGCATGTTTCAAAAATCCTCCAAAATTAAGAGCCCCCACAATCCCAAACATCTCACGGCCCATTGCCAGATTTGAAAAGTCCAAACATCCCAGCATAGGGGGGTCAATCCAGCCCCCCATTTCCAAGCCAAACCAAACTTTTCTTTCCAAATCTGGCTTTTTCCAAGTTCATTTGTCAAATCCGAAAACTCATATTCCTGTTGGGCCTGTTCTGTCAGGACACACTCCTGATTTAATTCCTGGGTGGGCTCCACATATTTTCCCACTGTCTGTTCAAAATTTCCCACTGCCTGTTCAAATTTTCTAGTCGAGGTCGCCATCAAATTCATCTTCTCATGTAACTGTTCCAGTAGGGCATTTGTTTTATAGAAAGCACACAACAGAGCTTCTGAATACATTGTCCTGCAAGGTCAAATGCCTATTCCCACGATTGTAATCTGTAACAGCTGCCGGCTCCCTGGAGTTGGTTACAGTTTCACAGTCTCCCTCTAGGGGGAAAACTTCTATTTGTTCTTGCAACAAAGTTTCCCTTTTTGAGATACTTTGTCAATATTTGTCCCTTTAAAATGCGAAGGGAAACAGTGGAATCACTACGTTTCTCTTCTTTTAGCTATCTGTCAAAAACGTTTGTCTCTGGTCAATGAACTTCAAACGTCAGTCCTGACACCCCACTCCAGGATCAGGACGGAGGAAAGTTGCTTTACTTTAAACTCACTTTAAACAGTCTGAAAAAGATCCCCCTTCTTCTCCTGCTGTCGAAGGGGGGTTCCACGATTTTAAATGATGAAATCCAATCCTTTAAAGGCGATTTTCTGAGCTCTAGTTTACGTTGTCTTTGCTTTATTCTGTCTACAAAAGAACGGAAGGCTGACTTCCTGTTTAGACCTTCCCGTTCAGTACCAAATTGAAATAAATTTTTAAAAATCCAATTCCTTTCTGCTAGCAAGTCTTTATTTAAGGTCCAGTTGTTCAAAGTTTAAGTACTCACGGGTGCTTATTTTAGAGTCCAAATTGTCCCAGGAAAAAGGCAGCACTCTCCGGCAACGGCTATGAGGCTTCGCTCCACGGAAATAGCAGTTGACTCACAGCACCGCGCCACTTCCCCCTCTTCACTTCGGAGCCCGTTAGTGGGTTCCTTAGCGAGTTGGGGGGGGCGCTAAAGGTGCCCGCCGAGTCCCATGGTCACAGGCTTCATCCGCCTGTGATTTTTAAAAGGGTCCCCGCTTCGCCGTAGCGGAGAAGACCCGTTTCCCGCGGAGCTAGTCCCTCCAGTTGAGAGGGAGTCCGCCATTGCCGATGGCGCCACCCCGGAAGTCCAAAACCTAGACAGCATCTTAAAAAGCAGAGACATCACCTTGCCAACAAAGGTCCGTATAGTTAAAGCTATGGTTTCCCCAGTAGTGATGTATGGAAGTGAGAGCTGGACCATAAAGAAGGTCCGAAGAATTGATGTTTTTGAATTATGGTGCTGGAGGAGACTCTTGAGAGTCCCATGGACTGCAAGAAGATCAAACCTATCCATTCTGAAGGAAATCAGCCCTGAGTGCTCACTGGAAGGACAGATCGTGAAGCTGAGGCTCCAATACTTTGGCCACCTCATGAGAAGAGAAGACTCTCTGGAAAAGACCCTGATGTTGGGAAAGATGGAGGGCACAAGGAGAAGGGGACGACAGAGGACGAGATGGTTGGATAGTGTTCTTGAAGCATGAGTTTGACCAAACTGCGGGAGGCAGTGGAAGACAGAAGTGCCTGGCGTGCTGTGGTCCATGGGGTCACGAAGAGTCGGACATGACTAAACGACTAAACAACAACAGCAACAGGTTTAGAATGGACTTTTAAAGAAAAACACGCTCCACTGCCTGATTGCACTCAATCATGCAAATATAGGTTTACCATACCTCTTACCCATTCAGCCACTCCACTCCAGCTACCTTTAATACGCCAGGATATCCAAGGAACTAATGGACACCTCAGCTGGCACTGCCACAACAGCAACGTCTAAACCACAGCAGAGCAAAGCGACCTGAGCCTTGAAGTGTTTGGCTATCTGCTTACAGCTGGGCACCATGTGCTCCAAAGGTCCATCCCCCTGGTTAGGAATAACAAACCTCTGGAATACGGGCTCATCCCCACTTCTACTTGTGCCGTGCCTAGAAAACACTGGTCCAGGTGGTTTCCCCTTTGCCCCACTCCTTTCCAAGGAAATATCAACTCTTTAGCAGTAGATCAGAACAAATGGCAATCCATGGAAAACCGGAACTGGCATTTGCTCCAAGTGAGCACTAAAGAGCGGTTTTCTCCAGGGGAGAGGAGCTGGACAAAAGGATAAGTTCTGCTAGTTGGCTCCTCAAGGATGCATACCCTCCAACATTTCTATGATGAAAATAGGGGCATCCTTTTCCATACCCTCCAACTTTTCTACGATGAAAACAGGGATGTCCTAAGGAAAAGTGGGACATTCCAGGATCAAATCAGAAACTGGGACAGCTTCTGTAAATCCAGGACTGACCCTGGAAAATAGGGACACTTGGAGGGTCTCAGGATGTAATGGAGGCAGCAAAGTAGGATGTCTTCACTGACCTCAAACCCATGCAGTAAGTCCTGTTTTGAGCCTGAACATGAACTCAGCTCAGTCAACTGTTTGTTTGTTTGTCTGTCTGTTTGTTTGTTTGTTTGTTTGTTTGTTAACCTCCCTTTCAGTGCTCCCTACTCTCCCAAATGAGTTTAAAACTATTTTTTTTAAAAGAAAATGAAAAAAATAATTGTGTGTGAAATCCAACAGTACAGACACTACTGGCAGAATAGATTCCCCCTCACCTCAGGACCACCCCAGATCTGCTTCAGTAGGTTGGAGGCCCCTCCAGAGTACCTTGAATGGGGCATGGGGAGCTGTGGGGCACCAGTGGGGAACCTGTGACCCTCCAGATTTTGCTGGACTATGATTCCTATTAACAATTTTAAAAAGAACCTTACAGCATGAAACCTCCAGCAGCAGGGAATCAAATCAGCAAGAGAATGACTCACTAGCAGCAAAAAGAGAAATTTTGAACAGGTTTTCACTTTAAATATTTGTTAATTTTTAAAGATCAGGAACAGAAAGAAAAAAAGAATTGTCCTTACCAAACCTTATACACTCGGCTTCGCAATCAAGGAGATGTAGAAAGTTGTTTGCATTGCCTCCACAGCCACTGTAACTGAAGGTCTTGCACCTGCCGCTCACAGTATCAAAGTAAAAATTCCGGTAAACGGAATGGCACTTTCCATATCTTGGACGTAATTTGCACTTGGCAGGCTGTTCCTCTTGAGGAAAGGTGAGAAGAAGAGCAATGACAAGTTCCTTATATGCCATCTCATCTTTCGAAACTCAAAAGAAGATGCCGTTTGAAGATGTGACATTTGTGAATCCAACATCTGATGTCATCTCTGCCAAGCAGCCAAAGATGGACCTTCCCAAATGGGATCCAAGAGTCACATAGACCAAAGAACCCAACTGGGAGCCTAGTTGCAGAGTCTGGTTGTGGTTTCTCCCACAGCCCTTAAGAAGACTATAGCACACCACCATAATAAACAAAGAACTCAGCTACATTAGTCAATAAATGCATTATAACACTGTGACACCAAATGGTGCTATAGAGCTGTTTTTTGCAGAGTGTTTTCAGAATGTTTTTATTATATATATATCTGTGTCGATCTTGCCTGAGTAAAGGTCTGTGGGATCACCCTGACAATGAGGCTGTTGCACCTCCTTCCCTCTCCCTCCGCTGGTCCTTTCAAAGCTCTTTCATTCCCATGTGCTCTAGTTTAAGAAAACCATTCCACATGCTATATCATCAGGAGAGCTAGAAAGTGAGCAAAGGTGTATATGGAGGAACGAGGCAGCAGATGCAGCAGACCCTGACTTGAAATGTGTTATACTCTGTTGAATATAGTATGTTGAATATAGTATGTCCCTAATCTGCAAATCAAATCTATGTACAACTTACCTGGACTTTGATCTCGTGAAGTTTGCTACTGTACAACTTGCCTGGACTTTGTGCAACTTGCCTGGACTTTGCTGTACAACTTGCCTGGACTATGTACAACTTGCCTGGACTTTGATCTCGTGAAGTTTGCTGCTGGACTTTGATCTCGTGAAGTTTGCTGCTGTAATCCAAACGGAGTGTGTGAAATAATATACATTTTCCACCCGGTGCGGTGGGCAGTCCAGGGGCTTTTTGGCCATATTCACTTTTATTTTCTTTAACATTCCTGAAGATAAACATCTCTCCTAGAGGCTAGTAAGTGTGACTCCTGCTGCATACTTTAAAAAAGGTCACTGGAAACGAGATCACATAATTTTGGGCTGCGTACACCATACCTGCCAACATTTCTCCAATGAAAATAGAGATGATGATGATGATAGCCCATCCATAATAATAATAATAATAATAATAATAATAATAATAATAAATAATGGCCCACCCTTCTTACTGGGTTGCCTCAGCCACTCTGGACAGCTTCCAACATGTAAAATAATCATTAAGCATTAAAAAAATTTTTTAAAAAAACTTCTCTTTACAGGACTGCTTCCAGGTTTCTTCTAAAGGTTGTATCTCCTTGCTCAGGGATTGCATAACTCCATCCCCTAAGAGGGACATTTCAGGGCCAAATCAGAAACTGGGATGGCTTCTGTAATTCCGGGACTGGCCCTGGAAAACAGGGACAACTGGAAGGTCTGATACACACCACACATTTAAAGATCATGACTTCCCGCAAAGAATCCTGGGAACTCTACTTTGTTAAAGCTGCTGGGTGCTGTAGCTCTGTGGCCTACAGTACAGTTCTCAGGATTCTTTGGGGGGAAGCATTGTGTGTTAAACATCTGCTGTGTGGTCAGCAATTGTTTCCAAGGGCTGTATGGGGGAAAGTATGGGAGCTCCCGTGTTGTGATCTGAAGGAACTTTTTTTTTTTTAGTTGCATGTTGTTCTTGGAAATAACTTCATGTGATCACAAAGCCTTCTTTCAAGAGATAATTCTGGCTGTGTTTTGAAAATGCACTAAATATATTGCACTTCCTAGTGTAATAAAAAAATGTAAGGTCTTATATATATAATAAATGTTCATAAATGTACCAAGCAAACACGTACATAAATATATAAACCACATGTCTGAAGCAGTACAGGAAGATAGTCCTGAAACCATTTTGACTCCCAAACTGACCAAATGTTTCTCTGCAAGGAGGGAGGGGGTGAGGGAACTTTCCCATTGTCTCAGGAATTAAGTAATTACCATCTCAAAGGCCAGACTACCAGAAAAGGCAATCAGATAAGGCATTATCAGATAACCTGGCAGACACAGAAAAACAACAACATTCAAATTTCTGTTGTAGACCGCCTTTTCTGTGATGTAGGTATGATGTTTGTGGGGGGGGGGTCTGGGGCTACACCCCTTCTGTGATGTATGTATGATGTATGGAGGGGTGGTCTTGAGCTCCAGGGCAGGGAATTTCAAAATGTATATATAAGGGCGGGCACACCTTTGTTCTGGGTCCTCCCCCGCTCTCTTGTGTGTGAGGGGAGCACCCTGTTGCAACAGCTTTAATAAAGATCAGGCTTACTAGCTGCTTTGCTTCTCAATATACTCTGGTTGGCCTCTGTTATTTTCTCCTACCGATGAAGAACCTACAAAAGACTCTATAAGGGCAGATTTTGTTTACAACACTAGCCTCTTCAAGATGTTGGCTTTTTTTTAGAAAGTTAAAGAGAATGAAGAAGAACATGGTTTAAAATCCCTCTGAACACCTCATATAACTGTGAATTTAAATATCAAAATACTTCAAAACATGAATATATATATTTTTAAAAGGGTAACACAGAAGACAGATTGTGAATTTTGATAGGGTTGGACTGCCAGTCACTAGTTACAGGGTGGAGTGACTGAACCCTGTACGGAAACATCCGCACTAAACTTTGAAAGCAATATTATACCACTTTAAACTGCCATGGCTTCTCCCAAACCATTTTAAAAGCTGAAACTTGTTTTTAAAAATATTTTAAGGGTGCTTAAAAACTTGTGATAAGAAAAACTGCCACCTTCCCCAGTGCTTCTAATATTAGATAGTTCAGCACACTCAGGAATCAAATGTTTTCTGTCTCTTTTGTAGGGAATGTATATATATTTTTGTACATTCTGCAATGTCCATTTTTAGGAAGCCTCTATTTCCCCCGCCCCCAGAGCTCAGACCCTCCAAGTGTCCCTATTTTCCAGGAACAGTCCTGAATTTACAGAAGTCGTCCTGGTTTCTGATTTGATCCTGGAATGTCCTGCTTTTCCTTAAAGTAAAGGTAAAGGACCCCTGACAGTTAAGTCCAGTCACGGACAACTCTGGGGTTGCGGTGCTCATTTCGCTTTACTGGCCGAGGGAGCCGGCGTTTGTCCACACACAGTTTTTCCAGATCATGTGGCCAACATGACTGAGCTGCTTCTGGTGAACCAGAGCAGCGCATGGAAACACCATTTACCTTCCCACTGAAGCGGTACCTATTTATCTACTTGCACTTTGACATGCTTTCGAACTGCTAGGTTGGCAGGAGCTGGGACTGAGCAACGGGAGCTCACCCCGTCGTGGTTATTCAAACCGCCGACCTTCCGATCGGCAAGCCCTAGGCTCTGTAGTTTAACCCACAGCGCCACCCGCGTCCCTCTTCTCCTTAGGATGCCCCTATTTTCATCAGATAAATATTGGAGGGTATCATAGGTGCCAACTCCCTGGAGCCCAGGGCGCCAGAGCACCCACAAATTTTGATGCCAGGGCCATGCACACTACATGGCGCCCACAATTGCTGCGCCAAGCTGGCACTCCAAGAGCGTACAGAATAGGACATCCCCGCGGCTTTTTTTCAGCCCGAACACACCGAAACTCAGTTCTGGCACCTCTCAGGTGGGCACCATTGCCATTCTAAGAAAATGAGGGAGTCATTCATGGTGAGTCTGGCACCTCTTTTTCTAGAAAAATAGCACTTCATCAGAGAAATGATGGAGGGAATTAGAGCTACAATTGGGATTCCCTGTTAAACTGCTCTGGAAATAGAGGGGGATGGGCATTTCCTAACAACTCTCAACAGCCTTAACAATTCACATTTCCCAGGATACGTTGGTAAAAGCTATGGCTGTTTAAAGTGGTATAACACTGCTTTAACGGTATAGTGCTAATGGGACCTTATGTATCCATTAGGGCGAAAGTCCCGAGCTGAGAGGCATGTATGCAGGCAGGGTGAACAGAATGTGAAAAGGCAGAGCATTTGTCGCCCAGTGTTGGAGGTGAGTGGCGCACGCCACAGAACTGTTCTCATGATATTAGCGCAAAGCCGGTGCCTCCAAATCCCATTCCGTTCGGCATTGGATGCCTAACTTGCAGGGAGGCCCAGCAGACTTGAGGCATATGAGGGCCACAAAAATGGAAGTCTTACCTTCCCAAATGGCATCCAGAGAGGGAAACAAACCGTGCACCTTAGACCAAGGTGCCAATAATCCCATGATGAAGACCAGGAATACAATGATATTGCACTGCATGGTGGCTGCTTGATGCGAATGCTCAGCGCTGAGAGGAACAACTTTATATAGAGATGTAGAGCAAGATAGTCATCTGGACATCAAGCACAATTTTTTAATAGGCAGGAACACTCTGAAGCACCTCTGCTTAGAGCAAGATAACCTCCTGTCCTTGAATGAGGACTGCTCCAAACTAGGGACATAGAGGAGCCACCAAGTTCTTCAGCATAACCTTGGCATAGCCAGAAAGAGATCTGTTCCCATAAGATAGTGATACAAACCCACAGGCGTGACATGGAAGATTCAGAACGGATACAGTTCTTCTTGCAGAACATAGTTGGTGGCCAACTCAGGGTTCATTCTGACTATCTTTTGTACTGCATTTCTAGCTTTAAAGCTCAGTGTTCAAGTTCTCCTCCCCCCCTCCGCCCCCAGCACTTTCCCCTTGAAAGTTTGCTGTTTATCGCTGAATCAGAGCAAACCGCAGAAAAGCCAAGTTGCCATTGGTTTTGATTTAGCATTAAAAAGTGGGCTTTCCTTGGTTAAAAAGAGAGAGAGAACATGCTCCCTTGGAACCAGCCTTGCCTTCATTCCCAGGTTAGCTCCTATGTTTGTCTGAGGGAGGGAGCCACCCATTAACTACCCAGAAATTCTTCTCACAACCTACCTTTCCTCCCACCAACAACTGTGGGCATGAATATTGTGGGAATGTTCAGGGCAGTAGGAGGATATATTGTTTATTAATACCATTCCTAACTTGCACTGGCAAGTTCCTTTACTTAGCAGAGTGCATTCCCCTTTACCCAGCAGAAAACTAGTTGCAAACTCATGTGAGTTTCCTAAGACAATACGCAATTCAATCTGGCTTGTCCAGACTGAAATGTGTTCTAATATTTTCCTGGTGAGACCCCTTGAATCCCTCCTAAAAGAATAAAGACACCACAGTATTATTCACAAACAACAAAAAGAAAGTTTACTTCTCACGATCAGACAGACCACAGTGTGATCCCTGAAGGCAGACTTTAGGCTTGAAGTTACAAACGTATAAAAACAGGTTTATGCCATACGGGAGATGACCTGAGGGACTGCTTGGCTGGCAACCAGCAGTTCATTCCAGGAAGTTCGCAGGGCAAAAGGAAGATGGAAAAGAGAGAGGGAGCGGCAAAGTGCCTTGGCCTTTGACTAGGTCTGGAAAGGTCATGCCCACCCACTAGTCACCAGGCAGAGGGTCTGCTCTGTAGTGGCACCCGACCTGTGGAACGCCCTCCCATCAGATGTCAAAGAAATAAACAACTATCTGACTTTTAGAAAACATCTGAAGGCAGCCCTGTTTAGGGAAGCTGTTAATATTTGATGAATTATTATATTTTAATATTTTGCTGGGAGCTGCCCAGAGTGGCTGGGGAAACCTAGCCAAATGGGCAGGGTATAAACAAATTATTATTATTATTATTATTATTATTATTATTATTATCCATCAACTATTTAAAAGAGAGTTGGGGGAGGAACCTTTGGCCCTGAAGACACCATTGGGCCCCAGTTCCCATCAACCTCTGATAGCACAGCCAGGAAGGCTGTGGGCGGGGGATGAGTACAGCTTGGTCATCCCTAGTTGAATGTGTGTTGCTTTCATTTCTAATTATTTTACTATGATGTTTTTGTTTTTTTAATAAATAAATAAATACATAAATACTGCAACTTCAGAAGATGAATTCAGTTGAACACCCTAGCAAAACAAGAAGGGTGTTTCCGAGCACAATTCAAAGTGTTGGTGCTGACCTTTAAAGCCCTAAACGGCCTCGGTCCAGTATACCTGAAGGAGCGTCTCCACCCCCATCGCTCTGCCCGGACACTGAGGTCCAGTGCCGAGGGCCTTCTGGCGGTTCCCTCATTGCGAGAAGCAAAGCTATAGGGAACCAGGCAGAGGGCCTTCTCGGTAGTGGCGCCCACCCTGTGGAACGCCCTTCCAGCAGATGTCAAAGCGATAAACAACTACCTGACATTCAGAAGACATCTTAAGGCAGCCCTGTTCAGGGAAGTTTTTAACGTGTGATATTTTACTGTATTTTTGGTTTCTATGGAAGCCGCCCAGAGTGGCTGGGTAGGCCCAGCCAGATGGGCGGGGTATAAATAATAAATTATTATTATTATTATTATTATTATTATTATTATTATTATAAATGGATTTTCACTTCAAACATTGGATAATTTTAAAGGTTCATTAGTCCTCTTCAAACCTTTTATACCCTTCAAGGCACTGGGTGAGAAAATTAAAGTTGTTTCCCATTGCCTCCACAGCCACTGTAAATGAAGATCCTGCACATCTTGCTCTTAACATCACAGTAATAATTTCAATGGAAATAATTACAGTTTCCATATTCTGGATGAAGTGTGCATTTGCTAGGCATAGTTTCTGGTGGAAGGGTGGGAAGAGGATGAATGAGAAGATCCATAAAAGTTATCCATTCTTGTGAAACAGAAAGGAAAATGCCATTCCCTCAAATAATCCTGGGAACTATATTTTCTAGGGGTATGAGGAATCATACCTGTATAGACCACTACAGGACTCTTTTGTGTGAGGGAAGCCATGTGCTCTTGATGTGCTTTCAATGTTTGGTGCGTACAAAGCCATTCTTTCCAAAGGCTTTATGGAGGGGGCAGGTATGGGTGCTCCCATGTCATGATTTGGGAGCACAATAACTTCAATTTGTATTCTGAATGTTCTTATGTGATGCCAATAAAGGTTACTTGACTTGAATCACTTCAATTGACTCTTTAGCACTGTTTCCAGAGACTTTCCTGCCTCTGTTTTGAAAGCACACTACAGAAACTGCACTTCCTGGCCTCTAGGAGACGCTGCTTTTACCTTTAGGAAAGTTATAGAGATTTAAGGAAGACTTAAATTCCCTCTAACACCTCATATTGCTGCAAGCTGAAATGTCAAGATATGAATTTATGAAACTGAATTTGTAAATCAGAAACCGAATGGTGAATTCTGACCGGGTCAGATTGTCAATTGCTTTTTAAACAAAGGGGAATAGGGGTCTCTAAAACTCTCAGCACCAGAGCAATCTACAGGTCCCATGCCAGAGAACTGTCATCATGATGGCACTAGTCCAACCCTCCCAACCCCGTCTAACCTGCAGGGGATGTCTGGCAGCTTGCAGACTTGAAGCCTATGAGGGCCAGAAGTCTTACTTGCTGAATAGGCAAAGAAATCCTGCTTCTTGGACAAAGGTGCCAATAATCCCACGATGAGGACAAGGAGTGCCATGTTAATGCACTGTGTGGTGGCTGCTTGATGTGAACGCTCAGTGCTAAGGAGAGACATGTTATATAGTATTCAACAGTGATATGGAGGGAGATAGTCATTTGAACATCAAACATTTTTTAATAGGCAGGGACAAACTGAAATAGCTCTGCTTAGAGCAAGGCAACCTCCTGCTTGTGAACAAGGACTGTTCCGAACCAGGGACCTGGAGGAGTTTGTTTGCATGGCCATCACTCTGTATACCAGCACAGGGGAACCTCCAGTTGCTGGGCCAGATTAAGCTGAACAAGGGTCCTAATGTATAGCCTGCAAAACCATTTCCCTCCAACCAAACGCACTTGCCCCACACCTAATGTCCCATGTGACATCACATCAGGTGTGTGGCAGGTGAAGTCACAACTGCAAGGAAACCATTGGGAGCCTCAGTGTACATTCAGCAGGGCCCACTGGGATGGGCTGTATGAGCAAGTTTTCAATCATCAACTCTGTAGCTGATTTGCTTTCACGGTAAGGACCACGTGGAAATGCTTCCTTTTCCTGTGCTGTTTGAAATTCAGCCTCTCCAGGAGGAAAGAGCATTTCACCTGATGCCATGGTGATGTCAGATGATTGACAGGTGGGTCAAAGTGGCTCTTGTCGGCTTGAGGAAAGCAGAATCCTGCCCACTGGCCTGGTCCACTTCCCCACCCCTGGTGTATAGGCATATACAGCCAGAGCCAGCCCTATCATTACGCAGAGTGAATTGGCTGCCTGAGGCATATGTGACGTCAGGTGTGAGGCAGGTACAGATGGGGGTCCAAAGGAATGTTTGGGAGCTTGAAAATGGCTACTACTTGTCCCTTGTCTAGTGAGGTTTACTGCCAGCGCTGGTCAGCTGATCTGTGATGACAGCAAGGATCGTAAAGGAAAACCATTCTCAGGGACAAGGAAATACTTTGCCTGACGTCATGGTGATGTTGTATGATTGGCAAGTGGGTGCCCACACCTACCTGTCAAAGTGTTCCTTGGGGGTTGGGGAAACATCTGGATCTGGCCTCCTGGCTAAATCCAATCCCTGATCTCTGTTGCCTGAGATGGAACAGGCAATGGTACCCGCACCAAGGTCACATTATACTCAGGTTGTAAAGTAACTTGGCCAGGCTCAGTATAATGAGGGAAAGTCATAGCCTTGAAGGTGAACAAAAGCATGTTTGGAGCCTCACACATGGTGTTCTATCAACACATGGTTTCCATAGATTCCCTCATAGTAGCTCTTCCCACTGAACTAATCTGGACTCACCTCTCTCTTTGGAGGCAGACAGATAATGTATGAATTGGAACACTCCATATTAGAGTAAAACCTCTTTCTGATTGGGAGTTGCTACCCTTCTTCAAATAACCATCACTTCTCATTCTCCCCACATTCACAAAAGGGATATGTGGACTTGAAGACAACAACTACAACAACAACACTCAAGAAACACTGCCCACAGGGTGCAGAAGAACATGTGAGTTTATTGGCAAGAGCGTGAGAATTTTTGGCAAAGACTGGTACTGCAGGATGAGCCAACTGCCTATACATAAAGGCATGGCTGAGAAAAAGAATGCCTCCTGGTTTCCTCTGCTGCCTTTGTTCCACTGGATTCAGTGAGATGTTAGTGGGTTTGAAAATAGAATAGGCTGAGCTCTGCACAAGGACTCAAGGTCAACCTGAAGAAAGAAGTGAGAGGTATGTACAATTAAATGTGAAGGTGCAGCCAAGACCTGTTTCCACCACGAGGAAAGTTTTGGGGGTATTTTTAGTTTGTGGAGACATTGAGTTACGGGAAACATGAGACAAGTTTATAACATCATACATGGCAGAATCAGTTGAGTGGTGCAGGTAGCAGATTGACCAGAGAACAGGAGATTGACAGAAATCCCCCACTGCTGCCTCTATATGCTCTAAAAAGTATAAAATGCATTGGTGGGGTAAAGAAAGAGTGTGTGGTTTGAGATTTGGGGTTATACGACTTCCAATCCATTGAATGTTCTCCCACAGTTTTACTGCATTTTCCTATCATCTTCCCTACTTCAAAAGGTATGGTGTTGTACATTTCCGAGCACAATTCAAAGTGTTGGTGCTGACCTTTAAAGCCCTAAACAGCCTCGGCCCAGTATACCTGAAGGAGCGTCTCCACCCGCATCGTTCAGCCCGGACACTGAGGTTCAGCGCCAAGGGCCTTCTGGCGGTTCCCTCATTGCGAGAAGTAAGGTTACAGGGAACCAGGCAGAGGGCCTTCTCGGTAGTGGCGCCCACCCTGTGGAACACCCTCCCTTCAGATGTGAAGGAAATAAGTAGCTATCCTATCTTTAAAAGACATCTGAAGGCAGCCCTGTTCAGGGAAGTTTTTAATATTTAATGCTGTATTGTTTTAATATTTGATTGGGAGCCGCCCAGTGTGGCTGGGGAGACTCAGCCAGATGGGCGGGGTATAAATAATAAATTATTATATTATTATTATTTTAAAGTTGGGGGAGATCTGTCAATTCTGCAAAACAACGACAGTGTGGAGTTGGCCCATGATGTCCCCTAATGGATAACCTTGAGGGCATTTTTGGAAGGGATGCAATGGGGATGGTTCAGAGGTTCAGCTCCCAAAATGTAGAGGGCTGGTATGGCAACTGATCCACCAAATTGCCTTTGGATTAGTTAAAGCTGTATAAACACCATATATTTAAAGCATCTGGCCATCCCCTAACGAATCCTGGGAACTGTACAGTCATACCTCGGGTTCAATATGCTTCGGGATGAATATTTTCGGGTTGTGCTCCGCGGCAACCCGGAAGTAACAGAGCGCGTTACTTCCAGGTTTTGCTGCTTGCACATTCGTAGATACTCAAAATGATGTCACACGCATGCGCGGAAGTGGTGAATGCACACAAAAACGCAGGTTGCGTTCACTTCAGGATGCAAACGGGGCTCCGGAATGGATCCCGTTCACATCCAGAGGTGCCACTGTAATTTATTAAGGGCCCTTGTAGTCAGAGCTCAGTGCAGGTTCAACTTCAGAACTCAGGATAATTGTGGGAGAAGTCATGAGCTTTAAATGTGCAGCCTGTGTACAGCCTAAGTCAAAAAAGAAAAATTGCCACCCACTGGTCACCTCATGTCATAGTAAAAACAAAAAACAAACCAATCTGAATGTTCAGAAACCCTTTGGTGGCCCATGTCTGCTCTTGATTCGCTAATTAAGTGAGCAGATGGGACCAATAATAATAATAATTTATTATTTATATCCCACCCATCCGGCTGGATTTCCCCAGCCACTCTGGGCGGCTTCCAACAGAACACTAAAATCCAATAACCTATTAAACATTAAAAGCTTCCCTAAACAGGGCTGCCTTCAAATGTCTTCTGAAAGTTTGGTAGTTGTTTTTCTCTTTGACATCTGGTGGGAGGGCATTCCACAGGGCAGGTGCCACTACCAAGAAGGCCCTCTGCCTGGTTCCCTGTAACTTGGCTTCTCGCAGCGAGGGAACCGCCAGAAGGCCCTTGGCGCTGGACCTCCGTGTCCAGGCAGAACAATGGAGGTGGAGATGCTTCTTCAGGTACACTGGACCGAGGCCGTTTGGGGCTTTAAAGGTCAGCACCAACACTTTGAATTGTGCTCGGAAATGTACTGGGAGCCAGTGTAGGTCTTTCAAGACCGATGTTATATGGTCCAATAACCCAGGCAGCAAGCTCAGCCCAGAGGCTTCCTTTGTGGTCAGAGAAAGCCACTTCCGGCCTGCCCCGGAGGTGGGGTTGCGGGCTTCACGCCCACCCCCCACGTGAGCGGGGGCTGGTTTCAGCCCCCGTGAGAGCAGGGGAATCCCGGCCGTGTCTGCCCTATTTAGGGCCGGCGCAGAGGGGGCTCACCCTCTTTTCGCCAGCTAGCCCCCACGTTCCAAATTTACCCCTAGGGTTAACAATGACATCACAGATGCTCAGGCGCAGCAAAGTGCCACAGCCATTCTGGGAGCACCTTTGGAGCCTTGGGAACGTGATGTCCTGAAGGGAGTATTAGCTTCAGGAGCCCCGTCCACGCTTAGATCTTATAAAAAGGCTTGGTTGGACTTTATGGAGTTCCAAGGCAAATTTATAATAAATTAATAATAATAATAATAATAATAATAATAATAATAATAATAATAATAAATAATGAATGAATGAATGAATGAATGCTAGGCTTGACACACCTCAAGGCAAAGTAGAAAATCCTAGGCTTGACACACCACCTACCAAGGCTGAAGCTCTGCAATACTTGGTACATTGGAGGGTGCTGGGTCGTGCAGCAAAGACTCTTAAACATCCAGTAGGCGGCAATCTCCCTTTTTCTGTAAGGTTGTTTAATCCATAGACCCTGGTGTGGACTTCTTAGTGTGAAGGGCACCGTAGGGCTGCTGTTCAGGGAAGTTTAGTAATGTGTGATATTTTAGTGTATTTCTGGTTTCTATGGAAGCCGTCCAGAGTGGCTGGGGAAACACAGCCAGATGGGCGGGGTACAAATAATAAATTATTATTGTTGTTGTTGTTGTTGTTGTTGTTGTTGTTGTTGTAGGGCTGGCGCAGGCTGCAGCCTCCTAAAAGTGATGGTAGAAGGCCCTTATGACATTCTATGCCAATTCCAAAATAAATAAATAATTAAATAAAATTAAAATAATAATAATAATAAAATAAAATAAGAAGTATCTGTTGGTCCGAGGACAAGGCCCGGTTATTTTCAGCTGCATACTCCATTGCCTTTGGCGCTATGCGCATTAGCGAAGTGGTTTGTAAGGGCCAACCAGAATCCGCTGCCCGGGGTTAGTTTGAGAGACCTGACCTTGTTCAGATCCAATTTAGTCCTGCATGTCCAATGTTCCAAAACCGATCAGCAGAAAAGGACACTAAACATTTCATGTACGTGAGACCAACCGTCTCAGGTCTACTCCTTATACATTTGGATGGCTCCCGCCTTGCACGGCATCAGTCCACGCGCATTATGTGAAGGGAGATTGCTGCCTGCAGTTTATCCTCAGCTGAATTCGCGGCTAACTCCTTTAGGATTGGGGCCGCCACCACAGCACTGCATTTGGGACTCTCAGCTGAAAGGATGAAGGACTTGGGGGCAGTGGAAGTCTGATGCATTTAAGGGATATATTCGTAAGACCTTGTGATTGTTCACAGTATACTTGACCTGGCTTCGTTACCTTCTTTTGCTTTCAGGTGACGTTATGGTGCACATTTGGATTATAGGCCCTGCACTGTCCACTGGGATAGAAACCATGCCATTAACGGGGACCCTAGGGTGAAGGAGCTATGAGGGCGCGCATCTGGATAATCGGGCACAGCATTGTGCATTGGGCCAGGGTCCGCGCCATCAATTCCGGTCTCGGGCCGCACCTTAACTACATCAATATATCTTGGATCTATCGGAGGGGAATGCGCTGGGCCGAAATGTGGCCCGCAATTAGGGCCAGAGCGGCAGCGGAGGGCCCCCCAGATTCAGTTATCCAATTAGGCGAAAAGGATTTAGCTTACAGAAAGGCAGTCGACTTGATGTGGCATCTCTTTAGTGACCTTGAGGAACTTAAGGCCTCTTATCCAAACATCACCATTCTTTGGGCCTTGTTGATGGAAAGCCAGGTTTGGAGAGAGAGCAGGTGCCCGATAGCCATAAATAGGGCTAGGAAAGCCTTGGATCGGGCGGTGGTGCGTAGAGTGGCAGCCCGGGGTGGGTGGGTCATTGACCACCCGGGCAACTGCAAGGCCTCTACTGGCTGGATGGCGTGCATCTTTCGGATGCGGGAAATGATATTTGGCTGATGGCGTGCATCTTTCAGATGCGGGAAATGACATGTGGCTTACTGATATAGCAAAGGGGGTAAGGGATTGGTTTCAGGCATGAGAGTATTGGCGGCGAGCGATTGCTCGTGTGGCGGTAGGCATTGGTAAGAAGGGGTTAAGAGGATGTGGGGGGGGGAGGAACGCCATCACCTCCCCCCAGTGAGCGAAGGGTGGTCCGTTAAAGGACTCCGGGGGGCGTGGCCCTGTCTGAAGCCTATGGAGGTGTGGGCCAAAGGCACGCCCCCGAGCGATGACCCAGGGGAGCTCCTAGTCGACGTGCCTCGGCGGGAGACTCCCCCGATATAGTGTTAACCCTTCCCTGTGTCTCCAGCAAATGGGCTGGAGCCGGATAGTTGTTAGGACCAGTGCCTAAGCCAATGCCTCTCATTCCTGAATTCAATAAAGTTGTGGCCTAATTCGCCCATTTAACCTTAAACCATGGTGTCTCGTGTCTTTATTTATCCTGGTGGGGGGCGGGAACTCGCCACGCAACCAGTCCCTGGGTATTCCCACATTGAATTCCCATGCGTGGAGGAATGCCAGCCCACAATGGTGCCCACCAGATAGGGTGAGGGGACTTCTCCCTCTTCTATGAAATGAGGATATTGAATTAATGCAGTTGGAACGCAATCATTGCATAAATAACATTCAGAGAATAATGGAAGTTCCTCTCTGGGAAAGTTCTAAACATTTTCTGTGTCCTTACCATTGCCTGCACATGCCCAAAAGCATTCATATTCCTCATTGAAGTTATTTCTGTTCCCTGCACAGCCAGTGTAGTTGAACGGCTTGCAGGTTCTGCTCCTGTCATCGTAGTAAAAGCGAGGAAAAGCACTGTGGCAGTCTCCCATGTCTAGGGGTTGGTCACAGTAATCAAGAAGAAACTCTGATATTGCAGGGGCAGAGAAGGACAGAAACAAGGTTCATATTTATTACTTGGTTCTTTGAAGGAAATAGAGTTTTAAGGTGTCATACTTGTGGTTGCAACCAAAGGCACCAACTTGCCCCCATGTCGTGGGGCACACCACTGGGCAGGGCTGGGCAGGCGTCCCACCGCCACGATGCCGGCCCTCGCACGCTGGGTGGGTATTGGGGAGTGTGGAGCTGGGCCACCTCCTCCCCACGTGACATTGATGGGGAGGTGGGGTGGAGCCACAGGATTTTGGGGGAGTTCAGACCCCTCCTTGAAAAAAATGGCAGGGGTCTGAAGACCCCCCAGCCCCCACCACTTGGACGCCTGGTTGCAACACCTGAGTTTATCTCAGTGACAATTATGAAAACTCTGCCCTGGGATTCAAGAGTCACATTGACAAGAGTGGAAATGTGGACAACAGAAGAAAGAGACCAGTTGGGACTCATTACATTTACTTATAAATGCATTATAGCACTGTGAAAATTTATTGAAATTGGAACTCTATGAAATTTTCCATTGTGAGCTTTAAAACGGTTTCTTTTCATAGCATTTTCAGAGTGTTTTTTTATAGCTGTGTAGATGCAGTCTGTGTAGATAGGATGAGATTATGGTTTCTGAGATTCCTTAAGACATATTTAGCATACTATGACAGAAAATTCACCAACAGCCTCTGAGTTGGTGCAGCCTTTCATAGAAAGTAACAGCTTAGTAGTATAGATACGGCAAAGGAGACATGAAAAAACAGGCTGCAGAACTGAAGAAATGGAGTGGAAGGCAGAATGCATACGAAGGTCAGAAGGAGAATGCCATGGATCCCTCCTTTACTTGGTCCTTACCTTTAAGTATGTCAGGATTTATCAGGTATTCAGGTATTTCTGTTATAAGGAGAAGAAGAACCATGTTAACCAAATGGCAGAGACTGGAGACCATTTTTATGCTGAAAGTTACAATTGCTACGGAGCAATCTAGAGCAACTCTAGTTATGGTTCTGTTCTTGAAAAAGCACTATGCTAAGGACTTACTACAGCTCAGTTTAGCATCCATTAATGATCGGTAGGCTGTCTTGTCCTTTCCCATGAATATGCACATAAATTAACATCCTCCCTTTATCTATGTGCCAGTGGAGTTTAGGTGAAACGGAATCAGATTAGATGCAGTAATTAGATACACCAATGTGGCAGGAGAGGATGGCAAGTGTGGTGGGAAAATTCAAGGACAATAAAAGATACTTGTTTATAACTACTGCATTTTTCCATGTATAATACTATATTTACCCCCAATTTTTTTAAGTTTAAAATTAGGGGTCACCTTATACACAGAACGTTGCAATTATTTACAGATATTTCTTATCGATAACAATTTTTGGTATGGCGCAATCAAACCTTTATTTTGGAAGTGTGGCACAGAGCAATAAGTTTGAGAACCACTGTCCCAAGGGATACTCTCCCTAAGGCTGCATCTACACAGTTATTAAAAAACGCTGGGGGGGGGGAGTTTCAAAGCTCACAATGAAAAATATCATCGAGTTCAGATTTCAGCTCTACAGCAGCATCTGGTGTCGCAGTGTTTTAACACAATCATAATGTGGTTGTTGTTGTTTTTTACTAATGTAACTGAGTCCCTAGTCTGATATGTTTCAGATTGCCAGCACAGTGGAACCTCCATTCCTGAACGCCTCCACTATTGTACGTTTTGGCTCCTTAACGCCGAAAAGTAAATGCTTCTGTTTTCAAACATTTTTCAGAACCTGAACGTGCGATGTGGCTTCCACTGAGTGCAAGAAGCTCTTGCAAACAATGGGAAGCTGCGCCTCGGTTTTCAAACGTTTCGGAAGCCAAATGGGCTTCCAGAACAGATTACATTCGAGAACCGAGCTGCCACTGTACAGAACCCTTTGTTCAGCTATGCATTCAGGTGACTTTTGTCACTGTTCTCAAATGATAACATTAAAAAAACAAAATTCTGCCCCCTTTCCCTTTTTTCCCTTAGTGCTATACAAGATTTTCTTTCACTTTGAAGCCTGCACACTTTCCCTGCTCTAGCACCAAGCTTTCGCACTCTAGTGTCAAATGTTGCATTTCTTCTGACTTTTTTCAAATCAGCAATGCTTACCCCATTAGTACCAAAGCTACCCCACTCCCCCCGTGTTTATAGGGCAATATGCTGCTTTAGTGGAGCTGCAATGCCACTAGAGAATGCATAAAGTTAAGCAAAAAGTTGATTGAAAAAAAGACAAAAAGTGGCTCATTCTTACCATACTTTTCACACTCCTCGTAGCATTCCCTGAAAGAATGGAAATTGTTCTCGTTGCTTCCACATCCACTAAATATGAACATGAAACATCTCTTCAACTTGACATTGTAATAATAGCGTAGCACACTAGATTGGCAATTTCCGAATGTAAATGGCCGCTTGCATTTTAGAGGTAGCTCTGGAGGAGGAGGAAAGGGGGATGTGGAAAGCTCACACATATATAAGCTTTTCTACCATAGTAGATGTAAATCCTATTTCAAAGTCCTGCAGTTCAAACTGCTGAGATTATCTGTTCCAAGTGGGCAATGACTGGAACCCTGGAGTGGCATGCAGGAATGTCGGGTGTTGAAAAAGACCCCATCCATCTCCCAGCCCCTTTGACCCCAAGATTCTGTATCAGGGGTGCCAACATGAATAAAACATTGGGGGAGGCCAAGGTAAGTCCTGCCCCCTACTGGATCCCTACCAATCCAAATGGAAAGCTACACTGCATGGAAAGCTAAGAGGCTTGGGGTTTTCCCCACAGGCCCTGATAGCTGTAGGTTATGAGAAAGCTAGAGCAATAATCCACCAACGAATTTGGGATGTGGAACTGCAATGCCACGTGAGCGAGATGAATAAACACCCGGCAATAAAAGATAATGGGAGAGGATTTACCCCAGCAAATTATTTGTCAAAATTACAAATACCCAAATACAGACGGTCATTTACCCTCACTAGATTCAACGTGCTGCCATCTGCCTTATTGCAGGGCAGATTCGAGGGTAAACCATATGTGAAATAAGTCTGTCCCTGCGGCTTGATAGAGGTAGAAACTGTCTCTCATGTCTTGTTACGCTGCCGTTTCTATGGGGATATACACTCGGTATTTATCACTCCTGTTATACAAAAATCTCCAAATGGGTCCGAACTTCAATGTCTAAAACAAGAGGACAAGGTAGAGGACAAGAATCTAGAGATTACGCTAAGGGTGGCCAAATTCTGTGCAACTGCCATAAAACTTAGGGAACAAGATGTACTACCAAAATGATTAAGGTTTTAAATGACAATTTTAGGTTATATTTTAGTCATCAAGATTTAATATATATTTTTAACTGCCGCTATATCTGAATTGCCTCTGTTATACCCAAATGCAATTCAATGTATTCCTGTTGTGTTTTATGATTTTCCTGATATTGTAAGTGAGCCAGAACTGGTCTGTGACCGTAATAATAAAGTCCTGCCCCACATAATCAAAAGACTTGGCACACAGAGACCATTTGAATGGAAATGCCCATCAATTTTGGGGGGCCTGGATTTCATGGTTTGCATATCCTATGTTCAGGATGTGTAAACCATGAAATGCCCTCGTAGGGTTCCCTTCTCTGCTCCCAAGTCCCACAAAGTGGCAGACTGAGGCAGTCCCTTCTCATCATCTTGCTGCTTATGTCCTGTCTCTTTTGACTCTCATATTTAGAGGCATCTCCCCCACTCCATTTCTGAATCGCACTGCAAGCAGCCACAGGAACTCTTACCTTGTTTCCACCCAATTAGCCTGTGTACTTGAAGTGCTGTGAAAAGAACAAGGTGAAGAATCTTACCGTACAGCACATTTGATGTGAGTGTGAAACAGCTTAGATACAGAGTTTTACGGGGAAATGAAAAACGGACCATTGGACAGCTGATACAAGTAGCTAGAGGTTAATTCAGGAACTGCTCTTCCCCATCCGGTTCTTAATTAAACATTGTACCATCTCAGGCACAGGCAAACTCGATATTTTGGGACTACAACTCCCACCATCCCTATGCCTGTACTATCTCCATTAAACGTTACTATAGACTCTTTCCATCACCTTCCCAAAGTTGGGCAAGCATTAGGTAGGCTTTGGGAAGGATCTGGGAGGACTCTAGGACCCTGTCAGCCACAGCCCTCATGCCCCCTTCGCAAAGCAAGTTAGGCTTTGGGAAGGAGGTGGGTAGACGGCCTCTCAGCTCAGTTCACCATGTGCCGGGAAACTGGTCACACTGCTCTAAAAACACCTCTGCTAATGGCACAGCCAATAATCCAAGAGGTAGGTGGGCTTCAGCTTCCCCATCCGTAATCTGCTTTCACTTCTAATTGTTTTATTTATTTAGAGATTACTGTAAGAACTAAGGGCAGGAATGCTTACATCCCCCCCCCTTATTACAGGGTTAACACCTCCCTAGGCAGCTTACAAGAATTTTGGGGTCCCCACTGAAGTTGAATTTGTGGGCCATGGGAGTCTGTAGGGGAAGGGTGTGGAAAGATGGGGTCACTATATGTTGCTGGACAACAACTCCTATTAACATCTCTTTTTTTAAAAAGTGATGCAGCAGAACACCTCCAGCAGCAGAGAATCAATTCAGTACAACACTCCCTAGAAACACAAGGGCAACTTATAAAAAGATTTTCACTTCAAACATTTGGTTGTTTTTAAGGTTTAGGGGAAAGGAGGGGGTATTAAAATTGTCCTTACCAGACGGGTGACACTCAAAAACACATTGGTATAAATCTAGGAAGTTGTTTCCATTGCCTCCGCAACCACTGTAAATGAATTCCCTGCACATTTTGCTCTTAACATCGTAGTAAAAATGTGTAAGGAAGGTCTTGCATTTTCCATAATCCGGAGTGAGTGTGCATTTTTTAGGTATAGTTCCTGGAGGAAGGATGGGAAGAGGAACAGCCACAGGTACCATATATGTTAGCTCATCTTATGAAGCACAGAAGATAATACCATTTGAAGACATTTGTTAACCCGACATCTGATATCTTCTCTACCAAGTAGCCAAAGATGGAGCCTACACATTGGGACCCAAGAGGCATACACATTAAAGAGCCCAATCTGGAGTCCAGTTGTAGAGTTCAGTGGTGGTTTTTCCCCATAGCCTTTAAGAAGACTGCAGCACTTAAGAATAATCAATTCAGTGAATGTCGTTGGGGTCACACTGACAACGAAGCTGTTGCACACACACGCGCACACACACACACACACCCGAGGCACTAAAGGCAGCAGATTCCCGCATGGAATGTATTAGTTGCTGTCGAATGCAGTGCATCCATAATTCTCAAGTCAAATGTAGAATCAGCTGCGACTTTGAGCAAAGTTTGCTATTGTAATCCAAACTGAGATCATGAAATAATTTATATTTCCTACCCCATGGGATGCTAGCCCAAGGGCTTTTTAGCCATATTGATTTCATTTTCTTTTAGTGTTAAGAATGTCTCTCCAAAAGCCAAAGAAGGTGATGCTTTCGAACTGGAGCTGGAATTTTTTCCTAGAAAGGGCACTATCAGCTCATGTGATGTTGCCTGTGTAGACACTATCTGTGTAAAGCAAATTGTGTTCTTCAAAGAATCCTGGGAACAGTAGTTTGTTCTGGGTGCTGTGAATTGTAGCTCTGTGGGCACTGTAGGCCTTGGGGTAGGAGGGATCCATGTGCCTTAAGTGTACAGTGGTACCTCGCAAGACGAATGCCTCGCAAGACAAAAAACTCGCCTGACGAAAGGGTTTTTTGTTTTTTGAGCTGCTTCGCAAGACGATTTTCCCTATGGGCTTGCTTCGCAAGACGGAAACGTCTTGCAAGTTTGTTTCCTTTTTCTTAACACCGTTAATACAGTTGCGACTTGACTTCGAGGAGCACCTCATAGACCGCGGTGTGGTAGCCTTTTTTGAGGTTTTTTAAGACTTTGGTGATTTCTGAAGCTTTTCCAAAACTTTCCCGACACCGTGCTTCGCAAGACGAAAAAAATCGCAAGACGACAAAACTCGCGGAACGAATTAATTTCGTCTTGCGAGGCACCACTGTATGGTGTAGAGGCAGCCATTGTTTCCAAGGGGGAGGGAAAATACGGGTTCTCCAATGTCATTATTTTTGTATAGCATTGTTTCCTGAGACGTTTCTGGATTTGTTCAACAGGAACTGCGCTTCCAAATCTCTGTTGCTTTTACCTTTAAGAAGTTATCGACTATAAAGAAGGAAAAGATTTAAAATCCCAGTGAACACTTCCTATTACTGTAGATTTATGTGTCAAGAGACTTCCAAACTTGAATTTTAAAAACTGGATTTGTAACAAAGAAGGGTATGCCTCCCATTATCACTAGTTACAGGGCAGGCTCAAACTATTATACCACTTTAAACATTCATGGCTTCCCCAAATTACATTGGGAACTGTAGTTTATTAGGAATGATGAGACTTGTTAGGAGACCCCAAGCCCCCTCCCACAGCAACAATTCCCAAATTTGCCGGGAAGAAGCCTTGGCTCTTAAACCACTTTGTACATTGAGGAGAAGGGGGTCTCCTAACAATTCTCAGCCTGCTGACCAAGTTACATTTCCCAGGGATCTTTCGTAGTTTAAAGGGGAATAATACTGCTTTAGAGGTAGAGCACAGATGGGACCCTATGTATTCATCAGGGTGAAAGTGTAGAGGCAAGGATACAGGCAGGCTGAACAAAAGGTGAAAAAGCAGAACATTTCTCTGAGTCTCCCAGAGTCAATGGTGACTTACACATGCCAGAGAACTGTCGCCATGATGACGCCCAATGCCCAACCTGCCCAATCCCGTCCAATCTGCAGGGGATTCCTAACTTGCAGAGAGGCCTGGCATATTGCACACTTGATGCATAGAAGGGCCAGAAGGCTTACCTGCTGAACGGAAAAAACCCTGCACCTTAGAACAAGGTGCCACTATCCCCATGATAATGACCAGGAGTGTAGTGCTATTGCACTGCATGTTGATGTGAATATTCAGTGCTGAGAGGAACCTCCTTAATATAGTATTCAATAGTGATGTGGAGGGAGATAACCACCTGGACAATGAACATCATTTTTTAATAGGTAGGGACACTCTGAGGCACCTGTGCTCAGATCAAGGTAATCTCCTGCTTGCAAATGAGGACTGCTCTGAACTAGGGACATAGAGGAACTATCTATCAGGTCAATCAGCATAAACTTGGCATTGCCAGAAAGAGTTCTGTTTCCATTAGATGGTGATACAAACCCACTCTGCTGCCTCCTCCTTCTCTAGGCACCTGTACTTCCTGGCACCTGATGACAAACAACAAGGGATTGTTGGGGGCAGGTAAAGTCATGCCTTCCGACATTGTTGGGTAGAATTCCTAAGGCATTTTGGGAGCAGGCACTCTTTTGTCACCTTGCCCTGCAATGCTTCGTGTGGATGCCCTGTGCGCTGGGCATGCGTGCCTGGTTGAATGCAGAAACAGTGGGGTTTTGTGTACTTGCTTCATTCATAGTCGAAGTCACTAGTGGCAAGGATGAAGAATCCCAGTCCTTTTTGTGGGGACACAGGTGAGGCCTGATATTTTGCCCAAGGGCAGGAAGGGAGATGATACCTCCCTGAATTACTGCTTGGACTAATTTGATCTGCTTGATTGGTTCAGTTATTTGATTATGCAGATCCCCTGAGTTCTTGTTGCTATATTTAAACAAATACAACCTTTTCCCATTACAAGGTGTGCTTTGAGTTTGCTTTGAGGGTGTGATGGCAAATGGTGTGTTGGCATTTCAATGTGCAGAGAGGACAGATTAACTGCTTGTGTGATCTGCTTCTTCTTCAGGGAGTGAAACCCAGTTGAGATGATGGTCCTGGGACCTTTGTCAAGGGGCAGTGCTGAAGTCCCCTTCTTTACTTGAGTCTTTCCTTAGGCAGACTAAGGTCTTATCCACACTTCTTCTTTCCCAGCTGCTTTCCTCTGGGGGAAACCACTCTTTAGCACTCAATAGGAGCAAACAGCGGGTGGTGCTGTGGGTTAAACCACAGAGCCTAGGGCTTGCCGATCAGAAGGTCAGTGGTTCGAATCCTCGCAACGGGGTGAGCTCTCATTGCTCAGTCCCGGCTCCTGCCAACCTAGCAGTTCGAAAGCACGTCAAAGTGCAAGTAGATAAATAGGTACCGCTTTGGCGGGAAGGTAAACGGCGTTTCCATGTGCTACTCTGGTTTGACAGAAGCGGCTTAGTCATGCTGTCCACATGACCTGGAAGCTGTATGCTGGCTCCCTCAGCCAATAAAGAAAGATGAGCACCGCAACCCCAGAGTCGTCCGTGACTGGACCTAATGGTCAGGGGTCCCTTTACCTTTACCTAGGAGCAACCAGCAATTTGGGGTTTCTCCGGATTGACTTTTGCTCCAATTTAGCACTAAAGAGAGGGTTTTCTCAGGGATAGGAGCAGAACAAAGGGAAAACTGCTCAGACCCATTCTTTCTAGGCACAAGAGAAGCAGAAGTGTGGATGAGCCTTTAGCAAAACACTAATATATATGGAAACGGTTCTCAGTTTTACTACAGCAAAGTGATTTCTCTTGCCCTGAGAATATTTCTTGGCAAATTTGACTTATGGTGGAGAAATCTTGGAACTAGCTATGTCAATGGTAAACTGTTCAAAACAAAATTCTCAAAATACTTCTTGGTTTATCCACCTCTGTTCTGGAGCTTTCCCTGTGAAAACCTGCTCTTTAAAGCTCAGTCAGAGCAAATGTCAATCCACGGAAAGCCCAAATTAATGTTTGCTCCAATGGAGCACTAAAGTACAGGTTTTCAGGGGGAAAGCTCAGAGCAATTTACACCCCCCCCCCCCGGCTTAGGTACAGAGCTTTTAAACACTGACCTGTGCCTGGAAAGAGCAAGGCAAAAGTTAAGTGCAGATGAGCCCTGGGACTATCCCAGTACAGTTTTATAATTTTATGGCTTCGCTTATGTACTATTTTGAACTTCTTAATATGGAGAATTTTGGAATTCTTGTGGAAGGTTTTATGGAGCAGCTACAATCATATAGGGAGACTACTTGGTTAGCAAATTGTTAGTTTTTGATATAATTCCTCAGGTTCTTACAAAGTGGACCCTATATCAGATTCAAAGATATATAAGGAATTAGCTGGGAGATTTCTATCCCCAACAAAGCCCACACGTGCTGTGCTATCAACTCATAGTTTCCATCAATCCCCTCCTAGCAGCTCTTTCCATTTAACTAATCTGGACTCACCTCTCACATTGGAGGCAGATAGATAACTCCATATTAAGGTAAAACCTCTTTTTGATTGGGAGTTGCTACCCTGCTTCAAATAATCTTGCCCTGGTTTAAAAGTTCATCACTTCTTATTCTCCCCACATTCACACTAAGGATGTGTGGATTTTAAGACATTTGGGATAATAATAATAATACTCAAGAAACAGAGCCTGCAGGATGAAGAAGAAGAACATGTGAGTTTATTGGCAAGCATGCAAGAATGAAGCCTTTAGATGAAGGCATCGTTTTTTGGGAATGTGCATCCTGGTTTCCTCTGGTGCCGTTGTTCCAAAGGACCCAATGAGATGGTAATGAATCTGAAAATAGAAGAGGCCAAGCCCTGCACAAAGACTCAATGTGAACTTGAAGAAAGAAGAGGTAAAGGTAAAGGGAACCCTGACCATTAGGTCCAGTCGTGGACGACTCTGGGGTTGCAGCGCTCATCTCGCTTTACTGGCCGAGGGAGCCGGCGTACAGCTTCCGGGTCATGTGGCCAGCATGACTAAGCCGCTTCTGGCGAACCAGAGCAGCGCACGGAAACGCCGTTTACCTTCCCGCCGGAGGGGTACCTATTCATCTACTTGAACTTTGACGTGCTTTCGAACTGCTAGGTTGGCAGGAGCAGGGACCAAGCAATGGGAGCTCACCCCGTCGCAGGGATTCGAACCGCCGACCTTCTGATCAGCAAGTCATACGCTCTGTGGTTTAACCCACAGCGCCACCCGCGTCCCAAAGAAGAGGTAGGTAGGAACAATTAAATGTGGTGGTGCAGCCAAGACCTATTTCCACCGAGATGAAACTATACTTTGGGGGGCTGTTTAGTTTGTGGGGATGCTGAGTTGGGGGGCGCACGACACAAGTTTATAAAATTAGGCATAGTGGAAAGAAAAGGGGGCAGATGTCACATACACAAGCCACCCACTATTTCTCCTCCTACTTCTCCAATTGAAGGCAGGGGGTGGGGGAGCAAAATGAGATTATAGAAAAGGACTCACTGTTGCTTGCTTGCTGGCTCTCCCTCTAGCAAGGTCAGATATCAGATGCTAAACGAAAGAAAGGAAAAATTCCTTAAGGTCAAGGAATACTCTCTCTTGCTCCCCTGCTTGTCTTTGAGGAGATCTGCCATTCAGCAACACAGCTCTGAGCACGCTCACAACCAATGAGGTACAGCCACAAACACACAGAGGGATGCTGTGGCAACTGAACCACCAAATCGCCTTTGGATTAATTAAAGCTACGTCATATATTTAAAGCGCAAGGGCTCCTCTAATGAATCCTGGGGACTGTAGTTTATAAAGGGCCCTTGGAAATTAGAGCTCTCTGAGGGTTCACCCTTCACTACCCAGGAGTTTTGGGTGGGGAGGTGGGGAGTCATGATGTATAGCATGTGCACAGCATAAGTCAAAAAATAAAGACTGCCACCCTATGGTCACCTCACTTCAAAGAAGAAGAAGAAATCTGAATGTTCACGCAACCTCAATTACGTGTATTTGCTCCTCAATTAAGGCCATAGATTTACAGGTACATGTATGCGGCTACTTGAAATTTTTAGCTAGCATAACCACTCAAGACTGTAATAATAATAATAATATAATAATAATTTATTATTTATACCCCGCCCATCTGGCTGAGTTTCCCCAGCCACTCTGGACGGCTTCCAATCAAGTGTTAAAAACAATACAGCATTAAATATTAAAAACTTCCCTAAACAGGGCTGCCTTCAGATGTCTTTTAAAGATAAGATAGTTACTTATTTCCTTCACATCTGAAGGGAGGGCGTTCCACAGGGCGGGCGCCACTACCGAGAAGGCCCTATGTCTGGTTCCCTGTAACCTCACTTCTCGCAATGAGGGAACCGCCAGAAGGCCCTCGGAGCTGGATCTCAGTGTCCGGGCTGAACGATGAGGGTAGAGACACTCCTTCAGGTATACAGGACCTTGTGTGGAATGTACTGATATGAGTGCCACGGATCACTATGGAATTGTACATTACCAACGTGTGACATGCCTTGGCACATTACCAGGTGATTCTACTAATCTTTGTGGGGAGACGGGTGGCGCTATGGTCTAAACAACTGAACCTCTTGGGCTTGCTGATTGGAGAGCTGGTGGTTTGAGCCCACATGATGGGGTGCACTCCCATTGCTCTGTCTCAGCTTCTGCCAACCTAGCAGTTCGAAAGCATGCCAGCGCAAGGAGATAAATAGATACTACTGCAGTAGGAACGTAAATGGCATTTCCATGTGCTCTGGCACTCATCACAGTCTTCCATGCACCAGAAGCGGTTTAGTCATGCTGGCCACGTGACCCGGAAAGCTGTCGGTGGGCAAAGGCCAGCTCCCTCAGCCTGAAAAGTGAGATGAGCACCGTACCCCATAGTCACCTTTGACTGGAGTTAACCGTTCAGGGGTCCTTTACCTTTTTACTAATTTTCAGAAACTTTTCAAAAATTGATTATTCATTGCAATTCTGGGCAGACAGATTCTTTTGTCATATTGGCCAAGAGGAACAGTGCTCATCTAGCTTTCTGGTGAAATAGTAAAGGGTAAAGGGACCCCTGACCATTAGGTCCAGTCGCGGACGACTCTGGGGTTGCGGCACTCATCTCGCTTTATTGGCCGAGGGAGCCGGTGTACAGCTTCCGGGTCATGTGGCCAGCATGACCAAACCACTTCTGGCGAACCAGAGCAGTGCACGGAAACGTCGTTTACCTTCCCACCGGAGTGGTACCTATTTATCTACTTGCACTTTGATGTGCTTTCAAACTGCTAGGTTGGCAGGAACAGGGACCAAGCAACAGGAGCTCACCTGTCATGGAGACTTGAACCACCGATCTGATCAGCAAGCCCTAGGCTCTGTGGTTTAACCCACAGTGCCACCCATGTCCCTAGTAGCTGAAACAGTAGGTGAAAGAGTAGCTTGCAGCAAAAAGATACCATCTTTCTGGCAACTGCCAACCATTTTGTGGGTTGTTGTTGTTGCTTTTCCTTCCTCCACCACCAAATCCTTTGACATTTTTTCAATAAAATGCATCAAACAGAATGCACCTTTCGCTACCTTAATCCACAACTCAAAGGCTATTCCAAGAAACAGAGCTTCTCCCTCTCCTATGAAATGAGGATGTTGAATTGATGCAGTTGGAACACAATCATTGCATAAATAACATTCAGAGAATAATGAAAGTTCTAAGTTCTAAACATTTCTGTGCCCTTACCATCGGCTGCACATGCCCAAAGGCATTCATTTTCTGTCTCAAAGTTATTCCTGTTCCCTGCACAGCCACCGTAATTGAACGGCTTACAGGTCCTGCTACTGTAATCGTAGTAAAAGCGAGGTAAGTCCTTGTTGCAGCATCCCACGTCTAGGGGTTGGTCACAATAATCACGCAGAAAGTCTGATATTGCGGGGGGGGGGGGGAGAGAAGGACAAAAACAAGGTTCATATCTGTTACTTCATTTCTTGAAGAAAACAGAATTTGAAGGTTTCCTGCTTGTGGTTGCAACACCTGAGATGATCTCAGTGACAATTATGAGAACTCTGCCCTGGGATCCAACAGCCACGTTGACAAGAGTGGAAAAAGCACAGATGAAAGAGACCAGTTGGACTTAAGTAGGATGAGGTTATGCCTTTTGAGATGCCTCAAGGTAGATTTAGTGTACTATCACAGAAAACGTACCAACAGCCTTTGATTTGGTGCAGCCAAGCTTCATAGAAAGAGACAGATCAAGATGTGAAATGAGAGTCTTGGGTTTCCTGCCTGTCCTTAACGCATTCTGAGGTAGTGGGGAGAGTGGGGCACTGCCTCACATCCCACCCTCTTTGCTTCAGGGACCCCCTTTCCCCTTCCATGCCCACCTTCTATGGTATAAGTAAGGGGAGTCTTGCTTGCTATGGTAGGTGAGGAAGCATGGTGGGCAAGGAGATCAGTAGAAGGACATAGCAATAGGGGCAGTAGGCTGCATACTCATACACGGCTTCAGATACTCTTCCACTGTCAATAAATAGACCCTTGAACCTAAGAGGAGAGAGGGAAGTAGGGGGTGTCCTAAGCTTCTTGGGCTGAGAGACCAATATGTAGTTTGGAGAAGAAAAGAGTGAAAACTTTTGGCTGAGAACTTTGAATTCAGAACTGAATGACACATGCAGAAGACAACTGTCCTCTTGGGACATTATCTTGTCCCTCCCTAATCAGTAAGTTGCGTGGCGAGTTCCTACCCTCCCCCAGTGGAAATAAAGACACATGACACAATTAAGTAAGGTTAATGGGAGCAATTGGAGGTGGCAAAAGAGGGAGATCCCCGGCCGCCCCTGCATTAAATTGGGCAGGCCACACACCCCGAGCCAGCTGATTGGCTGTCCAGGGGATGACGCGACCGGGGATTCCCTCAATCGCGCGGAGGCTGAGAGCTGAGAATTGTAGTCCCAAAGCAGCTGGAGGGCCGAGTTTGGCCATCACTGGCTTAGGGGCTGCAACGGATGCTTCTGGCCAGATCCCATGATGTATTGGGAGGAAACAAGCCCTTGGATCCTGGTGAAAACTGCTAAGAAGTAAAGACACAGTGAAGGAGGCCTTAAGGAACAAGCTGCATAAGAACTAAAGAAAGCCAGCAGGAGTGGAAGGCAAAATGCATATGAGAGTCAGAAGGAAAATGCTATGGAACTTTTACCTTTACTTGGCCCTTACCTTCAAGCTTGTCAGGATTTATCAGATGTTCGGGTGTTTCTGTTATAAGGAGAAGTAGAACCATGAGAGACCTTTTTCAGGCTGCAATTGCTCCTGAGCAATCTAGACTAACTCTTCACCCCAATTGTTTCTCCATTTGATCCTTTTGCATGGCTCTGTATGTTTTGTTGTATTTTATGCAATGCAACTTGCCATTGTTTTTATTGATTGTAACTTAGTCATTCTTTGCCATCTATTTTGTTGTTTCTTCGGCTTGTAAATTGCCTTGTGTTTAGTGATGCAGAAACATAATATACAAATTAGAAGTGAAATGAAATGGAACTCAGCTTGGGACCCATAAGGCTGCCTTGCCCTTTCCCATTAATCTCCATGTGCCAGTGGTGGAGCAGAATCAGGTTAGATACAGTACCTGGCACATAGTCTGATATGTTTCAGATGCCAGTACAAAACCCTTTGTTCAGCCAGGTGTTCAGGTGTCTTTTGTCAGTTTTCAAATTATAACATTAAAAAACAACAACAACTTTTCTTTTCTTAATGCTAGACTCAATTTTTTCCCCTTTGAAGCCAGCACTCTTTTTCTGCTCTAGCATCAAGCTTCCCCACTCTTGCATCAAACGCTACATTTCTGCTGATTTTCTAAATCAGAGAACTAATTTCCCCAACATGCTAACCTCTTAATACCAAAGCTCCCCCCCCCCGGCATGTCTATAGGGCAATATGATGCTGTAGTGGAGCTGCAATGCCACTAGAGCAGGCTTCCTCAAACTCGGCCCTCCAGATGTTTTGAGACTACAACTCCCATCATGCTGGGCTAACAGAACCAGTGGTCAGGGATGATGGGGATTGTAGTCCCAAAACATCTGGAGGGCCAAGTTTGGCCACCACTGCTTTAGATATTTGTGGGCTAAGGCTTTATGCACTAATGCAGGCTTCCTCAACCTCAGCCCTCCAGATATTTTGAGACTACAATTTCCATCATCCTTGACCACTGGTCCTGCTAGCTAGGGATCATGGGAGTTGTAAGCCAAAAACATCTGTAGGGCCGAGATTGAGGAAGCTTGCACTAGAGCATGCATAAAGTTAAGCAAAAAGTGCAAGTTCTTCGGGTTGATTGGGAAAAAAGATTAAAAGTGCTCATTCTTACCATACTTTTCACACTCCTCGTAGCATTCCCTGAAAGAATCAAAATTGTTCCCGTTGCTTCCACATCCACTATATATGAACACGAAACATCTCTTTCTCTCAGCATCGTAATAATAGCGCCGCTTACTTGCTTTGCAGTCTCCTAATATTAATGGCTGTTTGCATTTCGGAGGTGGGTCTGGAGGAGAAAAGCAGTATGTGGAAAGCTCACACATACCGCATTGGCCTGAATATAAGCCTGACTTTTTTCCCGATCGTGAAAAGTTAAAGTGCGGCTTAAATTCATGACCTTACAAAAACTGGCTTTTACTATATCACTGCTGAAAGAAGATATACGGTAAAATGGAACAGGTGTGAGTGCCTATATATAGGCAGCGGCTTATATTCGGGTTTTGTCTTTTTTACTCCCCCCCCGACTTTTAAAGGTGCTGCTTATATTCGGACCAATACAGTATATAAGCTCATCTAGGACTTGCCGATCAGAAGGTTGGCGGTTCGAATCCCCGTGACGGGGTGAGCTCCTGTTGTTTGGTCCGTGCTCCCGCCAACCTAGCAGTTCAAAAGCACGTCAAAGTGCAAGTAGATAAATAGGTACCGCTCCAGCGGGAAGGTAAACGGCGTTTCCGTGCACTGCTCTGGTTCGCCAGAAGCGGCTTAGTCATGCTGGCCACATGACCCGGAAGCTGTACGCCGGTTCCCTCGGCCAATAAAGCGAGATGAGCGCCGCAACCCCAGAGTCAGTCACGACTGGACCTAATGGCCAGGGGTCCCCTTACTTTTTACCATAGTAGATGTAAATCCTATTTCAAAGCCCTGCATCTATGATTCAAACTGCTGAGATTATCTCTTCCAAGTGAGCAATGACAGGAACCCTGGAGTGGTATGCAGTAGTGTCAGCTGTTGAAGAAGACCCCTCCAACAGAAGTAATTTCAATTAAAAGGATAAATATGGAAGGGAAATGGCTGACATATAGAGATCTGCTCCCTAGTCCCACAGAATAAAGTATCAGGCTGAAGCAGTTGCTGCTCATCATCTTGCAGCTAATGTCCTGTTTTTGACTGGCTTGCCTATCATATTGACAGGCTCCCCCACCCACCCACCTCCAACTCAATTTTTGAATCACAAGGCAGACAACCATAACAACTCTTACCTTGTATATCTGTTGTTGACCTGAACTTTATAAGTGCTGTGAAAAGGGCAAGAAGACAAATCTCACACATTTGATGTGAGTGTGAAACCACATTAATACAGAAGGCAACTTTTCAACAGATTTTCGCTTCAAACATTTGGTTGTTTTAAAGGTGTAAGGAAAAGGGGTGGGGGGATTAATTGTCCTTACCAAACTGTTGACACTTCAAAACACATTGGTAATAATATTGGAAGTTGTTTCCATTGCCTCCGCAACCACTGTAAATGAATTTCCTACACATGTTGCTCTTGGCATCATAGTAAAAATGTGGAAGGGATGAACTGCATTTTCCATACTTCGGAGTGAGTGTGCATTTTCTAGGCATAGTTTCTAGAGGAAGGACGAGAAGAGGAAATGTCACAAGTACAATATATGTCATCTCATCCTTTGAAACACAGGACATAATACCATTTGAAGACATTTGTGAACCTTACACCTGATATCATCTCTACCAAAGATGCAAGCTCCACAATGAGACCCTACAAAGAGTCCCATGGTGGTTTCATAAGAAAACTGGATCCATGTGCTTTTTATATCTGGTGTGGAGGGAGTCATTGTTTGCAATAGTATAGTAAAAATACATAAATGGGTCCTTACAGAGAGGCCTGGCATACTGCACACTTAATGCATTTAAGGACCAGAATTCTTACCTTCTGAACGGGGAAAGAAATACTGTGCCTTAGCGCAAGGTGCCAATAATCCCATGATGAGGACCAGGAATGCCGTGTTATTGCACTTCATGGTGGCTGCTGGATGTGAATGCTCAGTGCTGAGAGGAACCACTTTATATAGTATTCAATAGTGATGTGGAGGGGGATAATCATTTGAGCATTGAACACAATTTTCTAATAGGTAGGGACACTCTGAAGCACCTCTGCTTCGATCAAGGAAACGTCCTGTTCTTGAATGAGGACTGTTCTGAAATAGGCACATGGAGGAACTATCAGGTCAAGCAGAAATAACCTTGGCAAAGCCAGAAAGAGTTCTGTAGATGGTGATACAAACCCACTCTGCTGCCTCCTCCTTCTCTAGGCATCTGTACAGACTGATACCTGATGACAGACAACAGTGAAAGTCATATTCTCCAGCATTCTTGGGACCCAAATCAGGGGGCTTCTTTTTTGGCTGAGCTTTCTCACACGCTTGAGATTGCAAGACTTGTGGCTTTCATTCCGGCGCTCTAGTGCCACCCAGCTGACTCGTGACAGGCTGAGCGTCTTTTGGTCCAGCATTCTGTCTTGAGGACTCGTTCCAGAGTGCTGGACCAAAACTCAAGGCATTCCATGATCCAATCAGAAGCCAAGATTGTCTTCTGTGATTCCAAGATTAAAACAGGACAGTTGAGGCATATGGGTGAGGTCATCCCTTCAAATAAACCATTGGGATCCACAGTATGCACTCCTGGTTGTTCCCAGGGCCACTGTGAAAAAAGGCCACAGTGAAAAAAGATTTTTCGGGATCCCCAGTAAGGGCAGACTGGCTAGAAAAGGGATTTGTATTTATGTTCAAAAAATAAAATAATATGCCCTGCCCGGTATACAAATGAAACATGGACTAGGAAATCCACAAATAATTAACGACACTACTGAGAAAGACAAAAATATACGTAACATAGTCAGCCCCTGGGCTGTGTGATCAGCTGCTTCAAAAACCTCACAAATGTCCTGTACTCAACACAAGAAAACTAGCCAGGTGAGCTATTCTGGAACCATCTTGTACTTAAGGAAGGGATGTGGGTGGGAAAAGGAACAGAGTACAATGAGTTTATCCACAGCAAAGCACAATCCAACCCCACTGGCTATTATTGGGGTACTGGGAGATCTCTCAGGCTGTATCTCTAGAGGAGCGGCAGGCAAAACAGGACCGGCTTCTACAGGTTTGAACCTCTCTTGTTAACTCTCTGCTTACTCTGTGGCAGGATCTTGGCTTCTGCTTGCTTCTAAGAGTGTGTGGGTAAGCAAGAGCCGTACTCATTCCACACCTTCCACCAGCACTTGCTACAGTTTTGGAATTGTTCCACAGATTAGGGCAATTACACTGTGTGAAATAGTCCCAGTTAAAAATAAGAAGCTTTTTCCAGTGACAAGCTGTATTTCCCAGAATAGCTTGCAATTCATGACACAATAATGATTTCGATTATGATGAATTTCCCCATCACAAGTCTGTATCTGGGTAAACTTGTTGAATTAATACAGCCTACCTCAGCCTAGCAGACATTTTGAAGTGCAGCTTCCATCTGCCCTGACCAGTGGGAGTTGCAGTCCAACAACATTTGGAGGTCAGCAGCTTATAAGAAAGGGCACTTAACTTTTGCCTGGCACCTTCCCTGTCTGTGTTTGAGGGATGTTTCGTTTTGGGGTTTTTTCCTGGTTTTTTGTTTTGTTTTCTTTGCCCTGCTGCCCTAATATATATTTTTGTTCAAGTGTTTTTGTTTCAGTTTATACACAATGCAAGATGCAACATGATAGAGGTGTATAAAATTATGCTTGACACAGAGAAGAAGATGGACTGAGAAAAGTTTTCTCCCTTTCTCATAACACTGTAACAGCAAGTGTTGTGGGCATCCAACAAAGCCTCTTTACTGCAGTGGCTAGAAATTCAGCTTTAATTTATTGCTTAGAAAAACTGTCACGGTCTGGGTCACCAGCATTTTGAATGTGTTATAAACATGTAACACCAGATGGCACTGGAGAGCAAAAAATAAAATTATTTGTGATTTTCCATAGCGGTTTTTTGTTTTGTTTTGCTATAACCATTTAATTTCTGACTTATTTATAGCGGGTTTTCCCCTGTGTGTAGATCTGCCCTGTGATTTTGGGTTAGGCATAGAATATCTATCTATCTATCTATCAGCATATGACTGGCATTAAAGTTTAGAAGAAGAAACTCGCACTTTTAAAAACGATATTCCATGTATATGGCATAGGAGGCACCTTCGTCAAAGATGCAATCTATCCTATGAAAGAGTGAAAGGAGGCCTGCCTCTTCAAAGATGATGCCTAGTACTAGCTAGCATTTCATGCTGCCAAAGTCTCCTTTTTTAATTAATCATTCATTTTTATTCAGTTTAAAAAGTCTAATCATTGAAAGGATGAAACCCTACTTCTTTTTAGAAGGCTAATTTGTTGGCATAGTTTCTGCCAACGCCCTTAAACTGGTACCAGGGTAGATTCTGAAAGCTCTGGAGACTGAATATTCAGAACTGGAGAAAAGGCCCTTTCTGCTTGGGAGTTGCTGTCCTACTTTAAAAGACTCTCCCTCATTCTCCCCACTTTTGCCCCAGGGGTGCATGGACTTTCTAAAATGAAGACATCAATAATAATAGTAGTAACAGTAGTGGTAGTAGTAATAATGCCCAACAAATAGAGCCCACAGGATCTGGAAGAACAGGTGAATTTATTGGCAAGCAAGAAAGACATTCCAGCAGACTGATACAGCAGGATAAAAGGCATCCATCTTTAGAAGAAGCTGTGGGGGGAAAGGCTTCCTGGCTTCCTCTGGTGCCTTTATTCCGTAGGAGCAAATGATATGTTAATGAGTCTGAATAAAGTTCTGCACAAGGATTCAATGTTAACCTGAAGGAAGAAGCAAAATGTAGGGACAATCAAATTTAAAGGTGAGAGATGCCACTACGAGGAAATGTTTCTTTGAGGGCTTTAGGCAGGAAGCTCATGATCCAAGTTTATAAAATAATGTAAAGTGTGGTGAAACTAGGCAGAGAGAACGGTTTCTTGCTTTCACAAAACTAGAAAAACCAATAGGGCTGAATGGTGGGAGATTCAGGAACAGACAAGAGGAAGGACCTCTTTATACAGTTAATCTATGGAATTCACTACCCCAGGGGCTGGTGATGGCCACCAGCTTATAGAACAATCCAAACTATAGAGATGTGCCTTGTTTATCAGCTTCATTGTTGTTGTTTAGTCGTGTTCGACTCTTCGTGCCTATGGCATGCTCTGGTTTATCAGCTACATTGGCCTAAAAACTATTGCATTGAAACTCATCTAGCTGCGACTGGCTGAAAGTCCCCATACCTGGTGGAGGACAGAAGCTCACATCCACTGTATCTACAACAACATCACTGATATAACCCAAACCACACACACAGTCCATGTGCTATGCAGGAAGCTTCTGCCCAGCTCGGAGAGGAAGGCACAGTGCTCTGACAGGTCCAAGGGCCCTCTTGCCACTGTCCCAAAGCCTGCCCAGCTTTGGGAAGGAGGCAGAAGGGCTCCAGCTTCCTGTCAGCGGCCTGCCACCTCCTTCCCAAAGCCCAGGAAGCTTCTGCTCAGCTTCCGGAGGTACGATGTTCACACATGCGATGTTGCAACATCACGCACGGAATGTCACCCTCCCCATCGCCTTTGCAATCTGGAGCCTTTAGCCCTAACTGTTACCCTATGAAAAATTTCCCTTCATGCCACTGTTTCCCACCTTTTAAATCTGCAGAAGCTGTGGGTTCCTTCGCCATACAAGCCAAAGGATAACAGTGTTTATCTAGACCTCAGGTGAAAAGGTAGTTTGCAGCAAAGATACCACCTCTCCAGTAACCATATGCCATTTTGGGGGGTGCAAGGTATTGTTTGTTTGTTTTAAAAAGGCTCTCCACATTCCATTCTCCACTTCTGTCTTCTCCAGCATCAGAGTGCACCTGCTTCTACCTCAACCCATAACTCAAAGACTATCACCAGCAACAAGGCTTCCCCCTCTCCCATGAAGTAAGTATATTTATTGTACTACTGCAGTTGGAACAAGATCACTGCATAAACCATGTCAAGAGGTTCCTTAGGTTCTCTGGAAAAGTTGTAAAAATTCTGTATGCTTACCAGGGCCTCCACACTCCCGAAGGCATTCTGCTTCATTCATAAAGTTATTTCTGTTGCCATTGCAGCCACCAAATTGGAAAGGTATACACTTCTTGGTTTTGGCATCATAGTAAAAGCGAGGAAAGTTTTCATGGCATGGCCCTGTGTCTAATGGCTGTTGGCATGTGGGAAGCAAATAGTCTGGAATTTCAGAAGGGAGAGAAGGACAAAGACACCTATTATTTCATTGTTTGAACGACAAAGGAAAACAAAGTCTGAAGGGGTCATGTTGTGATCGCCACTCTTAAGACGATCTCAGTGACAATAATGACATCTCTGCCTTGAGATCCAGCAGTCATACTGATGGAGGGGTAAAATCATATACCAAAGGAGACTGGCTGAAACTAGCTAGGTGTGACTATGATTTATGTAGTTCCATAAGGCAGATTTAGCATGGTACCACGTCTACCGCCATTGGATGGACAGTTGAGTAGAGGAGCACAGCTGAGGCTGGAATGCTACTCTCATCCTCTGTCATCCCTACAAGAATTGCTTGAACTCCTGATTTCTGCTAGGCTGCGGTAGCTCCTGCTTAGCCCAGTGGGTCTAATGGTGGTAGACTTGGTGCTTATGGGCAGATGCTACTGTGTCTTGTGAGGACACAAGCCTTACTATCCTGGGAACAAGGTGGAAAGTCCCAAGTGATTTAGAAACATTAGAAAAGGACTTTAAAAAGGAGACTGCAATACTGAAGAAAGCCAGCACAAGGTACAGTGCATATGAGGGTCAGACGTGAAATGCCATGAGGCTCTTGCTTAGACTCAATCCTTACCTGGATTCACTTCAGGGTTTCTCAAATCTTGAGGTTTTCCTGTTATAATAAGGACAAGGAGTGCAATGTTACTATATGGCAGGGGTGAGAAACCTTTTTCTATCTGAAAGTTGCAACCCCTCATGGCAACCTTACATGGCCTGCAAGCTAGTGGTGGTAGGTTAGGACCAGGAGCTGCTCTTTTTTTTTTAATTGATTTTTTAGCATATCAGTTCCAACAATCATTTAACATAACTTCTTATCTTATACAATATTTTAGACTTCCGCCAACAACCTCTGAAGACTTTCCGTTCTTTATCACTTGTTCCGCATTTCTTAAATTCTCTATTACTTTTAATTGTCCTTAACTAATAATTCTTTTCAAAGTCTTTCTTGCAATATTTCACAAAATCCTCCTTGCAGAACTTCTTGCAGTCATACTAGAGTAATCCGTTTATTACAATTGCTTTTCAAATAGTTCAAATATTTACTCCAGTCCTCTAAGAATCTCTGATCCTGCAGGTTTCGAATCCTTCTTGTTAATTTATCTAATTCTGCATAGTCCATTAATTTCATTTGCCATTCTTTTGTCGGAGCTGTTCTTAGCTGCCCAATGCTTATTCAAGAACAGAATGGTCACTTGCAGCTAAGGACTTACTGGAGCTCAGCTTAAGACCCAAGGCCTGCCTTGTCTTTTTGCACGAATCAGCCTATAAATTAACATCTTTCCTTCTCCATATGCCATCAGAGATTAGGTGGAAGGCAATCAGATTGGATACAGTAATGCTCCCACCCAACTATGGCATGCTGTCCCAAGGAATACTCGCCTGGCACCATGCCTGATGTTCTCCCCTTTAAAAGTGTTCCTTATTCAGAGGTTGCGTTAACTCATGTAATCCTAATAGGAGAGGGTTGTAAACACCAGAAACCTACCAACCATGCAGGACATTTTCTGGACTCTTTCCACCACCACCACCCCTTTGACAGCTGTGTACATTTCCGACTCTAGCATCAAAGGCTGAATTTCTTTTGACTTTTTAAAAAGCAGCAGCAGGAGAACCCCTTCCCCAGCAGTATTCCTACACTCTCATTACCCCTCTCATGTTTAAAGGGGAATGTTATGTACTAAGCTTGGATCCTAGAACAATAGGCAAGTAGGATCCTAGAATGCATCAAGTGATTGGCTTGCAGGAAAAGACCAATCAGGCTCCAGGAGGAAGTTAATCAGCCTATTAGGATTGTAGAATGTAACAACTGATTGGCCTGCAGGAAAAGACCAATCAGGCTCCAGGAGGGAAGCAGACTCAGCCAATCAGACGGGACTCATTGTGTAAATAATGTATATAAAAGCCTGAGGTTTGGGGGGCAATTCAATCACTGTTTTGCAAGCTGCAATAAAGAGCATGAAATCACTACAGGACTCCGAGTATATTTCAGGCAAGATTTCAGGTACTGGAGCTAAAATACCCTTAATGAGTGGATAATGTTAAAAGAAAGGTGCAAGTTGTTTTGGTTGCCTGGAATTACCATAAAAACTTATTTGTACTTACCCAATGGTTCGCACACCTGAGAACACTTCCAGTAAGACTCAAAATTGTTCTCATTGCCTCCGCAGCCACGATAAACAAATGGCAAACATCTCTTGTTCCTGACATCATAATAATAACGTGTAATTTTCTCTCTGCACCATCCTACACGTTTCCTCTTTTTGCATATCTGAGGTGGGTCTGGAGGGGGAAAGGAGGGGTGGAAAGCTCATATAATCTCTTATTCTGCAACATATTGTTTAAAATGTTGGGTGCCACCCCCGCTTTCTGCAAGACTCCGGGGGCTTACAGGGTTTGTGTTCCTTTGTAGAATTGAGACACGACAGAGACTGTTGTAGCTTTAAGAAATATGGTTTATTCAACTCTTTACACCTACAGTCTGCGTGGAGGGAGTTACAGCATGGTCATTTCAAGAGGGGCTTGTCCCCCACAGCAGTGCAGCCAGCCTTCAGCCAGCCTGCCCAAGATGGATCCCAGTCTCTCTTCTCCCTTCTTCTCAGAATACCCTGCTAAAAACTCTCTTCCTGTCACCTCACACTGAAGCACCACTCCCATGTAAAGACACGTTAATTATTTCTTTTAATGGGGTGGGCATGTTGTGGGCCAAGCCACTGCAAGCACCTTGTCCAGATCCTAAGGCCTCATCAACTGAAACCAATCCCATATTAGCAGGTAAGTTGTGTCAGACACCTCACCTGCTCCATAATAATGGTAGCATAGCAAATGATACTGAAATTATTATTATTATTATTATTATTATTATTATTATTCCATACTGCCCTTTATCTGAGAATCACAGGGCAGTTTACAATATAAAAACACAAAAATATGTACCATAGTAACAGACAAAAACAATACCACCACATAGTTTGAAAGGCTATAGATTTTTTTAATTAGGCAAAGGCCTGGAAGAAGAGGGATGTTTCTATCCAAAAAGCACCTGGCAAACTTGTCACTGAAAGCCTTTGATGGTTCCAACATTCTGTTCCCATCATCAAGTGTCAACAGTTTCCTCACCACATGAAAAAGCTCCACTGGCCAGCTGCTCGAGGATGCAATGAGGGAGCAAAGTAAACATGATTTGGTTCCTTCATCACAATGCAGTAGGCACAACTATGCACTCTTGTTCCCTGCAACTTCACTTCTCGCAATGAGGGAACCACCAGAAGGTTCTCGGCACTGGAGCTCAGTGTCCGGACTGAACAATGGGGGTGGAGGCACTCCTTCAGGTATACAGGGTCCAAGGCAGTTTAGGGCTTTAAAGGTCAGCACCAACACGTTGAATTGCGCTCGGAAACATAGCGAGAGCCAATGTAGGTCTTTCAGGACTGGTGTTATATAGTCCTGGAGGCCGCTCCCAGTCACCAGTCTAGTTGCCTCATTCTGGATTACTTGTAGTTTCCAAGTCACTTTCAAAGGTTGCCCCACAAAGAGTGCATTGCAGTAGTCTAAGTGGGAGATAACCAGAGCATGTACCACTCCAGTGACACAGTGCACAGGCAGGTAGGGTCTCAGCCAGCATACCAGATGGAGCTGGCAGACAGTCGCCCTGGATGCAGAATTCACCTGTGCCTCCATGGACAGCTGTGAGTCTAAAATGACTCCCAGGCTGCACACCTGGTCCTTCAGGGGCACAGTTACCCCATTCAGGACCAAGGAGTTCCCTACACACACACACCCTCTACCCCGCTCCAAACAGTACAGATTTGGAGAATAGGATATTATTTAAACTTAACAAAAAAAGGTTATCTGCAATCATTATTCTAACTGTGTTGGGCACTTTTTAAAGTGGGGGTCAGTGTGCAACCTCCCCAATCCAGTGAAGGCCAACCTAACTTGACTGTGAACTAGAAGCAGTATTCAGCTTAGTTCCCTTTTGTTGAGCCACACAACTTCCAGTGTTGAACACCAAGATCCTTGCTGTGTGAACCAAGGCCAACCCCCCAAGCCTCACAGAACTGAGTGGCAAGCTGAGGGGGTTCCTGCCCATTATCTTGGTGCTTAAGTTATAGCACAGGCCTGCCTGTTGCGACTGTCTTACCTCTCATATTTGCAGGCATTCTCCCTGCACTAATCATGCACCTCACTGAGGAACACAGAGCAGACAAGAATAGGAACTCTTACCTTGTCTCCACTTCATATCAATTCCCATACTTGACCAGGATACAAAGAGTTCTACAAAAAGGACAAGGGGAAGATTGTTACAGTATGGTATGTTTGGTTGACCACAAACTTGACATGAGCCAACAGTGTGACGCGGCAGCTAAAAAAGCCAATGCAATTCTGGGCTGCATCAATAGGAGTATAGCATCTAGATCAAGGGAAGTAATAGTGCCACTGTATTCTGCTCTGGTCAGACCTCACCTGGAGTACTGTGTCCAGTTCTGGGCACCACAGTTCAAGAAGGACACTAACAAACTGGAACGTGTCCAGAGGAGGGCAACCAAAATGGTCAAAGGCCTGGAAACGATGCCTTATGAGGAACGGCTAAGGGAGCTGGGCATGTTTAGCCTGGAGAAGAGGAGGTTAAGGGGTGATATGATAGCCATGTTCAAATATATAAAAGGATGTCACATAGAGGAGGGAGAAAGGTTGTTTTCTTCTGCTCCAGAGAAGCGGACACGGAGCAATGGATCCAAACTACAAGAAAGAAGATTCCACCTAAACATTAGGAAGAACTTCCTGACAGTAAGAGCTGTTCGACAGTGGAATTTGCTGCCAAGGAGTGTGGTGGAGTCTCCTTCTTTGGAGGTCTTTAAGCAGAGGCTTGACAACCATATGTCAGGAGTCCTCTGATGGTGTTTCCTGCTTGGCAGGGGGTTGGACTCGATGGCCCTTGTGGTCTCTTCCAACTCTATGATTCTATGTGAATGAGTGTCCAGTACTGTCAAAACCACTTTTATATTAGAGTTCTATAGGAAAACAAAAGGGGGTATTTCAGCAACTTAGCAATTAGCTAGACACTCAGGAGCCGTTCTTAATCTAAGTTACCATTCTTTTCTTGAATAAACTTCAGGCTATTTTAACTGAGCCTTATTGGAGCCTTAAAAGAAATCAGCCTCATCTTGACATAGCCAAAAAATAAAGTAAGGCTTTCCAGTAGGTTACCGATCAAAGGACTGGTGTAATATGCTCAAACTGTTTCGTCCTGGTTAGCAACCTTGTAACAACACACACGACATAACAGGCTGTAAGTAACAATATAACTTCTATTTCAAAAAACAATTCAACATATCATATCACAATATGCAAGTCCATAGGCAATTTACCCTATGAGCGGAACACATACTGAGAGATTAAAGTCCAGTTTATTTAAATTATTAAATTAAATAAAATCTACCATTTCTATCAAAAAATGAACTGGGGGAGAAGTTTGGTTGTGATCAATCAATAGTTTCTGAATCTGTGACTTAACAACATCTAAAGGAACATTGGTATATAGGGAAGAGACAGCCCACGTAGCCACAATACTATGTTGGGTAACAGTCATGTTCTCAATAAGGGTTATAATGCGTTTAGTATCCTGAATATAGGACGGAGTTTCTTTAGTAAAGGGATGTGAAAAAGAATCAATAAAATGTGAACAATTTTCCAAAAGGAAACCTGAAACTAAGACGATAGGTCTTCCAGGCGGTGGTAACCTATTTATACGTATTTTTGGAAGGGTGTAAAGTATTGGTACTCTGGTATGTTCAGGACATACAAATTCTGCCAGCGGTATGTCTACGTAGCCCAAAGATACAGCTTCATTTAAAATTGTCTGAAGTTTGTTCTTCACCGATATGGTGGGATCACCAGATAAGGGCGAGTAGAAATTAGAATTATTCAGTTGTTTCTCTGCTTTTTTAATGTAATCAATCTTGTTCATTAAGACAATAGCTCCACCCTTATCGGCTGGTGTTATAATTATATTCTTGTCTGCAGCGAGTTTGCTCAGGATCACTGCGTCCTCCTTGCTTAGATTATATTGCATGTGTCCCTTCTTCTTTTCTTTACTATTTAAATCACGATGTACCAAATGTTGAAATGTTCTAATTAGGTGATTGTGGGAGACTGGGGTGAAGGTAGATTTGCACTGAACTTGAAACGTTCAGGTATCCATGGTCTGTTACCAAAAAAATCCCTTAATTTAATCTGCCGAATCAACTTAAATCAATCAATCCTTGTTTGGAAAGCAGAGTACTTGGGTGTAGATACAGAACCTAAACCTATATTCAACACGCAGAGTTCATCTGGAGTAAGTTTTCTTTGGGATAAATTAACTACTAAAGAAGTACTATTGCTGTCTGTGCTTACTTCCTCTGGTATGGGTGCCTGATGCACTGATTGGAAAAAGAATGCTAAGTGAGACCGGATCTGAGTCTAAGCTCCCTATCTTCATCTGTACCACTGCTACTGGATAAACTATCATGATCTGTAGGCATGGTAAAACGATGCTGCTTGTCGGACCTATTGGATAGTCTGTTGACTTGTCCAGATGGGCTAAGCCATAAATAAACCCTACCTGTAGCGTAATCTTTGAGATCTCTACTGATTTTCTTTTTCTTAAAATTAGATAATTCATTTGAGAAACTCTAGAATTCTCAAAAACATCGACATGCGGAGCACTACAAGATTGATATAAGCATTCCACATCGTGGTTATTGCTGATATAAGAACTGAATAGACTGTATCTCCTGATCAATCCTCTGGACTTTAATCTCTCAGTATACAGTATGTTCTGCTCATATGATAAGTTGGTCTATGGAATTACATATTGTGATATGATATGCTGAATTGCTCTTTTGAAATAGAAGTTATACTGTTACATACAGCCTGTTACGTTGTGTGTGTCGTTACTAGTATTGTATTTACGTAACAAAAGGTTCAGCGGTGTTTTGTATCTGGTTAGCAACCTGGCTGCTGAATTCTGCACCAGCTGGAGTTTCTGAATTGTCTTCAGAGGCAGTCCTGCGTATAACACATTGTAGTACTCTAACCTAGAGGTTACCAGAGCACTGATGACAGAAGTTAGGCTGTCCCTGTACAAACAGGGGCACAACTGGCCCACCGGCCAAACCTGATGGAAGGCATTTTGCACCACCAAGGTCACCTGAGCCTCAAGTGACAGAGAGAGAGTGTAATCAAGAGCAAGCAACCTCCCATCCATCTAGTCTAGGGAACTACCTAAGAATAGTGCCTCAGCCTTATCTGGATTTCATCTCAGTTTGTTGGCTCTCTTTGAGTCCATTACTGAGGGAAGACAATGATCCAGCAGATATAAAGGAGATGTAGAGCTGTGGGTCATCCGCATATTGCTGACAACATACTTCAAAACTTTGGATGACCCCACTCAGAGGTTTAATGTAGATGTTCAACAGTATGGGGGATGACATTGAACCCATGGGAACTATGAAAAATGCTGGGCTGAAGTGAAAAAAGATTTGGAAATTTGGTCAAATTTGAAGCTTTCATTGCTGGGCTGTATTGCTGCGATAAAAATGAATGTATTGCCTAGAATGCTGTTTTTGTTTCAAACATTGCAAATTGTGGACAAAATGGACTGTTTCAAGAAGTGGCAGAGAGATATTTCTAGATTTGTCTGGCAGGGCAAGAAGCCTAGAATAAAATTTAAAATACTAACAGACGTAAAGGAAAGAGGTGGATTTGCCCTGCCAGACTTTAAACTTTACTATGAATCAGCAGCTTTTTGCTGGTTGACAGACTGGCTGCTTCTCGAAAACACAGACATTTTGGATTTAGAAGGTTTTAACAATGTATTTGGATGGCATGCATATCTGTGGTATGATAAGGTCAAAGCGCATAAAGCATTTAAAAACCATATTGTCAGGAAAGCATTGTTTAATGTTTGGATAAGATATAAGGACTTATTGGAAAACAAAACCCCAAGGTGGCTGTCACCGATGGAAGCGAAAGCTCAGAAAAAAGGTCAATATGGAGGTCAAATGGCCGAAATATTGGGAAATTTTGGAACAAGATGGAGATAGACTGAAATTGCAGAGTTTTGAGAAATTAAAAAACAAAGTGCGAGACTGGCTTCATTATTATCAGATAATGGAGGCATATAATTTGGACAAGAAAATTGGCTTCCAGGTGGAAAAATCAAAATTAGAAACAGATCTGTTAGAACCCAAAACTAAGATTTTGTCAAAGATGTATAACTTGCTGTTGAAATGGAATACTCAGGATGAAACGGTGAAATCTGCTATGATTAGGGTTTATAATGATTTATAATGAATTGAAAAAGGTATTTAAATATACCTTCTTGAAGAAACCAGAGGCCTTTCTCCTGGGCATAGTCGGCCAATCGGTGTTAAAGAAGGATAGAACTTTCTTTATGTATGCCACAACAGCAGCAAGAATACTTATTGCAAAGTATTGGAAGACACAAGACCTACCCACTTTGGAAGAATGGCAGATGAAGGTGATGGACTACATGGAATTGGCGGAAATGACTGGCAGAATCCGAGACCAGGGAGAAGAGTCGGTGGAAGAAGATTGGAAGAAATTTAAAGACTATTTACAGAAATACTGCAAAATTAATGAATGTTAGAATGATGTTGGATTGAAGTTAAGTGGTTTTTAGCTGTAATGGTATAAAAGAATATGAAAAATGGATTGTTAATAGGTAAAAATTTAATGCTATAATATATTAAGATTAAAGATCAGGATAAAACAAAGAGGGAAAGGATTTGCTGAACTAATAAATTGAACTGGAATACAAAAAAGGGAGGTATGAGGCGGTCCGGGAGACAAGCAAATGAAAGATAAGTGATGGAAAGATTGAATTGTTTTTAACTATTTTTATTTTGTATTTTTTCTTTTTTTTTCTTTTTCATTTTGTAATATTGTGAAAACCCTAATAAATATTAAAAAAAAAAAAAAGACATTGAACCCATGGGGCTGAAAAGCATTCTCTAAGCATCACCCTCTGGAAGCAACCATTCAGGTAGAACCAGAACAACAGTAAAGCAGGACCACTCTAACTCAGACAGCTGCTCCAGAAGCATAGAAACTCTAGCAGCAGAGAGCATAATCAGTATAAGAGATTCTCAAACAAGAAGATATTTGAAACAGATTTTCACTTCAAACATTTGGGAATTTAAAAGGCTTAGGAAAATAGAGGGGGGTGGGAAATATTTGCCCTTACCAAACCTTTCACACTCGTAAATGCAATCAAAGAGATTTGCAAAGTTATTTCTGTTGCCTCCACAGCCACCGTAAATGAACGTCTTGCACATGCTGTCCTTAAAATCGTAGTAATAATTTTCAAGATCTAATTTGCACCGTCCAGGTCTTGGAGGGAGTCTACATTTTCTAGGCATAGATTCTGGGTGGGGGAGAGATGGGAAGATATCATATATTGCATCTCATTTCATTTCATCTTTTGAAACACAGAAGAAAACAAAGTTGTTACATTTGTAAATCAAACATCTAATACTATCTCTGCCTAGTAGCTACAGATGGAACCTCCAGAATGGGACCCAATGATCATATCTGCCAAAGAGCCAACTGGAAGCCTAATTTTGCCCCATTGTAAATAGTCCAATTGTGATCTCTCCCACAGTCCTTAAGATGACTATAACATACCAGTGTGCTAAATCTGATGAAGTCTGTGGGTTCATGATGACTGTGAAGCTGCTACACAACCTTCCCTATCCCCCCCACTGGTCTCTCCTTCACTTCCAGCTGCTCTAATTTAAAAATTAGTTTTGCTTGGTGCATCATCAAGAACAAAAAATGTGGAGGTATTAGTGGAGGGATGAGGTAGGGGCTCCTACTCCCTCGCTCCTGTGGAATGGATGATGGGTTGTGGTGCTTCCAAAACTTGCAGTTAGTCCGTTCATAAGCTGAATGCCATACACTGATAATGTCCACATGTATAATGAGCCAACTTCATTTTGATCCAACCAAGTTTACTAGTACTGCAATTCAATCTGAGATTGATTTTAGTTCATTTATATTCTACACCCCTGAGATGTCTGCAAGATGGAAGCCAGGAATTCTTAGGTAATGGCTCTAGCGAGAGGCTTTCCAAAGGTGATTTAATCAAACTCTCTTTATTTATGTAACTTCCTGAAATCTAAAAGTGTCTTTGAGAAGTTAGGAAGCGTGACGCCTGATGCATGCGTTCAAAATACAGCTAGAGACATCACTGGAATTAGTGGTGTATGTGGTACATAACATGGTTTCAGGAGCTGTATGGGGGAGAAATATAGCTGCTTCCATGGCATGATTTGTATGTTGTTGTTGTTGTTGTTGTTAGCATACAAACCCTGGAAATAACTTAATGTGAGCACATCCCAGAGATGCTTCTGGCTCTGTTGTGAAAGGTGTGCAAAACGAACTGTGCTTCTAGGCCTCTAGATCTCTTACCTTGAAGAAAATTACAGAGAATAAAGAAGAAACAGTTTTAAATCCCGTGGGCCACCTCATATTAACGGAAAGATACTTCAAAACCTTTTAATAAGAGGTAACTTGAATTTGAAGCACTTGAGTTTGAAGCACAGTGAGCAAATTGTGAGTGGTGATGGATCACTAGCTAGGGTGCAAGTACTTCTGCAAGTCCCAAAGGAATGTATCCAGTATAGGGAACACCCCAAATGGAGGGGCCAGAGAGACAAGTATACAGGCAGGCTATACACATGCCAGAGAATTGTTGCCCCTATGACACCAGCACACTACTCTGTCCATGCCTCCATATCCCATCCATTCTGCAATGGATGCCTCTCCTGCAGAGAGGCTGGGGGGTCTGCAAACTAGTTGCCTACATGAGCCAGAACAATGGAAAGCTTACCTTTTGTATAGGCAAAGAAACCCTGCAACTTAGACCAAGGTGCAAATAATACCATGATGAGGAAAAGGAGTGCAGTGTCGGTGCACTGCATGGCGGCTGTTTGATGTGGACACTCAGTGCTGAGAGGAACCTCTTTTTATGGTTTCAATAGAGAGAGGTGTTCATTTAGATGGCAATCAAAAACAATTTTTTGGCAGGTAGGGACACTCTGAAGCGACTTTGCTAAGATCAAGGTAACTTCCTGTTCTTGAAAAAGAACTGTTCTGAACTAGGAACATAGTGGAATAATTAAGTCAATCAGCATAACCTTGGCATGGCCAGAAATATTTCCGTCCCCATAAGATGGTGATTCAAGCCTACTTTGCTGCCTCCTCCTCCTCCAAGTATTTGTACAGCCTGGCACCTGATGACAAACAATAGGGGTTTGTTGGTTAGTAGGCTCTTGTGACTTGTGGCTGTTAGAAGCTTCAGGGAGGCCCTGGCAAGAAAGAGCAGATCAGATGAAACTATTAGAGGAATAAGGGTAGGAAATAAAGCAAATAAACTAAAAGCATTCGCAGATGACCTTGTGATTACGGTAGAGGACCCAAAAAAGTCTCTACCGAAGGTGTTGGAAAAGATCCAGGATTTTGGACAGGTATCAGGTTTTAAATTAAACAAGAACAAGACTAAGGTCTTGGTGGAAAATGTGACGGAGCAATATAAAAAGGAGTTACAGACAGATTACAGACTAAACTATTTACAAAAAAGTCAAATATTTGAGGGCATGGCTGACAGCTAAGAATATTAATATATTAAAAGATAACTATGAAATTACATGGTGATAAATAAAAAGGAATTTAGAAATCTGGGGAAGAATGAATTTATCACTTTGAGGAAAAATATCAGTGATTAAAATGTTTGTATTGCCAAGAATGTTATTTTTATTCCAATAGATCCCAGTGGTATACGGTACTGGATACTTTAAAGAATGGCAAAAATATATTAATAGATTTATCTGGTGGGGAAGAAACCAAGGATAAAATATAAACTATTATCAGATGCTAAAGAGAGAGGGGGCTTCACCCTGCCAGATTTGAAATTATATTATGAGGCATCCTGCATTTGCTGGATCCAGGAATGGATAATATTGAAAAATAGAGATATTCTAGATTTAGAGGGGCGTGATAATAGATTTGGGTGGCATGCATACATATGGTATGAAAAAACAAAAGTAGAAAAAGGATTTAAGGATCACATAATAAGGAAATCAATTTTTACGGTATGGGAGAAATATAAAGACTTATTAGAACACAAAACACTGTGGTGGCTCTCCCCATTAGAAGCAATATCTTAATTGACAGACATATAGAGAGCTGTTAACCGAAGTAGAAAACCAGGTAAAATTAAAAGACTTTGAAGAGATAAGAGAACTGGTAACAGACTGGTTAAAGTATCATCAATTAAATGATATCTTTAAGACCGATAAAAAGAAAGGTTTTAGTTATGAGTTATCAAGATTTCCAAAAGATGTTTTAGAAAATAGTATAAAATTATTGTAGAAAATGTATAATTTGCTCCTGGAATGGCGTGCAAAAGACAAACAGGTCAAATCAGTGATGATAAATTGGGCAAAAGATTTGGGACATAATAAACAAATGGCAGACTGGGAGAGGCTATGGAAAACAGATTTAAAATTCACAGCATGTTGTTCACTGAAAGAAAATTACATGAAAATGATGTACCGGTGGTATTTGACTCCTGTTAATTTAGCAAAAATGTATAGAACAAGTACAAATACTTGGTGGAAATGCAAGGAAAAAGAATGTACCTTTTGTCATATGTGGTGGACATGTAAAGTAACTAAAAATTTCTGGGAGATGATATATCATGAAAGGGAATAAAAGTTTAAAATAACTTTTGTTTAAAACAGAAGAAGCTTTTTTATTAGGAATTATAGGTATCAAAATACCAAAGGACCAGAAAAGATTGTTTATATATGCAACAACAGCCGCACAGATATTATTAGCCCAGAGATGGAAGAAAGAGACAACCCCGACCTGAGAGGAATGGCAAACCAAGTTGATGGACTATGCCGAAATGGGAAAACTAACTGGGAAGCTCAGAAATCAAGAAGACAAGAACTTTCTTAAAGAATGGAAAAAGCTTATAAATTATCTATGAGACTCTTGTAAACAGGTTAAAACATTAGCAGAAATTTTAACCACACTTGTAAAATAATAGAAAGTATGGATAATATAGAAGGATAAAAAGTTGGGTAAGTATTGATATGCAGTTGTAAATATTATCATTACGACCCATGGAAGGGATGGGGGAAACTCAGGAGATTCAGAGTAATCTTAATATTTGGATTTTGAATTTTTTGTTGTTGTATGTTTATACTTTTTAAAATCAAATTTTAAAAATTATATATATAAAAAGGTTTCGAGGAAAGTGTCCTACCCATTTACCATGTGAGGACTGGAAGCAAAAAGGGAAAGTTCATGCAGCTTTGAATTTTGACCAGAGAAATATAACACAGCTTCAGCCACCTGGAAATGATGGTTGCTGGAGTGTTGCAGCTCTGCTACTGCTCTTGTGCTCTTGCTTTCTGTGCTTGCCTCCTCAATAGCTGGACCATCTATATATCAACAGCAGTAAATCGGGGGAGCTTATGAGCCACAACAGAAGGTAGAAGCTATTCTGCGTTTATTTAATGAATCTAGAAACATGAAACAACTGGACGTAAGAGAGTTTCTCTTGCAAAAGTAAGTGTATAGCTAGTCACATGTTGTGCATACTGTATATTGCTTTGCTATACATAAATTTTGTGGATTCATTTCTTCAGAGCCGTCTTTCCCATTGGGCTTACTGGTGCATTGCGCCAGGGCGCCGGCCTTTCAGGGGCGCCCCAGCGAGTTGTTGGGATTTTTGACTACGTGCCATTCTGTGCAGCTTCACACAGAGTCAGTTAAGAGTTGGCCGACAGCCAAGGATGACTGAACAGATAGGAGTAATCTGCGTGGAGATATGGGACCCTGGATACAGCTTTGCCATTGGTTGAGGTCTCACACAGGCATGATGACTTATGACCTAACTGACTGCAGTGTGTGTTGGTCAGTGTGGAGTCTGAGAGTCGTTTGGAGTTTGTTAAGAGAGAGCTAGTTAAGATTCGTATCTGTTCATGCATATAGTAACTTGTAGAGTCTGCTGTAAATAATAAAACACCTCTAAGTAACCAAGTTACTGGTAGCAGCGTTTTGTTCCTGCTTCGTCCATCCTGCCTGCAACTGATTGCTTTCTGGAACTCTGTGTATGCTCTGCTGAGGTCTGACTAAGATCCTGCAACAGGTCAATATTGCAAAACACCAATAAGAGTGGGGGAACTGCGTGGCTTTGCCGGCGGCCTCCCCTTTCCCTCCTGCACACCTGCCAGCTGTGCCCCATAAACCATATGGCTGGCAAGTGTGCAGCTTCCTTCCCAAGCCCCCACGGGAGGAGAGCGATCCCCACAGAGGCTTGGGGAAAGGTTGACAACTCTGGGGAATGGGGGGGGCAGCGCCAGAGGGATCTTTGCACCATGGCGCTGGATATGCTTAAGACAGCCCTTAATTTCTTTTAGCTGTTGCAGCACAGTGCCACTCCCGACATCCGGGGGGTTGCGGGCTCACGCCCCATTCACACCCTCGCGGGGCTCGCTGCAGCCCCACGGGACCAAGGGAATCCCGGGATCATTAGTATTCATTATTTACCACGCCAACCAATCGGCTGGCGGCGGGGGCGGGACTTGTAAGGGGCATTTAAGGTCGGGGCAGCCCATACTCGCCCCTTTCTTTTCCTTTCAGCAGCGGCGGTTTCCCTCCCTCCCGCCCTTTAGGTTCTCATCTGGACTTTGCTATGGGCTTCGGCTGGTCGCCGCAAGGGGCCTGGTAGGAGTTTTTCCATTTGGCTAATTGGCTGTATTTTAAAAGCCACTTGGTTTTTTCGCCTACCTCATAGCAAAACGTCACAACACCTTGGTTTTGGCGGTTAGGCATTGGCAGGGGTATTATTATGCAAATGAGATGGGGGGAGGAACGCCATCACCTCTCCCAAATGCTGAAGGGTAGTTCGTTAAAGGACTCTGGGGGGCGTCGCCTCGTCTGAAACCTACGGAGGCTAGGGCCTAAAGCGCGCTCCCGAGCGGTAACCCCTCGGGGAGCGCCTAGGGATGTGCATCTCGGGGGCTCCCCCTGTTGGTGCTTAACCCTTCCCGGTTATACCGGTTAGTCTGATAGGGCCAATGCCTAAAGCCAACACCGCTCTTACCTGTAATCAATAAAGTTGTGGCCATTTTTCGCCCATTAACCTAAATTCGGTGTCCTGTGTCTTTATTTATTCCATTCTGTGGGAGGGGGCGGGAATAGCCACGCAACTACTGTCCTGGGATTTCATCGTGGATGTCACTGTATCATATTTTATTCCGTTTCCCCCTGTGCTACTTCTTATTGTAAGTTTGATTTTGTTGCCTCTGTATTTCCACCCTGGAGCTTCCATATGAAGGGTGGACTGCTAATCTGTGCTTTTTTCCTGGGGTTACTCAAGGGCACGCAGTTCTGGCATGTTTTGTTTCGATTTTTAAAAGTGTGGCACTTACTGTCACAACTTCATGGTGAGTACCAGCACCATTTTTCTATACAGTGGTACCTCAGGTTACAGATGCTTCAGGTTACAGATGCCTCAGGTTACAGATGCTTCAGGTTACAGACTCCGCTAACCCAGAAATAGTACCTCGGGTTAAGAACTTTGCTTCAGGATGAGAACGGAAATTGTGCTCCAGTGGCGCGGCAGCAGCAGGAGGCCCCATTAGCTAAAGTGGTGCTTCAGGTTAAGAGCAGTTTCAGGTTAAGTACGGAGCTCCGGAACGAATTAAGTACTTAACCTGAGGTACCACTGTATATGTATATAAAGCACTGCTGTTAATGCCTTTGAAATATCAATATATAACTAAATGACTTGTAAAAATACTGTTGAATGGAGAACAAGAGGCAACGCTTAATAAACCTGTTACCTGCATTGGCAGAGAACCATGCATTTGGGAAGAAGATATTAAGGATTTAAACAGAGAATGAATCAATGTAGACATAGCCTGGTACTCAGGAATTAGGATACAGAGGATGCTCAACCCCCATTTTCTTTATTCAGAACACTGAGGAGCCTCCAGCTATGGTGAATAGGACATCTGGAAATGGCAGGATATCTGGAATTAAGCTGTCTGGGGGGTTTTCTTCTTCCCGGAATGAACTGGTAGCATCTTTGAAGTTCTCGAAATATTACTGACTCTTGCAGCAGATTAGATGATCACTGTGGAAGAAAGAGATATTCCTTTCTTAGGGATCTAACAACACATTCCTTATATTCCACCCTTCCTCTGTCAGGGAGCCCAGGGCAGCTCGCATCAAGGGGGCAGCAATAAGAACAAAGGTAAAGAAAGCACAGTGCACAAAGAGCGGCGGACAAGTCACCATCAAATGTAACTTGAACTCCTTGCACTTTTGCCACAGGTGCTTCTAAACGGCCATCTTGCCCAAAGGGGGAGCGCGGGTGAGTGGGTGGGTCACTTTTGTGGTGATCACACAGGGTCCCCATATGTTTGACGGCCTATTGATCCCTGTGCCACCACTGTGCTCGCTTCCCCACTGCCACCAACCCGTTTCTCTTGGGTACACACTGAGTCCAGACAGTTGTTAACATTAAACCAAATAAACAAGTTTATTTTATAAGCATTAACAAGTTTATGGTTTCTCAGATCATTTTCTTGTCAGTTTCTTAACCTTAGTTTCTTTACCGGCCTATACTTTCCTAATATCTTCTGACTGATTATCTCAACTGTTTGACTGACTCCTCTTAACAGATTCTCTCCCTCTCTCACATCAGACTAGCCCAACCCACAGACTTATCCTCCCTCCCTCTCTCTTCTCTAACTCCAGACTGACTTCTTAACAACTCTAACTCCTCCCCTTGGGTTCCTATAGGTTAGTCATTTTACAATTTTACATTTTACAATTAAAGGGGGAGCGCGGGGTGTGTGTGTGAGAGAGAGAGAAACAGCCTAATGAGCTGCTTCTATTGAGATCCCAGTGGTGGTCCCTCCTTCCATAGCGGCTTCTGAAGTACAACCCTGCCCTGAGGGGTAGGGAGGAGAATCAAGACAATCTGTTTCATCCAATAGCACACCCAAGGCTGCATCAACAGAAGTATAATGTCCAGATCAAGAGAAGTAATGGCACCACTCTATTCCTGGCATCACTAATGTACTAATTTACACAGGCACCCAGGGCACCTCCCTTGGAAACCCTGCCTCTCCTAATTGTTTTGGAATTTGTTGTTGTTGTTGTTGTTGTTGTTTAGTCATTTAGTCGTGTCCGACTCTTCGTGACCCCATGGACCAGAGCACGCCAGGCACCCCTGTCTTCCACTGCCTCCCACAGCTTGGTCAGACTCATGTTTGTCGCTTCAAGAACACTGTCCAACCATCTCATCCTCTGTCGTCCCCTTCTCCTTGTGTCCTCCATCTTTCCCAACATCAGGGTCTTTTCCAGGGAGTCTTCTCTTCTCATGAGGTGGCCAAAGTATTGGAACCTCAGCTTCATGATCTGTCCTTCCAGTGAGCACCCAGGGCTAATTTCCTTAAGAATGGATGCGTTTGATTTTCTTGCAGTCCATGGGACTCTCAAGAGTCTCCTCCAGCACCATAATTCAAAAGCATCAATTCTTCGGCGATCAGCCTTCTTTATGGTCCAGCTCTCACTTCCATACATTACTACTGGGAAAACCATGGCTTTAACTATACGGACCTTTGTTGGCAAGGTGACGTCTCTGCTTTTTAATATGCTGTCTAGGTTTGCCATCGCCTTTCTCCCAAGGAGCAGGCATCTTTTAATTTCGTGACTGCTGTCACCATCTGCAGTGATCATGGAGCCCAAGAAAGCCCCTTCTATTTGCCAGGAAGTGATGGGACCAGTGGCCATGATCTTCGTTTTTTTGATGTTGAGCTTCAGACCATATTTTGCGCTCTCCTCTTTCACCCTCATTAAAAGGTTCTTTAATTCCTCCTCACTTTCCGCCATCAAGGTTGTGTCATCTGCATATCTGAGGTTGCTGATATTTCTTCCGGCGGTCTTAATTCCATCTTGGGATTCATCCAGTCCAGCCTTTCGTATGATGAATTCTGCATATAAGTTAAATAAGCCGGGAGACAATATACAGCCTTGCCGTACTCCTTTCCCAATTTTGAACCAATCAGTTGTTCCATATCCAGTTCTAACTGTAGCTTCTTGTCCCACATAGAGATTTCTCAGGAGACAGATGAGGTGATCAGGCACTCCCATTTCTTTAAGAACTTGCCATAGTTTGCTGTGGTCGACACAGTCAAAGGCTTTTGCATAGTCAATGAAGCAGAAGTAGATGTCTTTCTGGAACTCTCTAGCTTTCTCCATAATCCAGTGCATGTTTGCAATTTGGTCTCTGGTTCCTCTGCCCCTTCGAAATCCAGCTTGCACTTCTGGGAGTTCTCGGTTCACATACTGCTTAAGCCTGCCTTGTGGAATTTTAAGCATAAGCATAAAAAAATTCCATGCATGGACAAAGGCAACAGGCATGGAATTTTTTAGGAATCTGTTTTAATCTTTCACCCATCCTGCTTTCTCCCCCACCCCAATGCACTTGGACATAATAGGTTCTCTCCAACTAACTTTTACTCAGAGTAGATTTATTTAAAATACTGGACCTTGGCCACATCTGTTAATCTCTACATGCCATCCAACATTTCCCAACCCAAAGCTGGGGTTCCCAACCCAAAGCCCCAGGCTGCCTTGGCCTGCCACACCACCATGACTGCCACCAGCTATAAACCTGCAAGCACACCTAGACCCAACACAGCCACTCACACACAAACACACACACACCTGCAAGCAGTTGGGGGGGGTATGATCCATAGCGACAGCGACAGGATTCCCTTTTCTTGTGAGGAATCCTATTTGGAATAAGGGAATTTCCCTTAAAAAAAGGGAAACGTTGACAGCTATGGTATGATCTCTATTAACTCTGAGTAAGACTAGCATTGGACTTAACCCCATGTGAGCCATTCATAGAATATGAAAGGAAGGGGGTGGGGGAGATGATTCAATTCAGTTACACTTGAAGCCAAATCTATCAAATGTCCATTTTCTGAAATAATATGAAAACCCAAATGCAACCATGGTACAAAATTTGCGGTTATCTGAATTTTGCAACGTAGTTCTCCAACTCAACGATGTTTACAAAATTGCTTACATTATAGGGAGATAATGTATAAAAACGAATACAACATACTAAAATGCACTGTATTTGGAGAAACTGCTTGCAAAAAATGTGTACGTGAAAATGGGGTTTTAGGAGAAACTTGCACTAAAATGCTGATTAATTTTCATGATTTTTTTTTTAATTGCAGATTGCTGCAGAAATTTAGAGAATTGGGGGGGGGGGGACCTGGGCAAACCACATGGTTTCCACCAGGTCCAGCCGAGCTGCTGTGGGTGTTTTAATTTTGCGACTTAATGAGATTGTAGGGATTTTGTGGAAGCAAATGTGTTAGGTTGCCTTGCGTACTTGGGCTGCTTTGTTTTTGCAGAGAAAGATATAGCCTGGGTTGGTTAGTTGGTTGGTTGGTTGGTTCACTTGTTTGTTGCCTGACTGGATTTGTGGGGGTAGGTTTGCTTTTTGGGGAGGGCAGGAATGTTTCCTAGGTGGGTTTCGTGTTTCCTGGAGGAGACCCCTGTCCTAAAGTAAGAAAGTATTTGCTCTTACCAAAATATTGACACACAAATTCGCATTCCTGTTGAGTCTCAAATCTATTGGCATTGCCACCACAGCCACGGTGGATAAACCGTTCACATTTCTTGGTGGACATATTGAAGAAATACCGTACATTGGATTCCTTGCACTTTCCAACAACTTTAGTGAGTCTGCATCTTGAAGGGAAAATAACTGGTGGGTAAAAGGAGAAGAAAGGCAGGGTTTGTTATATATAATCTGAAAGTCTGAAACAGAGAATATGATGACAGCTGAGGCTATGATTCTGACACCTGAAAATTTTAATTATGCAATGAAGAAACCTATAGACAAGAATCCAGTAGTCATACTGACAGACCTAAAGTCCAACTGAGACTAGGGTCACAGGCACACCATAAACTTAGGAAACATTTCATGCACATTTGAACCACATAGGTTGCCCCAAAGAATCATTGGAACTGCAATTTGTTAGGGGTGCTAAGAATTGGGTATCTGTGAGGGGTAAACTGCAGCTTCCAGAATTGTGTGAGGGTAGGCTTGTGCTTTAAATGGATGTGGCTGGTGGCTGTATGGATGTGGCTGTTGTGGTTTATTCCAGAGTTCTTAAAATGAATTGAACATATTTTAGCACCACAGTAAATTTAGTGAAACTGCATTAAGGTTTGCTGCATGAAAAAATGCTTGGGGAGAGAAATGCTTGTGAAACCATAACCCTGAAGCCTATATTCCAAGGCAGACATTCCATACCTCCTGCCCTGTTCCTGCGCTGGTTCTTTCAGCAGTTTTCCACTTCCACCTAGGTAAAGGCAAAGGGACCCCTGACCATTAGGTCCAGTCATGACCGACTCTGAGGTTACGGTGCTCATCTTGCTTTATTGGCAGAGGAAGCCGGCATACAGCTTCTGGGTCATGTGGCCAGCATGACTAAGCTGCTTCTGGCGAACCAGAGCAGCGCACGGAAACAGTGTTTACCTTTCCGCTGGAGCACTACCTATTTATCTACTTGCACTTTGAGGTGCTTTCGAGCAGCTAGGTTGGCAGGAGCAGGGACCGAGCAATGGGAGCTCACCCCATCGCGGGGATTCGAACCACCAACCTTCTGATCGGCAGGTCCCAGGCTCTGTGGTTTAACCCACAGCGCCACCTGCATCCCTACTTCCACCTACTCTAGTATAAAACTGAAATATAGCTTAATACAGCAGGTGAGGCAACACATTGGTCAAGAGGACTATGGCAGCCAGTGAGGTGTTATGGTTAGTGTTTTGTATGTGACCTGGGAAACCAGGGTTTGAATCCCCACTTGGCCATGAAGCTCACTGGGTATGGCCTTGGGCAGTCACTGTCTCTCAAGCCTAGCCTACCTCACAGGGTTGTTGTGAGGATAAAATGGGGAGGGGAGAGCCATGTATCAAACAAACAAACAAACAAACAAATAAATAGGTAACTTGGGATCCAATGGGAATCAGCACAAAGGGCTCCATACTCCATCACACCCTAAAGTGTGGTTTAAAAAAAAAGTTTCCTCTTACCGTAAGATTCACACACGTGAGTGCAATCTGTAAGAGATACAAAATTATTTTCAGTGCCTCCACAGCCACTGTAAATGAATTTCTCACACTCTAGGGTTTTGACGTTGAAGAAATAGCGTGGATAATTTCCTCTGCAACTTCCATGGCTTTTGGCGATTTTGCATATACGGGGTATTCCAGCTAGTGGATCAAAGAAAAAAGACAAGTCTCGTGTGTACATAATTTCAAAGTCAGAAGTGCAAAAACAATGGAAGTGTGACTCCAGCTCCTGAAATTATCTAAGTAGGCAATGAAGGACCTTCTGCAGTGGGATCCAGTGATCACACTAACAAACCAAAGCCTAATTGAAATTAGGGATATGTTCAAATTACCACTGTCCTGAACATTAAAATCTCATCCCTATGGGATGCCATGAAACATGTTATCAGAGGCCAATGCATAAGCCAATCCAACATGATGGAGAAAAGGAAAGGGAACTTTTCCTTCTTGATTACATAGTGAAATACGGGATCTGGAAATTTCTTATACCTCTAAAGGTGGCCACAGTTCTTTCGCTTTGGAACTCTGCACGGGCATTGCAGTTCATGCAACTGCTACTCTGCTGCTATCTGCCCATGCCCTGGAGTTGCTATAAAGAGCCATGGAGACAAGGGGTGACTGGATTTTGCACCAGCCCTGTCAGATATTTTCTAATGGAAGGAAGAATCCCTTCTGGAGTCTGGCCATGGCTGCCTAAGAGTAGGCTCATGTCAGGGGCTGGACTGAGGAGGAATGGTGGGGGCCGCCACCCCCTTCTCCTGAAGGGCGGGAGGGTAGTATAGCTTTAGAACAGTTGTTTGCAGAAGGGCATAGATCAGAGGGGGAAAGCTGGGAAATACTGGGTGAGGAACAGCTGGAAGAGGAAACACCGAGAGAGAGACAGTTGACAGATTCAGTGTCCTTGGAAAGCATTCCTGACCCCCCCCCCTTTACCTAAGACTAGACGGGCTTGGAACGTGATAGAACAGAGAGCTCAGCAACAACAACCTCAGATTACCTGAAGTAGGAGTGGCGTAGATTAATATAGACGTAGGGGGTGAACCTTTACTGGGAGCAACGCCATTTCTAGAGAAATAGGGATAACTTTGTCTCTTGCTGTGATTACTAAAAAAACTAACTGGTCAGAAGCTCCTTTCTTTTTACCTACTTATTTACTGCCACTAGGGGAGGGATCGGATTCCCCGAAGACTGACAGCTCACTGCTTTATATTTCTCAGTTTGAAAAACTGGAAAGATACTTTTGTTGCAGCACATCATAAAATCAATTATATTATTTGCAGCTATATGCAAGTTGGTGTTGCTGTATTGTGTATGGTTTATCTTCTACTGGAGAAGACTAGTCAGTCAAAAAGCAACTGCATACAGACATTCAGTTTGGCTGTTATTTGAATTGTGTAATGGTACACATTACAGGAGGCAGCAGTGAAAACCATCCCAATGAAAAGGAAATGCAAGAAAGCAATGCAAGATTGAGGGCGCAAGGAGAAGGGGACAACAGAGGACAATGTGCTCTGGTCAATGAAGTCACAAAGAGTCGGACACAACTAAATGACTAGACAACAACAACACACATTATTTTAATTGATTTTTATCTTCTCAGACATTCCGTTTGTCATTGTGCCAACATACCTAAAGAAAACCAAAGTAAGCCAAAGGCTTTTTGACCATAAGTCTTGTTCAGTGGTCTCAAATAAAATTTGCAATATGTAAAATATACCAAAAATCATTTCAAACAATGATTTCTCTTCAGTTATGTTTAAGGGGAGAGGATGTTGCCTTTCTGGGTTTGTATGGAGGGGTTTGGAGAGAGAGATAATAATATTGTACTTGGAGGCCTTTCATGTTTTCAAGAAAAGGGGACATGCACCCATCAGAGTTTCTCAAATTTTGAAATGTGCCCATTTGCCCCAAAATGTTCACAGCTCCTGCCCTAAAACAGCAAGTTATTTGTTCTTACCAAAGCGTCCACATTCCTGATAGCAAGAAGCATACTTCAAAAAGTTATTTGCATTCGGTTCACATCCACCAAAAATAAACTTCTCACACTTCATGGTTTCAGTATTGAAGAAAAAACGTGGAATACTACCTCTGCAGCTTCCTATACTTACAGGGAGTTTGCATATATCAGGTAGAGTAACTGGTGGGTAAAAGAAAACAAAGGCAAGTCTCATATAAACATTATATCAAAGTCTGAAACGCAGAAAGCAACGACATTGACCATGTGAGTCCTGAAGATAGCCCTCCTAAGTATACAATGAGGAACTTCTGAATGGGGATCTAATAGTTATGGTAACAGACCAGCAGCCCAGTTGAAACTTCGGTGCTGTTGTGATTTCTCCGTAGCCCTTTAAATGGATTTAGCATAATTACCACCATAGTAAATTTGAGTGGAAATCTCTTGGGGCTTGGGGCTACAGAGCTAACTCAGACCACTGAGATACATGGTAAGAGAAAGGTTTGACAGACCATCACCCTGAAATCCTACAAACCTATAGGAACATTCCAACTCAGATGGAAAGTATGAGCTTGCCACAACTTTAGACTCAGTGCTATAATTCAGTGGTTCAGCATTTGGCTGAGTGAAGAATGTTAGGGCTGTGTCCACTTCTGAAAGCCAAATATTAAGAATGAGATTGACAAACTGGAGAGTCACCGAGGAGAATAGAGGGACCAGGATTATAAAGGGATATAGTTTGTTCTGAGGAGAAAGTTTAACAAGAATAGATAGTCTGGAGCTACTGAAAGTTACTTCAAATGGAAAGTATGAGGTTGCTTCAACTTTGGGCTAGATGACCACCATCACCACCCCACAAAAACAAAAAACTTCTCTTCCAGTGCTATAATTTGGTTATTCAGCATCTGGCTGAATGAAGGAGGATAGGGTTGTGTCCAGTTCCAGCTGAGAGTTACTTTCCTCTTCTCAATAGTTTAGCATTGTGTGTCAGCTGGGAAACTGAAATCCAAGACTTCTGGAAGAAGCCAAGTTGTCTACCCAGTGACCAAAAACCAAAAACAAAATAAAACCACAGATCCTGTATTGAGAAGAGCAGGATTCCATAAAAGCTCTGATCCAGTCCTTTGAACAGGCTGAGACAGATAACTGAAGGGAGCAGCAGAGCCAAGGATAAGTTGATTCCAAATCTGAGAGTTTCCCAAAGAGACCCACATTGTGCCTCTTAGGAGTCATTGTACCAAAACCAATATGGGCCAAACATCATGCTGCTCTCTGCCACTCCGGTGAGTACCACCTGCAAGGTATCTTGGCTGATGCAGTGACACAGCACGATATTCCTGAGGATGCCAGAAGTCAACACTAACCATGAACAAAGCTCAAATGTCCACACCCTGAACCATGGCTGATTTGAGCTTAGTTGGCAAAGATTGCTGAAGAGAGAGATCAGACTATTCAAGGGTAGGTTTACTCCAAATCTGAGCATTCCCATAATTTTGCTTCCCTGGGAACATAGTATAAAGTTTAAAAGAGTGACTCACAGAACAACCAGAGTATCACTGGTCTACTATGGTCCTGGGCAGAGTGCTAGAATGCCAGCATCTTTCTGAGGATTCCATGTCATGAAATTCAGCTATCCAAAAATGCATTGGAATTAATTGTCTTGTTTAACTTATAGAGTCATCTATTTGAATGGATCTACTCTGAGTGAACCGTCATTGGTTACAACCCCACATGTCTTCATCTTGAGCCACCACAGATTTAAGCCACCAAGCCATGGAGAAGCCATGGAGCTGTTTGAAGATCCAGATTTGATCAAGCACACGTAATTGCTCACTGGGCAAATTCAGGATGTTGCTTGGGCCTCCAACTGTTATAGAAAGATCAATTTAAGTGGGCACATTTGTTGCTTGGGAAAAATCAAGTTCCACGTCCCTTGGACCTTAAGGAGGGGGGCAATCCTAAGTAGAGAGGCGGGTTAAAGAACTGGAGAGAGATAGGGGGAGGTAAAGCCATGATACACAAAAGATTTAGAAGTTGTAAAAAGAGAGAGCTCATACCTGTATCCAACGCAGAGATGCCCAGCAGCTCAGGCCAGGGTGCGAAAAGGCCCACAATGAGAGACAGGAGGATGATTGGACCACACTGCATGGTGACTCTTCGATAAGAATGTCCCGTGCCAGGGGAAGGGATGCTATATCATGTTCTTCAAGGAAATGGAGCCCATCAATTGGGCATGAAAAAATGAATTACCGATCTCTAGGGACACTCTGGATCTACTCTAATGATTCCAATGTAATTTCCTGTTCTCATTAAAATATTCTTCCACATCAAATAGGGACACATTGGAACTCTCAAATGTTTCAGTTCCGTGATATGGTGTTGATACAAACCTGATCTTTGGTCATGCAAAGTTTATGGCCTTCTTCCGGTTTTTTCTTTCCTTTCAACTGCATATAGCAAGGCCTGAGAACAGATCATAAGAGTGCTTACGGTCGACAGCAGTGTTCACCAACTTGGTGCCCTGCAGATGTATTGAACTAAACTCCCACCAGCCCCTGCCAGCTCAGATTGGTGAAGGTTGGTCCACAGACTCTCAATGTCAATGCAAACATGAAGTTCATGCAATATGTTATACACGCATACCTCATGGCGGGGGGATAGATTTGGAACCATTTATTCCATTTTTAATTCAGCCAGAGAAAAAGAACAGTCTTGACTTGGCTGGAAAAGATTGTTATTTAATCTCTGGATGGCCACATGAACATGTCTGGAAGTACAGTGGTACCTCAGGTTACATACGCTTCAGCTTACATACGCTTCAGCTTACATACTCTGCTAACCCAGAAATAGTGTTTCAGGTTAAGAACTTTGCTTCAGGCTGAGAACAGAAATCGTGCTCCGGCGGCGTAGCAGCAGTGGGAGGCCCCATTAGCTAAAGTGGTGCTTCAGGTTAAGAACAGTTTCAGGTTAAGTACGGACCTCCGGAACGAATTAAGTACTTAACCCGAGGTACCACTGTAAGCTGCTCTGATGCCAGCATCTCCCCAAGAATTCCAAGTGCTGACACTGAGAATGACCAGCAGGCATTATGTCCTCATTCTTTGTCACCACCAAGCCCTTTCCGCAAAGAATCCTGGGACGTGGAGTTGCTTAAGGGCTCTCGAAATTATTTCTCAGTGTGGGCTCTCCTAACCACTCTCGGCACCCTTAAAAAACTAGGGTTCCTGGTACTCTTTGGGGGAAGCCAGGACTGGCAACATGGTTTAAGTCTGCTTTAGATGTCTAGTGTGGGTGTGACCACAGACTCCTAATGCGGAGGGGGTGTAACGTGTGAATGCTTGCTGTCCAACTGTGTTGCCCCCCCTGTGCTTTTTATCCACACATTCCAGGTGGGTGGTGAGTTACAGACTGCACCACCACTCCACTCTGGCTTTCATAGCTGAAGTGGTTGGTGCAGACGCCTTTATACAGTTCTCACAAGCCATTGATTCCATAAGAACTAGCCCAGGCTACTTTGCAGTACTTTGTTTCCTTCATTGTGTTCACACTAGATGTCAGCACTCGAGTTGTGTTAGTCACCTATCCATACCTGGAAACTGTAAGCTCACATCATGGCAGTAGAAAGGGTTATGCTGTTCTTAAAGCTGAATTAAAATCCCTCCCAGGACACTTCCAGATGAAGACAAATGCCCTTTGGGAGGGTGGTTCCCATGACCAGGAGATACGCAAGGCAGCTCTGGAGGGTTCGCCCAGGTGTCCTTTGCATCTAGGATTTCCTTTTGACAGCTCTGCCTGATTGGCCAGCTATGGCTGCTCCTGGACAGGGAAAGTCTGACCACATGTTGGTAACCTTGAGGCTGGATTACAACAATGTGATCTATGTGGGGCTGCCCTTCGGCCTCATCTGAAAGCTCCAGTTGGTGCAAAAGGATGACAGAATTGTTAAAAGGTCTGCACTGGCTGCGCATCTACTACCGAGCCAAGTTCGTTGTCTTTGTGTTAGGGTAATTTACAAGTCCAAAATACCTAAGGGCAGCCTAACATCTCATCTGTCAGCTCAAACACTTAGATCATCTGGAGGAGCATCATGTCTTGTCCCCGGAGTTGGTGAGGCTCATCTGACAACAAGAATCCAAACCTTTAGCGATTTGCCCAGTCCTAAGGACTGCTCAGCCAACAGAGATTCAGCAGGCTGTGAATCTTTAAAGGCCTGCTGAAAACATTTTTAAAATGACAGCTTTATGCCAGCATTTAAGAAAATATTTAATGGTTAGTTGATGTTCTCTAATCTAATTTTTTTTTACATGTTTTATGATATATGTAGATAATGTAAATCACTTTGATATTTAGATGATATAGCAGCATATAAATATTTTTGTAACTAAAATCATCTAAGCTCCCCACAAAGAAATAGTAAGCCATAGAAGACACTTAACAGCATTAATGTGGATTTAATAGCAGATGAATTAATGTGGAGAAAACCCCATACTCAAGAACCAGAATACAGAGGATGGTGAACTACTGTTGCACTTATTCGGAATATTCAGCTGAGGTGAATGGAAGGACATCTGTAGATTTGCAGGACATCTGGAATTTAGCTGTTGTCTTCTTTCACATGAGCAGGGGGCATTTTTGAGGATGCCAAAATATTACTCGTCCTTCACTACTGTGGAAGAAAGAGAGAATCTTTGTGGTGGATCAAATGATGCGAAGAAGAAGAAGAAGAAGAAGAAGAAGAAGAAGAAGAAGAAGAAGAAGAACCCGTCCCCCTTCCTCTCCCAGAGAGCCCACGGCAGCCCAGAGCAAAGGTGCAACATTAAGAAGAAGGTAAAAGCACAGTACACAGTATATCTCAGGAGCGACTCAAGGTGATAAGAGGTGAGCAAATCTTCCTTCAGAAACAGATGCCATTGTTCATTTTCCTTTCAAGGGATGATATCATCAAGCATTGTGAGTTTTATGGGTGCAGAACAGATGATATATTTCCTGCCTATAGAGCAGTTCTGTGTGTCTTTCTATGCTTTCTGTTATACTGTCTGTTTCTTTGCTTCTGTAACTGGATGAGGTCTTAGGAGCTGAAGTTTTGGGATTTTACTGGGGATCCAGTAAGATCCTGTATGCTTTTAAACCTCAGTAAACTATAACTGAAGAATTCTGCTGCCTTAGTGTGTGTTTTTCCTTTGGAACTCTGCACGGGAGTTGCAGTTCATGCAATTGCAATCTGTTGCTATCTGCCCATGCCCTGGAGTTGCGCTAAAGAGCCATGGAGACAGGGAGTGGCTAGATTTTGCACCAGCCCTGTCAGATATTTTCTACCTGAAGGAAGAATCCCTTCTGGAGTCTGGCCATGGCTGCCTGAGAGTAGGCTCAGTACTTTAGATTTCTCAGTTTGAAAAGCTGGAACGATACTTATGTTGCAGCACATCATAAAATATATGATATTATTTGCAGCTATACTGAAGTTGATGTTACTGTATTCTGTATGGTTTATCGTCTACTGGAGAAGACTGGTCAGTCAAAAAGCAACTGAGAACAGATATTGAGTTCAGCTGTTATTGAGTACAGTGGTACTTCAGGTTCCATACGCTTCCGGTTACAGATGCTTCAGGTTACAGACTCCACTAACCCAGAAATAGTACCTCGGGGTAAGAACTTTGCTTCAGGATGAGATCAGAAATCTTGCTTTGGCGGCGTGGCAGCCGAGGGAGACCCCATTAGCTAAAGTGGTGCTTCAGGTTAAGAACAGTTTCAGGTTAAGAACGGACCTCCGGAATGAATTAAGCACTTAACCCGAGGTACCACTGTAATGGTACACATTATTTTATTTTATTTTAATTGATTTTTATCTTTTCAGACATTCTGTTTGTCATTGTGCTAAAATACCTTAAGAAAAGTAAGCCAAAGGCTTTTTGACCATAAGTCTTGTTCAGTGGTCTCAAATAAAATTTACAATATGTAAAATGTACCAAAAATCATTTCAAACAGTGCTTTTTGTTCAGTTGTGTTTAGGTTTTAAGGGGAGAGGATGCTGCCTTTCTGGGTTTGTATGGAGGGGTTTGGAGAGAGATAATAATATTGTACTTGGAGGCCTTTCATGTTTTCAAGAAAAGGGGACATGCACCCATCAGAGTTTCTCAAATTTTGAAATGTGCCCATTTGCCCCAAAATGTTCACAGCTCCTGCCCTAAAACAGCAAGTTATTTGTTCTTACCAAAGCGTCCACATTCCTGATAGCATTGACTTTCAGTCAGAAAGTTATTTGCATTATTTCCACAGCCACTGAAAATGAACTCCTCACACTTCAGGGTTTCAACATTGAAGAAAAAACGTGGAAAACTTGCTCTGCATCTTCCTACTTTCTTAGGGAGTTTGCATATATCAGGCTGACCATCTGGTGGGTAAAAGCAAAGAAAGGCAAGCCTCATATAAACATTATATCAAAGTCTGAAACACAGAAAGCAATGACATTGACCATGTGACTCCACCTCACAAATAAAAACAGTAATTAACTCACATTTCTACCAGATCTAAATTTATACAAATATCTTTTCACAAACCTTCTCTTTGACATTCCCTAAATCTCTGGACTTCCCTCCATACTCTCTTCTGGTTCCATATATTAACTAAGTTCTGCATAGTCCATTAGCTTGATTTGCCATTCTTCTTTCGTTGCCATCTTTTCGTCCTTCTATCTTTGGGCTAACAATATTTGGGCAGCTGTTGTAGCATACAAAAATATTTTCTTATCTTCCTTGGGGAGTTCAGTTCCTATCAGCCCTAGTAAAAAAGCTTCATTTTTTTTAACAAAAGTTAGTTTAAACATTTTCTTCAGTTCATTATAGATCATTACCCAGAAGCTTTTAATAACCTTACATCCCCACCACTGGGCTGTATCCAGTTCTAGCTGAGAGTCACTTTCCTGTTCTCAATAGTTTAGCATTGGGTGTCAGCTGGGAAACTGAAATCCAAGACTTCTGGAAGAAGCCAAGTTGCCTATCTATGAACCAAAAATCAAACAAAACAAACAACCCAAAATAAAACTACAGATGTTGTATTGAGAAGAGCATGATTCCATAAAAGCTCTGTTCCAGTCCTTTGAGCTGGCTGAGACAGATAACAGAGTCAAGGATAATTTGATTCCAAATTGAGTTTCCCAAAGAGACCCAGGTTGTGCCTCATAGGAGTCATTGTGCCAAATCCAATATGCGCCAAACAACATGCCGCTCTCTGCCACTCTGGTGAGTACCACCTGCAAGGTATCTTGGCTGGCGTAGTGAAACAACACATATTCCTGAGGATGCCAGAAGTCAACACTAACCATGAACAAGACTCCTATGTCCACACCCTGAGCCCTGAGTTTAGTTGGCAAAGATTGCTGAAGAGAGAGATCAGACTATTCAAGGGTAGGTGTACTCCAAATCTGATACAGTGGTACTTCGGGTTCCATACGCTTCAGGTTACATACGCTTCAGGTTACAGACTCCGCTAACCCAGAAATACTACCTCGGGTTAAGAACTTTGTTTCAGAATGAGAACAGAAATCGTGCTCCGGTGGTGCGGCAGCAGCAAGAGGCCCCATTAGCTAAAGTGGTGCTTCAGGTTAAGAACAGTTTCAGGTTAAGAACGGACCTCCGGAACGAATTAAGTACTTAACCCGAGGTACCACTGTAGTTCCCAGAATGTTGCTTCCCCGGGAACATAGTGTAAAGTTTAAAGAGTGACTCACAGAACAACCAGAGTATCACTGATCTACTGTGGCCTTGGGCAGGGTGCTAGAATGCCAGCAACCTCTGAGAATTCCTGGTGCTGACACTGATCCCAAGCAAGGACCACAGCTGGTATGCAACGTTGTCATACTTGGCATAGAGGCATTGAAATGAATTGTCGTGTTTAACTTAGAGTCATCTTTTTGAATGGATCTACTCTGAGAAGAAATATGTTGGATACAACTCCACAGCTCTTCATTTTGAGCCACCATGAAGAATCCATTGAGCTCCTTTCAAGGTCACATGTTCACTCACTGGGCAAAGTCAGCCCAGGGGAATCTTTGTAGGCACACAAGCTCCTCAAACTCCCATAGCGTGATCAGTATAATTGGGTGCATGTGTTGCCTACAAGAAAGCAAGCTCCACATCACTTGGGCCTTATGGAAGGGGGCAACCCTATGTAGAGAGGCAGGTTAAAGAATTGGAGAGAAATAGGGGGAGGTACAGCCATGATACACATAAGATTTAGAAGTTGTAAGAGGAGAGAGACCTCATACCTGTATCTGACGCAGAGATGCCCAGCAGCTCAGGCCAGGGTGCGAAAAGGCCCAAGATGAGAGACAGGAGGATGAAGGGACCACACTGCATGGCGACTCTTCAATGGGACTGTCCAGTGCTAAGGGAAGGGACGCTATATTGTGTTCTTTAAGGAAATAGAGGCAGTCATCTGGGCATAAAAAAGCAATATCTAGGGACAATCTGTATCTATTAATTACAAGGATATTTTCTGTTCTCAATAAAGTATTCTTCTACCTCAGCTCAGGACATGTTGGAGCTATGAATTATATCCACAGAAGACTGAAACATCCTGGAAGGATTTCAGTTCCGTGACATGGTATTGATATAAACCTGTTCTTTTGTCATGCAGGGCAGTCATCTGGGCATAAAAAAGCAATATCTAGGGACAATCTGGATCTACTCTATTAATTACAAGGAGATTTTCTGTTCTCAATAAAATATTCTTCTACCTCAGCTCAGGACATGTTGGAGCTATATGTATGATTCATGGACTGGATATGACATATGTAATTTATGTATTATATTTTGTATTTGTTTATATGTATATATAATGATAAACCAATAAAAACTCATTTTGAAAAGAAAAAAGAAAAAAGAAGAAGACTGAAACATCCTGGAAGGATTTCAGTTCCGTGACATGGTATTGATATAAACCTGTTCTTCTGTCATGCAGCGCCCATGCCCTTCTGTTCCTCTCTGGTGTGGGTGCTGTGGAGTAATGGGTAGATTAGGCAGAACAGGATAAGATAGGAAAAGAAATATACTGTAAATATCCAGCCACTCTTATTAAGACCATCATTTAACTCTTGTCCTTATTTTTTCTAAACATTGTTAGGTGAGCTTCCCCAAGT